TGGCGGTCAAGGTAGTGGTGGATCCCTAATGGAGATTAGTATTCCTCCCCCTCGTCTTCCCCCTGCTCTCCATCGGCTGAGTCGACTCCAACCTCCTCGTAATCCTTCTCCAGGGCAGCCAGATCCTCACGAGCCTCAGAGAACTCACCCTCCTCCATACCCTCTCCCACGTACCAGTGGACGAAGGCACGCTTGGCGTACATCAGATCAAACTTGTGATCCAGACGAGCCCAGGCCTCGGCGATGGCCGTGGTGTTGCTCAGCATGCAGACGGCACGCTGCACCTTGGCCAGATCACCGCCAGGCACGACGGTGGGTGGCTGGTAGTTGATGCCCACCTTGAAGCCAGTTGGACACCAGTCCACGAACTGGATGGTGCGCTTGGTCTTGATGGTTGCGATGGCGGCGTTGACATCTTTAGGAACGACATCACCACGGTAGAGCAGACAGCAGGCCATGTACTTGCCGTGACGCGGATCGCACTTCACCATCTGGTTGGCCGGCTCGAAGCAAGAATTGGTGATCTCTGCAACGGTCAGCTGCTCATGGTAGGCCTTCTCAGCAGAGATGACAGGGGCGTAGGTGGCCAAGGGAAAGTGAATACGTGGGTAGGGCACCAAGTTGGTCTGGAACTCGGTCAAGTCGACATTGAGGGCGCCATCGAAGCGAAGAGACGCAGTGATGGAGGACACAATCTGACCGATCAGACGGTTGAGGTTGGTGTAGGTCGGACGCTCGATGTCGAGATTGCGACGACAGATGTCGTAGATGGCCTCGTTGTCGACCATGAAGGCACAGTCAGAGTGCTCCAGGGTGGTATGGGTGGTCAGGATGGAGTTGTAGGGCTCAACGACGGCTGTTGAGATCTGGGGAGCCGGGTAGACCGCAAACTCCAGCTTGGACTTCTTGCCGTAGTCGACAGAGAGGCGCTCCATCAACAGAGATGTGAAGCCAGAGCCGGTGCCTCCACCGAAGCTGTGGAAGATGAGGAAACCCTGGAGACCTGTGCACTGGTCAGCCAACTTACGGATTCTGTCGAGCACTTGGTCAATGAGCTCTTTGCCGACGGTGTAGTGGCCCCTCGCGTAGTTGTTGGCTGCATCCTCCTTGCTTGTGATCAGCTGCTCAGGGTGAAAGAGTTGGCGGTAGGTGCCGGTACGAACCTCATCTGACATCAAGGAGAAAAGCAATCCGAATTAGACTTAAATACGAACGTTTTGCATGAACTAATGTTGATGAAATATATCTGACTTTTGTTTAATTGTTAACGTTCATTTGAGACCCATAATTTTAAATGTATGATCAGCATCTTACCGACTACGGTAGGTTCCAGATCGACAAAGACACAGCGAGGGACGTGCTTGCCAGCGCCGGTCTCGCTGAAGAAGGTGTTGAAGGAGTCGTCACCACCTCCGATGGTCTTGTCACTGGGCATCTGACCATCAGGCTGGATGCCGTGCTCCAGGCAGTACAGCTCCCAGCAGGCATTGCCCATCTGGACTCCGGCCTGGCCCACGTGGATAGAGATACATTCACGCTGAAAAGTAACAAAATCGAACGTCCTGATATCCATACTTCACTGGTGATCTTTATTGTTTTATCGGTGCTGATAGAATTTTTGTTATATTATTTGGGGAATTTATTAACAGCGCTTAAAACTTCAATAGGTTTGAAAAACACATCTTTAAATATGTGCACGGAAATGGCGTGCCTCGTGTAGCAAATGTATAGTTTTTAATATAAAATGAGGGTTTAGTTATAAAACAGTTAGAAACTAATAGGTTGGATTCAGTCCATTAAATATGAAAAATTTATTATTAAAAAAAAAAAACCCAAGAGTTAAGCGTTTCTAAATTCGTTTGGTTTTAAAGCGCAGAGTCGACAGTCAATTGTGTTTAGATTGCGTTGTGTAAAATTAAGCAAAGATATTTTTTACATACTTCCTTTGGCTTTAATTACCCGTAAGACATTTGCAAAGACGAATAAATTGAAAACTCCATGAAAACACAAACACGGTTTCAATGTCCCCAGTATTGAAAGTAATCGCTGTTGCCATGGATACAAGCGCTACGATTGGTTCCAAAAAGACTCTCAATCCATACACGAGTCTTAAATCACGCCGAAACAGTCTTTACAAATTTTCTTTACACCTAATAATCCTATAACACAGTACCACCCGTCGAGTAACAATCCATAACCCAATATTTATGATCGACATGACATCACTTTAAGTCATTACGTTTGGTACGGGAAATTAAGACCGCGTCCTTATATTAATAATTCTACAGTGTCGAGTAAAGGCCACGGTCGAACGAGACAATTTTCACAAGCAACTTGCAGGCAACTGTTCACACTGCAAGCAAAAGAAACACAAAGAAAAATAAAGTACTTCTCCTCAACAGTTTATGAAAATTCCTCTGAAAAGTACATGGAATTAAATTTACTTTTCGTTTTCTCAGTCTCGGACATCACCTTCACAATTTTGCTCGTAAATTGCCTCGCGTATGACAGCCCTTAATAACACCTAATTTTTTTCGAAAGTAGCCTCGCAAGAAGACAACTTACCATGATGAAGTTTCGAAGTGTTAAAGTGGATGGAGAAGTTCGGGGAAAAGTTGATGCTCTTGGACGCGTACGGCTTCGATGCAGCTTTACGTTCAAATGATGTTTCTGGCAACGCATCTGATTTTTATACCCGCTCCCAGTCGTGCTCCACGATTGGTCAGTTCGTCACCATCGCAATAGATCGTGAGTCGTGATTGGTCGGTTTGTCACCATCGCAATGGGTTGTTGACTGGCCCACCTTCAAACACTAATCGGAAAATATTCCATCCACGGTTGCTATGCATTTAGATTTCAATAATAAATTTACTATCCGTATGATGATTGTTAGTTTATTCATATCCCCCATACATATCATCGCATCATTGCATATATTCCCTTACAAACTTCTTTCTTTATGAATTTGCGATTGAAACGACCAAACCGACCTCGAGCTTTAAATAGCTAGTCAAATCAACCAGAACCGAGGTCAAAAATCCTTTCAAATTTTGGGGAGACATAAAGTTAGTTAAGCACTGTGTGTTCAAAAGGAATTCAAAGATTTGGTCTCCTGTGGTGTATACGTGTGTTGCACGGTGCTAGTTTAGGCCTAACGATAAATCATGTTCGTTTTTACCGCCAATTTTTGTTCATATTCCAACAGGCGTGTTGGGGATGCGGCCCGTTGGCATGGCTACCGTGATGATGAGGACGGAAACAACAGACAATAAGACACCTGCAACATCAACAGAGAGGATACAGCCAAATACAAAATCATCAATAAATTTTGAAGAAACAGTAAACCATTTTCTTTACTGCGATATTATTATGATCAAAACGGCACGCTGCTTTTTTTAAGCAGTGGCTAGTTTTCATGTTTTTCAAACCTTGCCCTAGGGTTCATATTCCCTCAAGGCTATCTAAGAAGGCTATTTACGAGTACGAAATTGGTTTAAGCATTACCAGCTTTTAGAACTCAAGACCTCCAGAACAGTTGGATCATTTACTTGGCTTCAGTACCCTCTTAGTCTTCTCGAGGCCTAATTCCCATTGATCATGTCATTCCACTTTTTGAAGAAGATCCAAATTCTTTCTTGGTAATGCAGGCTTTTTAAGTCTTATAAGAGGAACTTAGTGATAGCTTCTTTGAATTTCACGGCATCGACTTAGGTTTTCATTTCTGTTTTATTGTCTGTAATTAATTTCTGTTTTCAACATGAAGTACACATTACCAGTTTTAGTCTATACAAAAGTTAAAAATGGATCACTTCAAGTCAGATCCTTGAATTATCTCCCCGTGTAGGTACAGTTGGCCTTGAGCCATCTTTCAAAAAAGAAATAACAAGATTCTCGAAATTATCGCACGAAATTTTCGACTTGCTTGTTCCGAAACTCAGTATCGCATTGCACATAATTAATCAAGGTTAAACACAGCGTCTGGTGATTCGAGACACCGTGTGCGGGGTGTCGTTTTCAGTCACGATTCCCTATTCTCCTCAGGCAGGTCTTGAATGGATAGCTAGCTCTACATGTGACTCATCAATCGTGGTTAATTAAATTTGCATCTGATGCAGACAACCTTTAGTTGTACCAATAAAATATCCATAAAAACATCATGACCGAATAAAAGGATACCGTTCTATGGCAAACTTCTTATAAGATTATGCACCTACAATGTGTTGCTTATAATCCTTAAATTCGTGAACAAAATTTGTCTGAATATAATAGTGATAACAAGGTCAACAAACTAGATGAAATGCCTGATCAGTAAGGTTTATCATACATTGGAAAAGAACACAGGTAAACAGCGAAAGTGTAAATTCTCAGTGCAAATGTATAAAGGCCTAGAGCGATATACTACGTGGTACCAGTGTTTTAACTCATCAATGCTATTGATTAGCAAGGGCCGGTTCATCTGTTTGCGTCGTTAAGATCACGGTTACCTTGCCAACTACACATTGTTTGTTTTACGTCAATAAAATGGCGGGTAGTTCGTGTCCCTGTAGTCCTGTACACCTGCTTTCGACATCCCATTTTTCTGACTTTCAATGAGATTTTTGTGGAAATTTTGTCCCTGCCTTGGGCAATTGGTGGTTGAAGGCCGGTGACCATTTTCACAATGAGCTCCCACGGCTAGATATTTCAATATGAATGGGGGGGGGACCTCGCCATGAAAAGAAAATTAGATGACGGTTAAGGACGAATATGCATTGATGCGAAACAACTAAGAAATTTAATGAATCGGAATTAAAATAAGAATCAGAGGGGAAATTATAATCAAAATCATCGTCACCAACCTGGCGACTGCGCAGATTTTTGGGGGTCTGTTTTGCCATTTCAGTACGTCGTGTAATAGGATTGGTCACAAGGTTATGAGTCAGTAACGATGGTAACGAACTGGACAATCACAGCGCAGAGTGGATGCCCACATAAGATACTCGACGGTTCTGTACGTGCACCATTTGAACGCGAGGCTGCATCGAAGCAAAACGTGTCCAGCAAAAAAACACCTTTTTTCGCATAATTATACTTCCTCCAGATTCGTTAATCTTCACCTGCATCATGGTAAGCTATAACACTTTTAAAACTCAAATTGTAATCTTTGGAGGGGGGGGGGGTTAGTGAAAACGATTGTTGAAAGTTTGGGTTGTGTTACAAGCAGGGACAGCGTGGTGTTTTCTTGTTGGCCGGGCGTGGTTTGCCAAAGTGGCTAGTGTTGGCGCTGTGTTTTGTGTTCGTGTTCGGCGGTATGGTCATGTCATGTTGTTCTTCATGGTTGTTTAGTGTATTATGGTTTTTATAATTTGTGCCGATTTTAAGAAACCAACTTATTTATATCAGAAATGTTTAACTTTTTAGCCTAAGCATCTTTGCTGTTGGGCCACATAGGGTCGTTCCTATACTGCCTATCTAAAGCTTCTGATGACCGCTTATCTCTTGGACAAAAACTCGTGTATAGGACCACATGTAGGCCTAGTTAGAGGTATCGCAAACAAAGCAGGTCACAATGTCGTGTAGGCTAATTACGGACCCTGCACTTGTCGTTAACAGTGTGTATTTTGTGTGCATTGGTCGTATGCACAAGGCAGTGTAACCTTGGGTCACTGGTTATCCAAATAACATATACCCCGAGAGCGCAATGAAATTGGAGGTAACGGGCGCCCACCTTGGCCTTGGGCGGTGGCACGAACCAGCCAATCGACAATTTCTGAACGAAAGAGGGCGCTCTTAAGACGTGGGGGGGGGGGGCTACAAACAAAAGTGAATCTCAGGTTACTAACGTAGGTTTACATGTTGCCATTAATCAAATATTGATTATTATCTTTTTAATATCACGTTTTAAGATTAATTTTATGTTGAGAAATTGTTTCAGTAAAAGTGATATTTTTATAATAAATGGTGTCATTGGAAGGAATTTAGTTGTCCATGAAGTGACCAGGGTTTTTCTGTGTTTTGTTTTCCTTATTATTGATAGGATCATCTTAAGTTACAAAAAACAACAAGGAAAGGCAGATCGTCCGAATAATAAATATATTTATTTCGAAATGATATTTTTTTCAAGTAATGGAAAATAACTCCAAAGTTTCATCTTGTAATTTTGCCAGCGTGAATGTATCTCTATCCACGTGGGCCAGGCCGGAGTCCAGATGGGCAATGCCTGCTGGGAGCTGTACTGCCTGGAGCACGGCATCCAGCCTGATGGTCAGATGCCCAGTGACAAGACCATTGGAGGTGGTGACGACTCCTTCAACACCTTCTTCAGCGAGACCGGCGCCGGCAAGCACGTCCCTCGCTGTGTCTTTGCTGATCTGGAACCTACCGTCGTTGGTAAGTTTGAACTTGATCCCCCACCCCCTTTTTAAACGGCTAAATAAGCACTGTCTGTTAATTTCTTTTGAATAAAATATAAGTGCAAAAAATTAAATGGTGGTTGTTTTTTCCTTGATTTCAGATGAAGTTCGCACCGGCACCTACCGCCAACTCTTTCACCCAGAGCAACTCATAAGCAACAAGGAGGATGCCGCCAACAACTACGCTAGGGGCCACTACACCGTCGGCAAGGAGATAATTGACCAAGTGCTTGACAGAATCCGGAAGTTGGCTGACCAGTGCACGGGTCTCCAGGGTTTCCTCATCTTCCACAGCTTCGGTGGGGGCACCGGCTCTGGCTTCACATCTCTGTTGATGGAGCGTCTCTCTGTCGATTACGGCAAGAAGTCCAAGCTGGAGTTTGCAGTCTATCCTGCTCCTCAAATCTCCACTGCTGTTGTTGAGCCCTACAACTCCATCCTGACCACTCATACCACCCTGGAGCACTCTGACTGTGCCTTTATGGTCGACAACGAGGCCATCTACGACATCTGTCGTCGCAACCTCGACATCGAGCGTCCGACCTACACCAACCTCAACCGTCTGATCGGTCAGATTGTGTCCTCCATCACCGCGTCTCTTCGCTTTGACGGCGCCCTCAATGTCGACTTGACCGAGTTCCAGACCAACTTGGTGCCCTACCCACGTATCCACTTTCCCTTGGCTACCTACGCCCCTGTCATCTCTGCTGAGAAGGCCTACCATGAGCAGCTGACCGTTGCAGAGATCACCAACGCTTGCTTCGAGCCGGCCAACCAGATGGTGAAGTGCGATCCGCGTCACGGCAAGTACATGGCCTGCTGTCTGCTCTACCGTGGTGATGTCGTCCCTAAAGATGTCAACGCCTCAATTGCAACCATCAAGACCAAGCGCACCATCCAGTTTGTTGACTGGTGTCCAACTGGTTTCAAGGTGGGCATCAACTACCAGCCACCTACCGTCGTGCCTGGCGGTGATCTGGCCAAGGTGCAGCGTGCCGTCTGCATGCTGAGCAACACCACGGCCATCGCCGAGGCCTGGGCTCATCTGGATCACAAGTTTGATCTGATGTACGCAAAGCGTGCCTTTGTCCACTGGTACGTGGGAGAGGGTATGGAGGAAGGTGAGTTCTCTGAGGCTCGTGAGGATCTGGCTGCCCTGGAGAAGGATTACGAGGAGGTTGGGATGGATTCTCAGGATGACGGAGAAGAAGAAGAGGGAGAGGAGTACTAGTCAAACGTTATTATGACGCAACTAACTAACCCTTTCATTTCAAGATTATATTTTTTATGAAATATGCTTCAAATCGGCACGTATAGTACGGGTGCGTTATATAATTATTAATTGCGCCATATTTGGACATTATTGGACAAAGGTTTTCCTTAACTGGAGAAAACGGTTACTAATTTATTGATCCGGATTCAATATTGGCGAGTTCGGATGCAAATCGAGTCCCATCACATGGAGCAGACTGCGGAGGTATAGGTGCAGGTCAAAATCATTTCGATAAATTATTATCGATTTGTTTTTTAATGTGGAAGTACAGTTATTTTGTCGACCAAATAAAACTTTTCAGAAACAGGTTGACTGATTGCGTTTTGTAATTTGTTTTGTGCTGACTTTTAACAGAAAATGCGTATGAAGATCAAAAGTGCAGAATGATTATGTCGATAGGCAAATAGTTCAAATTATGTGGAAAGGAATACACTTCGTCAGACAGGGGAAGGGTATCTAACCTTAACATAGAGGGCAAGGGGGAGGGCACTAAATTGCATTGGTCCACGTGCGCTGTTCATCCGTTTTTAAATTCGCGTGCGATTTTCGTATTTGACGAGGAGGGGGGGGGGAGGTTTGCATTCAGCCCGACAGGCCTATATATTTAGAAATACTTGCGGAATCGTTTTGATTGTATTAACTTGTTATATAGTTTGTTAGATTTTCAGGTAACCCCGTAGAGGGCGCAATTGGCCAATCATAAAATCCACAGCCATCGAACGGTGGGTGAGTTTAAATCATCCCTGAAATCGCATGACTGTTGCCTATATAAAAATGAGGTTTCGCCACACACAATCATGCACGATGATTTTTGCTTTCAATACAAAAGGGGGACAAATAGTTCCCAATAATTCTATCTTTTTGTGAATAACATTTACCAGGCCGAGCCGTATAAACAGCGCCCTCTTGCTCAGTTTCTGACTTTCATTATTGTTATGCACTGCCAATACTTGATTTAAAACAAATACGTTATAAATATAAAAACAGAGGAACAATCCTGGTTTCTGGCTATTTATTTGACAACAGTGATGTCGAAATTTTCTATTAATAAATACACAGTGTGTCTCAGGGCAAGTGCTTGTTTGGGGTGGGGGTAGGGGGTTAGGGGTTGGATGTGTGGGTGGGGTGAGGTGGGTATCAAGTGGGGCTGGAGTACGGGATTGACGGTGGGAGATTCTGATTGACAGCTTGCTCAAACAGGAGGGCATACAAGTGCGCTCCTTTAATAATAATGCAAGGTAATGATTTTAATTTAGGATGAATAAATAAATACTCGGAAACGAATCCAGTACAAATAAATGACCGAATAACCTTAAAAAAATAGCAGCAATAAAATCAACAAATACCGTCCCCACTTTGATAAAATAACAGCATTCAAACTAATTACCAGTGCCCCAACTTCATGCCTTTCATGCATCATGCCGAAAATTCGCTAAGTTGTTTTTTTTTTACAAAATGCAAGACTCTTTTATTATTCCAATGAGCTTTGTTACGCAATACGAGGAATTCGCAGATCACTGTGTTTCTCCCGTCAACCATTCACACTGCGTGCTTGTGTAGAAAGTAACACTCCTTACTGGTCGCCATCAAACGAACTACACAAGGCTTAATCGAGTCTGACTCCTAACTCAGTGAATCTTATCTTTGAATATCTCAGACTTGGATTCCTCATCATGGTGAGTTGAGGTGAATTTTTTCTTGCAGGAAATTTGTGGTAGATTAACAAGATGGTCGGCAACCAAAAGTGTCGTGGATTTTTATCGTAGAGTAAAACTCTAGAAGGGATCTCATTGCGTAATTAAATTTGGCTTCCCATACCATCAAAATGTATTACAGACTGTTGTTACAAAAAATGAAGACAGATGTAGTTTCGTGACGTCAAATTTGGTGGCGAGTTATTAAATATTTCCTGAGTGTTTTCTCTAAAAAAGAAAGAGAAGTGTTTTAGTCCGAAAATATTTTCCGCCTACATTTTTGCAATAAGCCGTTTCACGGATACCGCCATCTTTGTGGTCACGTGGTAATCTCCAGGCGCATTTCATCCCATCATGCCGTTGTATCCTGAGCATGATGGGATTTCTATTGAAATGCCCACGGACCAAAAAGATGGCGGTATCCGTAAAACGGCTTATGACTGACAATCAGTGAGGTTCAATTATATGAATGGCTTCGGAATACTATATTGTATCCTAAACCTCTCTGAAGCAGATTTTAAGGCGAGGTTGTATCAATTTTAGAAACGGTATGTTCAATAACATTTCCATTAAGTGATCATGAAATTATGGTTTTCATTTTTTTTCTAGCGTGAATGTATCTCTATCCATGTCGGCCAGGCCGGAGTCCAGATGGGCAATGCCTGCTGGGAGCTGTACTGCCTGGAGCACGGCATCCAGCCTGATGGTCAGATGCCCAGTGACAAGACCATCGGAGGTGGTGACGACTCCTTCAACACCTTCTTCAGCGAGACCGGCGCTGGCAAGCACGTCCCTCGTGCCGTTTTTGTCGATCTGGAACCAACCGTTGTCGGTGCGTAATCGTCTTTAGTTTTCTTTCAATTGGATTGGTGCAAATGACGTAAACATTTTAAATTAATGATTACATGACTACAGTTATTGAAGTTCAGAAAGAATTGCAGTAGAGTAGGCCTGCTGTATTTTTTCTTTGAGTGTTTTACGTTTTAGTATAGTTTGATCATTGTATACATGTACTCTAATTTTTTTAGATGAGGTTCGTACTGGCACCTACCGCCAGCTCTTCCACCCTGAGCAGCTGATCACAGGGAAGGAGGATGCAGCCAACAACTATGCCAGAGGCCACTACACCGTCGGCAAAGAGCTCATTGACCAAGTGCTTGACAGAATCCGTAAGTTGGCTGACCAGTGCACGGGTCTCCAGGGTTTCCTCATCTTCCACAGCTTCGGTGGAGGCACCGGTTCTGGCTTCACATCCTTGTTGATGGAGCGTCTTTCTGTCGACTACGGCAAGAAGTCCAAGCTGGAGTTCGCCGTCTACCCAGCCCCACAGATCTCCACTGCTGTTGTTGAGCCCTACAACTCCATCCTGACCACTCATACCACCCTGGAGCACTCTGACTGTGCCTTTATGGTCGACAACGAGGCTATCTACGACATCTGTCGTCGCAATCTCGACATCGAGCGCCCAAGCTACACCAATCTCAACCGTCTGATCGGTCAGATTGTGTCCTCCATCACTGCTTCGCTTCGTTTCGACGGCTCTTTGAATGTCGACCTGACTGAGTTCCAGACCAACTTGGTGCCCTACCCCCGCATCCACTTTCCACTTGTTACCTACGCCCCTGTCATCTCTGCTGAGAAAGCCTACCATGAGCAGCTGACTGTTGCAGAGATCACCAACTCTTGCTTCGAGCCGGCCAACCAGATGGTGAAGTGCGATCCCCGTCACGGCAAGTACATGGCCTGCTGTCTGCTCTTTCGTGGTGATGTCGTCCCTAAAGATGTCAACGCCTCAATCGCAACCATCAAGACCAAGCGCACCATCCAGTTCGTGGACTGGTGTCCAACTGGCTTCAAGGTGGGCATCAACTACCAGCCACCCACCGTCGTGCCTGGCGGTGATCTGGCCAAGGTGCAGCGTGCCGTCTGCATGCTGAGCAACACCACGGCAATCGCCGAGGCCTGGGCTCGTCTGGATCACAAGTTTGATCTGATGTACGCCAAGCGTGCCTTTGTCCACTGGTACGTGGGAGAGGGTATGGAGGAAGGTGAGTTCTCTGAGGCTCGTGAGGATCTGGCTGCCCTGGAGAAGGATTACGAGGAGGTTGGAATGGATTCAGCTGATGGAGGTGAAGAAGACGAAGGAGATGAGTACTGAACGTTCTGATTATTGAAGGCAAATTTGAGTAAATTATTTACGATTTTATTTATATGAGGCCAATAAAAAATTAGAAAAGTTTGTTGTAAACTTATGAGGTAAAAATATTTTGAAACTAAAATGTTGTCACTAGAGTAAAACTGACTGACCAGTAGGCCCCACCCACTGCGCACGTGGGAACAACACGTGGTTCTTTCCATCACATTTCCATACGCGCGCACCGCATGATATGTCGAATTTATGTGAACGCATAACATTATTCACAGTTGTGATTGGTTAAAACACAATTGGGCGGGGCTTAATGGGCGGGGCTTAATGGGCGCCGAGTTTGGGTGTGATATTGAAGATATGCATAGGCCGATAAAACCTCATGTGGGTCGAGGGTTTGAAATGGGTTTTATGAATAATACCTGCCAAATTTAGGGAAAAAGGGAAACTTGATCAAAATCCTGGCATATTTACCGATGAGAAGTAAATGTTTTTCAGACTCAGATTGTGAATTCAAAACAGTGAAAATATTTTTTTCTAAGTAAGAGTATATTGAAGCGATCTAAATTGTCATTTTATTAGCTAAATCTAGAATTTGGTATCAGGAAAAAGTACTTTTAGTCTGTCAATGAGGAGCGAATACTATTTTTATGGTCACGTGATCATGGTCTGATGATCAAATAATTAACCAATCGCAGTGGAATCGTGTCAACGCAGATTGTGAAATATGGATGTAGAACGCGCAAAATTTGAGACAAAGACAAGTTTTTTCAAAATTACATATGGTTGTCTAAGGGGCGTGGCTAAGTCGCAAACGACGATAGGTCAATTAACGATGGTTTTGTATGACAGTTACTATAAAATCAAGTATAATTCATTATTATTCTAATTAAAGGCGCGTGGGAACATTGGAAGTTAAAGATGCATTTATTTCCCCGTGATATTTCTAGTTGCACCCCAAAAAAATCCAATTATTATTTTCCTAGTAATATAAAAGTTATTATTTTCAATAAAATATCGAACGAAGAAACGTTTAGTTATTGAATGATTTCTTTATAAAATTCAAACATTATTTACGGCCGGACAATATTTCGGCAGGGCGAGTTCAGGCATGCGCAAAATGAAATTCCTTTTTTTTTTCAGAGTGTTGCAGCTGTCCAATATCGCTGGGAAAAGGTTTTTTTCGTTAAAAGAAAATCAATCCTTTTTTTTAAGAGCATGGGGCGCACAACTTTAACAGGCAAAACACCTGACGATTTAATGAGGAACACTTTGTTCAAAGTGAATATCAGAATTGACTCAATACATTGTGAACATTTCCCGCCTAATACTGTTAAGAATACAGGGCGAGTTAAAAAAAAAAAGCGCAGAACTCAAACCCCCAAAATTATATTTCATATTTAAAAAAAATATGTAGCACCAAAAATAATAATGACTGGAAAGCCAATTTCATAAGCTACTTTTAGATGAAAAAAAATACTAAAATTGCTCAATCCGTTCAAAAATATCACCATTTAAACACTAAAACCTTTTTCGTCCAAAAATGCGATTTCAAGAATCGTCGTCACAATTGTCTTCAAACGTAACCCGCGATAAAACCTCAGTTAAAACTATTCAACAAAGTCCGTTGCCATTTTTTCTTCCGCCCACTTCCTTCGCCATTCTTCATTTCCTATTTTGCCCGACAGCACCATGATTTTGCCGACAAAACTGACCAATGGGGGGTTGTGACATCCCCCGGCCCCTCGTAGCGACGCCAGTGATTGAAGGTGATTTTTAAAAAGTGGAATCAAGTTTCGGGACCCCCTAATAAAAGAAAACCATTATGCAGATATTTTCTCTTTTTTTCTCTCTCTCAAAATGTATAGAGCCACTGGGCTAAAACTTGAAAAGATTGCATGTATTTGTTGTGGATCTTTCTTCAGATTTTGAGCAATTTTAATGTTGAATTAAAATGGAAAAAAAAAGCACAAAGAGCAAATGATCCTATGTACCTTTAAGCACTCATTTTAAACTTTACATGTTATTTTAGGGAAGAATTTCGCCTCTAAATGCTAAAAACTAATTTATTCGTTCAAGCCTTCAAGGTCAACCAACTCTTTGAAAATTCGCTCGAAAAGAAATAGGAAAAGTACGGAGATACTATACCATTATTTTAAAACATTATTTTGTATATGACATCTAGCTAGAGGATTTGCATGATCGATTGCATGCATGTTAAACTGATTGCTAAACTTGTGAAACATCGATTAATTTATTTCATTGCTTATTGATTTGTTCTGATGTTGAATTATGTTGTTTTCTCAGTGTCAATAAAATGCTAACACGGCAAAACAAGGTCACTGTCTCAAGAAATTTTCATTGATTTGTCATTCACGGCCTTAATTTTCTGTTCGTTGTATGTAATGTTTAAGTTATTTGAAATGGTGATTAAACTGTTTCCGACTGTAACAGTGAATATTATAGATAAAAGTTGGGCTCTTGGAAATAATGGTGTAAAGCTATAAGAAAGGCTAGTGCGCATGCGCGTGGACTTAAACTTATTTATGATCTGCCAACTGTATACATGTACCTTAAAAACTTACGATGGAGAGCGCATGCGCGCTAACTTAACTTATAATTTTCAAGTTGTTCCAAACGGGAGGTTTATATATTAGTTCCAAACACATTTTATTAAGAAGAGTGAGTTGGCCTAGTGGTAGGCACTCTTGACGCTCATGCCGGTGTCCCTGGTTCGAATCCCGGCAATGTTTCTCAGAGGAGTTTTTACTTCTTTTTAGTTTATACTTTATATAAAAAAATAATAAAATTCTATTTATTTTATTTTATTTTATATAGTTGGGGTAGACGAGCGATACAGAACTCGGACTAGCCGCAGGTTTCCCTGCAGCCAGTCCGAGTTGCCGCGGCCGGGACTCGAACCAGGGGCACCGGCTTACCCGCTGGGACCTCTACCGGGTGCGCTATCTGGGTCCCCCCGTTGAAACTACACTTCCTATAATTATAACCCTTAGAATCAACTGAAGAAATCGAAAATAAAATACGGCCCCGGTATTCGAACCCGGATCTCCCGATTAGAAGTTCTGTGTCTTGCCTCCAGGCCACCCGCACTTGTTAAATCGATTTTCGAATTTTAAATATATCAAACATCGATTCGCACTTAGTTATAAAAACTATAATTTGAAGTCCCGACTAGGAATCGAACTCACAATATTTGAGAAAGAAGTTGGAGGCTCTATCAACCAAACCATCAACACGTTGAGAGTTGGGGCGCGAATACTATCGTCCACTTAATTATTTTGTACTTGGCGCATTTTGTGAGGCTTGTTTAATGGTACGTATATTGATGCACAGAACGATTTCCTCAATATTGCTGATTACAATTCATTGGGACTTGTCCCCCCCCAAAAAATAATAGGAAATATGGCATCGGCAATGTTGGTGGCATCAGTAAAACATGTTCATTTTTCTCCAAAATTCTTTCTTTTTACAAAAATTGCTAAAATAATCGGCTGGGAAGTATCGAAGAAGTTTATCTTACATCCAAGAGTGTTTACTAGTCATTTGTAGAAAAGTCAACTTTTGTACCCAAATTTGATTTTTTAAATTTTTTTTAATTTAAATGCGAGGTTATGATAGACACGTTTTTTTACATAAACATTAACCAAGAAAACCCTTCACGCATCGCATGATAATTTATAAAGTCTTTAGAATCCTATAAAGAAATTAACTGCAATACAAACAATCAAAAGACAATTTTTTTCAGCTTTTTACAAGAGAAACTTTTATTAACATTTTCTTCTCTCACGTGATTCCTTTTTTTTGTTCTGTGAATTAACTCATAAAAAATAAGAAAATCAAAAAAGTGTGTCCCCAGTCCCCTCCATGTTTGTTTCTTGTCCTCCGTCATTTGCCTCTGAAGGCCTTGTTAAGGCTGAAATATCAGGCCAATTTAATTTTTTAATTTGTATATTTCACGTCAATCCGAGTCAGTGAATAGTGTGCAGCAGTTTAATTAATTTTTTTTAAAAGAAGAAAGAACACGAACAGACTTATTTTTCAATTCGGTTTAAAGGATGCTGGTTTCAATTAAAAAACAAATCGAATTTAAGATCTGTTCAAGTTTTGGAATCACTTTTAAACCTTTGTTTTTTGTCTTTAGTCTGAGAAAAGCTTTCGCTCTTTAGCACTGAGGCAATAAAATGCTTAAAAAGTTCAATTGAACATTTGATGTTTGAAATTAAGGGTTTAGTACTCCTCGCCTTCTTCCTCTCCCTCGTTGTCAACAGAGTCGACACCGACCTCCTCGTAATCTTTCTCCAAGGCAGCCAGATCCTCACGAGCCTCAGAGAACTCACCCTCCTCCATACCCTCTCCCACGTACCAGTGGACGAAGGCACGCTTGGCGTACATCAGATCAAACTTGTGATCCAGACGAGCCCAGGCCTCGGCGATGGCTGTGGTGTTGCTCAGCATGCAGACGGCACGCTGCACCTTGGCCAGATCACCGCCAGGCACGACGGTGGGTGGCTGGTAGTTGATGCCCACCTTGAAGCCAGTTGGACACCAGTCCACGAACTGGATGGTGCGCTTGGTCTTGATGGTTGCGATTGAGGCATTTACATCTTTAGGAACGACATCACCACGGTAGAGCAGACAACAGGCCATGTACTTGCCATGACGGGGATCGCACTTCACCATCTGGTTGGCTGGCTCGAAGCAGGCGTTGGTGATCTCTGAAACGGTCAGCTGCTCATGGTAGGCTTTCTCAGCAGAGATGACAGGGGCGTAGGTGGCCAAGGGGAAGTGGATACGTGGGTAGGGCACCAAGTTGGTCTGGAACTCGGTCAAGTCGACATTGAGTGCGCCATCAAAGCGAAGAGATGCAGTGATGGAGGACACAATCTGACCGATCAGACGGTTGAGGTTGGTGTAGGTCGGACGCTCGATGTCGAGGTTGCGACGACAGATGTCGTAGATAGCCTCGTTGTCCACCATGAAGGCACAGTCGGAATGCTCCAAAGTGGTATGGGTGGTCAGGATGGTGTTGTAAGGCTCAACAACAGCAGTGGAGATTTGAGGAGCAGGGTAGATGGCGAACTCCAGCTTGGACTTCTTGCCGTAGTCAACAGAGAGGCGCTCCATCAACAGGGATGTGAAGCCAGAGCCGGTGCCTCCACCGAAGCTGTGGAAGATGAGGAAACCCTGGAGACCTGTGCACTGGTCAGCCAACTTGCGGATTCGGTCAAGCACTTGGTCAATAAGCTCTTTGCCGACAGTGTAGTGGCCTCTGGCATAGTTGTTGGCTGCATCTTCCTTGCCTGTGATCAGCTGCTCAGGGTGGAAGAGCTGGCGGTAGGTGCCGGTACGAACCTCATCTGTAAATGGATGACATAACACAATAAAAAATTCATTAAAATCGAAGATGAAAAATACATTTATTAAAATTCTTAAAGATTATACTCTGAACCAAAGAACCATTAATTCTGTACAACAAATTTAACTGTAAATTTTTTTAATTATGAGAATCTTACCAATTACAGTTGGTTCAAGATCGACAAAGACACAGCGAGGGACGTGCTTGCCAGCACCGGTCTCGCTGAAGAAGGTGTTGAAGGAGTCGTCACCACCTCCGATGGTCTTGTCACTGGGCATCTGACCATCAGGCTGGATGCCGTGCTCCAGGCAATACAGCTCCCAGCAGGCATTGCCCATCTGAACCCCAGCCTGGCCGACATGGATAGAGATACATTCACGCTGGAAAAGTAAAAGACAACATAGTTGGATGTGATTTTAAAATGAAGAAACTGCAGAACACAACAGAACCAATATGGTCGACAAATTTGGGCATAACCCGAAGGAGCCAGTTGTTAACCAATGACATACATGTACAAGTACAACTGTCATTTGATTCCTTCTCATTATATATCAATTAATAAATGATACATTTTTCATACATCATGGTACTTGTAATTAGAAATATTTTTACAAAAAGCAAAATGACATTCAGCAAAATTACATTTGCGACTGGGAAGCATAACGCAAGTCATGGATATTTTACCTTTGACCCCAAAATTGGCATACTACCTGATGCGGTATAAAACCAATCCTCTCATTGGCTGATCTGTTCACATTCTTCAAAAAATAACCAATCACTTTATACAATCTACATGTATTCCATTGCGCATGTTTCGTACATGTATCTACACCTGGGACACACACACACAACTACTATACAAATCAAGGAATGGGCAGTTGTAGACGCTCTGTTTGAAATTGAAGTTTCCTTTGAAGACTTACCCCCTCCCAGAAGATACTGGGCTTCAAATATGGTACACATCTGCAGGTCCTGGTCTACGTGTACGTAGTATAAAGGCAATTGGATTACATGTAATCTTAATGCCCAAAGTGCCTGTCAGAGAGAAAACATGGACAAACCCTAAGAAGGAGTCTAAAAAAGTGAAAAAACCCTCTTTAACAAAAACAGGGGAATCTGAAAAAAAAAGGAAAAAACCCCCAGCCAATTAAACATACGCCTAGCATGCCTAGGGCCTATTGAAAAATAGGGAAATTTATTATATCTGGCATACATAGCAAGCGTAGCATGATATGTATGAAATCTGTATATGAAATAAAAGTAAATTCAAAGCAAATGAAACAAGAATGATTGCTGATGCTCTTCTAAAGCTTTACTAACGTTGTGAACAAGTTCAATATTTTGCATCTTTCAATTAAAGGAATAAAATTCAGACCTATTTCTTCAACTCATCACGATATAGAAAACTTTAATTCAGACTTATCAGACAAGCGGAATTTGCGCAGTTTCAAACCACACAGTTTATGCTTGCTCAACCCCGTAATGTTGCTCAAATACAAATGGACTTGAATTCTGTTTCTGTAAGTGTTCAGTTATCCTGTAATTTTCAGGCAAAATTTGCGGTTATTTTCTTGGTCACATGTCTAGAATCTATTTCATGGAGACTGTAAGCATGCACATTCTTATGATTGCGCAACTGGATCCTTGCGCAATCTTCGCAAAAAAACTCTTCCAGATTGAGCGCACATTCTTAAGAATGCGCGACAAGATAACGGTCTTGTCGCTGCCGAGCACCGGCTGCGCTTGGCAAGTCTAGCTGCATCCTTGTTCACTGATTCTTAACAATTATACTGTTGCAACGCAAGGTCACTTACCTAGGAAAAGATTTAACGATGAAAAGTAGAGTGGATATGAAAGTATACACGTATTCGGGGGACCGGAAAAAAATAAGCAACATAATAATAGTGTAGTGGAAAGAATTCTGATTTTTGGGATAACAATTAAAAGGGGGAGGGGGGGCGTAAGAATGAAGAATGTGAAGAATGAGAATGAATACTGTGACATCCCATAGCGCTAATGCTATTTGCCACTTAAATTGCTATTGTTCACACCCCCACCATTACGCCGCAGAGCTGGATTGTATCTACCGGTAGTCAAAAGAGCAATTTTGGCAGCTTCTGGATATCGGTTTCTTTGGTGACATGCATATGATACATACAGGGACATATAACTTGTCTAGCCTAAACAAAGCGCTTCCCAGACTAGTTCCCAGTCCTCTGTTATTACAAAACTTCCTATAGTGAGCAGAAAAAAAGCAATAATAACAGGTTTAATTTGATTCAAATTATCGTAGTTATATGAGTACAGAACTAAGCATAGATCATTTTCTTTCCTCGTTATATGAATTATTTCCCCTTTAACCCTCTCCTTACCATGGGCGACTTTTGTCGACAAGGAAGTGACCCCTGCTGGTTCCCATGGGCGACTTTAGTCGACCAGGAAACCACACAGAAAACACCCTCAACACAGATATATTCACTACTTTTCTGAAGGGCAGTATGTTGATGTGTTTGGCCGCCCATAGATCAACCATATACGAGCTGAAAGAGTGTTTTCGGATCATTCTAATGGTGTAGTTTATTTATAGTGTTACCATTACAAAAATTTCAGAAATGTGCTTCAGAAGTATCCACGCACAATTTGAGGTATGGAGTGCCATTTGGTCAAGTGGTGGAATGGCTTGCAGTTTGATACATGATGACTGGATGAACAAACAAGCATAACTTTCTTATATTTGCACATATGGACTTCATTTTTACATCACATAAAAGAGTAAGGTTCAAGGAACAAACTTTACACACAACACCTATGATTTTAATCACTCCTTGACAGTGAAAATCTGGGTTGAAAAAGTGAGTTTTCGTCTTGTGCTCATTTTGTTCACGCTCTAGTGATTTCCGCATGACTGAGCAAACAATTTGGTCCCAGGAGAGCCAAGTCAATAAACAATGTGGTAATGAAAGGGTTAACTGCTATAGGCCTACATTTCATTTAACATAATTATGCCGTGCAATGTTTGTTAAAATTGCGCAAAATTCATAAATTGCGCACGTGATAATCCCACGCAATCTTAAGAATGAGCGTTCATTCTTCAAATTGCGTGCTCATTGACATTCTTAATGCGTGCTCAGATTGCGTGATTTGCAAGAAAGCGCACAACATGCCCAGTTTGAGCATGGAGGAAGGAGCCACATGGTGCTAATGCATGATAAGCCGATGCGCAACGTGACCGAGCCATGGGCACTGCCATCGCCAACCAATCAAAATGCCCCTTACACATCTTGAGCAAACATTGCCAAAATGGCCACGATCGATGGCTCACAATCACATCGTTTTGGAAAGTTCCCGCTGCAAACATCGTCCAGAAACTCTAAACAGACATTTTTAACACGTCACTCCTCAACACCAAAATTGGCCTAGACAGTCTTTGGAATACCTACCATGGTTGTAGAGTGGTTTTAGGTAGATTTGGCGAACAAAAAGGCTCGTACTCGGCGTAAAAAGCAGACAGATTTCCAAACAGCACCCGATCGAAGTTAGGCCTGCTACGCAAGTTGTGCACTATGTGCCGCCCGCGTGTACACGTACGTACGTATGTACGTTTATGGCATTATGGGATACGGCGTGGGACGTGCGCGCGACATCAAATTTGGCCAAACATGGCCTGTAGAGGGCGCACATCCAAAACTACATGTATATGGATGACTGAAAAATTAAAATGCACGAGGGGCCTTAAAATTATATGCCCAAATGTTCTCCAGCTAGAGTGTGCCATTTCAGTTTGACTTGTTTGCACACAAGCAAATTTTGCCAAATTTTTGTAAACATGTTAAGTTATCCCCTGCATGCAATTACTTTTTTGGATAAAAAATAAAAACTGCTTGAAAGATGCTAAAATGTTCATGTACAATGTACATATATAACTGCCCAAATCTCTTAAATAATCAGCCAAGAACTGAAATCATGGAGGTCTAATTCTACCTCCATGATCTCCATCCAAAAGTGTTTCCGAGTAATATGCAGAAAACTAAACTTTTGTCTATGAATTGATAACAAAAATTAACAATTATTCTCGAGCCAAGGTCGTACGTCTTAACCAAATTTTTGAATTACCGAAATAGCTATGCTCGTCTCAACCAGAATCATGTCCTAGCCGTCTTCTGTTAACGAGGGTTGATCGAGGCGCCCTCTAAGCAAATGAAGACAGGGGCGGATCCCGACCCCCAGCTGTCAAATATTAGCTTTTTTCCCACAGAAATTTATAAAAAATAATGCTACCCTCCCCCCCCCCCCTGGTTACAGGGGTATTTGTACACTATATCATCCTGTAAAAGTGTTAATAATCATCGGATTTGAACAGCGCCCCCATTGATGGTATGGTAAAACCAGTCTACATTTCAGCAATGATTTGCTGATGACCCCACCCCCCTCCAAAAAATTCCTGGATCCGCCCCTGTGGAGGTGGTATATGGATCTTCTGCAGGGGTTATTTTTGACTTCATTCCCATAGTTTGTATGAAAATTATGAAAATACAATTGTATGCTGAACTTATTTGCCACTCCAACTGATGCCCACTCAAATCTGTTTCAACAGGACATCGACACAAATTTGAATGTTGAAAGTTAACCAGAGAGTAAACTTTACCAAGAAACCCCTACACGCATCGCATGTAAATTTAAAAGTGAATAGAACATTTCAAGTCAACTCAAATCAAAGGACAAAGTTTTTGCAACTTCACAAGAGAAACATTTATTTTGCATTTTCTCCTCTCACATGATTCTTTTTGATTTTTGTGCTTTAACTCATAACAAAAAATAAAACACTAACAAATCTTGTTTTAGACTTTGGTTAAAAAGATGCTTGTTTCGATTTAACAACTCAAATTTCAGATCTTTACAGGTTTTTGGAATACATGTACTTGGAATACTTTGTTTTTAGTCTTTAGTCTAAGAAAAATCTTGCTTTTGAGTGAAAAATTAGTCTGGAAAGCTTTGGCTATGTAGCATTGGGACACTAAAATGCTGTAAAAGTTCAATTGAACACCAGATGTTTGAAATTAAGGGTTTAGTACTCCTCGCCTTCTTCCTCTCCCTCGTTGTCAACAGAGTCGACACCGACCTCCTCGTAATCTTTCTCCAAGGCAGCCAGATCCTCACGAGCCTCAGAGAACTCACCCTCCTCCATACCCTCCCCCACGTACCAGTGGACGAAGGCACGCTTGGCGTACATCAGATCAAACTTGTGATCCAGACGAGCCCAGGCCTCGGCGATGGCCGTGGTGTTGCTCAGCATGCAGACGGCACGCTGCACCTTGGCCAGATCTCCGCCAGGCACGACGGTGGGTGGCTGGTAGTTGATGCCCACCTTAAAGCCAGTTGGACACCAGTCGACGAACTGGATGGTGCGCTTGGTCTTGATGGTTGCGATTGAGGCATTTACATCTTTAGGAACGACATCACCACGGTAGAGCAGACAGCAGGCCATGTACTTGCCATGACGGGGATCGCACTTCACCATCTGGTTGGCTGGCTCGAAGCAGGCGTTGGTGATTTCTGCAACGGTCAGCTGCTCATGGTAGGCTTTCTCAGCAGAGATGACAGGGGCGTAGGTGGCCAAGGGGAAGTGGATACGTGGGTAGGGCACCAAGTTGGTCTGGAACTCGGTCAAGTCGACATTGAGTGCGCCATCAAAGCGAAGAGATGCAGTGATGGAGGACACAATCTGACCAATCAGACGGTTGAGGTTGGTGTAGGTCGGACGCTCGATGTCGAGGTTGCGACGACAGATGTCGTAGATAGCCTCGTTGTCCACCATGAAGGCACAGTCGGAATGCTCCAAAGTGGTATGGGTGGTCAAGATGGAGTTGTAGGGCTCAACAACTGCAGTGGAGATTTGCGGGGCTGGGTAGATGGCGAACTCAAGCTTGGACTTCTTGCCGTAGTCAACAGACAGACGCTCCATCAACAGGGATGTGAAGCCGGAGCCGGTGCCTCCACCGAAGCTGTGGAAGATGAGGAAACCCTGGAGACCTGTGCACTGGTCAGCCAACTTACGGATTCTGTCGAGCACTTGGTCAATGAGCTCTTTGCCGACGGTGTAGTGGCCTCTGGCATAGTTGTTGGCTGCATCTTCCTTGCCTGTGATCAGCTGCTCAGGGTGGAAGAGCTGGCGGTAGGTGCCGGTACGAACCTCATCTGTAAATGGATGACATAACACAATGAAAAATACACATGTACATTGAAATCAAAGATACAAAATACATTTATTAAAATTTCATTAAGATTATGCTCTGAACAAGTACTTTTATCTTACAAATTTATCTGTACAATATTTTGAAAGTTTGAGAGCCTTACCGACTACAGTTGGTTCAAGATCGACAAAGACAGCACGGGGGACATGCTTGCCAGCGCCGGTCTCGCTGAAGAAGGTGTTGAAGGAGTCGTCACCACCTCCGATGGTCTTGTCACTGGGCATCTGACCATCAGGCTGGATGCCGTGCTCCAGGCAATACAGCTCCCAGCAGGCATTGCCCATCTGGACTCCGGCCTGGCCGACATGGATAGAGATACATTCACGCTGGAAAAGAAAAGGGCAAAATACATGATTTAAAAAATGGAAAAAATGTAGAACATTACAGAACCCTATAAATTTTCAAACTATTTGAGATTTTTCCCAATGTACGTTGGGTATGGATGACAAACAAATTAGGCAATTTGTGCACAAACCTATGGGGCTGTGAACTGGTTACAACTGTGATTTGATTCCTCCTCATTACATATCAAGAATTTAGAATGATGAATCAAGAATGATGAACTTTTCACACATTGTTGCACTTGTCATTATAAGTAAAATACCAGATTCATTTTTGGGAATCCATTTTCAGGCACCAGTTTCATTTGAATACTCATGAGTCGTGAATGTGCCTTTTGCTCACAAAAAGTGTTGGAGCATACAAACCATGTTATTCCTAAACCATGGTGCCGTAAAAAATTGATCTTTTTTTTTTGGCATTTACACACGTACATGTACATCAAAACAACTCAGTGAATTTGTACACATGTCACGCATTGGTTGAGGGCTTCAACATGTAGTGACAATGTAAAAATTCCCCAAGTTGGCCACACATTCGCCTAGAAATCTCTCTTAAACTAATAAGTTAACGACTTTGTCAACATATTCCTTACAGTTCTCATATCAAAGTATACACTCTGAGGTACAATGTAACTTTTTATTGTAATCCCCCCAAAATTATTTTTTTCTGTTTAAAAGTAGGCCTAGCACCAGGATGCAACATTCTTTCCCTATATCTTTGCTTAAAATCTTGACACCATGCGATACTATTCAAACTTGTCATGAATGTACAGTACAAATGCGATAACTTTTTTAAGGAGCCTCACTCAGTTCATGGAGGAATTCTTATTCCTCCATGCTCAGTTGTACATGTAGGCCCTAGCCCTATATCATATGGCACCACTTCCTAACATTTACACACATCATTTTCTATGCATTTAAAATTAAATAGGGCCTAGGTCATGTAGGTGAAGTGAAGATCAGTGGACAGTGCATTTTGGAAAAATAGCCTACTATGACATAAGAAAAAAATTATCAAGTTTGACTGGTTCACTGCTCCATATTTGTCATCCACACCAGCCATCCATGTTCATGACGCATGATCGAAAAGGTTTATTGCAAAGTTGAAAAGAAAAAATGTGCCTCTTCAACATGTTTGTTCAATTTGAATTTTGTTTAACAAGTCAAGAACAAATTTATCCAAGTTCTTAAAAGTTGTAACTTGTAAGTTGTAAGTTATATATACAAAAAAATAATATAGCCTATGCTATGGTCAAGATTCCCATATCTGGCCATCACTCATGTCAGTATATTTCCCTTAAAAAATAAAATGACCTTTCAGCCATCAGAACATGCAGAATGTGATGTCCTATTAAAAAGTCAAAATTAGCAGGAACAAATTTTGACTTTTTACTGAGAAAACACTTAGATTAGAATAGAAATTTCAGACCAGTCCCATAGCATAGGGTTTGTGCACCACAGGTTGACAAGTGACATGAGTGATGGACTGACATGACTGATGGCCAGATATGGGAATCTTTGCCGTCATGCCAGTTGCCCGACATGCAATGATAATATCTATTTCTTCCTCCATGGCTGAATTAATAATTAAGCCCTACACTACACTACAGGACTAAAATTCCGGCATGTCAGACTTATATCTTTAATTCATCTCGATAAACGAAACATTAAATCAGATCTAGACAAGACAGCGGATTTTGGCGGGCTTTCACTCAGTTTCATAACAAACGGTTGAGAAGCTTATTTGTACGTGCCGTTACGATAATGTGGTGCCGCCTAGCAACGTGACCGTGCCAACCAATCAAATTGCCCCGTTCGTTCTAGTCCTGCGCAACGCCATTGCCAACAACATGGCTCTCATCGCAACGGTCGTTCTAGAAAGTTCCCGCCGCAAACACCATCCAGAAACCCTAAAAAATACACTTTCTACACTTCACTCTCAAACACCAAAATTGTCCTAGACAGTCTGTGGAATACCTACCATGGTTGTAGAGTGGTTTAAGGTAAATTCGGCGTACAAAAAGGCTCGTAATTGGCGAAAAAATCGGAGATATTTTGAAACTCGACCTGTCTCGAAGTTAGGCCAGCTGCTATATGACGGGGACATGCGCGCGGCGCGGGCGCGCGTATATGCGCATGGTGATTGGATGTTTGTCTAGCTACGCAACCGAGGCCAAACACAAACACGCCGGACGCGACGTTGAACGCGTTGTTGTTAGGAATGTGATCACGTGACCTATAGGGCATGTCACCGCTAGCCAATCAATTATCAGCAGGTTGCTACATGTGTACAGTACATGTACATGTACTGTACATTGTATATTTGGCATAATGTAGAATTAGATGTTAGGAACTGAAGTCAAACAACGTCGGTCTGTGTATTTCCCCATGGTAACAAGTTCAGTGAATGAGAAGGAATGAACCGAATGAAATGGCAGCTTTTAAGTTCCAAAACTTGTATTTAATTTTTAGAGCATGCATTAAACTTGCTTTTTGTAAATACAGGACGCTGAAAACATTATAAATCAATTTATTAAATATTAAAATCAATTGGAATCTTTGCAAATTTCTGGAAAGAACTTCAGAAGAACAAAATGCGGTTCAAGGAGCTTCAGTTTGTGCATGGTTTGAGGTCCGGGTTATGTATCAATAAGGAAATTAGAAATTGGATTAAAATATTATTGTAGAAAGGGTTAGCAATACAAAAACAATCGGGAAATTGGAGTTTGTTTCCCCTCACTACATGTGTATCATCTGGGATAATATTATTTTGTTGGGGGGGGGGGGGGCAATTCGGCAATTTCCATTCAATTTTAGAGCCTAATAAAGCAGACGTTCGATCTCTTAAATCAGTTTATCAATGATTTTTTGTTTTGACGCAATTTCTGTTTCAACATTCTGTGGGGTTTTTTCTCGACAGATAATTTGATATAAAAGTGCACAACTTCGTCAACTCGGGCTTGGCTACAATTTTAGTACAAATACATTCATAGACGCTGTCCAATTATGAGCCTCATAGTCATACATGTACATCAGTGACAACATTGAATAAATAGAAAAGTCAAATTCCGGTTTCCCCTTGCATAAATAAGGCCATTATAGGACAAGGGTTACGGCCAGTTTCATCAGAAAATAAAACGACCCTTTTATGATGGTAGTGCCAAAGGCCACTGTCTGGTGAAAAAGTTTTTCGTAATTCAATTGCCCCTGTGCGGCTGCACGCGTAGTATTTGTGACTTTTTTGGGAGGGCCGGGGGGGGGGGGGGGAGCATTTGGGGGCTTTGTTTTAACAGCGGGCGAATTTAGTTTTGACAAAAATTATAGTAAAAACGCATGGTTAACCCCTGCATTTGTTTTTATTCTTTTCAATTTGTTCTTAAAAAAAAAAATCCTCAAGAAGGATGCATGTACAACACAACTGCCCAAATCTCTAAAACATTCGTCCAAGGTTGTTTGCAGAAAATATTTTTATCATTAACCTTACATAAAAATTATGTAAGGTTAATGATTGGCAAGTTACATGACACTTACAAAATTGCTCGTTATAAATGAATCGAATTCCCACGCAACCTGTCTCGTCTTAACCGAGTTCTCGTATTAACCATGGATGTCTTGAGCAATTCGTTTCCTTATTGGAAATTGCACGCTTCAGACGGGACGGGAGAAATTAACAAACACGTACATGCACATTGTATATCTATGCTCGTCTTAACCAGACTCTTGTCCCAGTCGAGTTCGTATTAAGGAGTCGATTAATTGACGGCGCCCTCTAGCTAATGGAGGCAGGGCATGGATCTTCATGGGGGGGGGGGGGGGGGGCTGGGGGTGTTTTTTGGACTTGGTTCCCGTACAGAGTTTGTATGAACATTATGAAAATGTACTGAACTTATAATTTCTATTTCAACTGATACACGTACACTCATCAGAGATCTATTTTAACAGGTCAAAATACTTGATTGATGAAAATGAACCAGATATAGTAAAGTTCACCCAGAAAACCCTAGAAGCAATACATGTTAGTTAAAATAAAAATCGAAAGACAATTTGTTTGCAGCTTCAGAAGATTATCCTTTATTTGTATTTTCACCTCACATGGTTCATTTTAAATAACTCACAGAAAAATAAAAATACGAATAAGCTGTTTTATAAAATTGGTTGATGCCGATTTTGATTTCAAAACAAATCAGATTTAAGATCTGTTCAGGTTTTAAAATAATAAAAAGCCTTTATTTTTGGTCTTTTCATATGTGTGAAAAAAATTGCTTTGGAGCAAAAAATAAATTTGGAAAGCTTTGGCTGTGTCACTGAGGCACTTATGCTGTAAAAGTTCAACTGAACACTTGATGTTTGAAATTAAAGGTTTAGTACTCCTCGCCTTCTTCCTCTCCCTCGTTGTCAACAGAGTCGACACCGACCTCCTCATAGTCTTTCTCCAAGGCAGCCAGATCCTCACGAGCCTCAGAGAACTCACCCTCCTCCATACCCTCTCCCACGTACCAGTGGACGAAGGCACGCTTGGCATACATCAGATCAAACTTGTGATCCAGACGAGCCCAGGCCTCGGCGATGGCCGTGGTGTTGCTCAGCATGCAGACAGCACGCTGCACCTTGGCCAGATCACCACCAGGCACGACGGTGGGTGGCTGGTAGTTGATGCCCACCTTGAAGCCAGTTGGACACCAGTCGACAAACTGGATGGTGCGCTTGGTCTTGATGGTTGCTATGGCGGCGTTGACATCTTTAGGAACAACATCACCACGGTAGAGCAGACAGCAGGCCATGTACTTGCCATGACGGGGATCGCACTTCACCATCTGGTTGGCGGGCTCGAAGCAGGCATTGGTGATCTCTGCAACGGTCAGCTGCTCATGGTAGGCCTTCTCAGCAGAGATGACAGGGGCATAGGTGGCCAAGGGAAAGTGGATACGTGGGTAGGGCACCAAGTTGGTCTGGAACTCGGTCAAGTCGACATTGAGTGCGCCATCAAAGCGAAGAGATGCAGTGATGGAGGACACAATCTGACCGATCAGACGGTTGAGGTTGGTGTAGGTCGGACGCTCGATGTCCAGGTTGCGACGACAGATGTCATAGATAGCCTCGTTGTCCACCATGAAGGCACAGTCGGAATGCTCCAAAGTGGTATGGGTGGTCAAGATGGAGTTGTAGGGCTCAACAACTGCAGTGGAGATCTGAGGGGCAGGGTAGATGGCGAACTCCAGCTTGGACTTCTTGCCGTAGTCGACAGATAGACGCTCCATCAATAGGGATGTGAAGCCAGAGCCAGTGCCTCCACCGAAGCTGTGGAAGATGAGGAAACCCTGGAGACCCGTGCACTGGTCAGCCAACTTGCGGATTCTGTCAAGCACTTGGTCAATGAGCTCTTTGCCGACGGTGTAGTGGCCTCTGGCATAGTTGTTGGCTGCATCTTCCTTGCCTGTGATCAGCTGCTCAGGGTGGAAGAGCTGGCGGTAGGTGCCGGTACGAACCTCATCTGCAAATAGATGATGACACCATCAATAAGAATGAAAATTACAACGGTATGTCTTGAAGATTATCTTTGGGAAACGGATTTTCTTTTCAAAATGTCACACATTTTCAGAAAAGCAGTTTAAATGAAAATAATTAAATTGAGAATCAGCATTTGGAAAATCTTACCCACTACAGTTGGCTCTAGATCGACAAAGACGGCACGGGGGACATGCTTGCCAGCGCCGGTCTCGCTGAAGAAGGTGTTGAAGGAGTCGTCACCACCTCCGATGGTCTTGTCACTGGGCATCTGACCATCAGGCTGGATGCCGTGCTCCAGGCAGTACAGCTCCCAGCAGGCATTGCCCATCTGGACTCCGGCCTGGCCCACGTGGATAGAGATACATTCACGCTGAAAGGAAGAATATCAAACGTCCTGTTATTCAGAGCCTCTACTTCACAGAAGCCTTTCATTGTTTTGTCTGTGCCGTTAGAAATGTGTTTTTATATTAATAAATTTGTTTTAATCCCTCAATTATGAGAATTTAAGTAACAGTGTTGATAACCTGAAGGTTTGAAAATGTACATCTTAAAATATAATAATATAGAAAAGTCGTTTCTCATTATAGTTTTAAGTTAAAAAAAATTACATGTGTTTATACTAGTTTTAAGATAAAAAAGGAGGGTTTAAGGAGAAAATGCCGACTGACAATGACTGACATATGGACTGAAGTGCATTCACGCTAGAAAAGACAAAAGTATTGGAGAAATATGGAGAAACTGTAAAACATAAAAGAACCTATTTCAATTATTAAATATTTTTATCATATCATGATCATGTTCATTTTGAAAGCAAAAACGAATTACCATGATTACAGAAACATTAAATTTTAAAATAAAAAATTATGTACTTCCCATTTAAATCCAAGGAAAAAAATCCAAGTTCTTATATATGCAAGTTAAATATCTGGCACTGTCTGGCAAAACGTGGTATGCAATTTGGCAGTGAAATATTATATTCACTTCAAATTTCCACGAACACAATTCTTACATTTACAAAATTAAATTTAAGATGTTCAAAAAGGCAGAATTAATCAATTATGATCTGCTTTTAAGTTGCCAACAAGCAGGTGCAAAAACAACATCGCACAGGAATAAAATTCAGACCTTTTTTTCAATTCATCACGATAAACGAAAATTTCATATATGTACTAGTACTACTAGTACTACTTAACGGACAGTGGTTTTTAGCGGGCTTTCAAATTAAACCACGCCAGACGGTTATTTATGCTAAGCCGTTGCGAAATATGTGGCGCCACCGAGCAATGTGACCGTGCCAACCAATCAAAATGGCCGATTATAATATTGAGCAAACATTGCCAACAATGGCTCGCATCGCAACGGTCGCCATGGTCGTATGGAAAGTTCGCGCTGCAAACACCGATCACAAATCTTTAAAAATACACGTTTTTACACTCCACTTCAAAACACCCAAATGGTTCTACATAATCTCTGAGAAACCTACCATGATTATAGAGTGGTCTTAAGTAGATTCGGCGAAGAAAAAGGCTCGCAATTGGTGCTTAAAAGCGGAGGGATTTTCTGACTTGACCCGTCTCAACGTAGGGACTCGTAAGAAATGTGACGATCTATTTCAAACGCATGATTTTATACCTAACGGACCGCAGGTCACACGGTGTCTACGCAACCAAATACATGTATTTGTTTGGTGTAGTTAGGAATGTGATCACGTGACCTGCAGGTTTCACCACTAGCCAATCAATTACCAGCAGGTTATCATTTCGGTTGGGATGACAAAAACCGTCGGTGACAGGTTCACTGAATGAGACGAAATGAAATGGCAGCTTTAAATTTCGAAACCCGGAATTAATTTTTAAAGCACGCATTGGCTTTTGCTTGTTGTAAACAGGACGCTAAAAACATTAAAATCAGTTATTAACCGCGTTCATATTTCTTTTTTTGTCAGTTTGTGAAATATTTCGGACAAGCTATAGAATTATGCAATTGACACGGATTATGGAACAAATTATTCAGTCTATATAATGTGTGGTCCAGGGTTTGTGTATCAAGAAGAAAAATTAGAATTAAAAATATTATTGAAGAAAAATAGTCCTGTTGATACAAAAATACTCAGGAAAATGGGGGGGGGGGGGAATGGAGCCGCCGCCGCGCATAGCAGACTTTGATCTTTTCATCGTGGTGTAATTTGATTCTCAGTTCATCAATATTGTTTTCTGGAGGCACTTTTTTCTGTTTCAAAATTCTGATTTTTTTTCTCTCTACAAGATAACTTGCTATAAAAGGGGTGCAGATATGCTACAGTCGAAACGGATGAGCCTCAGCCAGATTTGTATATGATTATATAATCATCCTCGTCAGTGATCTGCAACGTCTATTTCTATGACTAAACAGACAAGTCAAATTCTGGTTTCCCGCCGGCCCCGAGTGAAAGCAATTATACATGTAGGCCTATTGGACAAGGGTTTAATCATGGTTTTATTTCTCCATGGTTTAATCACGGACGCATCATTGAAAAATATCTTGTGATGGTGTACCACTACTAGACTAGCCTCGGGTGGCGCGAGTGTGCCTCCGGCGTACTAAAATCGGAATCTTTCACAACTGTGTGTGTGTGTGTGGGGGGGGGGGGGGGGGGGGGGGGTCTTTTGTGGGGGGGGGGGGAGAGATCTGTATCTGTATCTGTAGCGTACTGCAAGCAAACTCCACTATGGGATATACGGTTGCAGGCGCGTGGTGGCTAGCAGCATCCCTAAACAATTTTGTTAGTAGGCCCCCTTAGTGTTGAAGACAACTGCATCTCATGGAGTCTTGACTTAAAGGACTCCACTGAAGTAGCTTCCCTGACTTCTGGAGGAAGTAGGTTCCACTGAGCTGTTGTTCTTGGTACGAAAGAGTATCTGTAGCAGTCCTTCTTAGATGTAGGGTGAACAAAGGATAATGAAGATGATTTTCTAGTTGACATTTTGTCCCGTTTGGAATCAACTTGGTACTGATCAACATCAATTGCGATTTTGTGGTGAATGGATTTGTAGAGCAAGGTTAGTCTGGATATGATTCTGCGTTCCTCCAATGATTTCCATCCGAGGTGGGTGATCATGGATGAGACACTACTTGTGCGCCTGAAGTCCTTACAGACGAACCTGGCCGCTCTGCGTTGGACAGCTTCAAAGATGTGAAGACCGAGGGGCAATATTTCAAGCAGAAGTCTATTTTATTATGAGCAAGCTATGGCCGAATATCTATAGGCTATACAATGCATGCAATGTACATGTAAAATTTGCAGGCTTGCAATTTGCATATAACCATGGAGCTAATAAACACGCTCCATGATAACAGCCAAGCACAGAGATTGCATAACCATGCAGCTGACGTCATTGGAGCCACTTAGTCACGTGCCTAGCAACCAAGGAGACTACGGTGCAGGGGTACAGGCACGGGTGGAGGTTTCTTCGATAAATTCGCGTAGGAACAAAATTATTATCAGACCGAAGATAACCAGTTGAGACCGAAAATTGGATTTGCAAAAAACTCCTTCTGGTAGTAATATTTAAACATGTTCGTCATCGTGGGCCGGGCGAGGTTGTCAATCAATGCTGGGTAGAAAAAAAGGGATTTCTCTCATCATTATCGTGACTTACTTTTCACTTCTTCAAAATTGTCTTGCTCCATGTTTTCTACCCTGTTATTAATTAGTTATTCAGGGCGGATCAAGCTTTGGAATTGGCTCAAGTCAAGGGGAAGGCATTATAACTGTCGGGGGGGGGGGGGTAGCATTCATTGTGCTGCTTCTGTATGATTTTCCTATTTTCCCCGTTGTAATATAGTGGTAGTACAGATCCGCCACGATTTTTTTTTTCTCGTCAAGTTCCAACGTGGCAATCTGCCGTCAGTGTTCTTTGATTTCAGGCGGTGACTCATCAGAAACTGTTTACCGTGTATTCATTGTCATTATTCTTGAATTTCTGGAAGTTTGTTATACTGCCATTCTTCTCAGTGCCAAGCCGACACCGTAAGTGGTCCAGGCTCAGTGATTTTCAGGAAATAGAAAATATGTCCAGCCTCCGCCACCCCCCACCCCTGCTCCATGTTTTTCCCTTCGAATTTTGCAACTGCCGGCCGCCCGTTCTGGTACCCCGTACACTGAACCTCCCCCCCCCCCCCTTTGAAAATGCGGTTCTTAATCCGCCGGTGGGCCTTTATGTCGACTGTTAACGTATTTTCGTTCAATGAGTCATCATGGTTCACGACCCCTCTCAGTGTTATCGTGAATGGCAATGACATGTTTAAAATATTCCCTTATCAGAAACACAAATATGAAAATCAAACAATATTATTTCGCTGTAAGTCATGGCCTCCAACTGAACCATACGTCATTAGACTTGCACTAGTCAATTGGATGTTTACTCTCGGTGGCGAAGTGATGGGGGAGTGGTCACGGATCGGCAGAACCTTAATTCTCAAAATTATTTAAGCACACTTTATGACTGAGCCCCATACATACGCAGGTCTGTTTTCATTTGTCGTCCATTATCATAGCTTTTTGTCTGTGTTGCAGACAATAATTCCATGGCATTACATCCGCAATAAAATCAAGAACATAGACATTTTTTATTTTTATTAGCTAGAGCTTTGTTTTAATGAATACTTTGCGCCGCCATCTGTGAACTAAGACGCTTCATGATTGGCTGAAGAACATACATTGTAATACGAGATGTTGACGAATACAACGACCGCTGCAACTACCCGTCAATCGAATACTGTTAATCGATTCTTTGATCATTCGTAGTCTCCCTTCATGTTAAAAACCTTATAACTTCGGTACTGGTCATTCCTTTTTCAGCACAAAGGCAAAGGGCTAACAATGATACATTATTGCATGAGAAAGTACAACGTGCATAAGGTAAACAGCAACTTGCTTTAATTTGAACACATTTTTTTTTAATTTTTAAAACTTATCATCATAAACATGAATTTAGTTCCGAATATGAAGTGTAACGTTGCCAACTTCTATTATTCGAAATAAAGAATAATGTTTAAAAAGCGATGTCTTATAAATCGGCATGCTTTTGAATATACATGTTGTTTCACTGAGCGACACTCCGCAAAGCATTTGCCTGCCATGAATCGCCTCAAGAGGGCGCCTGTATTAGATGGTTGTATTTGAGCTGCATAATGTTTGGTTTGTATTGAAGCACTGAAAAAAAGGTTTTTTTCTGGTGAAGAGTTGTAAAACTTCACAAACAAATACAGTGTATATCAATGCCTCTGGTTAGTACTATGTTTTGTTTGTTTTCATAAGAGGACATAAGAATGGAGATTGTTGTTCAAACAGTTTATTTAATCGTTAAACTATATTAACTTGTTGGCCGAGTGCAGTCAATCTGTTAGACGGGCCATTAATTTTGTTTAAAATGGCTGATGATTCATTGTATTATCAACACGATTAAAAAGAAAGGAATTAATAGAACAGAGTGTTGATTGTTTTTCTTGTTGAAGATTCGTTGACTAGTATTCCTCAGCCTCCTCGTCCTCCTCGTCTCCTTCTGTGGAGTCAAGACCGACCTCCTCGTAATCCTTCTCCAAGGCAGCCAGATCCTCACGAGCCTCAGAGAACTCACCCTCCTCCATACCCTCTCCCACGTACCAGTGGACGAAGGCACGCTTGGCGTACATCAGATCAAACTTGTGATCCAGACGAGCCCAGGCCTCGGCGATGGCAGTGGTGTTGCTCAGCATGCAGACGGCACGCTGCACCTTGGCCAGATCACCGCCAGGCACGACGGTGGGTGGCTGGTAGTTGATGCCCACCTTGAAGCCAGTTGGACACCAGTCCACGAACTGGATGGAACGCTTGGTCTTGATGTTTGCGATGGCAGCGTTGACATCCTTTGGGACGACATCACCACGAAAGAGCAGACAGCAGGCCATGTATTTTCCGTGACGGGGATCGCACTTCACCATTTGGTTGGCCGGCTCGAAGCAGGCGTTGGTGATCTCTGCAACGGTCAGCTGCTCATGGTAGGCTTTCTCAGCAGAGACGACAGGGGCGTAGGTAGCCAAGGGGAAGTGGATACGTGGGTAGGGTACCAAGTTGGTCTGGAATTCGGTCAAGTCTACATTCAAAGAACCATCAAATCGAAGAGACGCGGTGATGGAGGAGACGACCTGGGCAATCAGGCGGTTGAGGTTGGTGTAGGTCGGACGCTCGATGTCGAGGTTACGCTTACAGATGTCGTAGATGGCCTCGTTGTCGACCATGAAGGCACAGTCGGAGTGCTCTAGGGTGGTGTGGGTGGTCAGGATGGAGTTGTAGGGCTCAACAACTGCGGAGGCTATTTGAGGAGCAGGGTAGATGGCGAACTCCAGCTTGGACTTCTTGCCGTAGTCGACAGACAGACGCTCCATCAACAGCGATGTGAAGCCAGAGCCAGTGCCTCCGCCAAAGCTGTGGAAGATGAGGAAACCCTGGAGACCGGTGCACTGGTCAGCTAACTTTCGGATCCTGTCCAGGACAAGATCAACATGCACCTTTCCCACGGTGTAGTGGCCCCTGGCGTAGTTGTTGGCGGCATCCTCCTTGCCTGTGATCAGCTGCTCAGGGTGGAAGAGTTGACGATAGGCGCCGTTGCGGACCTCGTCTGTTGGTGAAAAAAAAAGACCCGAAGTTATAAAAGAGCAATAAAGACGACAGACTAAAAAGCCAATGATGGCGGGAAATATATTTACGCAGTCTGCATGTTCAAGTTGACTTGGACCTCGTAAAAGAAAATCATAGGCTACCGGTCATAAAAGACAAAAAAAGTAAGAAAATAAGACAACAGTTCAAAGTGTATCTTCCAATTGTAAATAACATTTTCACTAGTTTTTGGACAGAAAAATGCCAGAATCAAATATTAAAACCAAGGTAGAACGCAAACGACCGGCACGAACAGCCGGCCATCCAGAAAGTTATGCGACAGAAATGATAATTTGCCGTTTTCGAAGAAAATTTGACCTTTTAAAGATAACTTTCAAACCCATATTTATAAACATGGAGAGCAATTTTAAGCATTTTTTAAATGTTTCTCTAAATCTTTATTGCCATAATTATTTGTCTTTATAATCTTATCTTTTCAATCTTTAAATCCACCTCAATAAAGTATTAATCTTTATGAACTCTACTAATCACCATTCATCTTATTCAATATCGACCGTGTTTGTAAAGCAGACAGAGTGAATCACCGCGCGCCCTGCCGACGAGGGAGGGTCACGTGACAGGATGAGTCATCATCCAGACGCGCGTCTGGATGTAAGATGATGAGAGGAGATGGGATGATGGCTTGAATTTCATCATCATCATCGCCTTAGCACGATCTTATAGTTCGTGAAATGAGGATGCAAACAATGACCTTTTAAACAGTTATAATGTTCAAAGTGGCATTCATGAGATGGGGTACGTGCGGGGCATAACCGCATAAGGGGAGAGGAGGCTTAGGGAGGGGTGGCTCCCTACCTATAACAGTCGGTTCAAGATCGACAAAGACGGCACGGGGGACGTGCTTGCCAGCACCAGTCTCACTGAAAAAGGTGTTGAAGGAGTCGTCACTCGAACCAACCGTCTTGTCACTTGGCATCTGACCCTCCGGTTGAATACCGTGCTCCAGGCAGTACAGCTCCCAGCAGGCATTGCCCATCTGGACTCCGGCCTGGCCGACATGGACTGAGATACATTCACGCTGAACGATTGGAAGATTAAAAAGAATATTATCGAAATAGAGAAAGGAGAAAATGAGAATATGACGAGGAGAAGAAACAGAAACATACACAAGAATATAATGTGTTTCACTCTTCAATTTTCCTCTCTAATGAAGAGACTCCAAAATTTTAAATGATTGGAATTTGTTAGTTTCCAAAATTAATTCGTTTCAGAATTCCTTGCGAAATCTACGAAATAACTTTTTTATTTTCTCAATGTTTTTTTTTTCCATGAAAAAGAAGCGAATTAGAAAACGTTCCTGTGTCAAGTAAATTCTTTAATCAAGGATTGAAATTGAAAATTTATTTTTCTGGTCGACTGGATTAAATTGTGGTTTGAATTAAAGTCTCAATGTTGTCAAGTTGACAGCTTTTGTACAGCCGCAGGCTGATTTCCCGATATGGTAATTTTATTCACCCGTCTAGCTAAGCCACACTACATAATGAGCCGTGTGTGAGTCATCATTGCCTGTGAAATGTAACGGCGTCTGCAGTCACGTGACGCATGAGACACACATTGCCGGCTGTGCCTTCAATAATTTCTACAAGCGATCGTTTAGAAATTTCGTATGTTCTCATCAAATGTATACCGTAGAAAGTTACTTGAGTTATCAGACCAATCAGACTTGACAAAAATGAATCATCGGTCTTTTTTCTTAAATTAAGACAAAAAGTTCCTTCTTAAATATAGAGTGGATGATGTAAACAGCTACTATGATTATACAAGAAAATAGTACTCTTTCATGTAAATACATACCGAAATTCGGACATTATCCCACTTTAAACTAATGCTTAAATGAAAACCATCAGAGTTGTTATCTTGAACTGTACGTTACAAAAGATTTTCAGACATCATGGTCTGCATTGCCAATCATCAAGATCACATCAATGTGTTTTGCTGTTAATACAGAGGAAGACTAGTGGGCGATGCACGCTTGATGAACTAATCTAATGAATACAGAGATGTTTGGCAGGTGGACAACACATGCAGCATTTAATAATGGACCGATGACTTGTAAATTGCATGTTCCTCGGGTCCAGATACATATTCTCTGATCGGTAATTTCCTGACATCTGATAGATGTTATGGGTCAACACAATGAGCAAAATAGTTATTTATAAACATCTGCATTTGGTTTAGAATAAGCTCATTGCTTAATGGACAGTTACTAATAAAAACGCTAATGATCCATATATATATATATTATTTCCAATTCAAATGTTCAAATTCACATTGATTATGAAAAAAAACCACTTATATAATTGATTCAAAAATTAGTATTAAGTCACGCGTATTCCGACGTATCTTTTATTTTCGAATTTTTTTAAGGAGTACGTGTCTTACAAACAAATCACATACTGAACAAAAGAATTAGACATTCGTAAAAGATTACACTAAAACAGACAGTTTTAATGTCCGTTTTAATCACAAAATTAGATTTCTTTTCAATATGCGGACGTCGAAAGCCAATTATGCACTTTCTGTCAATATTGTGTATTGTTATTTCACGGGGTGAACGCCAACTGCGTATTTTGTTTTGTCGTTTAAATTAAATGCACAGCTTCACGTTGACAGATTGGCTCTATTTGGCTGTGTAGTGACTAACCCCATTCGGACAAAGGAGTCCAGAGTCTGGAACCCCAAGCCTTGACCATTACTTATTCATTAAAAGACGCATGACTACTAGACGGAGATGCACCACTCCTTTGTGCTAAATTGGGGTTGTAAATATTGCCAAGAACAGAGATTTTTCCCCCTATTTGTTGGGCTTTGTATTACAATATAATAACTGTGCATTGAATAGCCAAAAGAAGTTCTATGATTAATTTTAAAAAATGATATGATTAATTAAAAATTTCAAGGTGTAAGAGATTTTTCGGCGAGTCGAGAAAATATTTTTGTTTTTTAATTTGTGCACTAACAAAATAATATTGATTATTTCTGCCACCCCACATTAGTTTGTTTTTAACATCATAGAAGTAAACTCCACCTACCATTTTGGAAGATTTTTTCTTGAAGAAGATGCCGTAAGAAATTAGGAATATACAAAGAGACTGCGTCTGCGGGCTCCTACCGTCTGTCGCTATGTACGGGGCGGGAGGCAGCGTGTCTGACTGACCAGCTTCGCCAGGGTCACGACGCGTTTATACCCATCACATACCGGCCTGTCATCCGTTGGATGCCCCAGACACGGGAGTAATTATTATTCATAAAACGCGCTGGCGGGCGGTATGAATGGAATGCGTGTAGGGTCTTAGAGCCATGAATTATGAATTTTCCAGTAGCAGTTGCAGGATTTGTTTCCATTAGAGGGGCGTGGCTTACGAATTGAAGTCGAAGATTTTGGGGTGATGAAGATAGAAGTCTTGAAATCCAAATGTGCAAAGAACAAAGGCTTAAAATATAGTCAACCGAGATTTGCTATACATGTATTAATCACGAAGAATTCATTCCGAATCTTTTAACTGAACAAAACTTTTAACTGAACAAAATGAAGCACTCTTTTTGGAGAAATTAACTCCAGAATAACAAATTGTATTGATTTGAAATTTCGTTCGATAATTAGTCGTGATGTAATGACTTAAAAAGTGTTAAAAATCGACGGAAACGTGGAAGAAAAAAATACACACGACAATAAAACAACAGTGTGTATGGACGCTCCATACTTTTTGCTACCATCTATTTCTTCCTTATTGAGGGCGCCCTACACAAACAATGGTCAGCACCGTGCGGATCATCACGCGGACCTTCCATTATTAACAAAAATACAACACTGTTTGTGGAGACAATAACTCCAGGACAACAGATTGCATAGGATTGAAATCTCGTCTAATAATTAGCGATGATATTTGACACAAGATATTTGAACATTGACGTGAAAAGTGGAAGAATAAATTTAATATGATTTGAGGAAAATATGTGTTTTAATCACGAAAAATTCATTCCGAATCTTAGTTGAACAAAAATATAACACTCTTTGTGGAGACGATAACTCCAGAATAACATATTGCATTGGATTAAAATCTCGTCTAATAATTGCCGGTGATATTTGACACAAGTCGTTTGAAAATTGACGGGTACCGTTGAAGAATAAATTTAACATGATTTAAAGAATATATGGTGTTTTAATCACGAAAAATTCATTCCGAATCTTAGTTGAACAAAAATATAACACTCTTTGAAGAGACGATAACTCCAGAATAACATATTGCATTGGATTAAAATCTCGTCTAATAATTGCCGATAATATTTGACACAAGTCGTTTGAAAATTGACGGGTACCGTTGAAGAATAAATTTAATATGATTTAAAGAAAATATGGTGTTTTAATCCAAAAAAATTAATTCCGAATTTTAGTCACTGTTAATCGAACAAAAATTAAGCACTCTTTTTGGAGAAAATATCTCCATAATAACAAATTGTATTGATACGAAACTTCGTTCGATAATTAGTTGTGATGTAATGACGTAAAAAGTGTTAAAAATAGACGGGAACCGTGGAAGAAAAATATACACACAACGACAATAAACAACGGTGTGCAAGGACGCTCCATACTTTTTGCTGTCATCAATTTCTTCCTTAGGAGGGCGCCCTACACAAACACTGGTCGGCACCGTAAGGAAAAATACCCGCAACTCTCCAAGGTGTTCAAGACGTACATCAAATCAAAGCTTATTTCATCATCTTTCTTTCTTTCTTTTTTTCACTTTTTTTGTGGGTAATCTGATGGCTTTTGGGAGAAATTTCCATCCGAAAATGATTGCCCCTTAAAATAGTCCTCAAACCCATCACCACTTTTTAAAAACGGTGCCTACACTCCATTGCAAAATAGAATATTTTAGGGCCCCAATTTCATCCAAATTGCACAAAAATACAAGTTCATGGTCCTGTCCACCCTTATTTTGTACAAACCTTCAAGTTCATGGCCCACAGCATGCTCAAATACTGAAGATTTTGAGGGCATGCAAATCGTGATTTGGCCGGCGTAGGCAATTTCGGACCGATTTACTGGCCTGCACCCTTTAGAGCGGTCCACAAGCCCCGGTGGTCCAGTAGCCTCACCTTCCCCTAAGTAGGTCATTTCAAGAGATTTCAGGATTTTGGTAGACCGATGGAGGAGAGGGGGAAGGGTAATTAGCCATCCCAACTACACTCTAAAACATCCCACAATTTCCTCTTGAATTTCAAAGATTAAGAGATGATGTTGCTGACTCGTGTAGGTAACAATTTATCTCGTAAGAGCCGTTTTCAGGGATTGAATCAGCCAATAAGAACACGATGAAGCACCGAAACGTAAACAAGGACACTGAAGAATGCAACAGAGAATACACAACATCGAGAATGCGCAAATGCAATTCATTGAATGCCTGTATTTCAATTAAAAAGAAAACTTTTGATGAAGGGAGCGAATTTTTAAAATCCATATCCATGAATCATTATCAGCCTTTGTAAAAAAAAAGTGAAGAAAACCTATTTAATAAAAAAAGAAAGATTAATAAAAAATAGTAAATCACGAAAGGAAAAAACCACAAAAATGTCAAAAATCAACAATTGAAAATTGAGAAAAAAAGCCAAAATACTTGATTTTTAAATAATTTATTATGATATCCCCAAACTAAATTCATTAAAAAAATAATTAAATAATGTAAACTCGAGGCCAGGGCGCCACCAATGAAAGTTAGAGGACGCTCTTCGACCTCAACAATAAATAAAACTGATGAAATACATGTAGTATCTTTGAAGAAAAATGTGATGTTTTTTTACCAATAATTGAGCTTTAAGAAGAATTCACACAGGCGTTTTCTACTCCTGGAAGGGCACCACCCTTAAAATCATGGTCTTTACCAGTTGCTAGATGGCGCCTTTTATATAAAAAAAAAAAATTAAAACTAACAAAAGACTATTTCTGATGTCGATTCTGAATTTTATCAGTAAAAAAGAAGTAAAAACAGTTACAAAATCAAGTCAACTAAACTAATGAAAATTAAATGAAAATCAGAACTCCTGAAGACAAAACAAGTGCACAATAAGCTCTGGCAAAAAAAAATGCGACGCCGATGGCACACATGGAACACCATACTTTTCGTCAATTTTCATTTCCTCCTTCTGGATACCGTCCAACCACTACAGAAAATACCACGTGACTACAACAATACTGCACACATCTCGCCTCCGTTTACAAACTGTTCACAAACAACTTTACGAATTGTGACAAACAATTTTTAGATTGCATTTACTGACGACGGCATGGCATTTGCTCAATTTTTGTAAAATTAATTTTTTTTTTGGAAATTTTTTTGGCGACCGACCGACCGACACCACAGTGACTTGTAGAAACTCCTGCCAGAGCTTAAAAAGTTGGGCCTATAAAAGAAAAGATGTTACTCCAAAAAATGACCTATAGCCTGCATTGGTACCCATCAGAAGCTCCACTCTAGATGGTGGCCATAAAAGGTGTGTGTCTTGTGGCGGAATAATCATAAGACGTCAATGAATTGACCAGGGAGGCAACATAACCTTTCCATTCTGAAGATGTGGCTGTGAGACATGAAATGTTTTTATTTATTTTCATTTTTTAGTATTCTTCGGTATTTTCTCCATCTTCAACTACAGAATCCATTCCAACCTCCTCGTAATCCTTCTCCAAGGCAGACATGTCGTCACGAGCCTCAGAGAACTCACCCTCCTCCATACCCTCACCCACGTACCAATGGACGAAGGCACGCTTGGAGTACATCAGGTCGAATTTACGGTTTAGACGGGACCACGCTTCGGCGATGGCCGTGGTGTTGCTCAGCATGCAGACGGCACGCTGCACCTTGGCCAGATCACCGTCAGGCACGACGGTGGGTGGTTGCTTGTTCACGCCTACTTTGAAGCCAGTTGGACACCAGTCGACGAATTGGATGGAGCGCTTGGTCTTGATGGTTGCGATGGCTGTGCTTACATCTTTAGGGACGACATCCCCACGGTAGAGCAGACAGCAGGCCATGTACTTGCCATGACGGGGATCGCACTTCACCATCTGGTTGGCCGGCTCGAAGCAGGAATTGGTAATTTCTCCAACCGTAAATTTTTCGTGGTAAGCCTTCTCTTTCGACACAATAGGTGCATAGGTTACGAGAGGAAAGTGGATCCTTGGGTAGGGCACCAAGTTGGTCTGGAACTCATTCAGGTCGACGTTGAGGGCGCCATCAAAACGAAGAGATGCTGTGATGGAGGACACAACCTGGGCAATCAGACGGTTTAGATTGGCGAAGCTTGGGCGCTCGATATCGAGGCTGCGACGGCAGATGTCGTAGATGGCCTCATTGTCGACCATGAAGGCGCAGTCGGAATGCTCTAGAGTGATATGGGTGGTCAGGATGGAATTGTAGGGCTCGACTACTGCGGAGGCCATCTGAGGAGCCGGGTAGATGGCGAACTCTAACTTGGATTTCTTACCGTACTCGATGGAAAGACGCTCCATGATCAGGGAGGTGAAGCCAGAGCCGGTGCCTCCACCGAAGCTGTGGAAGAACAGGAAACCTTGCAGCCCACAACACATCTCTGTCTACAATCAAAGTTCATAATGAAACAAAAATTAGCACCTGCCATCCTAGTCCCGTATCTTGCTTGCATTGTGTAGCGCCTCCAACGGTTGACTCCGTGCATTGATTTATTTATTACATTTCTTTACCCAGGGTATGCCCAAACAGTTTAAAACTAGTCTTACCAATTTCCGGATCCTGTCCAGAACTACGTCGATGTGGTCTTTGCCCACGGTGTAATGGCCCCTGGCGTAGTTGTTGGCGGCATCCTCCTTGCCAGTGATCATCTGCTCAGGGTGGAAGAGCTGACGGTAGGGTCCAGTGCGGACCTCATCTGAAACAAGAGGAAGGGAAGGCTATTAAACCTTCTAGTCTTTCATTTCCAATCTCTCTGTACACGTGCTGAATTTGTCTCAGATTTTCAGGTTTTTTGGTAACTAACCTATGACCGTAGGCTCGAGATCGACAAAGATGGCGCGTGGAACGTGTTGACCGGCACCAGTCTCGCTGAAGAAAGTGTTGAAGGAGTCGGAGCCATAACCAACCGTCTTATCACTTGGCATCTGACCATCAGGCTGGATGCCGTGCTCCAGGCAATACAGCTCCCAGCAGGCATTGCCCATCTGGACTCCGGCCTGGCCCACATGGACTGAGATACATTCACGCTAAAACAAAAATGTCAAAAATTACAAAAACAAAATCGATCTCCATTTACTAGGGGCAGGCAAACACTAATGATAATCAGAACATTTTGCAGTAGAGGCGACTGGAGAAAACGGGTTGGATGACTTTTCAAGAAAAATAAAAGAAACTTCCTCTCTTTCTTCATTTTGTTGCATAAACATTTGCTTTGACAGCAATACCTGCACATTTGTTTAAGATTTCAATAATTCATAGCCCACTTAATTATGTCCTTCAACATTGTACACATGTATATTCATTACCAATAATTTTGTGTGCATTATTCTGCACAACATAATTATTAGCACATGCCAGATGTCCACCTATACTAGTCTAGTAACAGGAATCAATAGGTTTTGTTCTATGAGGCTCGCCTATTGTAATTTCTATTGTCCCAACAGTTTCTATCAGCAAATAATCCAAAGATATTTCAGACAGAGAGGCCGTCAAAATTGTCTGCGGAAAAGGTTTGCCAAATCGATTGATATTGGGATTAATCCGTTGATTGGTCGTTGGAACAATTGCCTACTCCAAATAAAGTTTCTATTTAATCGATTCATTCAGTATGCAACTGGTGTACGAATTAATGTGTGAGATATAACATGGTATAGGTTATGTTCGAAAACAGTCATCAAGGCTTTCTGCAGAAGAGTTTAAATCAACAATCAAAAACTATACAAAAAACCAAAACATCTCCACAGAAAACAACATACAATACAGTGCACAATTCTTAAAAATGGGATCGTATTGTCTATGGAACAAAATCCAAAATTATGTCGATGATATAAGCTCAAAATTCTTCCACTGTTTTTTTTTTGTTAACACCGACCTACGTGTATTGTCTATGCTGGTGCTTTTCCACTGCACATGTCTGCACAAAACCTTTATATTTGTGATGCAAATGCTGCTCTTTTATTGATCTGCCTTTTTAATGCATGAATATGAGACAACTGCCTGGAAAAGGCGACTGTTTGATGCAAACTCCAAGCTACTGTCTTTGTATCGTGTTTAATTAAGGGGTCAAGTTGCAGGTTGATGTTTGGGGCTCACATCCATCATGATGAGGCTAGTGGGAGAACCAGGATACTATAGAAACCTCGATCTCAATTCTAAGATCCGGGTTCACATCCTACCAAAAATAAAAGCCTATGCACATTTGGTCTTAATTTCCCGTCCTTAATAAGCGGACTCCGTACACTTTTTGATGTTATTTTATTTTAATGGTTTTAATAAAAACAAAAGCAAACTTACCATTTTTGTCGATTGTTATCCTGTTTTCCCCTCGGAAATTTTTTTTTCAAATCAATGAGTCCTACACCGCTTGCAATCAGTGGGCTGGATCCGCGTTGAGTGTGCAGCAACCACGCCCGCAGTGGGTTTTTGTACCCCGTTTAGCTGAACAGGTGTTCGGATTATAAACGATTATCGAATTCTGCGCTTTTGTTATTTTTTCTCAGTCAATATTTTGTTTTGTTATGTACGACTACTGTTTAAGTAGACAGCGGAAAATATTTTATTTTAATGTTCGATAGAATAATGTTTATTGTTTCTGAATGATTTTTAATGCTTTAGCGATGATGATTAAAACGCAAACCAATGTGTTGTGGTGTTTTGAATTATGTTTACCGAGTATGTCGTTTTGAGGGGATCAAGCCCCACAAGTTTTATTACTGACGATCATGTTTATTTCTTATTTAAGATCAGAGAGTTTCAGAAAATTAAGACAGAAACGTTCATTTTCAACAGTTAATCCTCCAAACAAGATTTTATTGTTCGTGGAAATCATTCATGGAAACCTTTCACCGATAAACTGATTTTAATTTTACTTATATGAAAGAAAACAACGTACTAACTCCAACAAGGTTCCCGGGCTTATTTTAACAGACTTTTGTGTAAATTAGTTAACAATACTATAGTTTATGACAATTCTATATTAACCAATGATAAACTTTTCGTTACAGAGTGAAATACGTCCACATTAACAAAAATTATTTTTGTAAATAAAACGCCCACCACATTAAATTAAAACAATTAGTTTACTTTGCTCTCTGTGCTCCTTACTGCCTTCTTGTGTTTCTCTTCCTCAATTTTTCCTAGCCATTGCGACATTACAAACTTATACATGATTTAGCATATCATACTTCCAGATGATTAAAATAATTTAATTATCCATATTATTAATCAAAGATTTAAATTTTAATAGAACCTCAAACACCGGGAAAATATATATGTTAAAGCATTAAAAGCATTAAAAGCAACAACAAAATTGAGTTTGTTCCTTTTATAGCTCTTTGTTTGCAACTTTTAATATTCCCCATCTTCCTCATCAGGTTCCCCGCTTGTCAGCTCTGTGTATTCTTTCTCTAAGAAAGCCATGGATTCACGGGCCCCAGAGAACTCACCCTCCTCCAAACCCTCTCCCACGTACCAGTGGACGAAGGCACGCTTGGCGTACATCAGATCAAACTTGTGGTTCAGACGAGCCCAGGTCTCGGCGATGGCCGTGGTGTTGCTCAGCATGCAGACGTTAAGATCGACTGGGGCTAGGTCGGGCCCAGTGACCACCGGAGAAGTAATACGATGTCCCGCTTTGATAACGTTAGGCGACCAGTCCACGAAACGATCCCCATACTTGGCTTTGATGCGAGAAATGACGGCGTTGATCTCACTTGGAGTACTCGCTCCATGGTACATCATATTAATTGCCATGAACCTGCCCACAGCCGGGTTACTTTTGACGAACTGATTCCCAGCATGGAAGCAGGCCTCTGTGATCGACTGCGCATCGAGTGCCGTGTGAGACTTGCTCGCAGATGTTACCAGTGGTGCTAAGGCCGGTACCATGCTGTGAAGCCCTGGAAACGGAACCAAGTTGGTCTGGAATTCCGACAGATCCGCATTTAGCTCGCCTTCAAAACGGAGAAATTGGGTCACGGATGACGCAACCTGCGCGATCAGGGGATTAATGTTAACCACAGTAGGCCGCTCCACACCGAGGCTAGACTTGCAGATGTCATACATGGCCTCGTTGTCAAAAGCAAACTGGACGTCAGCGTAATCCATCTGCTGCTCAGCTGTATTCAGTAAACTGTTGTAGGGCTCCAAGAAGGATGTTTGCAGTGGTGGGCCGGGGTAGATGGTGAAAGAGATCTTGGTCTTCCTACGGTAATCGATGGCTAGGCGTTCAGCCAAAAGCGCTGCGAACCCTGAGCCAGTGCCTCCACCGACACCGTGGTAGATCAAGAAGCCTTGAAGATTGTTGCAATCGTCAGTCTGTAAAGTAAATAATAATAATAATAATCAATAATAATCGACATTTAAGACGCTCTTATTAGTAAACTAAATCACAGCGCTTACAGTATTATTATTACCCCTGATCATTGGGCCAATGAAACATTCCAAATACCATCTCAGCTCCCTGGGGAGTATACAGCTCGATGCTGCCTGTTAGGCGCAAGCAAGCTAATTCAATCACAATAACCATCTCTGCCCTCACAGGTACCCATTTACTCCTCGGTGGAGAGAAGCAATGAGTGACAAAGTGCCTTGCCCATATAATGAACAAAAATTCTAGACCATCGATATTAACTTTACAAAAAAAAGCGTTTCTGTGCAAAATCACTAAACAAAACGTACTTTACGAAAAACGACTTCTTATCAGTTATGGGCGCCGTAAAGCAAATAGGCCTCCCCCCTCCCCCCCCCCCAACCGGAAAGTTGGGGAGACATAGACTGTTTCCCGCCCGCTAGAGGCGCCCTTCCTCATAGCCCAATTCTACGACGTCATCGTGTTTCATCGGTACAAAAGATGCCCAGTGTCCGATCTTCCCCATGATCTTTGGGTGTGACCAACCAAAGCGACTTACCAGTCTTCGTATTCTATCCAAGGTGTGGTCCACTAATTCCCTACCCACGGTGTATTGTCCCCTGGCGTAGTTGTTGGCTGCATCCTCCTTGCCTGTGATCAGCTGCTCAGGGTGGAAGAGCTGGCGGTATGCACCGGTACGGATCTCATCTGACGAACCAATTTAACACATTATATAAATTTAATGCATTTTTGCCTTGTCGACAAAAGTTTGTATATTAGGCTTGGCCCAAAATAATTGACAAGAAATGTGAAGACACCGAAACAGATAAACGTTATCACAGAACATGCAGAAAAAAGTCAAGAAATGTTTTAACATTTCAGAAGTTAAACACCATGATCACAATGTGATGCCAACAGAGGGCACTGTGGTTAACTTACCAATGGCAGAGGGCTCCAGATCTACGAAGAGTGTCCTGGCACGGAACCTGTGAGTTTCAGGATTGCTGAAGAAGTTGCCGATAGCGTCATTAGGATCGATATTTTGGCCAGCTATCCCGTCGGGTGAGATGCCATGTTCGAGACAGTACAATTCCCAGCATTCATTGCCAACTTGCACCCCGGTCCTTCCTATATGGATCGAGATGACTTCACGAATCTGAATATCGAATCAGATGAAAAAAAATACTAAACGTACCTAAAATTCATCCATGAATGGACCCATTGTTGTTAATAATTGTCGGCGATGTAGAAGGTTATAAGCCTAGATGAGACCAGATTATAACTTAAAATCCTACATAGACAAGGTAAGGGACACATTGTACGAGTACCCCCTCCCCTACCCCCTTCTACCCCTCCCCCTACCACCCCTCGACCCTCCATCTAGTACCCCTCCCCTACCACCCCTCCCTCTTCTACCCCTCCCCTACCACCCCTCCCCCATGACGGGGGATTAACCCGTTGACAAACTGAGCCTTTCGCAAGGGCCATCGTAGTGGCTCAGACAGGGAGAGTAAAAAAACCAAAAATGAAACCCAAATGGCGCCCCGTTGTTTCAAAAGAAGTTCTGCATGTAGCACTTTCAGAATAGACAAGCGTTCTTTTAGAAAAAGAATCATTCGAACCACTATGTACTTTTCCAGTTACGGAATTTTGAACACAAAAACAGTTTTCAAATGTTGTCCACGACCACGGAGTGAGTTTTTTTTTTTTTTTTTACTGAAGTCGAAGCAAACGAGGTTTACTCATAATTAATTCAGTACAAAAATTACCAATTTCGAAGTGCACGAGGTCTCGGCCTCGAGGCCTTCCTCACATTCCCATGTGGTTATTCTGTAAGAACGTTTGTGTATTTAATTTGCATTAATTATTATAACTGATTAAAATAACAAAAGCCTCCAAAGATGATTGTTTAATTTATTCCACGCACAGGTCCATTGTAAGCCGAATGAAGATGGACATACACGTAAACCAAGCGTAAATACGGATCGTTGTTTTTTAGCTGCATGCTAGTTTCGCACGCAGTCGCGTGTCATTATACAAGTCAGAGAATGCATCAGAAGCCGAAGTCGAAGGCAGAACAAATTAGGCAGCAATAACATTTGTATAATTTTACCTACAGAGTTCTTGCTGGGTCTACTTCGAATCTGAATTGGTTTGCAGTGCATGGACATAATGCCCTGCAAAAGCACGCTGGCCCAATTTCACGGCGCTGCTAAGCCCACGATTTTCTGCTAACAGAGCCTTCGTCTATGCATAGAGACCGTAAGCAGTAAGCACACTACAAGGCATGCTTATACCTCAGAAGGAAATTTTGCTTAACTTAGTGACGTAACAATAGCCATTTCCATGCGCGGGCAACCGCTAGCCCATACACTCTTGCGCTATGCATCATGGTTAGCTCGGCTGAGCGGTAAGCAGTTTGGCCATCTCTTTGAGCTCTCATTGGATCGATTTTGCGTGACCTGTGACGTAGAATGCATCACACAAACTTGTAACAGCTGTTTATCCTACTTCGTTTCCATGGATACGATCTGGCTGCGCCAAGTTGGTTCCCAAAATGCCCAAAAGTGTGGAATTTTAGGCAACCTCGTTTCCATGGGAATTCTTGCTGCGCCATGTTGTTTCCCATCATGACTTGCGCGATCTTAGTGAAGGAATGCGCACGTGCCCATGGAGTCGAGGCTGAATTTTAGGATGCGTTCGCGGGTCGACACGGGTCAGCCCCAGCCTCGACTCCAAGGGCGTTTTCGAATCCCTGTTCTTGACAACACTCGGGTTAACCCGACACGAGAACAGCGGTCTCGAACGTGACGAACAGACCCGAGAGGGCGTTCGCGGATCGATTTTTTCACTCCCCGGTTGGTGGAGGGTTCGGCGAGGTGCAGCTTGAACAAAATGGCGGACTGTGCAGATTCGTTAATTGTTTTGTGGTGTTTTTTTGTGTGCTAATACCCTAATGATTGGAATAAGAATACCATTATAGTGCAGGTCTGCAATTTCATCCCCGCATGTCCGGTTTTGCAACAGTCGTCCTCGTTCATTTGGAATAGGCTTAAGAACAAATTCAGAGATTGTCGGCTATTTTGTATTGCTTTATATCAATGCGACACGCACCCGCGCGTTCGTAACAACCAGCTCGAGAATACGTTCTCGTGTTACCCGCGTGTTGTCAAGAACAGGGATTCGAAAACGCCCCAGGGGCGCCCTCTCGTTCCTTACACTAACGCGCAAGGCATGATGGGAAACAACATGGCGTTGCAAGATCGAACCCACGGGGCACGAGGTTGGGTCAGCCCCTAGCAGTTCGATTAGCTCTGATGTCATTCTCTGGGCTCACCGGCCGGGTCACCCACCACAGACCCTGCTCGTGGAGCAGAGTCAGTGGTAGAAATATGTCACTAAAGAATGGTGAACTTGGGTATAAATCATTCTGACTCACCCTAGAACTACTGCATTAACTGATTATGTTCCCAATAAAATAACTACGCAAATAACACGATGGTAACGTTCCATTGAACCGTATAAAACATGTCTCCCTAATTACTGTCATCATGATAGTCCCCTCCGGCCCGCCGCAATTGCTACGGCACTGAAAGTAGGCTCACAGAACAAGTCAAGTTTACGTTGGTAGTAATACTTACCGGCATAGTGTATGAGAGAAAGGTTCAAGCGTACGTCTGTGGCGATATAGAGCTAAATGATGAAGAGCTATATGAGCTATATGTGGCGATACAGAGCTATATGATGAAGTATGTGAATACTGGAACGGCAGCCTGGCTATAAACCTCCTTTTACCACGAAGACCACTCATACAGTCCCAATAACATACCATGCATATACAGGTAGGCAAACACAAATCATAAATATTAAATTATGAACAAAGGGTAGAATTATAAATTCAAATGTAATCTTTAATGAATAAACTTTATATAACTATGTCCTCGAAGGCATTATTCTTAACGGATGAATGAATTAGGTCTAAAACTCAGGTCGACATTGAGAGAACCATCAAGTCTCAGAGATGCTGTAATTGAAGACACAACCTGAGCAATCAGACGATTTATATTGGTAAACGTCTGCTTGTCGACAACCCAACGATCCTGTTCTACAACCATAAACGAGCGACCCATGTGACGGGCTCTCGACTAATTGGAATATTCAAATTCTCACACTGGTATTTATGAATGAGTAAAATTGACTATCCAGTTCGTTAGTAAAAACGTCATACACGCGCGCCCACCACTGATAACTAACGCCCATTGGATAAACGCTCGAGTTGCGTTAGATTCCGGTTCCATTCGTGCTATGCTACACCGTGTGAAGTACCCATGATTAAGTTGAGATGACGTCATACTAACGACAACACAGGCTTGAAAAACAAACAAACTCAAGCTTAATTCAATTCAATTCAATAATGGTTTAGTATATTACCATCTTTAGCCAAGCGACGCAAGGCCGAATTGTGGTCGGATTTATATAAGACGTAAGACAAAATATTATAACTAAAATGATTTGTAAGTATCATGAATACAAAAAAAAGTTAAAAAGAAATAGCCAATGTATATATCCATGTATATATCAACTGAAAAAAACTTTTAAAAGAGTAGTGAGATAAACACTAATGGAGCTAAAACGAAAATGGAATGGAACGAACACAAAAACAAAGTGGTAGAAAAAACAATAAGCTTTATAGCTTTTGAAGGGAAATTACTTTGAATAATAAAGAGAGAACTTCGAATAAAAAAAGCTGATAAAACGATCCTTATTATAGGCCTATTGTCGGAATTTATATTAAAGGTCTATAAAGGAAAACATTGAAATTGAAGGTGACGTCATGGAACTATTAAGAAGATGAAGTAAAACAGAGTGGGCAATTGACCATAAATGCTCTAATTGAGTATTAAAATTGGCATTTGTTACTTTGTCAATGTTTATTGACAATCTTTATTGTTAGATACACAGAAAAAAATATTGAAATTTGACAACCATTAACTAAACCAATTGTTGGTTCTAGTATTGTAATTCGTCCACATTGAGATCAGTCCAGGTATCACCCTCTTGTATGACTTCTTCGTAGTCCTTCTCCAAAAAAGCCATGTCGTCGCGCGCCTCGAAAAACTCACCCTCCTCCATACCCTCTCCCACGTACCAGTGGACGAAGGCACGCTTGGCGTACATCAGATCAAACTTGTGATCCAGACGAGCCCAGGCCTCGGCGATGGCCGTGGTGTTGCTCAGCATGCAGACGGCACGCTGCACCTTGGCCAGATCACTGCCAGGCACGACGGTGGGTGGCTGGTAGTTGATGCCCACCTTGAAGCCAGTTGGACACCAGTCGACGAACTGGATGCTTTGTTTATTCTTGATTTTTAATATTGCAGCAGTGACGTCTTTGGGGAGGACATCACCACGGTACAGCACGCAGCAGGCCATGTACTTCCCATTGCGCGGGTCGCACTTCACCATCTGGTTAGTAGGCTCGAAGCAGGCGTTGGTGATCTCTGAGACACTGAGCTGCTCATGGTAGGCCTTCTCAACAGAGATGATAGGTGCATAGGTAACAAGAGGAAAGTGAATGCGTGGGTAGGGCACCAAGTTGGTCTGGAACTCGGTCAAGTCCACATTGAGAGAACCATCGAACCTCAGAGATGCTGTGATGGAGGACACGACTTGCGCAATCAGTCGGTTAACGGTGGTAAATGTCGGCTTCTCTAAATCCAGATTCTTCTCGCAGATATCATAGATGGCCTCATTGTCGACCATGAAGCAGCAGTCAGCATGCTCCAAGGTCGAGTGAGCATTCAAGACAGAGTTGTAAGGCTCTACAACGGATGAGGAAATATTGGGTGACGGGTAGACAGCAAACTCCAGTTTGGGTTTCTTGCCGTATTCAACCGTCAGGTGCTCCATCAACAGGGATGTGAAGCCAGAGCCGGTGCCTCCACCGAAGCTGTGGAAGATGAGGAAACCCTGGAGGCCTGTGCACTGGTCAGCCAACTTACGGATTCTGTCAAGCACAAGACTAATGTATTGCTCACCCACGCTGTAGTGGCCCCTGGCGTAGTTGTTGGCGGCATCCTCCTTGCCTGTGATCAGCTGCTCAGGGTGGAAGAGCTGGCGGTAGGTGCCAGTACGAACCTCATCTGCAAAATAACAAAATAAATTCATTTATCTGCTGGAATGCAACTGGCTCTTAACTTCTTCCTGATTTGATCATGGTGTATTTCCCTACCTATGACTGTTGGCTCAAGATCGATCATGATAGCTCGTGGGTTGTAGTGACCGCTACTACTAGTCGCGCTGAAGAAGGTGTTGAAGGAGTCGTCGTCATCTCCGATGGTCTTGTCACTGGGCATCTGACCATCAGGCTGGATGCCGTGCTCCAGGCAGTACAGCTCCCAGCAGGCATTGCCGACTTGTACTCCGGCCTGACCGAGGTGGACTGAAATGACTTCACGCTTGAGAAAACAAATCAAGATCCTTAAGTTAGAATGTGGACAACGAGTCTTAAATAGCATATGTTTCTTAACAGGTAAGTTTTTAAGCACACAAATCGCTGTGCTTTCAATATGCCACAATCCTGGCAGGCTGCGATGCGTGACGCGAGGCAAGCAATAATGCGAAACGAAACAAGTAAACGCAGTTGTTATGTCGGATAATAATTTTTCTAACTTTTCAACCTCTATTGGAGCAGGCGGGAAGCGACCTTGGATTTTAATATGTATACACGAAATTATATATTTTTTCCTGCCGAAATTGAAGACTATATTGACATGGGATTTTATGTGCAACGTTGTTAATTCTGGTAATCTGCAATTTGTCATTTTACATAATATAAAAAGTGATCTATAAGTTAGGTAATAAATTGTTCAAAACGATGAAAGACAATGGTATGTTTCAAATCACACCCTTTGCAATACAGACACTTTGCTCAAATTGTATTGAGCTTTTGTTCTTCAAATTTTACCGAAATTAACTTAAATTTATTTGTTAACATTTCGGTATTACAGTGTCTCTAAACTACTCGTCTTTTTTACAAAAAAAATCATGAAAATAACAGGTTTTTTTCTCTTCTTTTACATACCATTGTTTGGCGAAAGTATAGCTGTGATGGCTTTGTATCTTCTACGTGTGAAGGAGATGCTTATCTGGTTCAAATGTCTCAAGCCAGTGAGAGCTCGTCTTGAGTAGATAGCAGAGGCAATGAGATAAACTACTCCGCTGGTACACTACCTACTGAGATTACGATTGCAAAAGAGGAAACACACAAACACGGGAAAATACCTGCATTTGTTCGCAAATATGCATTGTGGCAACAAACTTGACTGTACAGTCAGTGTTATTCTTCAACCATAACGAAGCTGCATTGTGAAAACGCGATGCGGCCGAAAGATCACTTTCATCAAGTTGAAGTTGTTGTTGGATCGGCCATTTCGCGGACAGGATGCCAAATTTGCAAGTTATCTACCCTTGCAATGACGTCATGACCTCGTCAGTATAGTCGTAGCCAAAATTGCAAAAACCTGGGTGATTTGGTCACACATTATAAATGCGTATCAGAAACTGAACGGCAGTATATAGCCTACAGTGGCAACTTTTAGAAAGAGCTCAAAACTGGATGGTGTGTTCGATATGCCTGCATGGTTCTGGGTAGTGGGTACAAGCAGTGACGTAAATCTGTGTCAGCGAGTGGGGGAGGGGTGGGGATGACCAAAATCCTCAATTTGCCCAGTCGTGGAAAACTCGAAAAGTGGGGCGGTGGGGGGGGGGGGGTTGCTGGACACCACATGGCACTAGGGGGGTTGTTAAACGACACAAAAGCTTATGCAAACTGGCGCGTTCACTGTATATCAAGCCGGTGCATTTAAAGCTTTTTAGCTGTTCGTTCTCCGTTTTTCCGTGTTATTTAATACATTTGGGCTGTTGGAAAGTTAGACAATAACCTTAAAATCGGATTTTTTTTGTGTTTCTCACCACAAAAATCAAATGGCGCATTCCTATGGTCAAAAAGTGAAAGGGATATAATCTTCACCACCTCCCCCCCGGTATTTACGTCCTTGGCTACTAGACTTCATTAGGTCGGATGCCTTTGGAACACTGATCGGGAATAACATAATTTAATGAGGGAAATATAATATCTCCGACAAAACAACAAAAGCCTGAATAAACAAAGAGAACCGTTTGTACATCATTTTATTCGTAACAAGTCAATCATTAATTGAATTTAGCACAAAATGCGTGCAATGAAATAAACTTTGCATTTAAACAGAAATATGGAAAACCGTCGACCAAACACCCATTCGGACTTAAAGAAATGTAACAATGTAGGGAAAAAGAAAAAAAAAATCATTTTTGACATTTGTGATAGTTGATATAGTGAGTAAAACTCATTCAAGGCAATACGTCACAGATGAGCATTAACATTTTGATGACGCATGTACTCGTTTCAACAGAAACATTTATCTTATGCCAACGTTTTTAAGAAATATCGGTTATTTTAGTATTCTTCTTCCTCTTCTTCGTCTGCGTCAGTTGAGTCCACTCCAACCTCCTCGTAATCCTTCTCCAAGGCAGCCAGATCCTCACGAGCCTCAGAGAACTCACCCTCCTCCATACCCTCTCCCACGTACCAGTGGACAAAGGCACGCTTGGCGTACATCAGATCAAACTTGTGATCCAGACGAGCCCAGGCCTCGGCGATGGCCGTGGTGTTGCTCAGCATGCAGACGGCACGTTGTACCTTGGCCAGATCACCGCCTGGCACGACGGTGGGCGGCTGGTTGTTGATGCCCACCTTAAAGCCAGTTGGACACCAGTCGACAAACTGGATTGACCTTTTTGTCTTGATGGTTGCGATGGCGGCGTTGACATCTTTAGGGACGACATCACCACGGTATAGCAGACAGCAGGCCATGTACTTGCCGTGACGCGGATCGCACTTCACCATCTGGTTGGCCGGCTCGAAACAAGAACTGGTGATGTCTGCAACAGTTATCTGCTCATGGTAGGCCTTCTCAGCAGAAATAATTGGAGCATAGGTAACGAGGGGAAAGTGGATGCGTGGGTAGGGCACTAAGTTGGTCTGAAACTCAGTCAGGTCGACATTAAGAGAACCATCAAATCTCAGGGATGCTGTGATTGAAGACACAACCTGAGCAATCAGACGATTTATATTGGTAAACGTTGGCTGGTCGACGTCCATTTTTCTCATGCAGATGTCGTAGATGGCCTCGTTGTCGACCATGAAGGAGCAGTCGGAGTGCTCCAGGGTGGTGTGGGTGGTCAGGATGGAGTTGTAAGGCTCCACGACCGCGGAGGACAGATTCGGCGAGGGGTAGATAGCGAATTCCAACTTGGGTTTCTTTCCGTAGTCCATTGAGAGACGCTCCATCAACAGAGATGTAAAGCCGGAGCCGGTGCCTCCACCGAAGCTGTGGAAGAGCAGAAATCCCTGAAGACCAGTACAGTGATCAGCCTGTACAAAAATATACAAATGAATAATGTAATACGAAAAAAAAATTCAAGTTGAAACACCAGATATATCGACACAAACAGAAGTTACAACGAGTGAGAGACATGAGAAGACAAAGAAAACATTTTCTCTCTGGGAGAGAGATAGGGGGGGGGGGTGTAAGTAGAAGGGGTAAAGGACGGATGTCAGATTGACAAAGACAGGGACACAGATAATGATTAAGAAAGAGACAAAAACAGTTGCAAGAAGGGATACAGTCACAGTCACAGACACAGACAGAGGCAGACACAGAGACGTAAACAAGGCTAGACGGGTATAGGGACAAACATCTGAACATTATAGGTAAGGGAAGAGAAAGGGAAAGTGACAGAGACCAACACTTACTAGTTTCCTTATTCTGTCCAGAACCTGATCTATCAGCTCCTTGCCCACGCTGTAGTGGCCCCTGGCATAGTTGTTGGCAGCACCTTCCTTGCCTGTGATCAGCTGCTCAGGGTGGAAGAGCTGACGGTAGGTTCCAGTGCGGACTTCATCTGGATTGAGTGAATGTTATTTTCTATAAGTTACTAATAATAATTTGCATTTAAAACTGACATCACACTCACACAAACTGGTTTCGGCTTGTTTGCCAAAGATACAAATTTCAGCAAGTAATAATAAGAAACAAAGCAATAATGAACCAGTTCTCTGATTGGTTCTCACGCTATGACGCGTGAACGCGCTAATTCAAGCAAGCCTTCTTATCGGTCCTGCACAATTGACCCCACCATAACCGTTTCTTTACACACGTACCAATCTACTGGAAGAAAAATAAAATGCCTCTTCTCCTACCTATGACAGTGGGTTCAAGATCCACCATGATGGCCCTCGGGTTATGCTGACCACCACTCGTCTCACTGAAGAAAGTGTTGAAGGCGTCTGTACAAGCACCAACTGTCTTGTCACTGGGCATCTGACCATCAGGCTGGATGCCGTGTTCCAGGCAGTACAGCTCCCAGCAGGCATTGCCCATCTGGACTCCGGCCTGACCCAAGTGAAGTGAGATACATTCGCGCTAAAAAGAAAAACCAAGAGATTATTAGTTGCATACCCGTGCCACAAACAAGGGCAAAACTTGGTCCAAATCCATTCAAATCTGGTTAACAATAGACCTTTTGCATATAGAGCGCCCTCACTGTGGGCAAGTCTGTGCTCCTCTTTGATACGCATGAGCAGGCACTTTGTACTTCCATTGTCAATGCATTTCAATTTCCAAACCTGTACTCAGCGAAGTCTATTCTTATAACGTATCCCAGATTAACATTAAACCCAATCTGCCAAGTTTAACCGCTCCTCAAGATAAAAAGCAGCCCGAAAAAAGATCAATACATTTTCTGATCATTTTCAGCAGTTATGCGCCAATCAATTGTTTTCCCCACCCCTCCCCCGGGCTGCCCCACCCAAGACGTGGGGATTGTCACTGTTGAAGTGACAAAATCCCCACCCCTCGGGCAAAATTTAAGTGACAATCCCGACACACAGGGCACACTGGTGATTGCCTTTCCATGTAGTACGCCAATGGTAACAATGCAATTTGAGTGACCAAAATCCCCACCATGGGGCATGAAAAACGTGACAGTATCCCGACATCGGACCTGGGTCAGCGCGGGGGGGGGGGGGGGGGGGAGGGGGTGGATGTAACATTTGATAGGCGCATTACTCAACCCATGGCAGATTTTACGATTTCAATCACTAAATTGATATTATAATCAGCATTTTTTTCAGGTGCTGAAGTTCGTTCTCAAGTGCTTGCATTGGAAGAGACAACAGTCAGCTAGTTTTGGTTGGAAATTGTTTGCAATACTCAATTTGTTAACAAATGGGTTTCAAATTATCGCACTGCCCATTATATTCGAAACGAAAAACTCTGGAACTGATTCTTAAAAACAAAAGGGAAATTACCTTCATTCAATAATTAACCCCAACTCACCTGTTTCATTCAAATGTACAATTTTTCAGTCAATCAAATAATACCACACTATTTCTTGGCGATTATTAACTTTGAACAAGACTTCAAAATTAGAATCGTTATCAAAAATTGTTTAAACTGATGATGTTGATAATCGTACATAGCATGGTACGGTTGTAAATTTCATGTGGAGTTTATTTTCTTGCTGGTAATAATTATCCGTTGGATACATCATTGTTTGTATAATATTTGACGTTAAAAAAATTAAATGAAATATGAACGCTTTCCTATAATATTGAATCAATGAATATCCAAATGATTGAATGGACTTAATTTGTGAATCTCAAACTTATTGGACATCTCACGTGAATGATTAAGGAGTTCATTGCAAATAACTGGTTGAATTTATTGTTGGGGAGGATGCCAATACACCCATTTTAAACATAATTATGCACATAACAGCTGCTTTATTTTTGCACCACACTCAAGGTCCTGAAAAGATTCTTTGTCATTTTGTTTGTCCAGCATGTTGTTTCTTTCTAATATAGCATGAACCCGAGTTGGCATTTGTCGATAAAAACAAATACAATCTTCTCTGTTTGCATTATCAACTGAATATATATTTTCCTCAACAATGGAACGACATGCCATCTAAATAATAATGGCTTGAATACGGCGTTTTCACACTTGCTTCGGCAGCTTGAACATTTCAATTAACTTGCAAAACAAAATGGGATAAATTAGCTTATTTTTGTTGTTACATACCATAATGAAGAGATGAGTTTCAGTAGCTTCTGGTTTAGGAAGGAAAAACAATAGAATTCCCTCGTTGGTCGGTCCTGTTAAACGTCAACTATGAACGGTACAGGAACATGTGTTAGCACTGCACCTGTACCACCCTGTTTATATAGGGAGCTAGGGCCGGGAAAAATAATCGTCGAACTGAACCAAAAAACCTGTAATCATTTCTATGTATTCAGATGACGTGTAATTGTTTGTTTTTCGTACTGCCGCCCCTTTATGGTAATTAGGCCGCTCAAAGGTTACCGACTGTATGCATTTGTGGCCTTGCGCCGTTCGCGAAAGGGTGCTGTGGATCGGCCAATGCGGTTCCTTTTTGAAGGTCATTCACATTCAACTGCTGAGTCCGGACAAAGACTGTATGACGTCATCTGAGTCACCGACCAGAATTAGAATGGTGACCAGTACCACCGGCGGAGACGTGTCACGTAAAACGTGTCATATGCAACGTCACTCGGACCCGAAAGTTCAATGGAAGATACAACATTTGCAAACATCACAAAACGAAATGATCAAATTATCACAAAAATACCTTACTGGATTGTTAGGGAATGACAGTCTAAAGCATCCTGTAAAATCGTGGTTCCTCGGCCTGGTGTGCTGACATTTTCAAGAAAAATTGTATTTTTCCAACGCTGGTCGGCCAAAAAGTTGGAGAAAACTGTTTTTTTTTCTTCAAAAACTGCTTGCAAACTCTCTGCTGCAAAAACTCTTTGCAATAGATTTAATACACACCTGTGAAGGGGTACAAGCCTGCTAGACTGATTCTCTGACCTTACAATTCCTCAAAGTCTATAAATTCTCCGTATATATCATCTTAAGTGGGTCAGGGAACCAGACTACAAGAACATGAATGGTTTTCTTGGTTTTTCCAGCATCTATACAAGCCCAAAATGTGAAACAAGTTATTTGCTATAACATACTAATCCTCCAAATCCATTTATTTATGTAAATTGAAGATAAAGCAAATGTTGTACATTGAATTCCTGAGGTTTGGAGAAATAGTTCAAATTTAGAAACTGACACGTAAGGCGGTTTCTTTCTTCATTTTTTTGGCAAGAACTAGAAAGGGAAAACGTTTGGGGGTCACGAAAGGGACACAGGCGAGAACTACTTTTGAGTATTTGAAATAAAATCGGCCTGTCAGTATAATTAATTTATTAAAGGGAAATACTAAAAAAAAACAATAAACAAAAGTAAGCATTATTTTCTTATAAAGGAGACAATCTCTGTTTTGGTGACATGGAGATTGCCTTAAATTAAAGTAACCACACCCACACGTACACTTTTCAGTTTCAATGTTTTTACTTGGAGAAGTTCATGTTCTTTAATGTCACTTTCCAAATGAACATAAACGTGTAAAGTGTTTGCTAAAATTCGGTGATGATATTTGTTTAAACTGAAAGATAAGTGCGATGAAAAATAAATTTCATTGAGGGATAACATAAATCTCGCGATGAATATTATAACCAAAAAAAGAGACACCTATACCTGGGTCGAAGTTATGCTACAAAAAGCTGCATCACAGTCAATCCCAGTCTCTTGTGATACTAACTTTGACTAAACAGTCAAACCTACACCGGACCTTTTCTGTAGTCGGCTGGGAGGCAAATTGACTGTTTTCTGGTCAAATCTAACTAAAGTGTTTTAAAGAGTTGTCTTGCATCTGACACAGACGTCTTAATGAAACATTAGTACTCCTCCGCTTCTTCTTCCTCGTCGGTTCCGACTGACTCAGTGCCAACCTCCTCGTAATCCTTCTCCAAGGCAGCCATATCCTCACGAGCCTCAGAGAACTCACCCTCCTCCATACCCTCTCCCACGTACCAGTGGACGAAGGCACGCTTGGCGTACATCAGATCAAACTTGTGATCCAGACGAGCCCAGGCCTCGGCGACGGCCGTGGTGTTGCTCAGCATGCAGACGGCACGCTGCACCTTGGCCAGATCACCGCCAGGCACGACGGTGGGTGGCTGGTAGTTGATGCCCACCTTGAAGCCAGTTGGACACCAGTCCACGAACTGGATGGTGCGCTTGGTCTTGATGGTTGCTATGGCAGCGTTGACATCTTTAGGGACGACATCACCACGGTAGAGCAGACAGCAGGCCATGTACTTGCCATGACGGGGATCGCACTTCACCATCTGGTTTGCCGGCTCGAAGCAGGAGTTGGTGATATCTGCAACGGTCATCTGCTCATGGTAGGCCTTCTCAGCAGAGATTAGCGGTGCGTAAGTGGCCAAGGGGAAGTGGATACGTGGGTAAGGGACCAAGTTGGTCTGGAACTCATTCAGATCGACATTAAGAGCGCCATCAAATCTAAGAGATGCTGTGATGGATGATACAACCTGGGCAATTATGCGATTCAGGTTTGTGTAGGTCGGACGCACGATGTCGAGGTTACGCTTACAGATGTCGTAGATGGCCTCGTTGTCGACCATGAAGGCGCAGTCGGAGTGCTCCAGGGTGGTGTGGGTGGTCAGGATGGAGTTGTAGGGCTCCACTACGGCAGGTGCTAACTGCGGGGCAGGGTAGATGGCGAACTCCAGCTTGGACTTCTTGCCGTAGTCTACAGAGAGACGCTCCATGAGAAGAGCAGAGAAGCCAGAACCGGTGCCTCCACCGAAGCTGTGGAACAGCAGAAAACCTTGAAGTCCAACGCACTGGTCGGCCTGTACAAATTATCATCACAAAGAAAAAAATATTCATGAAACGATGCAATCTTCAAAATACTAATATTTAAAAATAAACACTAGTTTTTATTTACAAAACTTGCTAAGAAAGAAAGTGCAAGGCAAGCCTTTTGACTTACCAACTTTCGAACTCGATCAAGAACACTGTCTACGTGTTCCTTGCCCACAGTGTAGTGGCCCCTGGCGTAGTTGTTGGCAGCATCCTCCTTGCCTGTGATCAGCTGCTCAGGGTGGAAGAGCTGACGGTAGGTGCCGGTACGGACCTCATCTGAAAAAAATTCCCAAACCCATCAGGAAAGCCTTCAAACCACATGTTCATTCTACATTTATAAATGTTGAGAAGTGGAAGGTGCTAGTTAATCATCTTGTAGTGTCGGGAGGGAGAAGAGTAAGCCTACTCACCAACAACAGTCGGTTCGAGATCGACAAAGATACAACGAGGGACGTGCTTGCCACTACCGGTCTCGCTGAAGAAGGTGTTGAAGGAGTCGTCACAGCTCCCGATGGTCTTGTCACTTGGCATCTGACCATCAGGCTGGATGCCGTGCTCCAGGCAGTACAGCTCCCAGCAGGCATTGCCCATCTGGACCCCGGCTTGGCCTACGTGGAGGGATATCACTTCACGCTGTATGTTAAGAAGATATTTCATTTCATTTCATTAAATGGTTTGTTTGTTTCATTTCATTTCATTTCATTTCACTGAAATGAATATTGAAATGAAAGATATTTCATTCAAATTATTGTGAAGGAATTACTTGTAAGCCTCTGACTGCTGGCCTGTTATGTTCTTTATTCTTTCTAAATTTCTTTAGAATTGGTGCTTGAGAGAATTTAAGATTCAGATCCTAAATACAGAATCAAATCTCCATCATCTTTTTTGTATGTCTGTTGTCTTTCGTGCGTTCTCTCAGTCATTCAAGAAGTCAAGGCTTGTTCAGTAACCCCTCGTGGATGGAGTAATAGAAAAAGGCTGAATATCCCTGGACTCGTACAACAACCCAATCGTGCCTGTGCCCCCCCCCCCCGTTTAATCTATCAAGGCCCCGCCTCTATCAAATTTGCTGAGTATCATACACAACCATTATGCTGCAGAATGTGGAATATTAATCAGGGTATATAAACAGAAATGTTGCCTGAGGTCAGTAATACCTTTAACCTCGTTAGATTTTTCATTTCTGCCATGCCAGAAAATCCTTTAGGGGTTTTAAAAGCCGAGGTGAATATGCAAAAATATTACGAAAAAGTGGATGAACTCAAAAAATACATGCACACACAAAATAACAGTAAAGTTTGCCGCACTTTCGATGACAAAGGAAGGCACACGGGCATTGTGATTTTAACTGGCAATGTCACGGTTTGAATTCACCAACAAAAAGTGGTGTTCCGCTCAACAAGTAGCTGGAATTTATTCAAATTGCACCCAAACCACAATTTTTGGGGTGTGGGTTCGCTCATGCGCGTCGTCCATGGGAACACAAATCAAATAATAGAGTTAGAACGAGTTATTTATACTTGACATGGAGTGTATAATGCATTTGCTAACTATTACAATACTATGCCTATCAACAAATCTGTTAAGTTTAGCTTTCAAAAGAAAGGGGGAATACGGTATTAAACACATTACCATTTCATAATTTGTTTTACTGTCAACACAAGTGGATTTGAAACAAATTGCACATATACAAAACAGAACTTGTTTGATTTTAGAAATTATAGTTGATTCTGACAGACAGAAAGACACACGAAATATAAGTCGTGTGAAACAGCTTGCCAAGGTGCCACTGTGGTTTCTTTTTCAACATTAAAGAATATCTCCGTTTCAAATTCATTGGAATTACTCTCCTTTTTGTGTGTGGCTTTTTACATCTACATGTATAAGTAAAGGTTGGGTCCAGTATTATTGCAAGACTTCAAAATGGCCAAAGTAACGAGAAAAGTGGCCAGTTGACCGGTGAGCTATACGTGCAAAATACTTGTCTTAACAACACCCATAGTTTGCCATTCAAAGTACAGACATCTGTATTATCAAAATCGCAAATTCAGTTTACCGTCGTGGGAATCGTAACAGGTGGTTTCTGATGATAATCCGTAATGACATCACCATATTTCAATTACGAAATTGTAATTTTTTTTCAAGCCAACAGCTGCCACCATTAAACCATAGAGTAAGGAACTGTTTCTTGCTCTATATGAATATACCAATAGCGATGTTTAGGCCAACTCTCCCACACATTCCCCTTTGATCCACCCTTCGGTGGATAAAACACAAACTAAAGATAAACATTAACTACAAAGTACACAGACTTACCATGTTGAGTGTCTTCTTCGTTTAGGACCGAGAAAGAAGGAAAAAATGGTGGATTTAGGAGATTTTTCCTTGACCACTCGAGTGCCTTGCCAGCGCGTGTTATGTACGTAGCAGGAAATCAGATAAGTGAGGTTTTGCAATTTTGCGGGTAGTTTTTTTTGCAGAATTAAGGATTAGACTTGTCAGGGTCGGTTTAGCATTGTGATGCTGGGGAGTACGTTTCTTGTTAATTCTTGTGCTGTTCCCACGGCCAAACCTTCATGATAGTTACATTGTTGCCCTGCCAATCATTTATTGGTGATATAACATAGGACAAAGCATCTTTATATTGACCTTTCCGGTTCCCTCATTATTGAACAAAAAAATATGCATTCACACGTATTTTTAATGTTCCTGACTCCCTTTTCTAGCAAAAGACTTCAAAGTTAGTGGAAAGCAGAACTGCATGATTTTATCAGTGTTAGGCAAGAGTCGGTGACGGAGGGCGTTCTGACTATGACCGCCTATAGCTCTGGAAATTAATGGCACTATGCAGCAATTATCACTTGGCGTAGCCTCCATTTTGTATCCATTCGGAGACAACATTGTAACACTAGGGCTCCCTCAAACCTGGAGTAGTTGTTACATACATGCGAAGCGTACGGTCCAGTCTACCCGTCCAACAAATGCAATGAAGAGCGCCCCATAACAAAACAAAACCAACCCAACCCAACCCATCCCATCCCATCGCATCCCACCCTAACCCAACCCAACCCAACCCATCCAATCCCATCGCATCCCACCCTAACCCAACCCAAACCACCCACCCTAACCCAACCCAACCCAACCCAACCCAGCCCAACCCAACCCAACCCAAACAACCTAACCCCAACCATCCCAAGCCAACATGATTAGGTCTTAACCAATCCAAACCAAACCCATTGCAACCAAATTACACAAAAGTAGGCCTAAAATGCATTCCAGAAAACAGCCGAAAATGCCAAATTTGCCACACGATATTTCAATTTCAATTTCACATAGGCCAAATGTTTAATCACCCCACAGCTAACGATTACAAACGCGAAGTAAGGTCAAAGAATTGATTACTTATTTCAAGGCACATTAATAATTTTGATTGTTAGTGTTCAACTTGTCTCCATGACGGACCTACATGCGGTCAGCCGGCCACGCATGCTCAGTTGCGCGACTACAAATTAATTATGGGAACAAACCCAGCACTGTATTTTTGGAAATACCGGACCACTTTCGAACCATCCTCAAAAATTAGGTCTTACTTTGCTTTGAGTCTTGCACGACATTTTGTTTTCTTACCCACAAACATAATAATGATATTGATATCACTGTCAATACCTCTCTGTAAACTCTTCCTATTGCATTATAAATATGTTCTATATTGCTGTTGTTTTTAAACTGTTAAGTTATTCAAGTAAAGAAGCCTATATCCTACAAAGCGACCATTAATTAATGCACTGAGGCTTGAAAATGAACAAATATTCATATTTTAACATTGAAAAAATGTTATACAACAATTTGATTGTAAAAATAAGCTAACAAATTACACGAACACATTACAAGAATGAAGTATGAAGAAGCACACTTCAAGCACTTGCAGAAGAAACTTGGTAAGTGAAAGCTGTTAACTACTCCTGAATTATCAGAAAGTCTCTCAATATTGTGAAGGCACCATAAAAGGAAAACAAACATGAACGTCTTTGTTCTAAACTGCAAAGGACTGAAGATATTCCTTACTGGTTCTATAGAACGAGAATGTGAACAATGTATAGATAATCTCCACAAAGGGTCAGATATGATGGGATTGCGTTCCGTCCATGAATCAATTACCCTTTAATTCTTCCGATACGAACAGATGTTGGGATATTCAGCTGAATCTTTGAGATGTCTTGAATTATGTTCATTTTTTCTTCCATCAAACACAGAATGCCTACGAAATCACAAGCCTTAGTGACACAAAAATAAAGCATCAGGGACAGAAAAAAGGGGCTTCAAGTTCTTTGTATCGTTTAGGTTTAGTACTGATCCTCTGCTTCTTCTTCTTCTTCTTGCTCCTGAGAGTCTCTCCCGACCTCCTCGTAATCCTTCTCCAGGGCAGACAGATCCTCACGAGCCTCAGAGAACTCGCCCTCCTCCATACCCTCTCCCACGTACCAGTGGACGAAGGCACGCTTGGCGTACATCAGATCAAACTTGTGATCCAGACGAGCCCAGGCCTCGGCGATGGCCGTGGTGTTGCTCAGTGTGTCCCTTACAGTTTCTTTCTTGTTCCTCTGTCATTTGCCTCTGAAGAAAGTCTTGCTAATATTACGCTGAAATATCAGGCCACTTCATTTTTGGATTTGTATATTTCAGGTCAATCCAAGTCAGTAGGCCCTTAGTAGTTTGCAGCAGTTTAATTCATTTTCAAAAACAAATTAGAACACAAACAATGTTTTTTTTATTTGGTTTAAAGGATGCTGCTTTTGATTAAAAAACAAAACAGATTTAAGATCTTTTCAGGTAAGCCTTTGTTTTTGTCTTAAATCTGAAAAAAGCTTTAAATTCGCTCTTTAGCACTGAGGCAATAAAATGCTTAAAAAGTTGATTGAAAACTTGGTTTCAAATTAAGAATTTAGTACTCCTCGCCTTCTTCCTCTCCTTCGTTGTCAACAGAGTCGACACCGACCTCCTCGTAATCCTTCTCCAAGGCAGCCATATCCTCACGAGCCTCAGAGAATTCGCCCTCCTCCATACCCTCTCCCACGTACCAGTGGACGAAAGCACGCTTGGCGTACATCAGATCAAATTTGTGATCCAGACGAGCCCAGGCCTCGGCGATGGCCGTGGTGTTGCTCAGCATGCAGACGGCACGCTGCACCTTGGCCAGATCACCGCCAGGCACGACGGTGGGTGGCTGGTAGTTGATGCCCACCTTGAAGCCAGTTGGACACCAGTCCACGAACTGGATGGTGCGCTTAGTCTTGATGGTTGCTATGGCAGCGTTGACATCTTTAGGAACGACATCACCACGAAAGAGCAGACAGCAGGCCATGTACTTGCCGTGACGGGGATCGCACTTCACCATCTGGTTGTTAGGCTGAAAGCAAGCAGTTGTGATTTCTGCAACGGTCAGCTGCTCATGGTAGGCCTTCTCAGCAGAGACGACAGGGGCATAGGTAGCCAGAGGGAAATGGATTCTAGGATATGGCACCAAGTTGGTCTGGAACTCAGTTAAGTCGACATTGAGGGCGCCATCAAAACGAAGAGACGCAGTAATAGAGGACACAATCTGACCGATCAGACGGTTGAGGTTGGTGTAGGTCGGACGAGCGATGTCGAGATTGCGACGACAGATGTCGTAGATAGCCTCGTTGTCGACCATGAAGGCACAGTCGGAATGCTCCAGGGTGGTATGGGTGGTCAAAACAGAGTTGTAGGGCTCAACAACAGCAGTGGAGATCTGAGGAGCAGGGTAGACGGCAAACTCCAGCTTGGACTTCTTACCGTAGTCGACAGAGAGACGCTCCATCAACAGGGATGTGAAGCCGGAGCCGGTGCCTCCACCGAAGCTGTGGAAGACGAGGAAACCCTGGAGACCCGTGCACTGGTCAGCCAACTTACGGACTCGGTCCAAAACAAAATCGATTTTCTCTTTCCCGATGGTGTAGTGGCCCCTGGCGTAGTTGTTGGCAGCATCCTCCTTGCCTGTGATCAGCTGCTCAGGATGAAAGAGCTGGCGGTAGGTGCCAGTACGAACCTCATCTGTTCAAACATAAAATATTGTTTTCCTGTTATATGAATGTGATGACATCTTGAAAAGAAATAGTGGCTGAGAAAATAAAGATCAGGAAGGGAGACCAACTGGTTGGTGAGTAGACGTATCATGGGTCCCCACCAAGAAAAACAATGAGTTCGAGAAGAGCCGAAAAAAAGAGGTAATACATACCTATAACAGTCGGCTCAAGATCGACAAAGACGGCACGGGGGACGTGCTTGCCACTGCCAGTCTCGCTGAAGAAGGCATTGAAGGAGTCATCACCACCTCCGATGGTCTTGTCACTGGGCATCTGACCATCAGGCTGGATGCCGTGCTCCAGGCAGTACAGCTCCCAGCAGGCATTGCCCATCTGGACTCCGGCCTGGCCCACGTGGATAGAGATACATTCACGCTGAAAAAACAATTATTAGAAAGGATCGATTGGAATAAGTCTAAAAATACATATCCATCTGGACCATAATCCAATAAGCCTCCATTTAAGTTAATCAGAAAACAAAATGGCTGCTCCGTGATTGCAATGTGGTGTCTTCAAATCTATGCAGAATTTTAAATTATGCAGTAATTGTAAATCAATTTTTTTTTAGTTTTGCATTCGATCTTTAATGAAAATTACAGGCACCGTTTTCTTTGAAAAGGAATTATGATAAGGCAATTAAAGAGAGATATCCTGTACTATACACACGCTCACGTGTCAACAGTTAATTATGGACGCTTTAATTAATGGCGTTCAAGGTTATACTGCACAGGTTCTCTGCTGACGGTTATTGTGTTGTCTAAAAACAAAACATTGTGTTCCGTACAAGTGAGACACAGTATCTAATTAACTTCATCAATTAATCAGTATAATACTTTATACTGCTGCTGTGCAGCTGGAAAGAAAACTGGCTAACCGGTTGTTTCATTTCCAATAGGCGCTCTGGCTCTTATTTGTGTAGCTATGTACATATCTTTGTCTTCCTATAAATTGCTTGAATTCGTACATTGCTTGATACTCAGACAAAACAAACACCGGTTCATTGTGACTATTTGCAAATAAACTGAATATGCACAAATCAGCAGCCATGCAAATATCATGCCACAGATGACAGATCACACTGAGAAGGGACAATGGCAACTGTTGAATGCAACAAAACCATCTCATCAATGTCGTCATCATTTTGTAAATTGCACTTCAATGCAAGTCATTGTTGTTCTGGCCGCCGACCGCAAAATAAATCTTGTTTCTCACTGCCACCATCCAACCATCACGGAGTATGATTTTTGTCTTTTTCTTTCAATTTATATTTTATAAATTCACATTTTTGGGGGGGAAATGATAAATGCAAATAGCAGAAAAATGTTTCTAAAATTATCATTTACAGATTGAATTTTGTAGGGTGGGTGGAGAGTGGGGGTGGGGGATCCAGTGCACGGAAGATTTGATCAGAGTTCTTATTTCGAATGAAAGAAATTTAAAGCCGAAACCACGGAAGATGGTGGTGGAACACCCCCTCTGCTAAATTCGATGTTAGCCTAATTTGGGACGGGATTTGCCTCTTAACCCCTCTCATTTCCCTAACTCACTCCCAACACGCGCTTCTGTTATTGGATGATGGAAGTATGTAATATCACATAACATCATCAGTTATGGCTTTCATGACAAACTAAAATGATGCAAAATTATTAAGTAATTTAGTCTGCTGATAGGTTATTTCCAATTCCAAATCTGTCCTCAGTTGTTAAGAGAACCAGATAACACAGAAAAATGTCGATTATATTTTCTTACACCACCTAACAGTAAGAATATTGTTCTGTGTCTCGTCTTCCTTGCAGAATAATGTAATACTATGCTTTTAACTTAGTCGAAAAACTCAAATGTTGACTTACCATTTTTGCTTAATTTATCGAAGTTATTGACACCCAAAGAAGATGTGAGTTTGGGAATTATTTTTCTTGGCGTCTCTTGGCGTTGTACCGGTTGATGACGGCAGTTGAGAGCAAGTGATGGTCGGGTTACCAACCGATGGTCTTTTATAACCATGTTTCATCGCTTCACCGTGCCCTGTGCCGATTGGCTGGATCCGTGCGTGCGCGCCATGCTCGTAAATATTGAAAAACCGGGCCTCGGGTTGTCATGGTTTCATCAATTCAACAAGTCATCGTTATCTCGATACGACGTTTTTAAAAATCATTTTGGTGGAGTGTTACCAGTGTTCGTATCAAAAAATAAATGAACAATTTGAATTGGGATTTATATCTATTATTTTTTGTTTATAATGTCGATGTGTATCGTCATGCCTGGCGGCCGACCGGCGTGGCATATCTTGGCAGGTTCATTGACGATCTGAGTTCAATTCCTACAACTTTTTGTGTGAAATTATTACCGTAATTGTATCTTAAAAATGCATTTCTTTCTGAACTTCTCGGAGTGTGACTAATTTAATGTTGCAGAGAAAATGTAGGTAGTGAAGGCAAAAAGTTAAATGATGTCTACAGTTTAAAAACAAAATGGATGGCTTTAAAACAAAAGGTTTTCAAAGAAAGGGGCGTGGTTGGAGGGTGTCGGTGCGCGGAGGCTGTAGGGAGTGAGAAATTGTTCTTATAACCATCCAATTCCCAATCATCATGACTGTATTTTGGAAGGGTAAAAGTTAATTGTTTATCTCTGCTAAGATATTTAATTTCGTGTCACATGTGTAAATTACAGAATCGAGCCAGTGACATGCAACAATATCCGTTCTCTCACTCTCTCTTGTGATAATTACATTTCATATTTAATTTACAGCAGTAACAATACCCCCTTCGAACCGAGTTCATCTCACGGTTGAACGATTAGGTTGGTTGCCATGGTGATACCTCTCAGACGGCCATGATGAATTCATCAATAAAATACCGTCGATGAATGATGGCAAGCCGCGTAATTTCTACCGAGTCACTGGTGCAGACTGTTGCTCGCCGGGTTACATGGCATTGTCTCGCTGTTGAAGCGCTTATTAGGAGAGACCATTATAACAATAGAAAGCCAAGGTCAACATTTCCCGCGCTTGCCAGATAAAAATCTTTAATTTAATAGCTTTTCACGGTGGCTATCTGATCAAGTAGCTGTGACACTTACACCGCGTTCCCACTTGATTTGGAAAAAGGCGGATCAAGATCCGGCATTTTGGTGTGATCGTTATCTTACCGCAACGAAACCGCAAGTCGCGTTCCCACTTATGCTTGATCCACCTTTTCGTACGGAAATGTTGGGTCCGAAAGGTCACTGAGTTCGGAATTACGCGCGCTCTGTGGGAGTGCCATTGTTGCATGGTTGCATGCTAGGCCAGGATGGGTCAGTTTTCAAACAGCACTATCAGAATTAACAGACAAAAATTACGCGAATTCACCAACATAAATCACGGATCCGTAGAGGATCCGTGCGTGCATAAATTAAAAGGTGAAATCCAACAGAGCCGCTCACGTGTGACATCACGGCAGAAACCAATGCATCGATAAGGGATTCCCTGGTTCTGAAGCTTCTCATTGGTTAGAAACGGTCACATGATGTACTACGACATCATTTTCCAATTTTCTATAATCAATACTTCAGATTTGTCACCCCCGTACGTACAGCGTTATCGGCACTATTCCCATCGCATACTCGTAAGCTTTTCAATGATTCTGTGCCAAAGTGAAGTCTTTTGGTGAGTGCGGACTCAGAGTCATTTATGGATGGAAAAATAAGTAAAATTTCAGGAATGAAAAAGGTTTAGTAATGGACGAACACGCAACAAAAATAAGGCCTATAGTGTAGTTTTAGGATACCACGTGCGCTTTTGCATGCGCGGTGCTAGCCCGTAGTTCAGCGGTTGTTTATTGTGCATGTTGTAAACGCTGGTTATGTCCACATGAGCTACACGCCTGAAAACGTGTTTCTTCGTTCATGAGACCGCAACATTTTCGCGCCACTCGTGCACCGGGCGGATGTTAACAGGTCAAATTGCCGGATCAGATCCACCTTTTGCGTTCCCATCTGATCGTGATCCTGCAATTGCCGGATCTGATCCACCAATTGGGGGATCTGTATCCTGGTCCAGAGGTGGATCAGAAAAGGTGGATCTGATCCTGATCCACCTTATAACGGTTAGCGTTCCCACTACACACAATTGCCGGATCTGATCCACCAATTGGGGGATCTGATCCGGCAATTTGGCAAAAGGTGGATCAGATCCCCCAATTGGTGGATCAAGTGGGAACGGGGTCTTAAAGAAAGACATGTGCCTGATACTTTCACTGTGATGGTGTAGTGTGGATTCCACACAGAAATAGCAATGTGTGCCCAACTTATAAATTCCTTACTTTAATGGTGTCCACATAGGGAGATAGCAAAGAAAAAACAGCGACACTCACACACTCTTTTGGGATCCACATCACAAAGAAGGGAATTTTGCCTAAATATTATACACTACAACCTGTTATGTGTGGCCCACACATTAGCAAAAATAGAGGATCCGAACAGACAACCAACAAGAAGACTCAAGATGGAGAAGATACGTGCAACATGAAAGGACCGATTCGACCAATCAAAGGTTTGTTTCAAACTACGTCACAATGATGTGACCAATGAAAAGATGAGATGACAACTAACATTTTAAGATGGCCGCCTCCCATCTGCAGTCCAGTACCGGTAGAGTCCACCCATAAAACGTAAAGTAGTAAAATTCAAGAAATGTGGTGGAAATGTCATGGTTTCTCATAAGATACCACGGCCACGTCAATTTCTATGAAAGCAGTAGACAAAATCGATATCCAAGAGGGACACGTTCTGTGAAGGACAGGCCAGACGAGCTGGGTGGTGGATTTAATAAAAGGTGTTACTATGGAAACGAAAATGAAAGCGAGATAGAGCCCATGTACACAACACAGGAAAATTCTCTTATTTTAAAGGAGGGTTTTTGTAGGTCAGGGTACGAATTTAAGCGCGTCAGTTTAAATTTTGTTTGGAAGACTAGAATGTCTTGAAGTTATATTCTAATATTTGAGTAAAGACAAAAATAAAATATAATCCTCGAATGCATAACCGTTTGACTGTCTTATTTCACCGTAACCTTGGGACAAGGGTCGAGGTCAAACCAATACCATCAAGAAACTGCCATTAAATTGTGAAGGACGTCATAATTTATTCATGCAATTATTGCTGTTAACGACTCCACATGAGAAAACAAAGACGACCTGCACTTTTCCAAGGTTTTGTTTTTGTTGTTGTTTAAGAATTAAGTTATTCATATAATAATCCTCCACCAATTCCAGCAAGGCAAGTTGATTACATTTTATTTTAGTAAACCCTTCCCAAATTCAATTTATATATTAAAGTTGGTGACTTAAGTTGAGAAAAAAATAGCATCCTGCAATGAACAATTGTGAGAGGAATAAGATTTAAATGAGCGGCTCAACATTTGAGACAAGTGACTAAACAAAAGCTCTAAATCGTACACAAGAGAGCTGATTCTTAACTGTGATGTTTGACATTTTGAATTAGTATTCGCCTGCGTCTCCTTCAAGATCTTCTTCACCGTCTGCAGAGTCTCTCCCGACCTCCTCGTAATCCTTCTCCAAGACAGCCAGATCTTCACGGCTCTCAGAGAACTCACCCTCCTCCATACCCTCTCCCACGTACCAGTGGACGAAGGCACGCTTGGCGTACATCAGATCAAACTTGTGATCCAGACGAGCCCAGGCCTCGGCGATGGCCGTGGTGTTGCTCAGCATGCAGACGGCACGCTGCACCTTGGCCAGATCACCGCCAGGCACGACAGTAGGTGGCTGGTTGTTGATGCCCACCTTGAAGCCAGTTGGACACCAGTCGACGAACTGGATGCTGCGCTTGGTCTTGATGGTTGCGATGGCGGCGTTGACATCTTTAGGGACGACATCACCTCGGTAGAGCAGACAGCAGGCCATGTACTTGCCGTGACGGGGATCGCACTTCACCATTTGGTTTTCTGGCTCATAACAGGCACTGGTGAGGTCTGAAATGCTAAACTGCTCATGGTGAGCCTTCTCGGCAGAGACGACAGGGGCGTAGGTCACCAGAGGGAAATGGATTCTAGGGTAAGGCACCAAGTTGGTCTGGAACTCATTCAGATCGACGTTTAGGGATCCCTCGAAACGCAACGACGAAGTGATGGAAGACACGACCTGGGCAATGAGACGGTTGAGGTTGGCGTAAGATGGCCGTTCAACGTCGAGTTTACGTCGGCAGATTTCGTAGATGGCCTCATTGTCGACCATGAAGGCACAATCGGTGTGCTCCAGGGTGGTATGGGTGGCCAAGACGGCGTTGTAAGGCTCCACCACCGAGGAAGACATCTGAGGTGCGGGGTAAACCGCTACCTCCAGCTTGGATTTCTTGCCGAAGTCCACGGCAAGCCTCTCCATGAGTAAGGCAGTGAAGCCAGAGCCGGTGCCTCCACCGAAGCTGTGGAAGATGAGGAAACCCTGGAGACCCGTGCACGGATCAGCCTAATCAAAAAGATAAACAAACAATTTTTTTTAAAGGACAAGTGGCATTTAAACTTATGTAAATTCATGTCTCTTGAAGTATGACAATGAGTTAGCAAGAGCAAGGAAATATTGAAATCAGACGTACTATCTTGCGGATTTTATCCAAGACGTCATCCACTTTTTCCCTCCCGACAGTGTAGTGGCCCCTGGCGTAGTTGTTGGCGGCATCCTCCTTGCCTGTGATCAGCTGCTCAGGATGAAAGAGCTGCCGGTAGGTGCCAGTGCGGATCTCATCTGCATACAAATAAGAAAAAAATCAATAAGAAAACCATGTCTTTCAATCACAACTCCTCGTGTTAAATTACCAATTCAATCAAGACTTCTGTTTGCAACGCACCGACAACCGTGGGCTCCAAGTCGACAAAAATGGCGCGAGGAACATGCTTGCCAGTACCGGTCTCGCTGAAGAAGGTGTTGAAGGAATCCTCACAACTCCCAATGGTCTTGTCACTGGGCATCTGACCATCAGGCTGGATGCCGTGTTCCAGGCAGTACAGCTCCCAGCAGGCATTGCCCATCTGGACTCCGGCCTGACCCACGTGGAGGGATATCACTTCACGCTAAAAGAATCGCAAGAGCAAAATATCAGACTTATTTGTTCTATATTCGCGTCACCAAACATCGAGTTCGAGTCCCGTGTCATTTATCGTGACTCGAATCCGAGTCCGAGTCACAAGTCATGATCCGCAAAATATTGATACGGTTCTATAAACCAGCAGTGACCAAAAAGAACATACCCATCTGATTTGTGTTGAGGCCTACAATAAACTGAGAATTTAAAGTTAAACCTGGAATCCAGTTGACAGAAATTCTAAAACACCTTGACACCTGTCTTCACCAACGCCCGCCGGGTCTCCTTGGTCTTTCAATGGGCCTTATTCACGAGTCCGCCATGTTGAATTAAAAGTGAGGTAAAATCTTCACTTTTGGAAATTGCGAAGAGAAATGAAAGCAAGTACATAACAAAATAATTCAAGTCTGCTTCAATGAATAATTTAAAAATTATAATGAAACTTTCCCTAATGTTTTAAGCCAGATTTAAAAAGAAAGAAAGCAAATTAAGGCTCCATAAATAGTCTGGCGCCATCCCATTCAACTGTTAACAATTTATGAAATACATTCAGGGAACAAGACAAAATTGGCTACCTCGTGAATAAGGTCCATTGAATAAAATTGAATTTCCAAAACTTTGTGGATCGTGCAAAACAGCTTTTATTGTCCTGACTCAATATAATAAGTCAGAACAGTATGCGCGAGGCATGATAGTGGGGCTATGTTCACGCGCATACCGCGCGCGCTCTTAATTGGAGGCGCGCGCGTGAAATCTGACAACCCTATTGGTCGAAAGAGCCATTAGTGCGCGCGTACCACCTGTGCATGAGCGCTGCTAAATTTTAGAGATTGCTTCTGAGTTTTTTGGGTCGTCGAAGGATGTACGCGACTTTAAATAAAAGCCTACCCAGCACATACACGTTTTTACTATTCAGTGCAACGAATAAAACAATATTAACACAAGATAACAATTCTTGCGAACCCCTTTAATGAACTGTGGCGCAGAAAACCAAGAATATGGATCCATAATATTATAATTCTATTGTCCTGGCGGCTTCGGTATCCAGACAATGACTTTAATAAACGTTATTGATTTCAGTGATATGCATGTATTGTTGTCGTCATTATCATACTCCGGGTGCTTTGTTAATGCGAAATATATTGAACGATTTTCGTTCTGGTTTTACATTATTCCCATTCAAGTTGGCATTTTTGATGAGAATGTCCAAAATTTTGGAGAAAAATCCAAATACTTGTTGTGCAACTGAAATAATGTTGAGAACCGGACCCTAGACATCCGTAATAAGTTTGAAACCAGCAGGTGAAAAAAAATAATAAATTAATTAGATTATTACAATAAAATAAAATATCAAAATTAGACGTGTTTTGTACAAACGCATAGGCCTATCCTACGTGTGTCTAATATTTCAAGGGCTACTCGAGGCAAGTTTCCCTACCATTAATAAACAAAGCAGTTATCTCCATTGTTTTAATTTGCATTTTAATCATGGCATGGCATCTGACGCACCCATGCGTTAATTTTAAAATGAACATATGCCGGCATTTATTATACACGGGAAGATATTTCAGTGGGCAGTGTACTTTTAAGGCGGGTCCTTTGTATTCAGTGGTTGGTATAATTTGGCAACCAAACCTAGGCGTGGCAATGTCTGCGGTGGATATAGCATCATTTAAAATGTTTAAGGTTCATTGGGGAAAAATGGAAGGGGCCCTAAAAAGATGAGATGTTGTGGAACATTTCAAACGCATTAAATGTACTGAATAATATAACAAAACACAATTCATTTCATGTCAAAAAGAAGGAGTGATGACTCGAAAATTGCAGTGTGCTTCTAGTTCTCAATGGTTAAAGTCAAGAACAAACATTATAATAAAAGTAATTTTAAAAAGGAGATGCCCCAAAATTAAATATGAAATCATGGTAACAATATTGACATTTAGACAATAATGCACTCGGCAAATAATGATTAAACAAGGGCTGGGTTAAAAATATTTATGCACAATCAAACAAGAAAACAAAAAAATAAAACAACAAACAAAACAAAATCTCTGCTCAATTAAACGAACCTGTACAATTTCCCTGTAATTTATTATTCTTTTTTTTTTCAAATTGAAAAGAATATGCGACTTACCATACTTTTGGCTGATTTTCACAAACATCCACCAAACACAAACAACAAAATAAGGGAGTATTTCCAAAAGCGTGGACAATGGACGCTTCCCTATAGTAAAATGACGGAAATATGATATATTATATTCCATGGACAAAAATACCCACACGCACACTCGAGCGTTGAATATTCATCGTATTTTACTCTCGAAACAGCTGTTAAATTTTATGTTCTACGTTTCAAAATTAACGGTTGGTCATGGTCGTTGAATGCACGAAGCGCTGAGGCCTTTTCAACCCGTCTGAGCAGTCGAAACTGATATTAATTATGATATTGGCAATTGCTTTGAAACGAGTCAGACTTTGTAAGGGTTGTTATACCTTGCATTGTTTACCTATTAAACATGGTGGTATGAAGTGTAACATTTCCTGTTAATTTTTTACTTTAAGTTTCAAAAGTAAGTTTAGTTTGTACATGATGAAGAGACAAGTCAGGTTTCAACGTCGTATGCTTGGGATTTGTGCGGGTAAATTAACAGAAAATGAAAGATTAGGAAATAAGCTTTAAAGGGAATATACAACATTTGCAAACATCGAAAAATAAAACTACCAAGTTTTTACGAAATACTTTACTAGGATGTTGGTAAATGACAGTATAAAGCATACTGTAAAATTATGGCACCTGGTGTGAAGTCATTTTCAAAAAATTAGTAATTTTGTATACATTTCCAACGGTGGTCGGCCGACCACCGTTGGAAAAACCTAACTATTTTTCAACTACTGATCCAAATTTACCATTTTTTCAGTCCAAATTTTGTTTGCTATTGGTTACATGTTCATGAACGGGTGCAGGCAGGCTAGACTGGTTCCCTCACCTTACAATTTTCCGGCATCTATAAATATTGATCTATTTCATCTTTAGTGGAGTCAGGGAACCAGACTGCTTGAACATTTTTGTTTTTCTTGGTTTTCCAGCATTTTCGAACACAAAACTTCAAACATGTTAGTGTAACAATATTTGATCTATTATACTAACCCCTCAAATAGTTCATTTCTGAAAATAACAGCAAAAGCCAATGATGTACAGTCCCTTTACTTTGCGGTGTGTCTCAAACACCTTGGAGAGTTGTGAGTATTTTTAATAATTTTTGGAAGTGCTTGTAATTATCACTAAGGTCTATGACAGGTTATCTACTGGTCGCCGTTAATTGCGCCCTCTATTGTTTTACTTTAAAAAAAAATGTTTTATAGAATATGTTTTGATTAAGGAGAGAAGCCCATTGACAATTATATTTTTTTACTAATGTCTTCGCCCATTCATATGTTGGATTAAATGCTTTCGTTTATGTTTGAAATGCAGATTTTTAATGTGACTGTGCCCCTCCCCCCCTCCTTCCCCTTTCGCCCCACCCACACTTATGCCACGCTATCCTCGACCTCGTGTGACATAAAATAAAACCTCAGCGGTTATATGTATAGTTTGAAGTAAATTACCTGGGAACAAGGGTAGTATTGCTCATATTGGTCTTGTCTACGTCTCTTGTGTGAAAGATCATGCGAAATTAAAATACAAAACAAGATTCTGACGGGAAGGAAACCAGACTAAGCAAAATGGCGGACGACACGGTGACCGCGGTTTGCTTGAATCCGCCAAAAATTGTTGCAAATAACAGCGATTTTGAGCTGGCAAATGAATTGACGTTCGACTTTTACTGCCTGAGATTCTGGGAAGAGTTTAAAGAAAAGTCGACGGTCGATGAACGGTCTGATAGGAACTTCCTTCAAGGTTTGTATTGACTTACTCACTTAGATTTAGAAATCGCTGTGCGCGTACGCGTGCACACTTGCGAGTAATCTACCTGGCGACCGTGTAGTGTCATGATTGAGTACTAGGGCCCCTGTTTTGTTTTGATCAAATTAGAGTCAAAAATGTTAACTGCCCAATATGCCAGATTCATGAGACATTTCTATGGGGATTCGTCTTAAACATGTTCATTAAATTTTCATCGCATTTCATTGCATTTTTCTCTTATACTTATATAGCATGTATAGTTATAAATAGCCGGAATTTTTTGGGTTTATCTTTTTTTATGATGCTGAAACACTGTCTGATCATCTTTTGTGTGTAGGACTGTTGGGTCAGAAGTTCACCTACACCACGCAGCGAGAAAACCTTGTGCATTTCATGCAACTGATTGTCTGTCTAGCTGACGGCCAAGATGCAGCCACACGGTATAGCACCACCCCTGGGGAGGAGGATACTCCATTAGAAAAAGCAATCTCCTTGTTTGATGAGCTAGTGGCCGAGCATGAGGATCTTGGGGAGGAGGTTGAAGCTGTCAGAGAGGCTTTTAAGATACAGGTAGGCCTATGTTATCGTAGTACATGTACTATTTATCATTACAATTATGAACCCAATGAACCAATCTAGCTTTAAAAAATGACCGATGTAATGTCTTCACTCTTTGTCATGTTTGTGAAGCCGTTCTTTGACAAGAGTGTCAACGTATGTTTTGCCGAATCCTCAAGCTAATCACAACACTTGTTTTAATAGTTCAGCTAAGGTCACCCATAATCTTGAGTATTTGCATCAGAATGATAAGTTTACTTTCCCCTTTACCATCAGTTTTTTTTAAATTACAGAAGGACATTATCAGTAAATAAATAAATCTTTCAAACCTTTCATCACATGTTCAGACTTTTTTTTTAAATTAAGAATCTCATCCCATTAGTAAGCAAAGCAAACATCATCAATTTCTGGGTCAACATGTTTTTGTTTTTCAGGCTGTGATGGTGTGCATGAGGGCAAATGATTACGGACTGGCAAAGATGGTTCACCAGAGAGTATGGGGAAAATCGTGCAAATCTACACGTCAAACAAAGCAACCGGTTAGTTCATTTCATAGCGCCCTCAATACATCGTTCAGTTAAAGATGCATGCCCCAGGCTTTTTTTTAAAAATGTCTTTTTTTTTTCTCGCAACAAATTTTCAAGTCTATTTAAAACTCGAAATTAGCACGGGAACGCACCCTTAAGCTGCACCTTGTGATTATGACCAACATTTACGTACTTGTTGAACATTCAGTCAATTAAAAAACAACAAAATTGAATATATTTCTCTATTTTCTTTCCCACTAGGTCATGCAGAGTGTTTTAAAGTTATTCATCGATGATGAGAAAGTCAAACCAGACTTCCTTGATCGTCATACCTACGAGAGTTTCCTTCAGATAGCTAAGGCTCTGCTTCAGAAAGTCTACGACAAATATGACACCCCGTTTCTTCTGAAAGTAAGATTGTCATTTGGCTGGCAAGTTATTAATCTTGCCATACTTTTCAATCATATCTAATGGGCCATATCCAGAAAGTATTATCCTAAATTATAGGTTAGTATTTTAAAACAATTTTTTGAAAACTGAAATAAAATCTTGAAAGAGAGTCTATTAAGTGCTCATAAATTAAGATTTACTTGCATCCTAGAGTTTACTTGATTAAAAAAAAACCTGGAAATTGTCTTTTTCCAAATTTGATTTGTTTGATTTAACTTATTTTCAAACATTCTTATAATAATGAACAATTAAAATTAACAGAATATACAGCATTCAGGTGATGAATGGTGGAGGCTGGCAGAAAGCCGAAGCTTGTGCTGGGCCAGACCCCTGTGATTAAACAATTCAATTGAATTTAACTCAAAAGAAAACACACTTCAACTGAAACAAATAGTTATAAAACTTTACTAATTAAGTTGCCCAGGTTCAAAGAAACATGCTGTCACTGTGGATTGTGTGGTGAAAATCATTCTGTAACATTTCTTCCCTTCCCTGTTTCCAGTTCTTTGAAGAAATAAAACCACAAACTCCAATTACTGGGCCCTTTCCAACTTCGGCTGCGTCCACATTACATGGCTACAGCTTTCAGTAAAACACACGTCTATGGGGAGTGGATTTAGCCGCTGCCATAAGTGTGTGTGTTTGGCAGCCATAGCCCGAGTAATACTGACACAGCCTTAGTCTGACCAAACAACCTTAGTTTCACATACATCCTTTTCTTTAATGCAAACATCAGGTCTTTCAAGCGTATAGAAGGAGTGTGGAAAGGAGATTACAGGTGTTGGAGAATAACACAGAAGATGTATCATCTGTTGAAATGTCATCATCTAAACAACCATCGGAAACTTCCTCACCCATCAAAGGTTCGGAACAAAAATGTTGTGGAAATAACTTTGAGAGAGTTTTGGGGAGAACATTTGAAGCATTTTGAAGCACTCACATCTTGACCAGTGCTCAATGTCACAGAGTCGTTGGGTGCAAACTTTGGTAGGCACAAGAAGAACAAAAACGAACAGAAGGTCAAATTAAATGAATAATTGAAGTTTGTTAAATGAATTTTTATCTGATAATTTATGTTTTTCTAGCTGTTTATTTATAAACTTGTTGATGTTGCACATTACAGGATTTCGGCGTTCAGAGCGGCTGTCTGATGAGCTTCACAGCAAACCAGTCACTGCAGACAAAGACATCCCCACGGCTGGTGACATCCACAAAGTAGGGCGCTGTAACCACCCAGCACACGTAGCAAGAGTGGATGGAGACGAGGATGGTTGCCATGACAACCAGAAGGACCAAGCATCATCTGAAAAGGACCACGACAACCATTGTTTAGATGTGGACAATGATGACCATGGCAACCAGAGAACGGAGCATAAGGCCAAAGGGAAAGGCATCAAGAGAAAACTGCCGGTGGTGTCTTCGGACTCGGAAGACGAGAATGCCGACAGTTGCCAGGAGAAAAATAAGGAGGTTGCCAGGACAACTTCCAAAGGGAAAGGCATCAAGAGAAAACTGCCAGTAGTGTCTCCAGACTCAGAAGACGAGAGTGTCGACAGTTGCCAGGAGAAGAATAAGGAGGTTGCCACGACAACTTCTCCTTCACACATTGGAAACGGCAGCTTCACCAAGGGAGAGTTTTACAGGTGAGCTGTGAAACTGTTTGTATTGAATCCATGCATATCATTAATAATCCTGCGAATGGGCTCCGTACACAAACAAGACGAGGCACTTTTTGACCGCTTTCAAGCAAGCCTCCCATGGTCAGTACACACACTGTGTGGGCGGGCTGTCACCACGTTATGAGGAAGTTTTTATTATAAGGCAAATTAGGACCAAGTTATGGGGACTTTCTGCTGTCCCCACAGCGTCTTTGGTCCCCGTAGTACCGTGGGAAAACTTGTGTGTAGTCCTCACAAGTACGGAGCAAGTATGTGTGGTGTGTGGGTGTGTGTACTGGCTCATGCATGCAAAGCACGAAAAACATGCTACTAATGTTCGCGCGAGCATCAGGCATCATCGACAACGCGTTCAAAGTCTCTCCCGGTAGTCTCCCATAATTCTCCTTTCCAAACATCAAACTTCTAATGTACTTAATTCACATGGATCAAATGGATTTCAGAGATTAACTTTGGATGTTTCTGTCGCAGTCATTTGCAGACTTTTGAGGCTGTCTTGCAATCGTTAGTCGGTCCCACAGAAGTCACGGATATCACATCCAAGCCACTGGTCGTGCCTCGGACTTTGGTAAGTTCAACAAGCTAAACCTTAGAGTCTCTTCAGAGAAACACGCCCAAACCTCCTCAGAGATTTCAAAGGATCTTGGAGGGTTTGGTTTCATTTTAAATGAGGGACCATCTCCTTTTAAGTAAAACATTGGACTAAGTTTCATTCATAACCATTCCTTTTGTACAATTAAACAGGATTTTTATGCCATGTCTGTCAAATAACAAATTTTGCATGTGTAAAACTTCACTCACTCAGTTGTTACACAGGGTAATTTTTACATCTCTAAAAATTGTTCATATATTTGCTTTGAATTCTAGAAGCAACAGCATAACTTACGGTCAAGAAGAAAAGCTCATGTCAAGACTCCTCCATCCATACTGAAATCACCACCAACAAAAACCTCCACCCCTGCCCCCTCCCCAGGTCAGGTACGGCCAACGCCCTCCCCCACTAAAAAATCCAAAGCAGCTCAAGCCCCAGGCCAGGTACAGCCAAAACCTTCCCCCACTAAACCCTCCACCCCTGCCCCCGCCCCTGGCCGGGTACAGCCCACACCCTCCCCCACCAAAACCTCCACCCAAGCCCCCGCCCCGGGTCGGGTACAACCAAAACCTTCTCCCACCAAAACATCTGCCCCAGTACCTGCCCAAGGTCAGGTACAGCCCACACCCTCCCCCACCAAAACCACCCCAGCCAAGGCACCAAGTCGGTTAGAGTCAACACCTCAAAACGGAACCTCAGACGGAAGGGAGCATAATTCACCACATAAGAAAAGTGAAGGGAACTTCATCAAGTTCCAGAAGACGACCCCAAAACGGTGAGTAAAATGACAAGTTTCCTCTGACTTTTTAGATTGAGACAATGGAGCCTTCCTGTCTGTCAATCAACAGTGCAAATTGACCAATTGGATGACTACGTTTGGTCAGGTGATCCTGGCGGCTCAATCAGCAGAATCCAAAGGTGGGTGGGGCTTATGGCCATATCCAGAATAGTCCATTGTTCTTGGAGGGGCAAGTCTTTATATACACCAGAATGATGATCTCTGTGAATCTGTTCATAATGTCAGACTTGTTGGAGACGGCTCATCATAGCTTTATGAATGAATACTCTGCTTGGTTAGGAAAAGGGTGGACAAAGGGGTAAATTTGGTTTGAAATGGAGGGGAGGGGGGGTTGTGTGTGTAGATAATGAAATCAGGAAGAAATCCTTAAATTTCAGTGTTAGAAATTTAAATATGTAAAGAAGGACAGAACTCATGCAAGAGTTTGCATCATGATGCTAATTTGTTTGACTTCTTTTATTTTCAGGGGGAAGTCCATCCGTGACAAGAAGTACCAACCAAATCGTGTCAAGGAGATAAGTCCGGACGTCCCCAGCACATCCAAAGGCAATACGTCACCATACTCAATGTCAGAGGATGACTCGGACACCTCAAGTAAGTCAGAAATCACGTGGGGCCTGACATTTTGATCCTAGCAAGAGCTGTCTCTGTCAATTCTATGATTTGTATATTCCAGCAGTTTCTTTCTCTTGTAGACATTAATTTGAAGGTACAATCACAAAAACTGTTAATTTCCTTCCACTTCTTTTACTAAGGGACCCCACTGGAAACAAGTCCAGAGACTTTCTTTGGCTATCCCGGCCAATTGTCGCATACTGATAAACAAGAAGTTTTCCTGATGGGTTTTCAGTCAAGTCACCAGCTACATGAGGTCACATGATCACATTTCCTCACTGTCAATAGAGGGCGCTGTGGACAAATATTACCAGCTTTGGCAATGATTGATTGAATTAACACTTCAGTGTCCATGTCCATAAAAGATTTCAGAACATCAGAATTATCAGCTAAATGATGCAACTAAAGTAAATGTCTTATTCCTGTGTGATAGGCACTGAATAGGCACTTTGTACTTTTATTGTCAATTAATTTAAAGACCAAGAACTCACTTTAGTGAGGGTAATCTATATATTCTCAATCTGTAAATAATAATTCATTTTTTTCCCTGTTAGTTTCCCCTCCAGTCCTGCACTCCCCCCGCGTGCGTCGCAGTCTGGACCCTGATACTTGGAACGGCAACGCAACCCTCAGGAAACTCCCAAATCGCAGGAAGCCCTGGACCGAAGACGAGGTGGACTTGCTTAAGAAGGCCATACGTCGATACGGAGTGGGCAGATGGTCAGAGATGATCGTGAGTTATGACTTCAATGGCAGGACAAACGTCAACCTCAAAGACAAATGGAGAACCATGGTCAAGAATGGAGAAATCTAAGAGAGAGGTCGCAGTAAGACGAGGCAAGTGGAAGCTTGAGTCGGGGTTGGAATAACTATCTACCATTGTTTACAATTCCAAAACAGATTCAGAGACTTCCAACAAAACTGAAATAAGTCATCAGAAATGTTCTGGCAGTAAAATTATGCACAACAAATTCTGCTGCTGAAGAACCCTAGTGCACCATTGCCACCGTTTCTCCTTTCCTTATGAGATGCAACAGGGTTCGTGCAGTGTCAGTTGAAAACACTCAGAGATGCATCTTCAAGTACATTGTACTTGTTTGGCACGGAGTACAAATAGATTGATAATCTCTTCCAGGGTGAGTAGAAATATTCTCAGTCATTTCATGCCACTGAAACCGGAGATAAGCACCGGCCTGATGGGCCACAAGGCTCAGGACAGACTTTACTTTACTTACCGAAGTAGTGCTGTCCATGTTAGTTTATAGTGTGCATAAAAACTGTACATAAGTGGTGTATATTGTACATTATGTACATAATTTTTGAAGACAAAAGTCGATGTTCCAAACTTTCAGCAAACAACTTTTCTTTGAAGTTGTGTTTCAGATATTTACTTTTACTTAATTAACAAGTCTGGTACTTTACTATTTTTTAGTTCCTGGCATATTTTTGTGAAAATCTAATCATGTAAAAATGTTGTGTTTTGGTCCCACAATTTGTCTGTATATGTCTTGGCCAATGGATCTTTTTCTAAACTTGACCGTATTTTTTTTCCAGCATAAAAAAATGCCAGCAGTATTATTTTATCCAAAGCAAGCTTATTTTTCAGCCTTTTCTGTTTTTTTTTCTTTCTGATAGTGAAACTTGATTTATGCATTTTCACCCTCATATGTTAGAGCGTGGTTCATGAGGATTTCAATTTAAAGAGATCAACGTCAACAGGTTAAAAAAAAAATGGCTGCATAGCTTGAAAAATTAACTTGGTTCACTTGCGGGAAAAGAAAATTGGTGAACATATTCTAGCTTTCCATTTATAGGATGATGGGTGCAAATAATTGTCGAGACCAACATAATTTTTTTAAATTATTTATTCTCCATTGTAAATCAAAACCTACTCAATAACATTATTGCTTTGGAGGATTCAGTTACAACAGAAGCCGGATTTACAGAACGTTCTACTCTCAAAATATACGAGACAAAACTAGTGAATGAGTTGATTAAAATTGCTAATTACAAGCAACAAAGAAATATTTAAGAGGTGCGCGGAGAATTCTTAGATGTGCTGTTGTCAGCTTTGCAGTAGACTACAGTTTTTCACAAAATAATGAATGAAAACTTTGAAATGTAACTTCTAGTATAAAACTTTATAGTACCGATAGAAAAACAAAACAAAACTGACATTGTAAAAGGATGACTAGTATTTATTTTATTAAACTCTAAAATCATCTAAACAGGTTTCCAAGACTATTTTGAAATTTTTGAAAGAAAAACTTCTATTGCCCCTAACTGCTATAAATTCCAGCACCAGTGAGTTCAAACAAGGCATTTAAACAAGAAAATTGTCTCGCATATTTATAAAGGCAACACTAAACTTTTTAAAATCTACAACATGTACTTACACATTTTTTTACGAAAATTAAAAACCAGTTGAAAAAATTTAAATACGTGGACTTTATGTTCATTGTTCACCTTTGACTCAAGAGAAAAATTGTGTGCTTTGCATTTGTACATGCTTGTAAACCTAAAGCCTACGTACTAGCTTGAAACGACCACAACAATAGCTATTGAATGATCCGAACTTTCATTATCTTGAATCTAGTATAAGTTATGTAGATCTGTACATATACAGTCGAGTCTCGTTATAACAAACTCGTTCGGACCTAGCCAAATTGTTTGTTATATCAGAATTGTGTATTAAGAGGAACATCGGTCCCATTCATTGTGCATATAAATGCACAGTCGGGACCAAGGCTTTATGTTTGTTATAACCAGAATTTTGTATTAACAGAGTTTGTACTAACGAGAGTCGACTGTATACCAAGTTGCGTTGCTACATATTATTAGACAAAGTTGTTAGTCGTTTTTTGTTATGTAGACATAGCATTTTACACATGTACACGTATCTCATTTTTGATGACATGGTTAATGTCAATCACAGGGGCACTTTGGATTTAGAACTTCTTGGTTGTTACACTTCACATTCCAAGGTCTCATAACGACACTTACCAACTGCAAATAATTGTGCTGATTGGACAGATAAAGTGATAACTTAACACCAAGCCTAAATTCATCGCTCCGCTAACCATGGCATTTTGCACTTGCACTGACCATTCTAAGAGTTTGCCGAAATTGTATTCTGTGGCAACAACTTTTAGTTTTTGCCATCGACATACAACGGAGCACAGCTATAGCCTTATAAAAGTTTTTTAGACATTGTCTTTGTCCGAGTATAATCCGAAATACACAACAAGATTCTGTAACTCCAAACTGTTATTAAGAAAAAAAAGTCACTCAGGTTATTCTTGTAAAAAAATGTATTCATCATTTTTTAGTCAACATTTAATTCTACCCTGTGTTAATCTAAAGGTTTTATGTGTGCATACATGTACTGGGTACATTTAATGAGTTGACATTAAACACAAAATATGAGTGCCTATTTTATACACTACCCCAACTTCTTTGAGATGTTTCCTTTTTTGGCAAATAAACAAATTCACAAGTTTTTTTCAAAAAGTAAAATTTCAAAGTAAACTTTCTATAGCAATGTATGTATCCTCCATATGGTTGTGTTATCTCGTTTCATCTTTTATCTGTAAAATAAAACAATAGCTTTTGTTTTAACTACACTTAGTCGTGGTGCAAAAGGTTGTTTTTATAAAAGCCTGTGAATAGAGATTACTCCGTTGAACACCAGTACTGTTTTCTGGAAGTAACAGGTTCGAATCCTGCATCAGTCAGTTTTCTTGGATCAACTGTGTACTTCAGTTTTTCCTAAAAAAGTTTGATTCACCGTTTCCGAGATGTTAAGAATTCCACTGATTTTTGCATTAAAAATCATTTTGTGGAACCTGTAGACTTACTAAACAGTAAACAGTGATGAAAGAGCACACTGAAGCTGGGATCTCATTATTGGATACATCTAAGACTGTACACCGATTTTACTTCTGAAACTATTTCTACTTGTACAACACAACTGATAAATACACAAAATATCTACAAGTATTGCTCTCTGGAATGTTTACAAAGGTACTTGTCCATTTCAAATGTTTGTTTCTGCCATAAAATTGTCTGCCAAAACAATTCTGAAAGTCTGGTTTAAACCTCAGTGGTCATGTGACTTTTAGTCCTTCAAATAATTTGAGAGCACTGGAAATTAATTCAGCTTTCAAATTTAAATTTCAAAAGATCTTAACCTTTTAATACTTCACATTATGCTTTGGTAAATACAAGAAAAAAAACCTGTCAAATATCCCAGTGACCGTTGAAAAAAACCCCAAAAAGTTAAATCACATAAATCGAAACTATTATTAATATCCTTTTATAATACTTTCTAAATCATTAAAACTCCAATAAGTAACATATTATGTCATATATTTTGCTATTGATAACTTTAAAAATTCAAAATCAACACACATATAAATAAAAATGTCTATGCTTCTATGAAATTAACAACTCCAGCAAAACAAACAACATAAATTTATCACACATGTAACTCTTAACAAGCACTTCAACCAGCCAGAAATATTCCCAACTTTTTTGAGAGCTTTTGCAAGATGCCATGTTGGAATAGTCTGTTGCTAGGCAACTAGGCAGGTTACACATGTGACCATTGCAATGCAATCAAACGTGGCGACTCACAAAATCTCGACCAGGTCAAGTCCAAATGACTTGGGAACGGCTTCGGCTACGTTTCCATAACTGTGTACTTTTAAGCCATAGCCACGTCATTCGGAAGCGGCCTACATGTATGACTAGTTTCATCAAGTTCTCCAACAAAATTCCGAAATTTCTGTTCAGCATTTCTCCGTTCACTTAATACCTTCTCTGTTTTAAACCCCACAAATATGACTTTGCACGTACATGTATAGACAAGTACTAAAGCTCACTCATTTTTAAGCAATATTTTTCAAACCCCCTGCCATGAAGCCGGTTCATACTACACGCAAATGCGAAGAAAATCGACGTCATAAAACATTTGCAGCGAAAGTCGCCAGTTGAAATGTGTTCAACTTTTGCGAATTGCTGTAACGTTACAATTCGTATTTGCATTTGCGCCGAGTATGAACCGTCCTCCACTTCCCCAAAACAGGAATGATCCACAATGCCACCAACTTTAATCACACAAGTTCGGACTGTTTATAGTGTGTGGTAATTTTTATCCCGTCGCGTCTTGTAGAAGCTGTAGCCAAACCCAATGATCAGAACAATCGCAATGCCGAGAACGATTCCGCCGATGAAACTGGCTGCGTCGAAGCCCCCCTTGGAGGGTGCCGGTGTCGGTTTCACCGTCGGACCCACGGGCTTGGTGGGGCCTGAGTCTGTTGAGGGTGTTTTTGTGGCTTTGCCTGCTGTGGGGGCTAGGGTGGCGGGCTGCTTTGTCTCTGTTGCTTCTGTTGGTGCTAATGTCGGCGCTGTTGTTGGATTTGGTGTTGGCGAAGTTTTCCCTGCTGGTGTTGTTGGTGGTTTAGTTGTAACTAGGAATTCAAATAGTTAATATGTAGATGCCTGATTAGAAATAAATATAAGTTGGGGAAAGGGAGTAAAAAAAACTTTTTGTTGGTTGATATACATGTTTGTTATATTTCAGTACTCCAGACTTGTGAACCATTCAGTTTAGGAAAGAAAAAAAAGGAACTGAATTACAGTAAAGACTGGTTTATATTTCATGAAAGTATGAATACAAAAATTTGCAAAAGGTTGACAGGGAAATATTCCAGAACGTTCAACTTTTGCAGATTTTGGGAGAGACAACTTGCAGTGATTTCACAAATGGAGTGTGTGATTGCATTGGAACTGATAGGTTAGCAATTCCTGGATAGCTTACCTGCACCTTGTGTGGTTACGATGGCAGGTCCTTCTGTCACTGCAGTTTTAGTTGTAACATCGTCTGGTCCAACTGTGTCTGGTGTTCCTGTGGGTGGGGCACCGGCTGCAAAGGGAAAATATCAAATTTGTTCTATTTATTGCAGTATGCATTTCCTTCCATTACTTGACCCTAACCACAGAACAGAACCAGAAACAGCTTGTATTTGTAGAGAAATTCTGATTATGAATTTAAAAAATTTTTGTCATAAAAACTGACTGGGAACAGTGACAGTCAGAATGGACACTACGTAATGGGTCAAGAGTATCAATGCACAACCTACGTGTACGTTCATGTACAGACTAACATTTTGAGGTGAAACCACGTCCGCACACACCATAGATTAAGGAATCTGCCTATGCACACACACACACACTGCAAGCGTTCTTATAGACAAGGCGCGCGAGTATTTTGATAATCTTATTGTTCGAAGGAGCCCGGAGACTGTGCGTACTACCTCAGCGCGACCCACGCGAGTCTGGCGCCACCGCAGAAAATGGCTGTCACCCAATTAGTCTGTAAAGAGCACTGTGCATGTTGTCCACTCACAAATGCTACACTGAATGACACATCATAATGTGCTTGAGAGGAACAGACCTAGGCATGGATGCAGGACAGAAATGCCCCTTTAATGTCCATCTATGAATTGATACAGAATGTTATGCAATCTGTACTGCTCATCTACATTTTTTTACCACTAACTATTTTTTTTTACATTTCGTTTGTCACCCAGTGAGCTCTGTGATAGTTAAATGAACTACAATGTGCTTTCACACACAAGAAACAAGTCAAATTTCCTTGTCCGTTTCCTGTAGAGATCTAGGAAATTTTCGTTAACCTAACTTCCTAGGGGGGTGTGCAAAATCGTATTACAATTGTAGGATTCAGGACTGTTCGCCATGCACGTCTATAGTAGACTACTGATTTTATAAAATTTCCAAAAAATATAAAGTTTAAAGTTAGGCCATACAAATTTATCAAATCCATAAAACAATACACCCCCCCCAAAAAATACACACAAAACAAAACAAAAAAAATACTTTTCAGCAACTGCTGTTTAATTGCTATGTGCGTACTGTTCTTTCCTGCTGTGGGCTTGCTTGTTGTTGCAAATTCAGGAAGTAGCTGGAGTTATAAACGTGTCATTCAAACACCTGTTATTTGTTCTCACTGCATGAGAACAAATGCGGGTATTACACTACAAATTCAATCCATCGTAATATTGATTTTGATCCTTGTGACAAGTGCGAGTGACTCATAGTTCGTGCTATCATTTTTATTTTTCACTCATGTATCTCAATCTGTTTTTGATACACATGGTTCTATGAATGAACAACATTTTGATAAAATGTAGGGCGTGCTATTAGAATTGTGTTAAAATATGGTATAATTTTGGACAATGATTATCTCCAGCATGTTGTTTGGAAATTTGGTTGTGAATAACCTTTTTTTTTTTGTAAATTATCTTTCTGTGCACAATGCAGTTTTACAATTATAATTCAACTCTACATAAACCCTAGCCTGATGCAAATCACATGTACATGTATGTACACTAAATTTTACATGCACAGTGATAAAATTTATGCAAGCATTAACTTGCATATGTGATAGCATCATGACTATAAAGACGTATGTTTGATAGCATTAGTAATACCTGATAGATGTCATAAAGTGGTAACCATAGACCACATGGCATGTATTAATGTACATAATTTAACTTGCAATACAAATATCAAAATGCATAAAAGCCCACATGTGATATAACCGTGTGCACAGAGTGCATGTGAACGTATGCAACCAACACATGTTAAGCTTCCCATACAAAAGCCTTCATGCCTGTTTACACAATTCAAATGATCCTGAGCGACCATAATTGCACGTTTAATTTATTCGCAATCGGATGAGTGGAGTATTAACTTGGTATAACGGACCAGAAGCATTTAAATGACGATTGAAGAATGAATTTCAAAGATATGACAACTTACAAGTCAGGCTCCAAAGCGTGACATTTTTTCCTGTCCCTGTTACCTTGTAATTTACATACAAGTATCAGACAATATTTTGCATTTGTTGGGTAGGTAGGTTGCTATTTATAATCACTCTTGGAGGACGACTGCATTAATTAACACAATAATCAAATCATAGATATGTCAGATATAACAGGGACATGAAAAATGTGGACTCAAAATTTATAAATGACCTAATTCATTATATTTGGGGGAGGGCGAAATTTTTTGTTTTACCTTCATACCGAGACAATGATAACATTTATACATGTACCTTTGAATCAGCCAATATAATACATGTACCTATATCTTATCATGTACATATGTATACTATTAATATAAAAAAAACCACCAAAAAACAAACTTCAATTTGCTTGTTTATTAGCACTCAATGTCACATCATATGCATGCCAATAATAAGGTCAGTTTTATATTAACTTCATTAACACACTAATATTGTAGAACTCCACTTTCAAATACAGGTTGCATATTTAGAATATATGGCACAGGTTTTGCATGATATCAACATACAGAATTGTGTACACGTATGCAAAGTTACATGCTGCACGTCCACCCCTTGTAACCATGGTAACAGGAATGAGGCATTTTGCTGGGAATATGCCATCGAAAAAGTATGAATATTTTATATGTAGATGATGTATGGAAGCAAATTTGTAATAATGTGGAATTTCAAATTCAGTGTTTTGCCCTTGAACAGTGCAAATAAGGCCAAATAAAAAAAAAAACATGTTTAGCTTCGCCGCCCGCTTCCTTTTTGGAGGCCGCCTCCTTTTTTTCAAACCGAAAAAATTACAAATTTTAAACAGTGACATCCTCTTTGTCTGTTGCATCTAGCCCAAATAAAGCTGTTATGTTAGTTCCTGAGAACAAGTGGCGGCCATTTAAAATAAAGCTGCCAGTCATCTTGAAAAATAGCCCGGTTGCGCGGCCATTTTGGAGGGGGAAAAAAGGGAGCCTTCCTCCTTTTTTTCAAAAAGGCAGGACGCTAAGCATTTTTTTTTTACTTGGCCTAAGCACTGTGTACCCTTTATGTACACAGGTAATTTGTATGCAGGCCTGTGAGAACCAACCAATGTAACATTATTAATCTTTAAATTTGGAGTAATTGTTTTAGAATTTCAAACATTGTGGCACATGTAATAAGCCGAATGTCTTGACAAAGGAACCAATTTTTTTTATCCAATTAATGGCACAGTAATATTTTATAACATTAATCATTATTTGTGGGAAGAATTTTGTACTGGGGAAGGGGGGGGGGCTGGTGATTTGTCTGGAGCTAATCATATATCTCTTGGGGAATTCCCATCTTGATATAACACCACAGCTGGTTTACATCTAGCAAGATTAGTAGACGCAGTCCATTATGCTAATGAGCCTGGCATTTACAGAGTGCATGGCCTCACATTCCTACTGCTCATAGATCCATCTCCTTGCATCGTGGAGGCAATTTATGGAGACAGCTTACCCTATAAATCTCATTCATGCAGACTTAAAGCAGCAATCTCACAGACTATGAATTTATGCCCAGCCAACTATTAATAATGGTCTAATTGACGTGTCACTTTCTTGTGAGAAAGCTTATGAATGTACACTGCACTTTTTCAATCCAAATGCACATGACAAAATTAATACAATGCAGTATTAAACAAAAACCATGAAAAAAGACCAAAACAAAGCAAACAATTATAGAGAAATGTTCACCACGTGCACAACAACATGTGTGAACACTTGTGTCTTAAAGCTTGTACATTGATGACAACACAACTCACGTGATACAACAATAGGCTAAACAAATTTAACACTTCCTTTAGGGATTTTCCTTTGTTGTGTAATTATACTGATACAAAATGAAAGTGAAACTTGTAACTTGAATAACTTAATCTGAGTTTGACTGACGAATCTACCTATCATATTACTGACCTTTAGGTCAACATACAATCAGCATAAGGTGGGGTTTCTTTCCACCCCCCTCCATGCTCCCCCCCCCCCTTCCAAAAGGAAGAAAAAAAAGGTAGGCTATTAAAAGGCCAGGGATAAAAAGAACACACATTTCTAAAACTTCTGCAAAAAACCCTGCTTTTGACTGCAAAATATCAGGAGGACAAGTTTTTGAAAGGGAAATATTTCCTTTCTAGAATCACCATCATCACACCTGTTTTCACCGTTTTCATTGTCCTCGTCCTCTTTATCACTACACTTTTAACACAGTCATCACCATTTCCCTCCGATCAATCATTCAAAAGTTTTTGGGTTTTTTTTCACAGGAACACAGGAAAGTTGAGAAGCATCTCCACTTCATTAATGTTCATCATCATCATCACCCTCAATGCATCATCAGGGATCATCCTGAATTCTTCAGCTTTCTCAAATTTCTGTCAATTTTGTTTTTTTAATTTTCCAGTGCCATCCTCTTCATGATTACATTGAAAGCAAATTACAAACTGCATGTATGCCATCATCATCAGCACATCGTTTTCATTGATATTATTAAAAGTATTAAATTGATGAGATTAATCTTATCACCAATTGTTTACTCTTTCTGGAACTACTTAAAAGGAGACAAATTAAGAACATACATGTATGAACAAAAACCATAAATACAATGTATCAATGCCATGATGTAAATTCCCCATCACTAAGTAATATGAAACAATCTTCATTCATCATCCACTAGTGAGTCATCATCATGATGATCATCCATCATTGCAACCAAATCACAACTTCATCAAGAACTTCAGAAAATAAATTGTAGGCGTCTTCACAAAAACTACAACAATTTTATCATCCTCCAAACAGGCCTAGTTTTCATTTTTCAGATCAATCCTCATTTAACTGCAAAATTACAGACCATTTTCTATTTTTTTTTTCACTCAACGTCTCAAGTATTAATTATGCAGCATCATTCAACAACAAAAGATTTACCTGTGGAGATGAACGCTGCCAGCGCAACAAGGAGAAGAACCCTGGTGTCCATTTCGATCAAAACCTCTGCTCTCCTCTCAAAAACTGGCAGTCAAAGATCGCCCTTATCTTCAACAACAAGAACACAATGATCTTTGCAAGATACTCTTTAACGGTTCGTAGACTGATTGCTGGAACGGATGACAGTCAACTGGTGAAGAGATTGATGATTTCTTGGACAATGCACAAGCGATACGTACGTGTCATGTGTTTATTTTGTACGATCATCGAAAATCGATCGCGCAGACGAAAATAAAACCCACCGGTAAGTTGTTATAGCGCCACCAACCGGTCAAAGACATCCAGCTTAGTGCCCGGTGTCGGTCTGGCTAACGCCGTACGATCCCAGTCCCAATGTGAAAAGAACGATTTACGTGATCGTAAACCAGACTCCTGTACTAGCATCGAAACAGCTTGCACGCGGCAGTTCTTCGATTTTTGTTTGCAAATCACAAAATGTCGGCTATTGAAAGGTCTCTTCGGTCAGTGTTTGGTGAGTTTAATAGTATACATTCTGTTTTAGTGAAATATGCGTTAAGTCGTGTTGCTACATTGAAGATCAGGGAGGAGGGTTAGGTTTTTTATTCGAAGTGGCTATCGTTACGGCAGCCGTTGTTTAGCGCCCTCTACGATACATTTTTGATACGCACGCAGGTATATAATTATTTGTTTCCCCACGTTTTATCGAGCAGTGCGACAGCTCAGTCGATGGAGGGTAGGATTTTGCACCGTGAGGTTGCGGGTTCGCATCTCAGTTTTGCACTCGAATTTTTTCCTTTTCTAACCTGAGGCTTTGGAGGATTTTTTTTAAAAGGGAAATAAAGTCTGAATTTCATAACGTTCAAATTCACTTTTTTCCTTCTAATTTTATATTTTCTTCTCATGTTTTTATAAAAGTTGCAGTCTACCGTAACGATAGAAAATGGGAAATGCGTTACGGCTGCCGTAACAATAGCCACTGCGTTTTTTATTTTAACAAACCTTCACAGTGAGTTCACTTTTTTCACTTTCAAGTTTAGTCACTCCATGGAGGAAGAAAATAGATTCTCTTCCTCCATGGTCACTCAGAACATGGAGGTAGGAAACAAACAGACATAAATGACAGACTGTGCATACAATCGAATCAACATTGTGACTGTTAATTTACGGATAAATTGGAAGCGTGCAATAAAGATACACACTGCATTGCAATTTGCGTGACCTCGGGTCAATCATGTCGATGCGAGGTGCAGCGAAAACAAACGCTGTTGAACTTGAAAAAGTTCAAGTTGAAAGTAGGCCTACGCCACGGTTCATGACGGTAGGGGCCTAGCTTTGCACCATGAAAGTGTGTTCACCTCAGAACGTTTTCACCTTAAAATCAATGTTGATTAATTGGCCTTAAAGCTACAGTCCATCATTTGTAATTTGTGCATTTTGTTCGTTTGAAGCAACAAAAGAGTTCAAAATCTAATGAAGGATACTGAGCAACTAACCTGATGAAGTTTCAGCTAAGCTTCAGCTGTACATTCCGAGAAAAACAGCATTCTAAGATCTCAATTTCAAATCAAAAGTTACTGAATCATGTTTTGAATTGTTTTGAATTGCAGCTATACGCGACGTTGCGCACTGATCCGACGAATTATAACAACCGCGCGCGTGTGCGTCGTTCCAATACTTGTGCGCGCTGCGCTGAATAACAAAACGAACTACTAATTTAAATTTTCCTACGGTGCTTCTTAAGAATCACCGTTGGAAAGGCCTTCTTTCGTTGATTACTTCAAAATGACAGCTTCCCGGAAAGAAAACTTTCACAGGGAGTTTAGTTCCCTTACTATCTTTCAACCAAGTTTGTTTTTCAACAATAATTACGACAGTTACTTTTCGGATGGCTGCAAATGATGGACTATAGCTTTAACAAAAGATGTTGCTACATTGCTAGTCAGTGCAGTAGGAGATGGTTGCTATGCATAAAGTCCATGGAGATATTGTGCAGTGCACAGTCCCACAATGCACTGCAGCATAACATTCTACATTCTCTGTGCAATTGTGGTCTGGCCCCTGAAACAATGTAAAAATAAAACTTTACAGGATATGATGAATCACTGTCAGCTTACTACTTTGTTTTGGTGCAGCGTGCATTTGTTCATGTGTATCTGATGATAATAAACTTTGTCTCCATCACAGTTGGCAACATCCCTTACGATGCGACAGAAGAGAAACTCAAGGATATCTTCTCGGAAGTCGGACCAGTCATCAGCTTTCGTCTGGTCTATGACCGCGAGTCTGGCAAACCCAAGGGCTATGGTTTCTGCGAGTATAAGGACCAAGAGACCGCCCTCAGCGCTATGCGCAACCTGAATGGTTACGAGCTAAACGGGCGAGCACTAAGAGTGGACAATGCAGCGAGCGAGAAAAACAAGGAGGAACTGAAAAGTAAGTAGCTTGGTGAAAATGGAAGATTCAGGTGTCAATAATTCCTGTAAACCAGTTTTGTAAAAGGTTTTATCCTTCATTATGAAAGTTGGAGTTATGCAAAGATTCCCAAATAACAAATATAGCTACAGGTATTAAAGTGAGAAGGAATTTAATAATAAAAATTAAGATAGATGTACCCCGAGTCATGATTTTACTATGCAAATTTTCTGTTTCTACTTGTATACAGATTTGGTCCCTGCAGCACCAGCTAGCGACGTGAGTTTTTCTCTTTATCCTTTTCTACTGTTTTAATAATTTACTGGGCAGAATTCTCATCAACATGGTTACAAATGTGTCTTAATTCCCCCATTCAAGGAAAATACAGAGTACCAGGCAGGTTGCTCGGTCGAAGTACCGGAACTTGTATACTTAACACCCATGTCACATCCCTGTATTTTCAATTCTATCTTCTGTGTCAGTCGCCGTTTGGAGATGCGGTTCCGCCTCACGAAGCACCTGAAGCAATCTCCAAAGCAGTGGCCAGCTTGCCTCCCGAACAGATGTTTGAACTCATGAAACAGATGAAGGTAAATTTATCTGCTAAGCAAAACTCTGCCGAGTACCAGTCACAAGCAATGTACAAAACATTACTTTTTAGCTGGTAACTCTCTACTAAACTGTTTTCTGTGCTAAGCAGCTCAATGAACTTTGACCCAATGACTTCCTTCTCCATCTATTTGGTGTGCACGTAGTTGATGCTGTCATATTTTATTTTGAACATGTAGCTGGTGATTCAGAACAACCCTGTGGAGGCCAGGAACATGCTACTGCAGAACCCTCAGCTTGCGTACGCGTTGCTCCAAGCCCAGGTGGTTATGCGTATCGTCAGTCCAGAAATTGCAGTGGTAAGTTAAACCACAAAATCAGATACAAGCCAGTAAAATCGTGATTCTGTACGTGAGAACCCTCTAAACGGTGAAAAAGAAAAAGCGCTAATATTGAAGGGCACCACTACTGCTCTTCACCAAATCTCTGTTCAACTCATTTGCAGATGCAACAGGTTTCAACTTTACAAATGAAACTTGGACAATTGTACTTTCACACCATACTGCTAAGACATATAATGGAATCTGTGCACAAATACCCCTCAACGGTTAATACAAGAGAAAGTACAGCAGAATGCTTGAGTGCTTTGCTGTCATACGCCTGGCGCTAATGCGAAGACGATACGGGCTGTGCACATTTGGAATAAAAACAAGTCTTGCATACTTTGCGCCATACACATGCAAACCAGCGTGCCACACAGTGTGTCCCGCTCAGAGAGCTCTCATGAGTAGACTCAAAGCATTATCTATTATTCATGCTCGGACTCCTTAATCAACCAATGAACTTTCTGTATTGAACAATCCTCCTTGGCAGACCCTCCTTCATAAGCAACTCAACACTCCACAAACCCTCCTGCCACCAGAGATGCCGCAGCCAGTCATGGCACAACAGCAACAGCAGCAACAACAGATGTCTCAACCGATGCAGCAGCAATCGCAGCAGCAGCAGACGATGCTAGGAGGGCAGGGTCCAGGTATGGGCATGCTAGCTGGCATGCAGGGTGGGGCCGGGCCACGCCCTGAGATGACACAACGACAACAGGGACCGGGCAAGTCTAGTTTTCAAATGAGAAACATCTCTTGTCTTCTCTTTTCAAAGCGAAAAATAACAAACATGATTGGCTAGTCTAGTACTGTACTGCCCAAAACCACCAGAAAATTTGGGCAGTACACTGTGAAATGCAGGGTTCTTTTTCGGAGGTACATCAGTAAGCAAAATAATGAATTCAGCCAATTTTAAAACAATCCAAAATATTCCAAAACTCTGGAGTGTCTTCCCAATAATCAACGATGGCTGCTAATCAGCTACAAACTTGACTAAAACTGAGTGAAAATGACACGTTCTCTACAGTTACAAGCAATTAAAACACTTGTTCTGTTAAACACTTCCACTGTATTCTAAATGTATGAACCATTTTTCTTTTGTTGCAGGGATGATGCGTCCAATGCAGGGCCCAAATCCTATGGACAGAGGACCAATGGACGGCCGAGGTCCCATGATGCAACAGGGCCCGCAAGGACCAATGGGAATGGACCGTATGGAAACAGGTGCAGAATAAAAACATTGAAATATCAAAACAAATATTTTTTAGCCTTATTGATTTGATTTCAAATTCTAATTTGGTTTTAATTTTTGTCACAGAGCATATGGGCCAGCGCGGCATGCCGTTAGGTCAAGACCAACGCGGACCGTTTGACCATCGCAATCAGATGGATCCTCGTGGTCCGGCACCAGACATCAGAGGTCAACCTGACCCAAGGTCACATGATCCGAGGTCACTTGACCCTAGACGACCTGACATGAGAGGTCAGGAGGTCCGGGGCTTTGACGGTCGTAGTGACCCGAGAGCTCAACCTATGATGGGTGTTGACCCTAGGGTCTTGGAGAGAGGAATGCCGGTAAGTTAAAATGAGTAAAAAAAAATAAATGAATACAAATGTCTCTAAGCGCTTCTCAATTTATTATTACCCCGATCATCAGGTCATAAGACCATTTTTCTGCAGTACCTCAAGATCAGCGCAATCTGGTCTCAGTCTTCACAGGTACCCATTTGTACTCCTTGGTGGAGAGAGGCAATTGTAGTAAAGTGTCTTGCTCAAGAACATCATGTTGCTGTAGGTTTAAATCAATATACAAGTATACAAACATCCACACCGTAACTATTGGACCACAGAGCTTTAGTTGGAGTGCTGCAATTTTGCGATTATTTTATTTTAACCTCACCATTTCACCTTTCAAGTTAAATTTAAGTTCAAACAAGGCTGTGTTTAAACTTTTTTTATAATACTGAAGTCTTGATGTTCACTTTAAAAAATGAAGCTGATTATATTAATTTGTCCTCTTCTTTCAGGGTGGGCCTCAGGGTGGACCCAGTGGGCCAGGCGGTCCAGGTGGCCCAGGATTTACCAATGCACAACCCACACAACAAGAGCAAGACAAGGTAAGAACTAACCCGTTATTTCTCAGTTTTTACCAAGAATTTGCTTTTGGTAGACCTGAAGGGCCAGTAATCTAGCATTCTGTCCTCTTACTGACCGAGTCACAGACTGATTTACAGACTGACTGACTCATTGAGTCACTGAGCATTGAGTACAAATAGTATCTGAAATTGATACTGTTGGGTTCAGCTCCACTAGTCAAGCTGAGCCTTGTTTTGCTACGGATTTGGTCTTTGCCATTGGCATGCAGTAGTGAATAGTCGTAGTCTAAACAAACAAGAAGAGTTTTTGACATGTGGAGTGTCATGGCCGAGCGGTTAAGATCACCGGACTCAAGCTCTTGTGTTTCTAATCAGCAGAGTGTGGTTTGAGTCCCGGTCTTGACACTTGTGTCCTTAAGCAAGGCACTTAACCATTATTGCTTTGTCCTTTGGATGGGATGTAAAGCCATAGGTCCTGTGTGTTGTGTAATGCACATTAAAGAACCCAGTAACGCATATCGCTTAGAGAAGGGGTTCACCCCAGTGTTTCTGGCAGTGCATTTATCTTCAACCATGAAGTCTGCACTTGTAAGGAAGAAGAAGAAGAAGAACAACAACAGAAATCAATATCTTAAGAATGATTTCTGAGTTCAAATTTACTTGATCTTTTTTTAGGCGGCTCTGATCATGCAAGTGCTTCAGCTGTCCCCAGAACAGATCAACCTACTCCCGCCAGAGCAGAAAGCTAGCATCATGTTCCTGAAAGACCAGATTGCACGTAGTCAGGGACAGATCCCATAAAGAGAAAGTAAATAAGGGCAGTAACGTGGAGTTGGTAAGCACAGAAAGCTGCTCAGTGTAAGAATAGTTTGCTTATTGGCTGGTATCCCGTTTTAAGATTGCCAGCCAGTGATGTGTATTTCTTGTAACTGGTGCCCTGCGACCGTCGCTAAGCAGTATTTTGCCATTAGTAGTTCCATGAAATTGGCTCCTAGAAGTGGGAGTTTAGGTACTAGACCACGTCAGTTTTGTTACATTTTAATGTTTGAAACGTTAATACTATTCCGATTTTGCCGGTATAGTGTGAAATTTGGACTAATTGATTGTATTGCACATGTCTAAGTGGAGATAATTAGGGAAGTGACAGGTCACGTTTGTCCATATAAGGTAAAAGATAACAGATTTCTTAGAGTCCAAATTTTCGATGACACTGGGTCTCCAACCAGTCTGCTCCCCCCTCTGTCACAACCTGCCCCGCCCACGCCTACAGCCCACTCCAACCCAGATATCAAAACACAATGTTTTCTATCATGCAGTGTGGCATCTCAACTTTAGCAATGTGTTCGGGTCAGCAAAATACATTTCTTTTATCTCGGATGAAATGATGTCATTTTATGTCGCTCAGACTTCAAGTTGTCCAGAAACGTTCATTGTTCACATTCCACCTGCGACAGTTAATAGGTTGTAATTATTTGGAATGCAAATCACTACCCCTTTGAAGTCTTAAAATCAAGTGCTGCTAGTTCCTCCAAGTACCCACAATATTATTTTGGATAATTTTTGAAGGAAAAAAATCAAGAACTTTTCTCTACACATAACTGACCTTCTGTATTCATTGCGCTTTTTTTATTTTGGGGGAAAACGGCACCAAATAAACACATCATTATTGAATCCCAGTCTGGATTTTGAAAGTGTATTTATTTCTTTGATATATTTTTTTTTCAAAACTAAAGACTTATTTAATCAATTTTCATTCATTCATTTTTTATAAAAACAAAATAATGCATTCAATTACCTGAGAGACCAACAATTTCACATACAATTGTAGCATTACACCAACATGGTGAAAACTACAAAATAATGAACGAGTTGTTTACAAATTCAATAATTCAATGATCCCATCCTGTTTACAATCAACATAATTTTAATCAAATTGACAATCTGACGTACACAAAATCCAGCGTCTAACTATAATACCCCTTTAATAAGCACACCAAAAAGCAGTACAAGTACATGGCCTTTATGTAGAATACATTTCCACTTGACAGATAAAACTTTTACTGGTACAAATATGTCAATAAAATACACTGTAGATAAATAAGTGTTTATACAAGAAGTCAAAAGTCGCAAATGATAAAACAGTTAATATCAAATGTTAAAAAATACTCGGGATACATGTTCATATTAAATGGAATGTACAATGTACGGTATGATTCTGTCAATGTCATTTTATATTCAGACAAAAATCATTTTAATATTGTTTGGTCAGCTTTCTCAAGTACTATTTACTGTTTCTATGATTGTCATGCATTGTATCTGTTAAGTTAGATTTTTTTTCTGTGCTGCCGCACAGATTTTAAAAACGATTTTAAAAATGTCAGTATCCAAGATGTATACAAGTATTCAATTAAAAATAATGAGGCACTTTTATTAGTAAAATTAGTACAACATTTACAAACCTTTCCCAAAAATACTAATTAAGAAATAATGATTCACTGTAGCACATACAATATAAAGCTATATAAGCAGGCATCGTTATGAAATAAATAGCACATTCATCAATAACTGCATCTAATCATTTTAATAGTCAATTCCTGTTCCTTCAAAATGTAGAAACAGTTCTATCTTAATGCTCAATACACGTACATTATTTTGTAGTTGCTTACACTTTATATGATACTGGTCAAAGTCAGTTACATCAAAAGTTAATTTGAAATCATGGTAATCATCTATAGTCTTTACAGCCCTGAATCCTCCAATTTTAATATGATTTTGCACACCCCCTAGGGAGTTAGGGTTAATTTAGTACTCCCATTTAATTTTGCTATAATTGGCATATATAAGTTTTGAAAGACAATTCCATTTTAGGTTTCGGCAAAAGATACAAATCTTTTCCTGTCTGTGAAGCTGTTCAGTTGCTTAGAAGTTTTCTTTGTTGTAGAAGAAACGACATCCGTCTTGTTTGAAGCTAGAGTAACGATTGCAACACTTGTGTAGCACAGTAGAAAGATTCTTGGGCCCACAAAAGAACACTCCTGCATGAACGCTAAAAATTAAAAAAAAAGTTAATCCAAAAAGTTCACAAAATCAGTCAAAACAAACTTACTGCTGCCAAACAATAAATCTCTGCAAAAGAAATAAACTGGTGTACATCCATCACAATTGTCATATCTCTTGAACCTCGTTCAACTGGTCAAAGCTTTTGAAACAAACAATTGACTGACTTACGCTGGGTGGGTTTCAGCGAGCATCTTGAAGGTTTCGTCCCACTTGGGCCGGCCGTAGTTCGTCTTCTGTCTCAGGCCGGTGATCGCATCAACTGCTTGTTCCTCTTGCAAGTAAATGTTCTTGGCCTGAGAAAAAACAAGGATACACAAGATTCAATTTTATCAAGTGACAAAATGTATACAAGATTCAAAACTCCACTTTATAAAACAACTTACTTGTCTGTGACTCCACCCTCGACTCAAATAAATGTGATACTCGAGAAAATCTCCCTGACCGTTCTCGATCAGCATCGACTCCAATGATGACAACATCTCAGTGAACCACTCAAAGGCGTTGGTGTCTCGGCAAATCCAGAAGAAATAGACCTTCTTGAGTTTCAGCTCATTTTCTGGGTCGAGGACTTTGTGGCTGAAACGAGGAAAGAATCACGATAAAAGACGATTCTGTTTGGATGATGAAATGTGGTCAGTCACCGTGCACAGTGAGACAAAACGGGTTTCTCAACTCGAAAGATGTTAACCGCAATGTTTCAGTTTTATAATGCTCAGTTTTCTCTCCCGTTGACCGATTTGTCTGAGAAAAAGAAATGCGATTCTCCTTAGAGCAGTAGAGAATAAAACTGAAAGCTTACGAGATGGATTTGAGAATGGAGGCAAACGGGGTGACGCCAATTCCTGCTCCGATGCAAATCCCAACTTCATACTCGAAGATGTCAATGCTAGCTGTGCCAAACGGACCATCTATGGCGATGCTGAAACAAACAAAAAAATAGCGGACACATTTTTATTTCACGGACCAACTTCATAAATTCATAACATGTCAAGAGACAATTCTTACAAATAACCAAGTATGTGCCAGACATTACTATAAGCTGGTCGATCGGGGGTAACAGCTTGATATATACCTGGGCAGCTTTGCTACGGACTGTTCCCCTTCATCTGCTCCCACTTTTTCTCGCAGCTTATTGGTCCAATCACCGACGGTACGGATGTGAACGCTCAGATAATCCTCCTCAGGTGACTACGGAAATGAAGAAATTTTCCAAAAAAATTAACTGTTGTCTTGACAACAGGTTCAACATGTTCAAAGGTCAAAACGAGGTCAAAGAAGAGTTGGGTGAAACGCTAGAGACAGTTTGAGTGAGAACTGTGAATGATAATTGTTCGACTATTGTGACTATCCGCTTCATTTACAAGTACCCCCTCACCGGCAAAGAAAGTACAGTTGGGGGTGACCGACCGACGCCATCTTGCCTGACTGCAATTTTGCCGCGACATGCAACCGTATCACTGCGTGTACATAGTACAAATCCCCTGGTGTATCTGCGTCACACACAAGGAACGGTGTGCGTCAACCAGCTACATGTCCCGCCCATGGGATGTCGTTGCTAGGTAAAAGGGCGCCCCCTTTTGTTGGCGCACGGAGCCCATAGCCACTGAACCCATTGTACTAATCGGGTCGATTAATCGGAACCAGCCTAAAGTTGGTCGCATTATTGGTCACAGAAGCTGTGCTGATCGTAGTGTACAACACGAAGCTAGGAGTTTTGTGTGACATTTTGACTTGATCGATTCGCAAGTTATCAGTGCCAAGGGAAAAGTTACATCACAAATCAAACACTGCTCGACAAATGGTCTAAGATTGGTCCTCAACTTTGCTCAAGAAGGAGAACCATCTCAGAATTGAGTATCTTACAGAGGTCAGTGTGAAGGGGTGCCACTGGAATCTTGATATGGACGGGCAGAGGAGGAAGACATACTGGCCTGGCAGCATCTTGAAGCCTTGCTTCTTCATCTGAAGCTCAATCACGCTGGACGGATGCTGGACAACCTACGAGGATAAAAAAAGAGAAGTCAGTGATGAAGACTGGTGACATGATTTTACTTACATGATGACATACGACAGAGTGCTCTGGGTACTTGACCGGATGTCCTTGATTCAGTTTTATCAACGAATTGCTTAAACCTGCTCTTCTTAATATTGCATGAAGGAGCCACAACATCTTGTCAAGATTACCTTGGTAATGATAATGGTTTGCCAAGCTCTGTAGATACGAAATATCCTCTCAAAGATGTAGCACACGATCGGGAAAAGAAGCCACTTCCAAGTCTGAAGGATAAAAATGGGTTAAAATTCAAGTTATCTGCAGCAGGAAAAAGAGTTCAGTTGTAGTTTTTGTGAAGGGGGGGGGGGAGCAAAAAATCCCCTACTTGCTTTACCAAAATGTGCTGTTAAATTTTGTAACTAGGATTTCCTTACTTTTTTAAAATACTTTCCTTGCAGTACACTTTAAAACATCAGATCCAATACTCTGTTCTGATTTTTTTTCATGTCAATCTACCATTAGAAACCTTCTGACAAAGCTTTCACAATTGATGACTCAAATTTCTCGTCAAGCAACATCCGAGTAATTGATATTGAGACCAATTTCCAATGGCGGCTTTCACAGCACTCAAGAATGACCTCAACAGTCAAATTTTCCTGCTGGTAATGAAGCTTTTAATAATAAGACCATTTTATGAAGTGTGTCAATCCAATACTGATGTCCGGCAATCTAGCAAACAAGAATTTGAAGGAACGTTGCTTCATCATCGAGCCTAAATTGGGTGAAACGTGCAGGGCATTACATACTGAGATGGCGCAATTAAAACTACATTACAGTAAAAGCAGTGATTTTCTGCTATGGCAACAGTTAGATTCTTGCTATGGCAACAGTTAGATTCTCGCTACGGCAACAAGTTGGGCGCAGCATCATTGACGCATTTTGCATCAGAATCTAGAAAGGTGTTCGTGTAGTTAGGCGCATGAGGCTGTGCGAGGTTCCAGTTTGAAAAAGGTTGCTACTTCTTCAAATATTCACATCAAATACGGTATTAGTGACCATGTTTGATGGCGGCTTAAGAATTGACAACATGAACGGAGCAGCACATGAGTGAGTTGTTTATAGACATTCGTCTCTGGCTTTAGACATCTTCAAAACTTCTATACTGCGCCTGCTGGAGGTCAAAATGTCTAATTCATCAGCCGATTTCTATCCAACATCGGGCCTGTCCCCATTCCTGATCGTCCTCCGTACCAGTTTCATCACACTCCTTAGCTTGCTCATCATAACTGGGAACATTTTCTCCATCGTCGTGACGCGTCGTATGAACAACATGGCCGACAGCACCAAAGTTTTAATGACATCGCTGGCCGTTTATGACTTTCTCGTTGGTGTAGTGTCATCTTTTAGTATCTTCGCCTCCGCAATGGATAGATGGCCATTCGGCGATTGGGGTTGCCGAATCATAACAGTCATTAAGACTATCGTTCTAATAATGTCATTAGACTCCATTTTATTGCTGAATACTGAGCGATATATTGCCGTCACATGGCCGTATAAATTCCCAGTCTGGTGCACCAGACGTCGCACAATCATCTTCGTCATTTTTACATCGAGTTTGTCTTGCGCAGGTACAATAATTTCACATCTATGTGGCCTGACAGGAATATATATTCCAGCCACTACAGCATGCTTTCTCGCAAACAACTCCGAATTCATCAACATTCTAGTTTTTCTTTTTGTCATCGTGTTTCCCATGATATCCATGACATTGATCTACTACCGTCTGATTAAAATCAGCCGTGGGCACCAACAACGAAACAACCGCAACGGACAAAACGAAGGCGGCAACATTCAAGACAACAAAGCTCTGAAGACGTTCCTAGTGGTCACCTTAACTTTTGTCTTTTGCTACACGCCGTACATGGTAACAAGAACGGTGCAATTATACACCGGGGTGGAATACCCCGACTGGACTCTCTTTGTGATATCTTGGCTTTACGTATCCAACAGCGCCTTCAACGTGTTCATATATTGTCTCTTTAACCAAGCTTATCGTCAAATGGCAAGGAGGATCATTTCAGAGAGATTTCCGAGCTGTAAAGTGTCTATTGCTCCAGTCAATATCTAACTACATGTATTTGGACTGAATCTGGTCAAATACTGGAACCTAGTCAAAGTTTCATCTGTGTGTAGGATCCTGCTCCTTACCAGTGGAGCAATGATCGTTTATTTTTTAAGATAAAACATCGGAACTAAAGTACATAAAACTAAAGCAGTGATGACTAACCAATTGATTGAGAACATTAAAGACACTCAACCTATCAAAGACATAAATATTGCTCTATCTTGTGAACTTTCAAATTGAAAATTGTAAATATTTATATCCAGTAGCATGCAACTGACATCATTTGATAGCTATATCAGTAGAGCCTTGCGTCTGTGTGCAGGTAACAACCGTGTTTGGTTAAATTAGCAACAGTGCATGTGTTTACATATCTACTCTGCAAATGAGCTTTTATGAATTTCCGCCCAACCTGTCAATTTTCATCATTAATCTCGTCAGTCATCATCCAGACGTATATTAAGGGAAAATGTGTGGGCGATTGGCAAAATGCATACTGACTACAGGGAGTGGCAGGCTAATTATAATTAAAAAAGATACAGAAGAATTGTTGATTGTTACTTACTCCTGCCGAGCCGTTAACAAACGTCGGATCAGGACACTCGTCAGTCGGCCACTGGGCAAACGTTTCTGAACACTTCTTTGGATCGTGAACAGCAACATTAGACTGTCGGCTCACAATGCCTCTACAGATGATCAAACAATTGAGGAATCAGATCAGACAATTCAATACCGTGCCAAAATTCTAAAGGCAATATTTTCGTTTAATAAATTGAATTGAAACATGAAAATTGAAAATTGAACGAATGTCCTTTTCTTACAAATTACTTGTTTTCACTTTCTTTCTAAATTTACTAACAGTGCTTTTAACGTGGGAAAAAAAATAAAATATTAATATCCTCCTCTCTACTGTATTTTTTAATATTAATTCAACAAGATGAAGGTCATCAATTTATTGCTATGTACATTAATTTTGTTTCTAAATTTGAATAGGAGGTAGAAAATAATTAGATTTAAATGTCTTACTGCGCTCCGTGGGCCAGAATCATGGCAAAATACAGGAAAAAGAGGTGATGCGTAAACCAGAACGTCTCAAAGTAAGATCGTCTACAAAACAAAATAATAAGTAAACATTTTGTTGATTAATTCCATCTTGGTATAAATGGACAGAAACTTTTCTAAACAGGATTTTCTTTCTTATTTTGAGGTTTTGGGTTCTGTTTGCAAGCACTGCACATTAGAAAGAAATAAAAAAATTTCTTTTTGATTGAAGGTGAACTACGCATAAGTCACTGCATAGTTACTCAAGGTTACTGAACCTAATCTGGCAACTTCCGGTTGAGTTTGCCAAAACTTAGTCACCAATTGAAAATCTGTTCCATAACTCAGTGTGCAAGGAAATCCCTGTTCTTCCCACGACACTTCCTGAAAGTTGACTTCATTCAGGAAACAGGTGAAATATATCAGATTATTTGATGAAAAGGTGCACTGAATGTGGGACGTCAGGTCAGGAAATGAATGTTGCTGATTGGGACAATTGATGAAGGTCAATATCAGATGGTTGCTGACATACAGGAATGTTATCATCATTAGCCAATGAAAGATTCATGCGTCAATTCAAAAAATAATTTGAACATATTGAAATTTTAAATATAAGTGAATAAAAATGAGATCATATCAAGTGTTTGTGAATTCTGGTGAAATATTAGAAGTCTTTGAAAACTGTGTCATTTTAATTTTAAATTACAATCTCAAAATTGCCAATTACATGTACATTGTTTTTTTATGTGAATATAAAATATCACCATGGTGACTTTTACATTTAAAAATTATTTTTTGGGGCAAAGATGAGGTAGATTTCAACCTGCGTACCTGATAAATTCTGTTGAAGATGAAAACATGACAATGAGGACTAATGTAAGGACGGCACCGGTCCATCCAGGAAGCAACTGCAACACCTTGTCAATAAGAGTCAGACCATACGGACTCTAAGACAAGAAAATAAGGAGAAATATTACCCCTGATTGTCTGGCCAATAAATATTTCTGAAAACACTCAAACTAACTGAGGAGATGTGCAATTGACAGTTGCTGTCTCTGTTACGTCCCAACTATAGCATCGTCCCACCTATAGTTTGGATTGTCCCAACTATAATTAGGACAGCCCCAACTGTAGTTACGACAGCCCCAACTATAGTTAGGACAGCCCCAGCTATAGTTAGGACAGCCCCAACTATAGTTAGGACAGCCCTACTATAGTTGGACCGATGCTATTATAGGGACGTGATACCTTCAAAAACAACTTCTCGCTTCCAACTCATCACTCATTGCCAACGTTCAAACCATCAGAGGCACTCACTTGCTCATTGATGAAGGAACGAAATTGTTGTAAAATGTCTTGCCCAAGGACACAATTTACATAATCAGATTCTTTAAAACCGACGAGGAAGATCAAGAGTTCTCAGGAAAAGCCTAGTTAGCGACTAACTTTACAAGAAATATAAAGAATGTGCTGTTTAGTTCTTGCAGGCTTGTTGATTTTAATGGAATCAGGCTAGATCAGCAAAACTGGCTAGGGAGTTAAGGTTGAGTATAAGTTTCAACTTGGATTGTGATAACTCAGCCCCCATTCCATCAAAAAACAAGAAGAAAAAAAAATAGAAAAGAAGGTTTGAGTACATACCTTATTGAGGACTTGGATAGGATTGAGGGGTTTTCCTGATTCTGTCCGTATTAAGCTCAAGAGTGCAGCCAGTGGTCCCGATTCACTAGTGACTGAGTTGTAGAGGTTTTGGGAATTGAAACAATGACTAACGACGTGGATGATGGTGAAGAACACAACCAAGTAGGCAACCACTTTGTGGAAGGTGATGTTCTTGTCAAGCTGACGTCTCAGATTACGACGATAATACTGAAACAAAGACACTTCAAACTTCAAATGATGATAAAGGCAAAACTGTTAGTGAGAAGGAATGATTTAACAGGCTAGGGTAGATTTAGGCTTAACCCTCCCTTTTGTGCCTTTCATTTTTTTTCAAGAGAAAATCTTGGAAGTTGGCATTTTCCCCAAAGATTCAGCAAATCTAAATTTCAAGAATATCTACATTTCAAATAAATGCATCTTAGTGAACCAGTTGATGTTAAGGAGAACAATTCCTCTTGAGAAAGATGCTCCTAAAAGAATCAAAGAAACAAGATGATGTTTCAGAACATTGGCAGGTGGGACAAATTTGGGGGTGCGGTGTTGTGGTGGGGGGGGGAGAGTGACAGCTTGGGTCGGGGGAGGGGTGTAGTCTTACCCTATTTGTCTCACAAGATCCTCTGAAGAAGGAAATGATGTTGCGACAGACTGGGAGCAGGATCATCATACTGTTGAGGTTGAGACATGTAGCACTCGCCCTAGCAACGGGAAGACTCGCCTGGTAGCAACAATAGACTAGATTCGTTACAAATCTATTCAACCTAAACTTTTTATAAAATTTTTCAATTTTTTGAATCTTCAAAATTTAAAATTGTAGTTTTCTTTTCACCAATTTGTGGGATGACAAACTTACCCCCATGAGATGCCGCATGTAGAAGAATTCATCTGAGTTGGCGTAGGTCAAGTAGGACGCCAACCATGTGACTAGATTGGCCAGAAGCCACAAAAACTGCAAATGAAATGGACAGACGTCATGAAATCTAGCATATTTTTTTTTAATTATAAAAATGTAAATGTTTTGTGTACCATTTTTTTTACCATTCAAAAAGCCATCAAGCAAAACATTGTAACACGAGTCAAATTCCACAATATATCATGTTTATGAGGAAAAAAAACATAACATAGAGCTAAGTGTGATTGTCCTATGTGTTGCAAAGTTTATCATGCATGTTAAAGATTATAATATTATTTTAAATCATAAAAATCACTCCCTGTTGATGTTGTCAAATGTAATTAAAAACTGCACACAATTTATACTAAATAGTACTTTTTTTAGTTAAATAGTCGGCATATGTAGACTTTTGCTCGCCATAATCACTGGTGACTTACCACCAACATCCATTTCACTCCTTCGTTGATAAGTCGATCACTCATTTTGGGCAATCTTTCGAACAATTCCTAAGTCAAAACTGGAAATGGAATGTAAACAAACTAAACACATCAGCAACAATGACGTAAATTATGTATCATGTGTATAGGCGGCGGAGGCGGGACAACACAAACGTACTTCACAAGTTCGAATCAGTCATAAGTATTCAACTGATCTTCTTCAAATTATCCCAGCTTTGAGTCCATCAACTGATTAATCAATTCGATGGATGCGATGAGAAAATTGTCGTCCAGTAAAACAAATGCCAAGAAAGTTTTATATTGGCTAATTGCGTTTTCACGGTCACGATTGTTGACAAGATAAAATAGGAAGTGGTTTCGTGTAATTGCGCCCTCAATCTGTCAATAGACAAACTATTCCAATATTCCAGAAAAATAATGATTTCAAGAGAGGGCGCTATTTACAATTAACAGTGGTGCCGGTGACTGGACTTGGTGAACCGGTTATCTGATCTCCTATTTTCTAAAGATTTCAATCAAAGTTGTCTTATTTTGGAACCAAGTGCTAAGTTATGTAATCATACACTTGATCGTGATTTGTGGACTTTAGCTGAGCTAAAAATAAGATCGCAAAGTCCAGAGTTAATGGTCTTTGAGACCGTGATTTCTGCGTGACTTTACCAACGAAAACTCGGCCGTGTCACTATTTCCATCCACACTGCGTTGAGTAATGGCAGTTTGTGTACGATCAGCCGCCAATCTTTTCAGCAAGAGAACTGCACGTTTTATCAAGACACAGAGTCATGTTTGCCGGCGATTCGCTGCTTCAGACGGCACTGCAGCAGCCAAGAAACCTGTGCAGACAGAGTTGACATGGGGACAGTATTTCTTCAGGTTTGTCATTATTTTTTGGCGTATTATATTATAATTGAAATTCGTTATAAAATAATTTATAATTGAAAATAACGAGTAGGCCTAGGCCTATTAATGTCCAACTAAGTAAGATTAGATGTGTTTATTTACATTCAACATTGGTCATTGAATATCGTTACTTTTTTTGGAAAAAATGTAACCTGACGCAACTTGTTTTCTTCATATATCATCTCAATGAAGGTCATTCGTCGCAAAAATGATGATAAGACTTGATCATGATTTTCTCGTAATCGTATTCCATGTTTTCAATACCTTAATTAAAGGGAATATACATCATTTGCTTTTGCTGTAATTTTCAGAAATGGATGGAATTGGGGGGTTGGAAATATATAGCAAATATAGTTACACTGACTTTTTTGAGGTTTTGGGTTCGAAAATGCTATAAAAACCAAGAAAAACGATCATTTTCCTGTAGTCTGGTTCCCTGACTCCATATAAGAAGAAACAGAGCAGTTTACATACATTGGGGAATTGTAAGGTCAGGGAACCAGTCTAGCTGGCTCGTACCCGTTTATAGGTTTGTAATCGATTGCAAACAAGTGCGATGGTCAATTGGGGCCAGTATTTGAAAAAAAGCCAGTTTTTTCCAACGCTGATCAGCGTTGGAATTTGATACAAAAATACCACTTTTCTTGAAAATGACAGTATACCAGGTGCCATGATTTTACAGGATGCTTTACACTGTCATTCACTAACAGTCCAGCAAGGTATTTCAAAATGATTTGGTAGTTGTATTTTTTTATGTTTGCAAATGTTGTATTTTCCCTTTAAGTTTTGGGGCTCTCAAACACAGGACAGTATTGAGAGTCCCAAAATTTTGGACTAGCCGACACCATAAAGGATATTAAATTACCCGGGTACCATTTCTCGTCAAGCGAATGCATGGCTTAGTGGATAGCATGCCCACCTCGCAATCAAAGCTGCTCGAGTCGAGTCCCAGCATGATAGATTTTCTTGAAAATATATTTTTTGTGTCCTAAAAAAGAAGAATTTTCTTTTATTGTCCTAAATGGAATCCTACGTTTAATTGCAGAGTATTTCATCTTTTTCTCATTCTTGGCTCCGGAGGATTCTAAGGGAACTAAAGTCTGAAATAAAAATTAGGTCCGATTCCCAAAAAACACTCGCTGCACTTGTTCAGTGCCGTGCTGGTACAATACTGAAAACAATCAGGGACCGGTTCACGGTCAAATATCCACTGCCTAATATTAAGATGAAATTTTAAAAGTCTTCATTGAAATTGTGATGAGGCCTAGGCCTCCTGCTGCTGGAAGTGGAAGCTTTAAAAAATGTACATGTATGTAAACATGTATGAATACTGCATACATATCTTGTTGAATGCGGTATTTTTGCCACAATGAAATGTATTATATCTTCATTATACATGTATGCACTTTGTAGGAAAACTTGTTTGTGTCCAGATACTTGGAATATTAAATTTCACATTTTCCATTTTCCTCCGACATCTGGTGCTACGCTGTTCCGATGTCACAGCACAGTAAGTATTTTTCTAAACATAATGATTTTACCATAATGTAGCAACTTGTGCAGTAGTCACAAAGCTAGTTATACAGTTCATATAATACGGTATTTTAATATTAATTGTAGGATTTTTAGTAGATAATATGCACCCAATATTCATTCTGAATACTATGCAAATTTTTACCTGGATTATTTTTTTATAACATTTATATGGTAACATGTTTCTACATTGATGTTTTAAAATGAAAATAAGTAAAAGTATTAATAACAATACCAAAACAAACCCAAATGCTTATTTCCAAATAATTCCTATCATTATGAATCCTATACATGAGTCCTATTTCAAAGTAATCCTGAGCACTAAATGGTTTTAAATTTTTTGTTCTTTTCAGCATTTCTGGGGACCAGGTAAGTTTGATTATTTAAAGAATTTAGCTTATCAGATATTTAAAAATAGATCATACTGGAAAAAAATAGAAACATTTATCTTTCGCAGTGGATTTAGACATTGAATACTGTTTTCATATTCGTAGTGATAAGGTAATGGTATTTTTAAATCACATACCATTATGTCAGTTTTGTACATTGTGCATTCCATATCATTAGTGCTCATTTACAAGACAAAATTGGTGAACATCTGTTTCTGAGTTATTAAAATAGATTGGACATTGCATCATGGTATTACGTATTGAATTCTATTGGAGCATTGAGTTCCAGCCGTGTGGATTTAGAAAGGTCAAGTTCTGAATACATAAATAGAAGATCGTAAATGTCCTTAATTATTTTTTTTTATGGCATGATTCTATTACTAGTTTATTCACGTGTTTAAAAAAAAAAACCTAATTGGATAAGACAAAGTCGAATTTTCGAAGACAGTGTAAAAGTTGTTGTCAACTTGCGGTTTTTGATTCGTGAAGTACATGTAGATCATATCAATAGTTCTATATGTTAATATGCCACCAATGGACCGATCCAGTAAGCACCGCCCCATGGTATTCTGACCAATCACAGCCGTGATTTATGTCCGACATGCGTGCACAAAAGTCGATATGCGTGCACGCGCGTATGATGCGCGCGGCAGGAAAATGCAGCGTGGCATTGGAGAGGAGCACGTGTTAATTTGCCCACGTGCGCACTGGGCGGAGCTTACTGGATCGGTCCATTGTTGCAGGTATTACAGCAATCATTAATGACAGCCGGTGTTTGTTTGTTTGATGACATCATACAGTTGCTAACTGGGGAATCCCCCTCGCTGCAATGGGTGACATGAGGAGAGACCCAGAAATCATCAGCCCAAGGATGACAGCAGGTAGGCCACACGAGGGCGCTCTTGACATCAATCATGCCAGTTTGAAAAAAAAAGAGATCGGTGGTTCCAAAAAATTTATTAGGACCACACAAGAGCTCACTGATACCACACATAGTTTTCGTTGCTATAAGGGTCATATTTTCTTTTTACCATTTCCTTAAGTTGCTGACTTTTTAGCAAACAAAAGGACACAATTCTCTAAAACTTTTGTGCAGTAGTTCTCCATAGACATTCAACTTTTGTTTTGAAAATTTAGAAACATTTGTGTACCATTTGGAATATTTTTTTTCATACACAAAATGCACAGTTACCAAGTGTGGATAGCCCCCTCTATTGTTGTAAGACAGACAGATTTTCTGTCAAAAATGCACAGCTTCTATATGTGTAGAGCTTCCTCTGTTTTTGAAAGATTGAAAATGCTTTTGCCCTCTGGAGTTCGATAACGTCTGAAAAACTTGAGATGAAAACCGCCAAATGCTCACATGTTTTTCAGGGGGCTGCAAACAGAGGGTATAACATTTAGTTAATTTAATTGCTTAGTTTAAGCTTCTATGTAACTTTTGTTTCATGTATTTATACTTCAAGCTCTGTGTATCTACTCGGCCCTATTCATGCGGTTTGCATGGATGGTCAAGCCACGCAACAGTCTACTGTTTGCATGTCACTTCACCAACGAATGCGCTCAAATCGGCCAGTTGGGACGGTGGTTTAAGCATAACTAGTAAGTTAATCCAAGTTGAGATGATTGTGTAATCGGAAAAAAATATGTTGATGTAGTTGGAACAATGGTTTAAGCATAACCAGTGTGTTGTGTATTGCTTATGTGCCTTCTCATCTTGAGAAATGGACCAACGTCCATTTAACTTTCTCTGAAGAATTTGTGTCAATTCATATCAAATTCACTAAACTACAATATCTGATTGCATGATTTTGAAATGTTCCGCACTCCAGTGGCCAACACTCACTGACAATTTTTGATAGGCAATAGCGCCCTCTGTTGATCAAGAAATGGGTTTTATTTCTTGACAGTGGTTCTAAAGGAGTAGGAACAGCAGCAACCGTAGCGATATCAGCACCAGCAGCACCAGCACCTGCTGCAGCAGCAGCACCGCCTGCACCTGCAGCAGCTGCCTCAGCAGTTCCTGATACAGAAAGTCCATCACCAAAAGCAATAAAGTACATGTTACTCCAGAACTTTGTTGTAAAATTGTTGTGTATCAGTTATTTAAGATACAATGCTTTCCTATTACAAAGTTATCAGTTACTTAAACTTATAACATAGAAGCAGGGTTGTTGGCCGTCGTTGTAATGTCCTAATTTTCCACTTGTTTCTTGGGAATGGGATAAAGTAGTTGTTATTAAATAATTCTGCCTTGTAAAGTTTCACAAAATGCCTTTCCCCATGCCACGCCTGTCAGCACCGACATCCCTCATCCAGCCCCCCCCCCCACCCCCGACTCCCCGCCCAATCCCCCCCCCCCCCCCCAAAAAAAAAGGGAGCAGTGCCCCCAAAATATCCTATAATCTATTTGAGTAATTTTCCTATTTTTTATTTCTGCTGCAGATCCTCAGGAGATTCAACTGAAGATAAACCCACCAAGTCAGCGTAAATAATCTCTGGTACTAGCATCAGGGTTAAAATAGGAAATGGAGAAAAAACCACTGCATGTTGTCCATTTTCTTTTTAAAGGTTTTGGAGAAATTTAGATTTTTGTTTATTATACACAATGTGAATGTTGGTGTATACGTGCTTTTGGGGTGTGGCACCTTGAAAAATAGATTTTCAAAATGAATTGACAATTTTCTAGAATTACATTAGTTATAAGCTTTCCAATGAGACATCGTATGAAAAAATCGGCCCATGACAAGTAATCAATTAGTTAATTTCAACTTTTGAATTAAAAACAGGAATGGGATATGTATGCTCATAATTTATTCTGACTAGTGTGCACAATTTCTGAACTGGAGTGTACCATTTAAAATAAATTTTTAAAACTGTATAAACCTGCAAAAACAAACAAGTACATTTTGTATATTTTGTTATAGGACATATTCCTTTAAATTTTGTTCAGAAAAGAAAATTGAAATTAAAAAAAAGCAGGTATATACCAACTTTAATATTTAATTGGTACGTTGGAATATATAATCATTATGTATGGAATTGAAATTTGAGTTGTCAGTGGTGTATTGGTCCACTCCGAGGATAGAAAGACTTGTGTCCCTGGGCTGGCTATTTTACAATAATTAATAACAAAATTATGCTAGCACTGTACGATAGAGTAAGCACAGAGAGGCTGTTGAATTACATCAGGGAACAGAAGTGGTCAATGTCCAGGAGTACACATTTGCCTGATGGTCAGGGTAATTCTAAGACAGAATCTCCCCCACATTGAAGATGAAATTTAAAACAATTTCTGTTGCTTTTTTCCACATAGCCAGCTGTTTTACCTTTTCTTTCACTAGCTTACCTGGCCTTTTTCCGATTTTTTTTTTACCAAATGAGTCTTTTCTATAGAAAAATAAAGCAGTCTTTTCCAATGTTAGCCTAAAATACATAATTTTGCTACTTGTGCAGGCTTTAAAGAACTGTTTTGGCAGTCAGTGAGTGCAGAAGCTTTGTAGTTTTTTTTATCGAACTAAATTTGGGTTTGCAGTCTTACCTCTGAAAAAAAGGGAATAGAGATTATGTTGTTCACTTTCTTGAAGTGGATTTTTTTAGAGTGACTTGTATTTAAGAGCATATATAGAGGTCCGCACAAATAACGATGACTCAATTACTATTGTAAAATAGTCTACAAAATAATTTGGTAAAAGGTTTTATTTTTGCACAGGTGTTTTCTTTGAGAAACAACTTGCATGGCATTTTACACGAAGATACAATTATGCAAATTAGATTTAAACTTTTATCTTTGAGTTGTAGAGGTCTTAAAACAGGGTTTAGGTAGGATAGATACAAAATTACTCAGAAATACATTATGAGAAATAGAATGTTTGTTTTCAATTCATTAATATACATTTTTTTTAACCAACGTTATTAGATGATCGGTTAAGCCCCGCCCACTGCGACGTCAGTTTCTTGACCACGCCCACTGCCCGTTCAGTAGCATTGGAGCCGGAAGTTAACGCAACTTGAGTGCTTATCCAATAGGCGCCAGTAATCAGTGTTGCGTGCGCGTGTATGACGAAGTCACTTACCCATGTGCACGGCTGTGATTGATCAAAGAATCAAGGGCGGGGCTTAATTGGTTGGATATCATTTTTGTGTGCAATCACAATAACGATGTTACAAATTGAAAGCTTTGGTGTTTTATTTCTTCAGATGTTTCGCATTCATTCAAGCAATGAATGTGTAATTATAACATTGCAGAAAAGACTGATCATGAACGGAATGTTTTTATATTACTTGACCGAACATGTAACACAATAAATAAATAATTTTGGTATAATTATTGTGATACCGATCGTCATGTTTATTCAAATTATATGTGTGATCTAGATGTTAACAGTTGTATAGGTTAATGCAACTCTACTCGTTTGTCCATAAAAGTTAAAATGCCGGCGTATAGTTTTTGTTTTTTTGGTTGATTAACCCAAAAAATTGTATGATACCATCACGCTGGATTTTTTTTATTCCAGCAACTCGAGGCTGATTTCAAAGCCATCAAAAGCCGGAAAGCGTATCTGTAACACGGGTGAACGAAGTCAGCGAACAATAACACACGCCCACTGAGTTAGCTCCTGCTGGCCAGAGAGAGCGCGGGTATACATGTACATGTAGTACAGCTATTGTTATGTCAAGAAACGCGGAAGTAAAACTTGCACAAAAGCCACCTACGTAGGAGCGAAACAGCACACTTGCTCATCCGCCGGCCGGTTTAAACCAGGTTGCTATTTTGCAGAGGCGTCTCTCGAAATATGTAACAAAGTTCGCAAGTTCCGGTTGTTCTAGCCTTTTCGGGTACCAAAGTTTGATATTTTGATAGGAAAGAGTATGGTCCAGTAGCACTGAAGGAAGTACTAGGGCCCACCACTTTACTTTGTGAAGCTGTTAGCTGACTTGCTTGTAAAGTTGGGTTAGGGTGTACGCACGCATCGTAAAAGCGACCACCGTGTGTCATTGCAAGCCCCGCCCGGCGTTTCGCATCGCTGCGCCCGCTATACCTGGCGCGCGGGAGCACGGTACCCTGCAGAAAACACGGACTCTCGTCTTGGACAGTTACAACTGAATTTTCGAGAGATATCGCCTGAGGTGAATTGTCTTAAGCAGAATGGGAGATCGTCTGATCAATGAAGGCCTGAAGACAATTTTCGTGGTGAGTTTTATCTCATTAAAAAAAACAACCGGCGAGCAGTGCTTAAAAAAGGGTGAAATTTGCAGTTTAGAAACATTGCAACAATCTTGCTGAGCAGATGTAAACACCGTAGTAAATTCACTGAAATTGGTAATCCACTTGCATACAACCGGCAAACTTTGGTTTGAAAGGCCTTTAAATTCTCTTTGGCGGGGGGGGGAGGGGGGGAATGGGAGGGGTAAGGGTAATTTTAGAATTAGAAGGCACCTGTGGGAAGTTTTAGTGATGTTATTTACATCATGATACATACTGTGGTTGTTGAGTTTGTTTTAATTGTTTGACCCTCATATCAAGAGGGAGCATGCACAGATCAATGGAGACAAGGACTGTGAATTTCAATCAGTACTCATATTTTCTTATAAATTTGAACATAATTGTTGGATGCAATAGGGCGAATGTTGTACTTAAGTTAGGGGATATATTTTGTTGTGATTCATAACCCAAGGTCTCCAGCCCAATCTGTAGTCACATGCACCATAGTTCCTTTTGAGGTGTTTGGAGATTGAGCCAGAATTTCATTTGTGCGCGCAACCTTGTCTATGAAAGGGCTCAAACACCTGTGTACACCTATTGTGGGTCACAAAACCATGGGCAGGACACTGATTCCGTGACACACATTTGCATTACTTTTTTGCTGAGAACAGTGTGCCACGGCTAGTATACCCCCCCCCCCCCCATTGGTACAACTCAGAAAGGTGTAGAAATTATTATTGCAAAGGAGTGTGTGCATAGGGATATGGTCAGGGTATGTGAATCAAGATCATTGTCGGATCCAGGAGGGGGGGGGGGCGTTGTTGAAAAAAAACAAAAACAAAAACAAGCAGTGACCAAACTGTTCTCAGATAAGGCCATTTTTCACTTGAGATAGCCCTTCTCCCCCCCCCCCCCCCCCCACCCAGCACACCCTCCACCCCCTGAAAGTAACCTCTCTGGATCCGCCCAGGAGATTTTTAGGTTAGGAATGTGTGCCAGGTTTTAGGGTTTTTTCGTCCTGGTTTCAGGAAGGTAGGTTTGTTACATAGCTCAACAAACCTATTTACATATCAAGTTTTCAATATCTAATTGTAAATAGTGCAATTCAAAGCCCTAGGCAATGAATTTTTTTTCAAGCAACAGCCAACACCCAGTCGGCAAGGGGCATGCTTCCTGTAACTAATGATCAATTACACAATATGACAGGTGCCCCTGCTGTCCTTGAATGCATGAACCAATGTCATTGATTGTACTTTTTCATGGCTTAATGGCCTCCGGCAGTCTAATTATTCCCATTTGACATTTTTAAAGGCTAAAGGTCATTGTACTCTTTGACGGAAAGTTGACAAACAGACTCTGAAAGCTCATGTTTTTTCTGGAAAAAAACAACTTTTTTTTTCAATTTTCAAAGCGTAAAGTTCAAGTGGAACTGAATAACAGGATCTTGTTTTGTAATCTTAATTCCAGAAATGCTTGCAAAAAATATTTGTGTACAATGAATTTGCTAAAACTAGTAAAAGGTCATAACATTTGAGTGTCAAAAACTTCAGAGACCAGTACCAGATCTTGGGGGGGGGGTAGCCACTGAACATTTTTATACTAGTAAAATGGTGCCCAAAAGAATACTATTTCATGCAAAAAAATACTATTTCACACTAAATTTATTCATTTATTGCCTTAGAATGAGGGAGGGGCATACTCCAGACTCCCTGTAGCAGGTGTATGCCGTCACTCAAATAAAAAAATTAAAAAACACCTGTTTCCATGCATTTTCTGAAAGCTAAGATCCACCCCTGGAGATAAAGGTGAAATTAAGCAACTTTCCCAAAGACAGGGGAAATGGTTTGGTCAGTTTGGACACAGTTTCTTGGATTATATGAATTTTTGGATAACGTTATGTCCTCATTTCCTCAACTTCAGTCCTGGTGATTTGCTTGATATAGTAGACAGTTTACTATAGGGCAGGGTGGGGTTATAAGCAACTTGGTGAAAACATTCATTTATTTGCATGCCAGTCTTCACGGTCTTATGTAAACTTACTCTCCAGTACTCTGCATGGAGTAATAATCATTCAGTCTGAAACAAATGAAAGCAAGGAAGACCATTCTAGCAATCTGTGCTCATCCACTTGACAACTTTTCCTTATGGTGTTGAGCCTGTTGCTTCAATGTATTTCCTGGTTGCTGCCAGGCTTCTAGGAGGAAATTGTTACGCTGACTAATTCCCTTCTATTCATTGGCCACAATGACTGGACTAAATCTTCTGATGGTTTAGCAACATTGACTTCTGTGCCTTTTGTGTAAGTCAGTTTGCCCAACCAGCAACCCTAATGCTTCATGCAAATCTGGTCTAGAGGAAATGGGGTAACATCTTCAAGGATAATCAAACTTTGGAAGTACGAGCAAGATTTTGCGTGCTGATGCGATCCTCAGATTGGAAAATAAATTATGCAGACTTACAAACCATGCAGATTTAAAATGCTTTCCTACAAATCTTGACAGTTTAAAAAACATTTTTTCCCATGAAAATCATAAGGCCAAGTAAAAAAAAAACAGTTGTTTGTGCAGATTTTTTTTCAAAAAGAGGAGGATGAGGGCCTATGTATTTTGTATTTTAATTTTTTTTCCCAAGTTGGCCATCAAGTATTTAAATTCAAAATGGCCGCCAACTTTGGTTTAAAATGACCACCAGCTTTTAATTAGTTATCCTAATAGAGTCACAAATATTCCTGCTAAACATGTTTTAAGTATTTTATTAAAGTGAAATACAAGAAAAGTTAGCTTTATGAGGTGAGAAAAAAAATGAAATATTGTTATATGTGGGTGGGGAAGATAAAGCTTTTTTTTAACTGGGCCTAAACCTACCAGTCAGCAAATTTGCAGATATGGCCTTCAGTGAGAACTATGCCAAATTTAGTCTTGCAGAACTTAGTTTAACAGCAGTTGAAAACCTAGCGCTTAGGGTAGATTGTTGTTATAAAAAGTAACAATGACTTGACAGTTTGTGTTAAGCAACATTTGTTCCGTGACTTAAAAGGGAAAATCCCTTCTTTTACATGTATTTTAAAAAGGCCTCATAAGTGAACAAAAGATTTACTGAACCAAAAAACTGGGACACCAGCCAAAATGTCAAATGTTACAATAATTTTTTCTTTGTCCTTAGCTCACCTTAGTTTGTATTGTAAATAAATATTATTGACACAAAATTCTGCTGAAATACCACTTGTGAGTAATATTTCTGTACTTTTGAAGATCTGCACTTATAGGTCAATAAAGCTTCTTACATCCTTTTCAAAACAGTGACAGACCAGAAACAGACAAAATTATCCACTGTATTTTCCATGTTCATGATAACCTCGGCTGTTTCCTGTTCTGTTTTTTTCTGTGTTGATCAAACAACGTCCAGCAACTTAAGGTTTCATTTCCTGCATGGACCAAGCTCAGGAACTAAATGATTGTTATCAGTGAGTTTCCAGATCCAATATACGTTGAGAACACATCTATAATTTTGTAGCTCATCCTACGATCAGGACCAAAGAACAGATTTAAATTGGGGACAGTATTGAAGAAAAAAAAGGGTTTTTTCCAAGGATGGTCGGCCAACCATTGTTGGAAATTGATACAAAAATGTCACCTTTCTTAACAATGACAGCTCACCAGGTGCTCTGATTTCACAGGATGCTTGGGACTATTAAATAAATTATTATTCACTTACATTTGATAAGGTACATGTATTTTCATCATAATTCAGTAGTTTTGTCTTTTGATGTTGGTAAATGGTATTGAAGGCGAAGTAAAAAAAACAAACATGTTTCTCGTCCCCGCCCGCTTCCTTTTTGGAGGCCGCCTGGATTTTTTAATTATTTTTTATTTTTGAAAAATGTAGTAAAAAAACACCGAAAAAATCCACAAATTCATCGGAAAATAAATACCAATACCGATACAACTCTAAATGACACTGTAAATATGTTCACAGTTCTCTTGTCCAAATTGTCTTTCATTTTAAAAGTCTCTTTGAACAGTGGAACACCAACGGTTGCAGGAAATTTTAAAATGGCGGCCATCTTGAAAAAAATAAAAAATAAAAAATAAAAGGCCCCGCTTCCTCCCTTTTTTCAAAAACCCCGGACCAGAAACTTTTTTTTTTTACTTCGCCTAACATTGTTTTTCTTTATGTGTCTTTTTTCTTACTTCACGGTTTTATTTCCAATTTTTCAGTTGTTGTGGTTGGGTGCCAATGTTGGCTATTGGATTCAGGTGTTCTGGACCTATGAGTTTGGGCCGCAGTATTTCTACATCCGACTCATTATTGGGGTAGGTACATGAACAGGCAGTGCGACTATCAAACTATAGAGAAAAGTTTTCGACAAGAAATACCAAATTTGAGAAGTACTGTATGAGGGAAACCCTTGAATGTTATACAGGAAAAAGCTGTGGAACTTCAGGCAGGAACTCGGAGCTCATGAATATGTTGACCTCGGTGAGATTCAAATTCTAGGTCACAGAGGTGAAACTAAGACAAGGAAAAACCACTGCATCAACCCAATTTAACGATGAACAAAAAAGTCTTTAGGGATCATGTAAGTGAAAGTGTCCTCTCTGACTCACAGAGATTCTTCAAATTTTAATTGTTTTTTAATTATTAATGTTTTCAGTCTGAAAAAGCCCATTATCCAAATGTTAAGTCATATTGTCAGATTTGTTCACCATATAACTTTAAATACCACAAGGAATATGTCAAGTATAATTTTTTCCCCTTCTGTTTCTTTAACACGTTGGTTTAGTTTTCTCTCATCTAGTCTCAACTACAGGACATGTCTTGCTAACGAATTGTATGTTCTTTTAATTCCACAGCCTGGTGTTTCCATTGCCAAGGCATGCGGAGCCTGCCTCAACCTCAACAGTATGTTGATTCTCCTGCCTGTCTGTCGCAATCTCATCTCTTTCCTCCGAGGATCTTGTGAGACAAACCAGGTGAGATGATCAGTCTGGAGTCCGGACCAAGTCTGTCTTGTCAGTTTGAATTTGGAGAAGATCTTGCTGAAATGTCTGAGGAACAAGACTAAGCTTGCCTATAGTTGACTTTGACCTGAAAGGTTTTTTTGTTTTGAAAGTTTATATTTTTTTTGGAGGGGGAGCCGGAGGGGGTGTGTTACCAATTTAAAAACAGTTAAATGGAAATTTTAGGTTGTAGAAGAAATCGCTGAATTTTGTTTTGACTGATTCAAGAACATTTAAATGGCATTAAAGTTCAAAGCAAAAATTAAGCCCAAATTGATCTATTAATTTTTTTCTTTCTGTAAAATTTGTGACATTTCAGTAAACAAACATCTTGTTCGTTTTGTCTAAATTTTGTTGTTGTTGTGTTGTTTTCCTCATTTACTTCTAACACTCCAGCTTTGTCGACGTAGTGTTCGTCGCCAGCTTGACAAGAACATAACATTCCACAAGACCCTGGCGTACATGATCTGTCTGCTGAACATCGTCCACTGCATCGCTCATTTCTTCAACTTCCGTAACTTGTACGACCACTTCAACAGCTGTGAGACCTACTTTCCTGTTGGTAGCCCCTACACCGGCATCTCATGCCAGCTGAGAGATTTACCCAACAAGGAAGGAGGAACTTGGATCAACCCGGTCCTGTACAGAAACAACGTATGGATGTCCATCTTTTAATTTTCTTGGTCAATTTGGCATAAAAAATTGTCAGCTCCATTTAGCCTAATTACCAGGAAACATGTTCTCACTGGGTGGTTTTACAGAATTGTGTATAAGCTGCTTTTTTGAATGATGACTGCAGATTAGACAGCTTACAACTGTTCCTGAAACTTAAACAATTCTGAAAGTTTCCAAACCTCAAAGACAAACATTTTTTAACAAACACTTTTTAACATTGATCAAAAAAACCTAATTTGATTTACATCACCCCGATGCAAAATTCCATCTTATAATTTTTTTTTTTTTTTAAGATTGCTCGTAGTTTTTGAAAAGAAACAGTGTTGAGGTGTCTTTCATTTTGTTTCATTTGTTTATTTGTTTGTTTGTTTGTTTGTTTGTTTTCCCGCAGGCTCTACCCTTCGGTTTCCCCCTCATCGAGCAAGGCATCATCCAGATCGCCGGATGGTCAGGCGTGGTTCTGACGCTAGTCTTTATCATCATGTTTTCCTCGGCCACCGAGTTCATTCGGTAATTACGTCTTCTTTTTCTTCATGAGCAGGGGCTTGTCCTGGTGCTACTAAGCGCAGATATATGCTAAGAACAGAAAATACTAGCTAAGCAAAAGCGGGTTACCAGCCATAATGCCATGCATTGATATTGCTTGTGACTGGTTCCCCGCTAACTTCCGCTAAGCACATACATTTGCCAACCAGTTTTTTCTGCAAGCCCAGAAATTGAGAAGGAAGAATGACATAATGGCAATCATGAAATTGTGAAACATCGAAATTACAAGTGAATGCTTTCAACTCTGGTATCTTGAGTTACAGAAAGTTTTTTCGTAGTGGGATAGTGTTCTATAAGATACTAGTAAATGAAAACCAATACGCAGGAGTGAACCTTGAAACTTTGTTCTGCTTTCTGTTGGGAGACTTGTCTGGGGATTTCCAGTGTTGGAAACATCAAAGGGAAACTTCTCCAGTTTTTAGTTTAGTAAAATGAAAGTTGTGAATGCGGAAACTGTACTCGGACGAGAGACACTGCCTGGTATTTAAGAACAGGAAACTTGAAAAAAAAAGGAAGTTTGCGGATTGAATGTTTTGTTATTGTCACATGTTTTTTCCTTTGCATCAATACATGTCCGTGTTTGTATTGTAAATTGACTCCTGGATCATCTGCTTTGTCACTGAAGCAAAACTTGCAATTCATGCCGGTTATAGTCAATATTTTTTACTGGCCTAAGAGAGGTAAAGTAAAAGTAAAGTCTGTCACGAGGCAATGTGGCCCATCAGGCCGGCGTTTATCTTCGGTTTCAGTGGCATGAAATGACTGAGAATATTTCTACTCCCCCTGGTTGGGAGGCTAGTCTGTCACAGGTTACTCCCCAGCTAATGCTGGTACCCATTTATACTCCTGGGTGGAGAGAGGCAAGTGGAGGTGAAGTGGCTTGCAATTTCCAGCAGCTGGATTCGAACCCCTGACCCTCTGATCACGAGTCACAAACCCTAACCACTAGGCCACCCCCCCCTCCCCCTCCCATTGAAAGGCACTGAAAAAACGTCTATCATACTACAGGGATATTTAGTATTGTAAAATTAAAGACAAAACTTCAAAACAATGAACAAAATTTCAAGAAAATTCAAAATATGAGCCATATAAATTAAAAATCTTTTGTAACTTTGCAATATTTTATTGTTTTGCTGTTATCTGTGTTATGGATGGGAAGTGTATCGGACAGTGGTTTAAGAACATTTCAATTGATTTATTTTTTTTTTTTACCTGCTAGGCGTTCGTACTTTGAGACATTCTGGGTAACTCATCATCTGTTTGTTATCTACTTTGCCATGTTGCTTGTCCATGGAGTCGGGTAAGTCAGGAATAAAAGTAACTTATCGTGAAATAGGTTCAGATCAAGATCATGCATATATCTTTAAATGGATTTTAAGAGGTATGGTTTGAGTATCAGGGTGCAACACAGAAATATGGGAGCATGTGAACTAACACTTGATTTCAAACCAGTGTCTTTTTGTGTTTTGTTTTGAATGAATGACACAACATATTTTTGAATATTATACTTTAATTTTGAAGACTAGATATTTTCAGAAATCCTCAGAGTTTTTGATCAGCACTTTCATGGCATTGAGATCACAGTGATGCCATTTGGATGATAACGAAGATTGATTTCAAATCTTTTTATTTTTCTCAGAGGAGTGATCCGTTCTCAGTCCAACTTGGTTGAGCATAACATCACAACCTGCTCCATTCAGCCGGAGCTGTGGGCACCACCGGGCAGCCAGCCGTGTCCCTATCCTAACTTTGTCAAGGGCAGTGCGGCTGTAAGCAACCCCTGTTATTGATGTTAACAACTTAGTCCTTAAACTCATGACTGAGAATCAGTGGTCTCCCACATAGGGGGTGGGGGCTACTTGCCCTGCCTGGACTGGTGACAGTTTTCCCCATTTTTTTTTGGGGGGGGGGGAATTAAAGGTGTCCTGAAATTAAACATGGCATTTCACAACTTGCAATAACACGCGAACCAAATCCTACCTTGAAAATAATTTTATTGACCATTTTGAAAAAAGTTTCAGAAAATTCCCTATATCCCCAGACCACAACCTGAAAATGCAAACTGCTCAGAAAAATGTTTCTTCCCAGTTGCTTTTGTACTTTTTCACAAGCATTTTGTGGGTATCACTGACTTGGACTTATGAATCAGATGAAAAATTCTTGTCTCATTTTAACTTGTTACTTCTGGTAATATTTGTACTTGTGCCCTTTCTCATCTGATTGTTTATTTTGTTTTTGGCCCGTTTTCAGAGTTGGAAGTGGGTTGTCGGACCCATTGCCATCTACATCCTAGAGAGATTTGTCAGATTCATTCGCAGCTGTCAGACTGTACAAGTCATCAAAGTAGTCAAGCACCCGTCTAAGGTGAACAATTGATTAATAATTGATAATTACTAAGAACCAATCTATGGTTATCGATTATTAATTTTTGATTATTGTTTAAAATGTGAAACAACCAAAAAACTATAGTGATTAGCAAGTGACTATTTGCGACGAGTTGTGGCATAGCATATAGTCATTGGTTATGAATAGTTATTGGTTATTGATGATTATTGATGGTTATTGATGATTGATTGATTGATTGATTGCTTACTGGATTGATTACTTATCCACAGGTGATTGAGCTTCAGATGAAGAAGTCTGGTTTCAAGATGCTGTCAGGACAGTACATCTTCCTCAAGTGTCCCTCCCTGTCTCACATCCAGTGGCATCCGTTTACTCTCACCTCGGTAAGACTTGAATCTTTTACTGTCGTGAAACTCATTTTCAGTTGATGCGTATTTGCAGTATTTCCAGCGTTCGTCTGTCCATCACAAGTCAAGTCACAAGCTATTCAAACAAACTGTGGTAGAGGCATTCCTTGGATATATAGTTCCTCCTCTTGGGCTTGTGAACGGACTTGTGATTTACTTGTGACTGGACTTGTGATGGACTTCTGATAGACTCGACTAGTTTTAGTTTTCCGATTTTTATTTGTGATAGGCTCCTGAAGATGACTTCTTCAGCATTCACGTCCGTACCGTCGGTGACTGGACCACAGACCTAGCCAAGGCGATGGGAGCCGATGGTAACACAACCACGGAGTCTACCGACCTGGCCAGGGTAGCTGTGGACGGCCCGTTTGGCACGGCTAGTCTGGATGTCTTCAAGTATCAAGCGGCTATCTGCGTAGGTGCTGGGATTGGGGTGACGCCGTTTGCATCCATCCTTCGTTCTATTTGGTGAGTTGCAATTCAAGGCACTGTTGTACTTGAGTTCTAAATCCTCACATCTTCAAGAAAAGTCGTCCAGTCCTAAATCAAGTCACAAGCTGTTCAAAGGAAACTGTGACGACGTCAATCCTTTGTTGTTGTTCATCTGCTGTTGCTTATGATTGGAGGTGTGATTTACTTATGACTGGAGGATTTGTGATGGACTTATGATGAACTCGACTAAAACAAAATTGAGAAACCATTTGATGAAGATGAGCAAACCTAAATGTGTTCCCCCCATCGAAAACTTCAGTCCAGGAAAATCAGTAAATAAAGATCCTCTGTGTGAAACTGACTTCTGTGTAGGTAGACTTAAGTCAATCTTAATACATTTTTGCTTGGTGGAAAAGCCGAGTCTGAAATAATTGTGAAATTACTTTTCAAATGGCACTGATTGAAATATTTGTTGGTTTTTCCCTTCTTTTTTCTTCCAGGCATCAGAGTATGATGCCAGACCTGGAGTTGAAGCTGAAGAAGGTCTATTTCTTCTGGATCTGCCCGGACACCAACGCCTTTGAGTGGTTCTCAGAGATGTTGGACGCCTTGGAGAATCACATGATAGAGCAAGGAAAGGCTGATTTCCTCAAGTATAACATCTACCTGACCAGGGGCTGGAGCACTAAGCAGGTTAGTCTGAGCAAAATTTCAAACGGTCAGGGACTATGAGCTCCGTGTGTGAACAAGAGAGGGCATTGTTGACCACTTTCGAGAGCCCATGAAGACAAGAAGACAAGCTTTGAGTCTTTGGATTTTTTTTGCAGGCCAAGAACATCTACTTGCAGGAGGAGGAAGAGGTTGATGCCATCACTGGCCTGAGACAGAAGACCAACTATGGCCGGCCCAAGTGGGATGACATCTTCAAGATGATCGCAGAGGAGAACCCGGGGTAAGCCAAAACATTGTAAATCTACATAGTGGTGTTTTTTTTAATGGGGGTGTTTATTTTGTTAATAATTCATAGAATTTAGCTTCTCATAATGAAACTTGAACCTTCTTTCATTTGCCTTGTCTTAGCACCAGTGTTGGAGTCTTCTACTGCGGACCCAAAATCCTCTCCCAGGTTCTCCACAAGTGTTCAAACAAGAACTCCAACATCAGAGGAGGAGCCAAATTCTTCTACAACAAAGAAAACTTCTGAGCAAATTACAATGATTTGGTGTCTGCCACAGTTCAAATAAGTGTTGTTATCTTCAAGCAAACTTGAATCCTCGATCATGATTGGTCGATCCATGGCAACAAGCCGTGCTACATATAACCATACCGCACGGCCACGGTCCATACCGCACTCTGCGTATTCTGCTGTTCCAAGATGCGAGCGCCTTTCTAGCTGCATACGCTAAACTGCTGAATGTCCGTGTAAAGCGTGCTCGTTCCAACTGTACTGCGCGTCAAGTTTGCTTGAAGATAAATTCGTTATCACACTCGCGCTCGTGGAACACGGAAAATGTAGTGCGTCTGTGTCCCACATACCACTCGGCCTTCAGCCTCATGGTATGTGGGACACAGACGCACTACATTATTCCGTGTTCCACTCGCGCTCGCAAGATAACTAATAATATTGTCAATTAAGTGTATTTTTTTGAAAGAGTTATTTTTTGAAAGCATTTAGATAGTTTTAAAAGAAAAGAAAACTTTGTTTGAAAGCAGTCCTAGTTACATGTATTGTGCTTTGCTCGCCATGTTTTGAATATTTTTTATATTCTGATAAAGTAAATATAAACGTTTTGAAGTCTAGTGTGGAGCAGGTTTTAGCCAGTAGGAATGACAGCTGTTTGAGTAGTGAATAATTCCTCATCTCAGTTCTAAAATATCCTTATTGTAAAATTTTGGCAAGAGGTTCTTATTCAAAAACTTGCTTTAAATCACAAACTAAAGAGCAAAAAAATTGCCAAATCTAAGCATATTGTTGTCGGAAAAATATTTCTATTAAACAAATTATTAGTCTGGAAATCATTTTAATCTGAAATAATGTACTTTTTCAAGCTCGAACTCTGAGCTTAGAGAGTCCGCCAGAAATCTTGTACTGCTGTAAGGACCTTTTAGAACTGAACCGATGAATTATTCCTCATTGATAAGGTCATGTGAGCAGCAGGCGCGGATCCAGAGGGGGAGTTTTGGGGGTCAAAAAAAAAAAAAACCCAGCTCTGTAAAAAAAAAAATTATCATACAAATTCCTAAAAAATGTGTTGAACCCCCCCCCCCCCCCCCCCCCCCCTGTGACACCTCCCAAAAAATTATACTGGTATAATGTCCGCCTGATCAAAATACGGTACATCATTCTGTAATCTAGTGTTAATAATCGTCAAATTTGAACAGCGCCCCCTATTGAAATATGGTAACCCCCCCCCCCCCCCCCCCCCCAGTTTTTCATTTTACGCAGGCCAAGTGTCCGGACAAAAAAAACTGTGTACATTTGCAGATTTCTTTGCTGATAACCCCCCCCCCCCCCCCTGCGAAAATTCCTGGATCCGCCCCTGAGCAGCTTAATGAAACAGTTAGTGTCAGGCCTGATGAATATTTATTGGCAAGTCACATTGGAGATTTGAACCAATCAGAATCAGCTTTATTGGTAATTGTATAATGATGCCTGCTGTACTAGATTTAATACACTTGTAAACAGTCACAAGTGTTTTAAAAAATATATGTTTTAATATTATTTGCATAGGTGGTTTTGTCTTTTGTCCTTTTGCCGTTTATGAATTCAATTGTGTAATTTTAATATATGCATGTTAGTGTTTTATATGCATTTCTGATCTGGTTTTGTAGTATTACGTGGTAGTGTGGCTACAAAAGTATTTGGTGTGATTTTTTTGGTGGAGTTTTGTTTTCCAGAAAATGAATTGGCACAGAAAATGTTTAAGGTGGTAAATGTGATGTTAGACATTTTGATATAAGTCATTTGCATGACGTCAGCATTACTTTTTTCATATTAATGTCACCATTTTTAATAATTTAATATTTTTAAGACACTAAAATGCAAGCTTGTAGGTCAGTCCAAAAGAAGCAATAAAACTGGTTTATTTTGCAAACCTTGATTGTTTATTATTTTGTAATGTACAGCGTATGTAACATGAAAATAACTTTGTGCTTAACTATCCATTTGAAATTGCAGTATGATATTTGGATGAAAACGGGATAGTCCAAGTACAAATTGCGAACATTTTGCTCTACATTTGAATAAAACACTATGTATTGAATGTTGTTCATGTTACAAAAATTATACCGTAAAATAGGCCCCTTTTAGAGAAAATGGAATCAGTTTGAAAGTTATACAATATACTTTTTAATACAGCTGTTAAAGTTTTTCAATATAATTTGTCTCATTATTTGCTTTCTTTAGCTTGTTTTGAATAGTGCATAACGTAAATTCTGATATTTTCAGTAAAATCTGTAATATAAAATCATATTTACATTGTTTCTAAATCCCATTGTCTTTAAATAAACCTGCGCCTCTGCAGCATATTGGCTAATTGATTGAAGACAGGTGAGCAGACGACAGGTGAGACGCGCTGTGATTGGTCAAAAGTTGTTTCTTAGGCTTTTGGAATCAGGCTCTCGATAGAGCGCCCTCTCTCGAGCTGCTTCTCCATTTTGATCAGAGCGTCCACACCGTCGATGACTCGCTGGCAGAGTTGGACCTAAAAAGCAGGGAAATTTCCATGGAAACACAAAGGTAGGAGCTCGCCCGATAAATGTTGACACTTGTAAGGAGTATTGATAATCTTGAAGATACATTTGTACAGTTTTCGTGGCCCAGTAGCTCAAAACAACTTGCAGAAAATGGAGAACTACATTTGGAGGGAAATTCAAAATGGCCGCTCGGCACGACGAAAAATTGACTCGGCTACATGTAGTGGATGTACAAATTACAATCTGACAAATTAAAGTTTTTCTAAACCTCTGTGCTTGTCAGCTTGTAACCTTAAGTCCCATCGTATTATATAATAGATTCTCAATTTTTAAACAATAAAATTGAACGGCAGGAGTTATTCATGAATTATTCATGAAATAAAGACAAGTAGTGAAGTATTGTTTTTTTGCTTGATTCGATAATTTCACGACAGTGTTTACATAATGTTTTGAATTGTCACGAAAGAGGGGTTACATTATTATTGTCTCATAATCCAACCAGAAGTCATGACCTCCTCAAGTAGGCCCATCCATCATCATTAGGTAATGACTAGTTAACTGACCTCAGACTGTCCAAGTCGGTCCAGGTTGGAGATATCAAACACGCCTCCCACCGAGGCCGTGTCCACGCCCCCAGTCCCTCGCTTCTGCAGTCGAAGACGCTCCAGGATCATGTCAAAGCGAGGCTCCTGTACGCGTAACAACAAGTCCATTTCACTTTTTGGTTGGAAACATGCATGGAAGTATATTTTGTCATTCAGTGGTACAGTATAAAAGGCACTCACTGAAGTAAACAATGATGTTTGGATAGATGCCCACTACTGCTAGAATTCCAATCTGTGTTAACCAAAGCTCGATTTTTTTGTTATTTTGCTGCATGGTTCTTCAAGCTTTCGTTTTAAACTTTATTGTAATGTCTCTTTGTTTTCCTTTTTGTCAGAGCTGCATTTCTGTATTCACCATTGGGTAAATCATTCACAGTTATTCAAGAATATAGTCAAGTATTTTTATTTCTAACATTAATTCCATTTAGGCCTAGGCTAGTTGTTTTCTTTGTTAATTTCTTTGGAAATCCCTCTTCAACTCTGCAAGCTTCTTTGCATAACTCTATGGGTTTTTTTTGTGTTGGTTTGCTCCACTCCATGATAAGCTCCACTTCACATTTTGTTCGTACTTTGCCAAGGTTGGGCAGTTTGACGTGTACCCCGGCCCTCATGCCCGTTCCCAGATTGGAGGGGCAGGTCAGGACGTAGCCAAGATGCTCATTCCACATGTACTCCCATCCTTTGGTCTGTATCAGCTTCTCCACCTGGAAAAAGAACGGCAACAGATGATTTTTAGTGGCAATTGAATTGTCAATTTGTTTTTTCTTCCAAATTTAAAAGTTCATGCAAAGTTATCATTATTCATAAAAAAGGTATTGTACATTGTCATTTTGAGTCGGTGTTATTTCTGACCTCGTTCAAGCCTCGGCAGAACCTCTCGAAGACGCTCTTCATGTTGCCTCCCTTCTCCATGGAGATGAGACGGGTGTGATCCTCCTCGTTGACCCAGACGAGGAAAGTCTTGTCGTCGTTGTGCCTTGGCGGCAGATTGTGATAAGGATTAGGATTAGAATTGGTATTGCTGGATTGGGATATAGGGCTGCTATTATGAAGGGGATTCGGATTAGGGTTGAGATTGGGATTGGGATTGGGATCGGGATAAAGGACTGCTATTAGGAAAGGGATGGGGATTGGGATTAGAGAAGAATAAGATTGAGGATTAAGAGACAGTCAAGACAGTGCCGTTTCCTTTGGTCTACGCTAGTTCGAATCTGCTACGGCAGCTGCAGATTGTGGCGAGCATTATTAGACAGCCTTTGTTATGCCTTTCAATTTGGCTTTTCAGTATAATACACGTTTTTGCTCCGTTTAATTAGGTAACCAGATCAGATTTGAAGATTTGTAAGGGGACGTCGGCAACAAGAGTATAGGTTTGCAGCTACACCGTGTGACACGAAATCTCTCTTTTGAGTTTGTGTGGAGTGAATTGTATCGGTGGAACTCAACGTTTCGGACAGTATGCTCTGCCCGTCGTCAGGAGACTCAGGAAAATTAGGTAACTACTTGCCTCAATGTCATGTGATGTTTATATTGCTCGCGACTGCTATCATCGTCTTAAACTTCAAGCCATATAGGACTTACCAGATACCACGACCATCGGGCCAATCCCGTGCCATACCGGCGCACGTGAGCAGCGGAGACACGGGCTTGTCGAACAGGAAATGGTCGTCGATCAAAGTCTGCTGCTCTGTCTCAGTCATGTTGGTCAGAGGGAAGTATTTTCCTCTCAAGTCGCCGCCCAGGCCGTCCAGAGCCTCCGCCACGACCTGGGATGTGGATTAGAGCAGAGGGGAAGACTTATCAGCCTGGAGTTGAAGGCTAGAGTCCGTTCATTGTGAAAGGTGGATATCAGTCTACAACTTGGGTTTGCAGAAATTTCAGTCCCTGTCTGATTCTGTGGATTTTTTTCTTGAAATTCATCGCGGTTTTCCTCCTAAAACAGTCAACATTTCTTCACCATCTCTCGTATGGGTCAGTCCTCTACACGGGCTTTCGAGCTAAGCCTGTACACTTAACTTCAGAAAATAAACTCTTGGTTTCATTGCCACTAAAGCAAGATTTTGTTTGGTCAGTTTTCAACCCATTTTACCTGTTCGACCATGCGGCGTTCAGCCCGCGAGCACGCCGGCGGCAGGCTCAGTCCACGGATGCTCCGCCCGGTGCGGACTCGAGTCGACAGCACGTACTTGGGATCGAAGTTACCGCCACGGATCTTGGAGGCGTCCAAGTCGGTCGGGTGGGTGTCGTTAAGCCCGTAGCCGTTGTGCCTCTCATCGATCACGGGATCAAACAGCTCCTTGAACACCTGCAGACAGATATCAATCAATCATTACAAGTGCTATTTCTTCTTCTCCTACCAGCAATATCTATTCAACTATTACTTTGTTGATTTGAGTTATTGTCTCCGTCGATGTGAAGAATATTGAAGAATTTACCGTGACTTGTTTACAAGAAATTGCTCAGAAAATTTCGTGTTGGATGGAAATCAATAATGTGATTTGTAAATTATAGATATTTATTGGGGGGTTTTCTCAGTTATTGATTTCTTTTACAAAATTCGAATTAGCATTAACAGTTCTCTACATAATCAAAAAAACCCGCTGCTTTGTTTGAAATTGGACGGACGTCCTCCGTGTTTTCCCCCCAATTATTGTAGATAATATTAACAACCGTTAAGTTAACATTAGTGTCTATATTATTCTTTTCTTATGGAAGAACAATAATTCAGAGAAAGTTAATGATAAAACGACAAGGATAGTTTCGAACCACATAAGACTCCTCATCACCGGCCACGCATCCCACCGTCTTAATGAACGGATGTCCCGGGTTGTCCACCCCCGTCTGTATGGCCTGGTCCAGCGTGTACCCGTTGGGTGTCTTAAGGTTGCAGAGTTTGGCGTAGACGTTGGGAGTCAGGTGTGACGCCATCACGTTGTTGTGTTGGCGGAGATCGGGGAAGTTGGCTGACGGGGGGAAGGTGGTTTGCACCCCCATGTAGGCTCGGCCTCGCTTGGTGCGAATGTAGCTCAGACCTGCCACGCCTGGCAAGACATTTTTTCACCACAAATTATAAAGTTGTTTGTAACAAATGGTTGGGAGTGTGGCCTATAGTGGTTATAGGGTTCGTGTCTCATGATCAGAGGGTCAGGGGTTACGATGTAACTTTCCGATAAGGATGTTGTATGGAAATGTTTCTTTTATTCAATTCTTTGACCACATTAACATTTGAGAGTTGATACTTGACAGAATCATGTTTTCCAGTTTGGAGAGGTGTATCATGACAGTTAAAATATTCTAGCTGTTCCCTACAACTCAATTTCCCCCTCTTTTATGCTAAGAATAATTAAGGCTTAAAGTAGCCGAAACGGCACCGATTGGTGTAAGGCCCTGTGGCGCCCTCAACAGATACTGCACAGTTCGATTGAACGTAACTTACCAAGAGCCAGAGCTGCTGCAGCCGACAGCTTGCCTCTGTAGGAAGTGAGCAACCTTGCCGCCATGTTGGTTGATTGCTAAGAGCCAGATGATAACCAAACAAATTTACTATTTTCAACGGATAAATATCTTGTGCATGAATTTGTAACATTTTTTAACTTTCAGGTTTAAAATTAAAGATACAGTCGTTTTCTAGTTCCGGATTGTTCGTAGTTCCGGATCGCTTCGGATTTGCAACAACCACATTATTGAGTTATTTCTTGCAAAAAATTGCAAGGCAGAGATTGGAACAAGCAGCAAGATAACACATGAAATATCAAGTTCATATCATCGGTTGATGAGTTATGGCTATTTTTCTTGTAGGTTGGTAAATGGTAACGATGATTATTTAAAAACAAAAAATATTTGTGCAAAAATATCTTCCAGTGGTAGCCTACATGTCATTAGAGGTCAAACTTTGAATTGTTGAATTTTCTTGAAGAAAAATGTTTTTGGGTTTTATACAAACACATCCTTCATCCCTATTGAGATATAAATAGAATCTCAAATGTAGGCCTACTTCTGTTCCAAATTGCCCTGAGGCCTGATTTATGAAAAGAAATTAAATATTAATGTATACACGTGTCCCATAAAAATATGTATACATTTTACAAATGTTACAAATGTTTTGATCAAATTAGATGCAAGGGTGTGTTTTTTTTTTCATTCCAAAATGACTTTTTCAACAGTATTACAGCAGACTTCTCTTACTCTTAGTCTTAATTTTTTTTGTACTTAAGTCTTAAGTTTGGAACAGTTTCTTACGGTAGAAAAGTCCTTTAAAAATCAGGAACGAGGAAAACAACTGCAATTATAACCGTGAACTGAACATGCAGATCTAAAAACGTTTTTTTTGTGGCCAAGGTTCTGCTCAAAATATTATTTAAAAATGAAGAAAAGAATATTTTTAAAATAATTTTCATCAGATCATTGCAAAAGAAATTGAAAATGAAGGTCATTAACATTTTAAAAGTCACTTACTGTAAAAATGGCTGCGAAGGTTTTAGAAGTGAAAATCAACTCAGATCCAGGAACACACTCACTGTTGTTTTGTAGAACAACAAAACGAAGATGACACTGCCAAGGTAACGCGTAATGCGTGCGTTTCCAAGTCGGACGCGCGCGTTCAACACGCGCGCTGCTTAATATCGTAAGAGGGCGCTCTGTCTCATCGTAGACGGACTATTCTCATCCCACTTTTCTCAGAAAACTCACTTTTTTTACTCACTTTGCATGAAAGCAGTTTGACTCTGAGTAACGAGACAAAAGAATCCAAATATAGACGGGGATAAGGTTGATTGAGTTATTTATTACAGCTCGGGATGAAGGTCATGTTGGAATTTAATTGCAGTTTTTATTACCATGAATAATTTATCTTATTAGGCGCAGGCCTCTGAATATTCCTTTAGAAATAAAATATACAACTCGTTAAGGAAGCTACTTCAAACTTTAATTTTCAAAGTTGGTCCTGCTAATTTCACCTATTCTATGTTGAATTGTTTTGCAGCACAAAGGCGCCTTGTTCTTTTATAAATCGTGCGAAAAGAAATAACGGTGTAATTTTTACAAGAAAATATTGTTCAAGATGATTGTTTGGGGTTGAAATAATCTTTGGTAAAATGCTTAAAAGTGATGATGTTCTGATAATCCTATCTATTCTGGCTTACAGGAGAGTATAGTGCACTACAGACCCATGGTGTTCAACGTACCTTATACAGTTACAGGATGATCTGATCTGTCGGTAAGTTGGTTTACATTTTTTTTAATTCATAAGTGTAACTAAAACTTTTTTCTAAACAAAATGCTTACATTTCTTTACTTTTTAGATTCGAATTCATATTCCTCTTCCGTGGTCATTGAAAATGTTATTTTGTTGGCATTTTTTGTTTCTTGTGTGGATTTTAAGTACTAGAATGGAACAGATTAGAAATAGAATTTGTATACAAAGAGCTAAGACCTTTCTTAATTAGACTTTAAAAGTTAGTTCTTAATGTACATCAACATTTACAAAATGCACAAAATAATTAAGCTTCGACGAATGACAGAGCAAAGACACATCTCGGCTCAAGTTAAGACGAGTTGGAAGAATTTTGTTTCGTCCGCTAGGCTCTTGGAAGTCGTTCTGTAGATCTTCTCATCTCGCAAATGTTCAGAATTCTTGGACTTTGTGCAAGTCTCTGATCAGCCTGTGTACGGGCGTGGCTCCCACAGTGTGACGGAAGAAGAGTTGCTCCAGCGTGCTGCCGCGTATCGCGCGCAGAGACGGCAGAAGCAAAAGCAACTTGCCGAAACGAAACGGCTGAGAGGGGTGGCGCAATGAGATGTACTTGCTGAGAGTTAGTTGCGACTGGTCTTGGAGACTAGCTATCGTTGGCACGTCTTCCAATCCGGGGGCATCTGAGAATTAAACGAGGAATAAGCAAATTGTTAGTTTGACAGAGACTGGAATAAACAATAAATGAAGAGAATTTTTGAGGTTCTGGAATCAGCCATACCCGAAAACATCACGTATTTTTAAAGCAATTTTGTGTAAAGGAGAATACAGTTGATGTAAGTTAAGACGTTAATTTATGAACTTAAAATATTTTGATTAAAAACTGTTTTTAAAAGTAATTAAGTATTGTAGTATAAAAGCAACACTCAGGAAAGTGATTCGTAGTACTCAGCCTTCCTCTGTCGCAATTAAATGCAGTATTGGGTAGATTTTCTTTTCTTTTCTTTTTACCAAGTGGAGTTTTTTTCCTGTTTTATTTATGTAACTTCAAAGGGTGGCTCACTGCTTACCTGCTTTGAACATCAGTATCCCCTTCAGGCATGCATATTCAGTAGCATCCACCTGCAGCTGATGGAGTTTAGCGATGATTTCTTGTAAGACGTGGATTTCGCTGGTGATTGCGGCACGTTTCTCCGGCGCCGTGTTCTCAGAGTTAAGACCTGAGGAAAAATGCGAAAAGAAAAAGAGGAAATATCATTTTTTTTTTAATCAGATCATGTGATTGTCTTTGTTCGGCAATCATTCATTGTTTGAAAGTAATTGGGTTCTGTCGATATATCTACATGATGGATAACATCATTAATTTCCATGTCTTATTTTGAAGACACGCCCAAGTAGGCGTGGCTATGATGATGTCATCTAATTATGCAAAAGATTTGACCACTCACCTGCCGCACTGATGAGCGCTTGACTATCAATGGAAAGTTGCCATTGAGATGCTCCAAGGATGAATAGTTCCCGCCACCCGTCCTCGAGTAACACAAGCTGCGAAAATCGGTGAAAATATTGCAGAGATTTAAAATCAAAATTTTGCATAATGAATTTGACCGCTGAAAATTATTCAACCATCTGTTGCTTTTGTGCATGAAGACTAATAAATAATTCAGTACTTTTACTTTTCATGGCACGTCGTTCTTTCATTGTTTATCACTTGGGCTATATTTATATACCGGTAGATATTTATTAGCTATTTGTACCGTTTATATAAAACAGTTCGAAAATATAAGAACGCTTCATGTAATTTCTGGCGCAGCATTTTAAAAATTGAAGCCTTTTACATTTTCAGCCTGCCTCTTGCCCTTACACCTAGCTTTATTCTGTCTCTGGATTAACTTTGGTTGTCGATAATTGTCTGTGGCTGTCTTCGCGAATGGCAAGGCTACGGCTAGCATTCGCACAATGTCAATGGGAATGGCTTTCTGTATACCTGTTCTCGTTCGGGAAGGCTACCAAAGGCAGGCACGTTCTTGGCCCATCTGATGCTCATGAATAGTAGCCTGGCTGCCATCTCACAGACCGCCTCCACACTGTTAGTGCATGATCGGATAGCCTGGCGAGGATGATACTGTCAATAATAAATCAACATTTTCAGTGAAAATAATCTTCTTTAGGGAATCATATTTGTGGAAATAAATGAGAAGCAAACTACTCTTGAAGGCTTGAACACAAAGTGAGTTTCTATACTTTTGTGTTGTCCCTAGCCTCCTAACATTTCATTTGGGGTAAAGTACCACATACTACAAAGTACTACAAATAATTATATGCAGGTACCAAACACTAGAAAAATACTATGAGTGATGTGCCCACTTATAAGCTGAGGTACTGCATACTACAATTTACTACTAGTAGTATTTTGAAGGTTTAGCTAGGGTTAGGGTAAATTAATTTTAAATTCTTCAATTAAACTTCTGTGTTGTTTAGAAAACAAATCTGTTCTGTCTGGCATAGTTTTATAATGAACCCATAACTTCACTGTTTTGTCCATTCTTCGCGACGTTACTTTTTTCTTTTTTTTTCGTCATAGGATGATAGAGTCCCATGAAGCAGTTCTTGGAAAATGATGGATTAACAACAATAAAAATCAAAAGAAATGTTACTTTGAAAAATCTTACTCTTGGAATAGGCTGACATAGACTCAGCGCGCTCAGCCCAGGCCCCACGCCGTGAAAGGTGAAATTCCCCGGCGCGATGGCAACGGGCGTCCCGCACCCCTCAACACTGCCGCCCGTAACTCCGGTGAAGAACGGGCGGAAGAAGCCGGGGCTGTGGGGGGAGTAACCAGGGCTGGCTGGGTGGGGGTGTGCTACCAGGTCGGTAGAGGGCGGTAGATCACGGAGATGGGTGTCCCTGAGGTACAGTGCCATGTGCTTGCGGAGGGTGGAGTTACGAGGGCCTCGCTCGTGTTGAACAGCTGGAGGCGAAGGATGCAAAAATATTCTAAAAGTTGATGAAAAATTACATAGCTGTACGTAAAAAGCATGTTTACGCGTAATCGTTTGAAGAATCTCATATTAATTAGAACGATGTTTCAAAAATTCTTAATTGCTTTAAAATCGTACTGTCTGTGTAACGGTACGTGAGTCATTTTCACAGATATTATGTACTAGCAAACCAACAAAATAAAACACTCAGACAGTGAAACTGACAAACAAACATTGATCGTTCCACGTCGACTTATAATGCACTTCTCATCGTCAGTGGCCCGGACACTTATAACAAACATCATAAACAGATTGCGCCATCCACCTGATCAACCCACTCCAATCAATCAATCAATCAATCAAATCAAAACAAACTTTTCATCATCTCTAACCAAACAATCTGCCACCATATGACACAATAACACCTCATTTTGATGACCATTTCACTGCAGGAATTGAAAAGACAGGAAAAACTACTTGGACGACTCGCCGATTGTTGATTGAAAAGAGGGAAAAAATCACGGTATGCCACCACCTTTTTAACCACCAATTGAAGTCGGTTAAAAAAGCAACAGAGCGGCAAAATGGGTGAAGGGCCCTCAAAAGGTAAGACTCTTCAGTTTTGTTTTCAGATCTGAATGATGATTTTTCTCTGCAATCGTTTGAGAGGCAGATGGGTTAGATGGGCGAAGTGGCCAGGGTAGTGACAAGGACCCTCACAGGAATCTGTGTATCGTGAGTTGCTCATTTCAAGTGGCAGTTCCAGTCACAAGTCTCTAAGGCGAGACAATAGAGAGACTTGGGAGTTCTGCCGTGCATTTTGCAGTCACCAGCTGCGAGATAGGTTTTGTAAATACTTTCCAGTAGATTTTCTTATCCATTATCATTTATTGCGCGTTCTGTTGAAATTGGCATATGTCTCCTAACTTCAGAAGTGAGGTTGCCACACTCTGTCATTGATGGAGGATGGGGTGAATATCCATTTCCTCATCTTAAAATATCTTCTTCCAAAGTTATCAGCTCACCAAAGCATCCATAGCCAACTTCACTTTCTATCCTTTCCCTTAACAACGTTTTTGTATTTTGATACATACCGTCTTCACTGTACCCGTTATCCCCAAAATTTCTCAAGTTATTCCCAGATTATTTTCAAGTCTTTTTGACTCGCATTCATATAGTCATGATTCTATCTGAGTTTCCTCGCCCAAGTCTTAACCATCTTGTAAGTTTAATACCGATATAAGACTTGATCATCTTCCAATTTAAACACACAATCACGCCGAAATCTTAACCATCTTCGCAAAATGAGTACCGTAACGATAACTTCATTCGTCATCCTCCCTCAAAAAAAATCGCCCCTCCTCATCCATCCTCATCCCATCCTCCTTTTCCATTCTCCTTTTCCATCATCTTCCTTTTCCATCCTCCTTTTCCATCCTCTTTCACCTACCGTCTTTATTCATCTCTGCCTGCACGCATTTCTTGAGGCGACACGCCCTACACTGGTTGCGATGCGTCTTGTCGATAGGGCAGGGACCACGCCCACGATTCTTACAGACGTAGGTGCGGTTCCTTCTGATGCTTCGCTTAAAGAACCCACTGCATCCGTCGCATGCGTAGACGCCGTAATGCTTGCCCGAGCTACGGTCACCGCAAACCTTGCATGGGATGTCTAAGATGCGACCTGGGTAAGACAGGATAGACGGAATTGAAAAGATTAATTCACTTGGAAATTTAAAAATGCAAGATTGAAGTATTGGAGTATGATCAGCACTTTGGGCGTGGTCCCTGCCCGCGTTGCACATGCATGAAGCTTTATAGTTTCTGATGTCATCAGCTTCCACTGTCAATTTTACATTGAATTCCCCCTTCCTACAAAATTACAAGTGAAACACAAACCAATGACAACGAAAAGAATGTGTCTCACATCCAAAGTCTCATAATTTCACCGTCTTGTGGTTGTTATTAATTTTGGTGTTGAGGTTAGACCAAAGAAGAACACAAATTATCACGTTATTTCTGGTCTATCATGAAACACGAGGTTGAAACCACTTTAGAGAAACACACAACTGAAAACCTCATACTATCAACCGGATAATGACAAAGAATTGAGGACAGAAAATATTTCAATTCCGTAATGATGCTTGCAGAACCTATTTCAACAAACTCTTGCACTACGCTGCCGAATCCTCAACAGCGCGCTAGTCGTGTCGCCACGTGCGTAACCGCTATTCGGTTAACCGTCGTTCGTTTACCCGATCGATATCGGCAGTCAAACGGTCTTCTCAAAAATCGATTCTTTCAATTATCCACACCCCTAAGTGTACAAAGACTGTCCCCTAACTGCGCGGATTTCCTGTACAAGTGAGATGTAAGCCAATACTACACGGTCGTATCGGGTATCATTGTTGGCTAGCTTGTACAATTTTCTGCCAACTGCTGCAAATAGAGAATTTTTGAAATTAATATCCACACACGGGGGGAATTTGTGAGGACATATTGGCGTTGGCCTTTGTGTGTCGGGACAGAAATTATGGAATTGTCAAGAACAAATGCAGGATGGAAAATGGAATCAGTTAGAAATAGGCACATGTGTTTTGCTCTTCATCGACTGAACTTAAGTCAAGTCAACCATCAATTAGTGTGTCACTAGACAATTCATAGAGACAATTAATCCGTGAATTGTTTTCTACCGAACACAGAAATCTTGATAATAAGTGTGTAAAAAGTGTGAATAATTTCGTACTTTAGTACTATTGTGGATTGCTTGCAATGACTTGTTTTGTTTTTTGAATGGAAGACCTGTAGTTATTTGTTTTCAATTAGTCTTAATTTCTTTTAAAAACTTTTGTATATTTCAAGTTTTGGAAAATGCCCATGTTGACTTCGTGTCCTGTTCTGATCGTAAGATTAATCTCAGCCAATCAAAACTTGAAGGAGCATGTGTCTGGCCAAAGCTTAAATACAACAGAGCGTGGCAATTTAGACCCACGTGAAGAGTTTAATTGTCAGCTATATTGCAAATAATGATCAAATCACGCAGAAAGAGTGTGTGAACTGTTGCAAATTAAAGGCCACGTGATTGACATTACAATGCTTTCGTGTTGACACCTTGCAACAATACACAATCTGAACAACATGGGGATTAGCCGGGACAAGAGGAAAGTGTAGCAATCTGAGATTTAAGCCCCGATTAAGACCTCTTCGGTTTATCCCCACATTGAGGAAGCTCAATCTGCTTGGCGGGTTCCCATCCTACCAAAAAAGTCTAGACAAACCACTCCAGGAAACTACCTCAAGATCCGGTGTTAGGGATTAGGGCGACCCCCGTGGATGTTGCTAAAATCACGAGGTGAGACTCAATCGTGGGAAATTGGAAGTGGCCTTTTATTACCCGTTTTTATTCCCACGAATTAATTGATCGGCTTACGATGCCTCTGTCCCAGGATTCACCGATTTGGACTGATACTGTAAACATCCCTGACAACTTGTAGAGTTTCCCATTGGTCAGCAATCATCAAAAACTCGTTAATTAAGCCCCTGATACAAAAAAAAAATATTGTGACAATCTCAAGTGGTTGGGCCTTGGAGTCGTCTTAAAGTTTCTTGGGACGACGGGTTGGCAGGTTGGTGGTCGGACAATGCCCAGAAAAGACCGGCACAAGCTGTGAGATTCACCGGTGTTTGACTATTCAGCCAGCCGGATCATTGGCCCGTGAAGCCCCGCTGGTTTCACGCTGGTTTCACGCTGGGCCCCCTTGTCCCCGGAGCATGTGAACACGCCGTTTGCTGTGTCCCATCCAGTGTGAGAATCAAGCACAAGATCCTTCAAGACATCACTTCTCATGTTAGAATGAGGAGGAGTCTTTTCACACGTCTTGTGAATAGGCTGTGTTAAGTTTTTATGTCATGTAAAAACAAGCTTTTAGGAGTGGCTTTTGTGCATTGGCAGCAGATGTTAGGTTGGGAGGGGGTGAGATAGGAGCATGACCTCTTTGTGAGGTCATAGGGGTGAGGTCTGACCTCCATCTGGGGCCAGAACTGGCGAGGGAGGGGAGTAGAGACAAGATAGGGGCATGCATGTGGGGTCATTGAGATGAGGTATTACCTCCTTTTAGGGTCATGATGGTGAGAGAGGGGATAAACCAGGACGTCATTATCATGGATGTGACCTATGACCTCTCCTAGAGGTCATGATGATGAAGGAGGATGGCATGTGGTAAGGGAGAGCTGAGATTGGTGCTACACCTCAATGTAGGGTCAAGGCGGTGAGGCATGACGCCTTGGGGTCATTTATTTTTAGGAAGGGGAGCAGATAATTCTAGTATCGATGTTCTTTATTCCGATTTTCAGTAAAATGGAGGCTTCAATTTCAAAAAAAAAATAGAAAAAAAAAAAATGTATTCAGAGGAATCGTTCATCACAGTCCAACCCATATGTTTGTAGTTTGGCGTGGATGAACACCAATGTACAATTTATCTAAAGAAATTATTATTTTTTAAAATTACAATCACAGCTTAACTGCAATTGGTAAGAATTATAAAACAAAGATATCCATTTTGTTTATTGCTGTGATAATATTCCACACGCTGTAATTATTTGTCATTATCATTTTGAGGATGATTTCAATATCTTGCCGTTAATTAAAACTACCTCATTTACGCACCAGTACCCTGACATCCGCTAGGTTTAGAATTCGAAGACAAAGCGTAATTCTTCTTCATTTTAATGTCATTGTAAGCTAATATGCTGTCAATATTATACAAGGCACATTCTGTACGATTGAGACTGGCTTTTTGGCTATTATATTCCATAAACTGTTTCATTTAATTATTTCAGTAACGCATTAAATAGTCATCAGATTCATCGTAGCGTAAATATTAATATGCCTGTTATTTCAAAGGAAGACCGACTAAGAATCTTGGTGGAAAATTTTACGTGGATAAACAAATTCTTGTGAGGGATTTCAGATTTAAATATTCTTCAATCCGTTCGGATTACGGTCTGTTTCGTGGTGGCTAATGGGTGGTATAACCAGAATTTGAAATGTGTATTACATGCATGCCTGTAATATTGCCCACTTTGGTTAACAATAAGGGAATTTAAATTGACATTAAATTATTTCATTTAATTCTCCCAGACAACCAGTCGTTTTTGATTTGTACTGCTAGTGCCTCTCTTTTCCCCATAAGGATATTGTACACTCTATTCTAATCAACTAAAACGTCAACAATTCTCATGTCATTCCTGATCCTTGATTGTCATTATTGTATTCATTGATATCTTTTTCCTTCTGTCTGCCTCTCCCCCCTCATCTCAATCGATGTTCTTTCATTCTCATCCTCCACCCCTGTCCGATATTGACTTGTCTTATCCTTATATTGTCCTCCCAAATTAAGAAATTGGTTGACTAGTCCTGACTTAACGATCTCTGGCTCCCAATAATCCCCTCATCTGCAGAGAAATCACGCCCGCTGCGTATGCTGTTATCCATATCCTGAGACGTGTAACACCGTCTTAAAATAACTCATCAATACATTGACATGTTGCTATGTTAGGATTCTTTAAGCTCATATACAATTCGGTTATTTCCCAAATGAGCTTTTCGTGAACAGGGTGAGTAAAAAAAACGAAACCCAAATGGCAGGACCAATTTTTGAATGAAGTTTTGCCTGTAGCGCTTTCAAAATCTAGGATCTGAAAGCCCAATTCATAAGCTTTTTTTTTTTGTACAAGAATCATTCAAATCACTCATGTACTTTTTAAGTTACGGAATTGTGAATACAAACACCGTTTTAAAGTTCTGTCCACGGATCGCCACAAACTTGGGTTAATTCAGCAGATCGAGAAAAAAATGCTCATAGGGATACATGTGAATTGTTTTAGTTTTGCTAAAAGAACACTAACCTTTTTGTGATCCGTGGACAGAACTTTAAAACGGTGTTTGTGTTCAAAATTCCGTAACTTGAAAAGTACATGAGTGATTTAGTGATTCTTGTAACAAAAGATAGCTCATTAATTGGGCTTTTATATTCTAGATTTTGAAAGTGCTTCAGGCAAAACTTCATCAAAAATTGGTCCTGCAATATGGGTTTTTTTACTCGCCCTGTTGTACATCATTTTATTGGTGGTTTTTGAACGTAGTTCGAAATTATTCCGCTGGAATAATAGTTTTATTTAAAAAGAAAAGAAAAAAGGACAATATCACTTGTTTAAATTTAATACACCACACTTGCGGAACAGTAATAAGCCCACTGCATTGTTGCATTGAAAACTCAACAAAACAATTCTTACGGGAACCTCACGTTTCGAATTTCTTTCTAAGATGGTGTTTTGTCGGGGATTTAGACTTATGGATTTTCTTTCTGAGCTGATATTCAATTTCCTTTGAGTACATAATCGTCTCAGCTCGAAAGAGGAGGGGCGAGATGGATGATCCCTTGTTGTGTCTGTCATAGACTGTCAAGACCCAGACGAGTTGCGTCTAATCCTATAATAATCTAATCGCTCTAATCAACAGTGTACCGTTAGGAATTATAGGTGTTAATTGGCTGAGGATTGGTGCAGTAGTTTATTGATTGGTTGGAGATATGGGGTATGATCTTATGAGACGTGTAGCCTTCTTTCGAGTCGTGAGATTATCAGATCTCCACACCACGGAGTGCATGCAGATGTCAGTGGCTGGTTTCAATTTGATTCTTAGAACACATCATTATGAAAAATATCATTCTTATGCCATAGTTGTAATCAATATGAAAAGTTGTACAATGTTACTGCAAATCAAAAGTGTGTCTACCTATTTTGATTGAATATTCAAGGTTAACACGTGTTGGAGATATAGGCAAAAACTCTCGTCTTTTCCACATATTTTAGGTATACGTTTCGCTAAGACTAGTTGCACGAGTTTGGACTTGAGATAAAGGCCAAAAGTTTTATATAGGAATGAACCAAAACCAATACAAACGTGCACTTTTCAACACTGGCAAGACCTGAATACAGACACAAACTCGCAATTATTTTCAATGAAATGTAGAAATGCAGTAAGTAGCTTTACTCTCGTATGCACAAACTACAGTATTAGAAATGCTTACAAATCAAATCTGTAAAAGATATCCTATCTCTATACTGTTACTAGAATTCCAGTAAGCGATTGTTATACTTACTTGACGTTGATCCAACTTTGCCGCTCATTTTGATAAACAGTCAATTTTTTTTTCTCTATAATTCGAGCTCCCGGAACAATGAATAATAGTTGAGCAGGCCCGGGGATAATCCTCGCCGGCGGGCAGGGCAGTAGCGGAACGCGGCCGCTGGGTGTAGTGCGTCTCTGCTCCCGGTGTGTGACGAGCGAATCACGCTAGTGGCCGCGGAGATCCAATTCCCCTCCGGTGGTTTTGCCTCTCTGAACCCTCTAGCGTCTAGCTTGCCGTTGAACCGTCTTTTGCCTCGGGGCAATGCAGCTTATAATGAGGCAAATGGTTAGAGGGAGCTTTTTTGCGGTGTAAAAAAAACCGCCGGTGAAAAAACTCACCGTGTACAGGGCGCCCCGGGGTGACGAACAAAACCCCATCAACACTCCTCCCACTTTGTTACACAAACCCTTTGAGGGTTGAGCAGACGACACAACGTGGACTCGTAAGAACGCTCGCTGATTGGCCCCATCACTTTGGTGAAATTTTGTAATGACTGAAAGTGTAGTGTATTATGCGTGTATTGCGCTGGCGAGTGACTTGTATAAAGCAGCGAGTTGCTTAAATTACTCCTTTGTATTATGGTTATAATTATTTGAAGTAAAGTTGGAGTCTATATATGTTTTCATTTTACTTTGCGGTCAAAATCCTTGTCGTGCACAAATCACTTTCCGAGTTCATCATGATAACTCCATATCCTTGGATCTCAATTAGGACTTAAACAAACTATTTAAATATTTTTTGGTTATCTGATGACGAGCAAGAAATACAAATTTTGAATTTTTTTTCTCCAAAAATGGATTACTTGATGTGTGTTTAGGAGTGTAGACTGGGTATAGGTTCAGGAGGTCAATTTGTTAAATGGTGGGTTTACATCTTAATTGGGAAGAATAGTTAAGCATCATTATTAATTTCAGTTAATTTCACAAAACATGGACAACTGATAGAAAGTTGGCTTCACTTTCTTTTGGGTGGAAATTGTGTAAAACCAGGCAATCATTATAGTCTATGGAATAATCCCCTTACACAGTAAGGGTCTATGGCATGGTGCAGATTCGGCGCTTAATTATGCAAAACAAGGCAGCGACTTCACCTAGAGACATTCTGACCATTAAACGACCGCTTTCTATCAGGTCTTCGGGAACCCGTTGTTGTATTACAAAAAATGGTATCCAAATTGAAATATCAACAGCTTAATCGACATTTCTGATCGAAATGACGTCACAATTTCTAAAGTCGACTCCGATTGGCTGGTTATACGGAGAGGGCTTCGTAATGGCCAACGGGTGATAGTGATACTCAGACAAGGGCACAAGGCAATCATGGCCTTAAGAATAGAAAATTGCCATCGATTTTTTTTTTTACAGGGAACCTTGGACAAGCCTTGGCTGTTTTTTGAAATAGTTTCCCCTTGTTAACTTTATTTTGTGCATCTTGAAAAGGCTAATCTGGTATATTCTTATTAACCCGTGATCGACGAAATCAGGGATTATTCGCATGAGTGGAAATAGTATGGGGTTAGAAACCTTTAATGAGAGCAATGTAGTGGAAATAATCGAGTAATAATAAGTCGAAATAATAAGTCGAAATACCTTTGAAGATGTGCGTCAGTGCATTATGACAACCTGTATTGTCAACAAAGATGAACAATCTTTCAATGTCCCCAACGATATTACTTTTAGCCGTTGTATAGTGTGAAATTTGGCCTCAATGAAATACAGACTCATCGGTTGTACTGCGCATGCCTACTTAGATCACGTGTGCGGGTTAGAGTCCATATAAGGTAAAAGAGACCAATCAGAGACCAACCATGGGAGTCAAAATTACATATGACTCCGGCCCTGCATTAGTTCCCCCCCCCCTTTCAGGCTAACATGCCCCGCCCTCCTCTTCCAACCCCCCACATATTTTAGCAACCATCCCCTACCGATTAAGACATCGACTGACATCCTACATTAAACTGCTAATCACGCAGGGGTTAACACACCAAGTAGTGTCTATTTGCCTTAATACCTCAACCCCTCGAGGCGAACAAAAGGAGCCCCTTCAGAAAGTCACCCCAAAGGGCGCTAGCGGGCCACACGGCCGAGCAGCCCCGGCCCTCCGTGCCAGCGCGCCGGGTCGAATGTACTCTGACTGCATCGCAAGGCAAACAAGACCGTAAAAAGACCGTGAAAAAAGGAAAACCCAAGCGCGGTAGTACTCAACGCACTACGGGGCTGACACGGGGGTTTGGCAGCGCGGGCTTGGGCAGTGGGGAGGTTTGGCCACTTGTGCACGCGTTGTTCATCGGTTGGCCCAACAGTCCGCCAATCCCCTTGATACCAAAAAGAAGTGACAGCAGTGGGATTCTCATTCACTCAGCACGTATGGAGCGGGGCCAGTGGTTTCAATGGGCTGTCTTTTCTTTTGAGTGGTCTCGTTCTTACCCTATTGCTATTCCACTCCTTGCCTTACAGGAACAACACCCTTGCTCCAACCGCCCTTCAAACCCAGCTCTGGCCCCATGAAGAAGTGAGGAAAAAAAGGGCAAGTTAAACAGTCGCTTTCTAATAACCTGGGCGGGGCAAGTAAATATTTTATGATTGCTTTAACACGATCTTGTTTCTCCCTTTTGCCCCCTGACTGTCCTCAGGCATCTCTTGTCTCCAGCCTCTTTTTTTCCCGGTTCTCTTTTGCCAAATCTGAAGTGTTGCTTGAATTGCCAGCATTTACCCAAGTCCTTATGTGGACAATACCTCTCGAGTACTGAGCACACGCAGACGTATACAGCACACTGAGACTCCGTGATGAAAAAAAAATGCTCTTGAAGTTTTGAAGATGATAATAGTCACAATTGTAAAAGGGGATTGTTGGGGGGGGGGGGGTCGCGGACCATTCTTGCCTGTCACCGGGGTGATTTGGAGCAGGTGGCAGGGGCAAGGTGGACCAGGGTCATGGTGGCTGACGGACGGGGCAGGTCCTCATCATTCCCTGACCTGACTCCATCTCATACATCTATAATTTCTCAATAATTTCCAAGTTTTTATCCACCCAAGTACATACGCCACACGGGGTTTATTATGTCGACGTCACACACAAGTGGACGGACTCTCTGTGGACAGTTTGTTATTAATTTCATTGACAATGAAAGTACAGAGAGTTAACTCATGCATAATCACAGAGGGATAAAGACATGACCACAGCGAGGGCGCTCTGTGCAAGCTCTCTATTGGAGTCCGTACAGGGAAGCCTTAAGGTAATTGGACAATTACCCTGCCTTTCGTGAATCCTTACAACTCCCTCCAAAACCTTGCCCTTTGTGACTTCATTTGGGAGTCTGAGCACCCATGTCTCTAGACCAAGGTAGCACTGACTTTACATTGGTAAAGGGTACAAAACAGTAATAAGTTATACCACCTGGATATTAATTCCCATTGAATAGTTATGCATTTATTATGGATTTGAGAAAATGTAGTTTACAATTGTTTTGTATGATGTTTATATTCTTTTGCATAAATGTTCAAACAGCTGAACTGTACTATTTGGCCTGCCTGGGTGAAAAATATGGGACCTAAGTAAATCCCTCCCGAATGAAAACTGTGTCATCCTTATTTGCAAAACATCGCAAATAAGGTTTTGAAAAAAATTGAAAACAGTCAAAAATGTGGGCCAGTCTTTTGATCACACCAGCTGTCGATCATACTCGGTCTGAATCGAGTCGGATATATTTGCCCAGGTGCCGTGGACGGGACCGTGAATTGGCGAGTCTCGTCCTACCGTGCTCGAGCACCGATCTCCCCATTGGATGGGACAGGGAGCTCCGCAACCACAATACTCCCGCGGGGGGAAAGTTAGGGGGAGAAATCCCGACTCCTCTTTTGTCAGTCAACAGTTCGGAGTCGCTAAGCCAGACCGTTAGGCGAGACTTTTGACAGGAATAAAACATTAGAAATCCTTGTCATGCGGACAAAAAAATGAAAACAAGAAAAGCGGAGACCTAGTTTTAGATTAGGAAACTAGGCCGTGGATAACGGAGTATTTGTGGGTTTGATTGCCAAGTGCGAGGACAAGAAAGGAAAAGTTGGCGACGTGAGTAACGCTTAGCCTAGTTAGTTGTATGAAAGAACGAAACCCACTTTTGACAGGGAGCCCTCACCCCAATGACTACCCCAGAATGGACCGAAGTCCACGCCGTTGTTTCGGGCGTGCTGTTACCGACATTCCGCGCTGCTGCGGTCCGCTAAATTCTATTTAATTACCCCTCTAATATTTATCTTCCATTGTTAAGGAAAACGAAGGTTAACGAAATGTGATATTCGGGACGAGTTCGACAGTTCTTTGCTGACACTTCTTATTAAATTCTGGGTTCGCCAATAAAACCAGAGAAGTTTTCTGGAACCGTCAGACCAAGAGTCAAAAACGAAAATTTAGGTTTACAAAACAGTCAATAAAGATCTTTACTGTGCCAGTGAAGTAGGTTAAACAAACAAACAGTACAATCAGATGCAGTCTGCAATAGCTGTTGTAAACGGAAAAGTTCCTGCATGATGGGCATGTCCTGACTGGAAGAAGGCGGTCCACGATTTTTTTTTACTTATGTCATTTATATTTTATCATTATTGCTGTTCTTAATCGATTCACGATAGGCTGGCATACCCTAATGTTGGGTGAAATCATAAATGTACAGTATTTTTCTCGATTATAATTTATTTTATTGTCGACGTTTCTTCTGAATTTTTTTCTCTTGACTTAAAACCACAAATTTGCCCAAATATTCAACGCCACATAGACACAATGTCCGCTGTCGTTAAACGCGTTGTGCCCCTCCATCAACGCGGACTGGGCGGGAGACAAAAGCGCACAGGCCGGCGGCCTTGGGGAGGCCCCAACACGCTGCCGAAGCGGTAGGCAAACAGACATTTAAACAGCATAAAAATGTGTTTAAAACGCCTCAAATGGACGGACCTATTGTCAGGGCAACTCTGGCTTTGGACTCGGAGGTTAAAAGGGGCCAGGAACGGAGACTGAAGTTTCTCCCCAGGGGACGGGGCTTATTCTGGAGTCCGTATGGAGGGGATGTGGTGTGTTTTCATCGGGGGTTGGGATAAACCCCGACCCCGTACGTCATCGTGAATTGGACAAAATAATGGACGCATCGTTATCCTTCCATTTCTTTTCCAAAATGTTTTGTTTTTGCCCTTTACATCAGTGAATGATTTTTCAGGCTCTTTTTCATTGATGAAATTTGTATTCTTTGTAAAGAGGCTTTTAATATTAACTAACGGTCGCAATATAAATTCCTCTGACGGATATATAATCGACATAAAATGTGCTTCGTAAATGTAGAAAATAACTCGAAGAAACGTGCTTGTTGCATTGGCTATAATCAGGCCACAAACTTCGTACTTAATTTGAAAGAAATTGTTTCCACAACTTGCAATTTCGTCACTTTCTGCCATTTTTCATCGACCTGAAACTCAATCCCCACACGTGTCCAGAAAAATCATTTCCCCTCCAACTCATTCGGTTTTATCCAAATATCATATCGGACAAATATTTGTTCCAAACCGGCGTTTTTATTAAAACCATTTTTCCAGGTCTGAGTTAAATCTGTATTCAATTCCCGCCGTAGCGCGACCAACAACTCACCTAGCTTCCTACCCTATTGTTACAAATTCTAAGATCTTACCAAACAGTTTTATTAATTACGATTTTGTCCTCACCCAATTCCGACTTTCAAACTACCCTACGGCTATTGCAATCAGCCCGTGCGTCTCTCTAAAAGATACATTCCATTTTAGAACAAACATCCAATTAATAATACGGCTAATTTGCCCGCAGTTATTGGCCCAGAGATATTAGTGCGTAGATTGCGCTCAACTACCCAACATTTACCTTTTCGTCTAGGGTTACACAAAAAGAGAAGTACTTGACACAAGGAAAGCAATTAAATCGTCTTCACGCTTGGCTAATAACGCCATCCTAATCTCAGGCCAAATATAGGAACAAGGTTTCGTTACATGAGAGGCACGTGATGATTCTGAAGGCGAGAAAACCGTCAAAGAATTTCATTATTTTATGAAGGAAAACAAAATCAATTGAACAGTAAATGTAGGTCGACAGTTTTGTGTAGGGTAATCAAGGTGGGCGTGGTCCCTTGCCGCAGTAGCCAATGAACGGGACCACAGGCAGCTTCCCATCCAATCAGCGTGCTTGTTATATAATCACCAATTTGCTTTCTGTCAGCGAAGAAAACTACTCAAACCACACAAGAGAAAGTTGAATGTGACATGCTAACGTGGTTGAAACGATGATGGCGCCCTTCCCCAACCTAAATTATGCATTTTACCGATAAACGGTAGACGTTTATGCAAGCTTTTAATTTTTTTTTTTTAGTTAAGAAACAAAATGACCACAACAATTCTAAATATGATAAGTGAGAACAGGCTCATTATTTTTCAGTTTTGACCAAGTGCTAGCCGTACTGTTGCCGTACTTGTCAAGTAAAAACATCTCATTATCCCGGGTTTCAATGCCTGGAAACGAAAACAGTTTAACCAGCGCCGCGGTTGGCACAGCAGGGGAAGATCTCCGTGAGAACAGGCGTAAAAAAACGAATAAAGAAAAGGGAAAAGTGCATTTCTCGTACATTTCCCGAACACGCGGACGATAGTCTGTGAGGTGAGCCGTAAAGAAGTCATTGGACCGCACGCTGAGGGTGGTACACGGGACCTCCTACCCTCAGTCCCGTGGAAGAATTCACGGTGAAATGAGGAACCGGGCGCGCGGTACGGAGTTCAGGGTACTTTGGTCGACAATGGGGGAAGGGGGCTGGCTGGGGAGGGTGGAAGGGGGAGGCTTGGGGTAGAGACCCTCGGCGGCATCCTCTTAGATGTCTGCATCGTGCCGATGAATTGGCTGGAGTTTGTTCATTCCATGCGAGAAATAGCCGAGTAAAACTGGTGTTAATCGAGTAAATGGGTCTAGTTTGGGAGTTGGGAACAATATTCAAGTCGGACTCCTTTTCATTCATTGATATTATTGGGCTTGTTTTCCCCTTGGGGCGCTATTATCATGATATGCCTTGATTGATTTGACATCTGTTCTGTCTGTGACTGCAAGTGTTTTTTCAGACTCGAAGCAGGGATTTTTTTAACCACTATGTTTTATTCATTGGTACTCTGATTACTCTGTGGATTTGATTTATTTTTTAACCTGGTTATTTCCGACTTGGTTGGCCGATTGTCTGGGAATTATCATCATGGTCTGATATATACACACACGCGACCGATAATAATAATTATACTTAATGTGAGACACTATAGTGGAGCAGTGTGCCATCTTGTATAATATGTCTGAGAATGTGATCAGTGTTTTGAACAGATTGGGAGACGAGATCGTTCATGATTTTAATAGGTGTATGCTTTTTTAATGGGCGGGGTCTCAAGGTGAGAGATGTTGGAGGAGGCAGACATTGTTATTCATCACCTTATTTACCCTCTGTCCAAGCTTTTACCTTTATGTTAGCATATAATGAGGATATCTGTAAACTGTGAATGTTTGTGTTAATTTGCCCCCCCCCCCCAAAAAAAAAAGGGAAAAGAAAAGAGAAACGAAGTTTGTAACGATGCTGACATTATTAACAGAGTTCTCGAACAGGCTGTTCATGTATTTGGTATACTGAACATCTTCGGTGTTAAACTTACTACATGCATGTATGAAATTGTCCTTTACAGTGTATTGAGAAATATGAGAGGCCAAACAGAGAGACAGACAAACCAACGAACATAGCGATGCCGTACAGTACAGTCGGGATAAACAAGCAGGCAACACAACAGACGGGTAAAAGCCACGTGAATCCGCCGAGAGTACGAATCACCTCGGCCCGTAAAAAGTACACCCTGGCCCGGCCGTGAACCTGGTCCGAACTCCCCATCCTCGTACCAGGATAAAACAGCCGTCTCTATTGAACAATGCACCCAGCCACAGCCCGCGCTTGTTTCTGATTGAGAGCAACCAGTCGTAAAATCGGCTTATAAACTTCGCCTTGACTTTGCCAAAAATCGCTCTGAATAAAACTTTGTGTCGGCCCGCTACACCCTTTCTTGTTTTCCTCGACGGTTCGACTAGTGTTTGGCGAGTTTACAGATATTGTAAAGACTTTCCGTGACTGTGTCTACCATGCGTGAAGAAAAGTCGACTCGAGCTCGAAAGTCAAACGATTATTCAGCAGATTTTTGATAGATTTGTCCAACTAAAGTATACACAATTTTGGAATCAGGCGGTATGAAGAAGGGTTGTATTTTACAGCTGCTGCAAAAGAAACTCGTCTCAGAAGTGTGAGAAACATTGGCGGAAACAGGGTTCCATTTGCATTTTGGCACTTGGGACCTCACTTTCTGGGGTTTCAAAAAGAGGTTGTTTCCTGGCCTTGAGGGAAGGCCGTGCCTGATTTCTGCCATTTTCAATCTTTCAAGGCTTAAACGACAACTGAATTTATTTTCTCCTTCGTCAGTAATTCCTTTCTCCTTGTTTACCCCCTTCCTTTTCAATGTCTACATCGTCTTAAAAACACTTGGATAACATGGAATATGCTTCATGTAATAAGAACAAGATACCATCATTATAAAAGTCCCAGTATCACAAGGTGTGGGGACATAGGATAACTTCCCCTCAATATTTTGAGAATGCTTAATTTGTTTACATAAATATTGAGCTCATGCACATTTCGCATCTTGCTTCATAAAACCCTGAAGGCCAAGCAGTCAATAACAAACCCTTGTCACAACACAAGCATTCAAAACTAAATTTGTATAACTCGGGGGAATTTTACAAATAGAAACGGGCAGAAGAAAAGCAAACTTGTTGATCCGGTGTTGGCTTTTTCCGCTCGAGCAAACGAGTTATTCCGAGATTTTGATCATGATACTTTTTTTTTGCTTTTTCACTTTAGCCGAGTCTGTGCGTGTGCAGAATGCGGCTTAGGGGGTTTCAAACCATTTGAGAAAGAGAAGCCTTCGCATTTTTGGTAAGTAAAATAATCTTCCAATTGAATTGACATAAGTCACCTTTAACAAACTCCATTCTGAGGACAACAATTTGATATTTCCCCCATCAACTCACCCCCCCCCCCCCTTGTCTATGGAATATCTCCGTGCACAGCAAGGGTCAATGATATGCGAGCAGATTCGGCGATTATATATGCAAAACATGACTGCGACTTGACCTCGAGTTTCTGACCATTCAGCGGGCGCCTTCTACGTACATGTATATCGGGTCTTCGGTAACCCGCTGTTGTATTACAAAAACATAGCATCCGAATTGACCAATCAACACCTTAGTCCATATTTCTGATCGAAATGACGTCACAGTTGCTAAAGTCGATTCCGATTGACTGGCGCACGGGGTCGCAACAATTTACATGATGGGATATGACGTTCGACCGTGGCTCTGCACACATGAATGTCTGATCCTTAAGACTAACCCCACCAAAAAAGAGAAAGACAAATCTGTGCAATTCATAATCTTTATTTCACTTTTAATTACATGTTTTATCGTCTCACTTATCGAGCCCGAACGTTTGTAAAGAAACTATCATGCGAAGTATTTTTAAAAGTAAGTTATTCCCTTGAACCTTCCATTTCATTAGTTTTTACATATTTTACATATTGTTTTGACCTTAACTTTTGTTCTTTTGTCTCCAATAAAATCCGTAAAAGCCCGAGTCATTTTTTACAAATTTGTTCACTGTGTAATAAAAATAGTGCATAGGAAATATTGTGCAACGCTCCAAATGTTAGTGTACATTATCAACTTGAAGAATTTACCAAGATTGTGCATAGATTGCTGTCTTTTGTTCATGTGCTTCTTTATACATTCCTGTTGCTAATAACTTTAAGTCTGTAGTTCTGCTTTTCAAAATGAGGCTTTCATAAAAGATTTTGTCCCAGAAACCTGCAACTCATAGTGCTTCTACTGAGCAACTTTTTTCCAAGTATGTGTTTTTTGCATAGCAAGATGTGTAAGTAGAAGGCATGATGGCTAGTCTCTCATCAGACAGAATGCTGTAGCGCCCTCAATGTTCAAAACGAGACAGGTTAATCAGACTTTTTCTGAGCACTCGAACATTGCAGTGTTTATCCAGAGCTGTTGCTCAAACTACCTGGTTGAGGCAACATCATCTTGAAGCAAATTGAGAGGCAGGTATTTCTGTTTTAAAGATGACATTTTTCACCTCAGCTGAAGCTTGGAGCAGAACTACACACCAAAGTTTGCTTTAAAATACAACAATCGAAACCCCACACCCATCACCATATTAGCAAAATCAATGCAATGGTTCACTACTTTACAAAATATAATAACTTTAGAATATAAAAAAAAAAAATCTTAAATTCCTCTTCATCCACAAATGTAAAATACTTCAAAGTAGAACCCAAGTCCACCAATATGAAAGTCAGAAGCGGAATGTATTCAGAGGGCTGATTCATGACATCAAAACATTTGCAAATCAAAAATCAACCTTGCAAAAAGGCTCACACTTTTTTGTTCGATATGCACAGACATTTCATGAAATATATCTTTATAGGAAAAAACAGCAATTGCATAAAGTCAAGCAGCAGATTCAGCCCACAACAAGCAAATACGTAAAAACAGAAACAAGAGTTGAAACTTAGCACAGTTGAAAAAATAATAAAAACTTTGTAAAATGAGGAAACATAACATTATGGTTTTAAAACCCAAAACAGGTGTTTGTGGATGCAGACACACAACAAATTGCGTGCTTCTCACTTGTATGTGGACCAGGCAAAATCTAGGATCTGTGGGGCCACATATTCAAAAGATGAATTTCATTGCGAAAAAAGGTTTTAAAAAATGAGACGAGAGTAAAAGACAAATAATACAAAACTTGGTAAGGAATTAGTAACAAATCCTGGTACTCCCTGCTCTGTTTGGAATGTTGTCACTTGTGAATTGATAATCTAGATAATCCCACGAATTTCAAACCTCAACGTGCGTAAATCAGTCTCCATACATTTCAGCCACACTACACCACACGCTTCACATCCAACGTGTGCAGAGTTTGCAAAATGTAATTGAGATCACGGCAAGGACTCTAAATAATACAGTTCTGTAAACCTCTTTAATGCCAAGTTGATATTTTCATAGTGATGCTAAATGAATAGCTTAAAACAAATTTTGCCTGAGGTTTGTAATCCAAAAGTGGCTCCTCAGTAATAACCATGTTATGAGGTGACCAGATATTACGACCTTTGACCTTGTGATGAATACCAGTTATGTCTATGAAGAAACCATGGTGGGTTGTTGGCTGGTGTACACTCTCTTCTTCTGGCATTTCATCTCCTCGTCCACGATGGTCGGGTCAAAGGTCAACTTGGACCACTCCTCAAAGTCAAAGTGGGAGTCGTTGAAAACACCTTTCATGCGTCGCCTGAAAAGATTACAAGTCACAACAGGAAATAGAAAATTAATGTAGTAGGATTACTCAAAATGATTTCTGGTTACAAGACATCAATTGTACAAACTGTGGTTGTCTATACCCTCTATTCCACAAAAAAGGGAACCCTGGAGCACTTGAAGCAAAACAGACACACCCCAAACTCCTAAGTCTTCTGTAATTGTAGAAATCTGATTTCTGCATTGAAAATTGTGTTTTTAGTACATGTTACAGTTTTTAATTATTAGTTATAAAGAATATCATTATTGGACAAATTTGATTTTCATTTTTTTTTTGCATTAACCGTAACAAGGAAATATCAGGGGAAAAAATGTAACAAGAACTACAAAAGGACTAATATCGACAGGGAATACCATCTTATCTTACAAAGCAGGTGTTGAAACTTTAACTTTGCCATGGGATATGGTTCTGCTTGAAGGACACAAAATTCTTGTGAGGATTAAGTTGAGTGTTTCCATTGTCTGGACATGGAAGGCTTCCAAATGATTCTGAAACTGGAGATGAAGACTATTTTTCAAACCCCTCCATGTTTTGCCTTTGAAGTTGAAAAGTTTGGTGTGTCAAAGACTACTGACCTGCTGCTCATTCTGACTGGACTCTCAATGTCATGTAGAGGCATGGCAAGCCAGGTACGGCATTCGGTTCCGTGCCGACCAAGAGGCACGAGGGGTAAGGGTGGCAAGCGCTGGACCTCAACGGCTGAATCAGAAAGGGTTCTCCCTGTAATAGAACAAAAAGTGAAAATGGTAACCTTATACTGCTGAGAGAATATTTCACGTGCTTCTCAGGATGCCTTAAGTTAACGATACAACTTTTGGCATTGCCTTTCTGTGTATGTTCTTTAAGGCATGGATCTATTTTTTGCTACATGGTATGCATCCAAAAAACCCACAAAGAAAACCTTAAAGCTACAAAATGTGTCCTTAAATTGTCTTTTAAAAAGAGAACATTTTTAAACGCTACCAAAATCTTTGAAAAGCTAGCTAAAAACCATTAATGTTCTCTATCGCACATACCTGTTCTACATCTGATGATGGTTCTATCTTCATCATTCCTATTGCGTTGTTGGGCTATGAGGGGATCATCCAGTGTATCAGTCTGTGCTACGATGGGGGCTGGACGAGGGACGACTAACTTCAGAGGGTCGTACTCTATGGGATCATAGATGTCTAGAGAAACAAAGCCCTGCCAACAAACAAACAAAAGAAAACAAAATATTGTCAACAAAATCATCAATCAAAAACTGTTTAGTTTTGATAACTAGGGAAACAAAATTGTTTGAATTTGAGAACAAACCCTTTTCCTCATAGGTGTTATCTTAAAATTATTTTAAAATAAAATTAAATTAAAATTTAAACTCATTAAAAAATGGATATATTTATTCAACCATTCCAGAAAATATTGTTACCTTTTTATTTCTGTGTCGTAGATACTCAAGGAAAAGCACCCTCTTTCTCTTGTCCACCGCTGCGTAGTTTCCTTTCATTTCCCGGTAGATCTGCTCTTGGAGAGGAGCAAAGATGCGTTCATTCCACTTCTTATACAGCATCTCCTTCTTACGTAGGTCCAGGAAGGATTTCTCCGTCAAGAAATTATCAACATCCTGCCAGGTAAAAAGGTATCATTTCCAAACATCATTATTATTATTGAACTAATCTTAAGCTTAAATATTTGCTTGGTAAGTTTTTATTTCATTATACATGTAATCACAAATTTATTCTGGGAAAAAAAACGACATTGACAAATGAGAAAATGGAATGCCATTCTGAAACAATACTTTGGATCATTTTAAACATAACGAGAGAAAAATATTCAGCCTTTACAAATTATACAAATATGTGATTTTCTAAAACAATGAGAGTTGAGAACACATTGAAAAAAAAGTGAGATTTACAATATAAATGGGAAAAATGATAGAAAAATTGGTTGGTTCAAAGACCTTTGATGATTAAAATTTGATAATTATTGTGAAATTGTCAACACTAACCCTGACGAATGTGTTTTCTCTGTCTAGGACTGCCATGTACAATTTTTTGGTTTCTTTAGATTCAGGGTCGGCCCGTTCCTGTATGTCAAACAAAAAGAAAAAAAATGGTTAAAAACGTGAAATGGACAATATCAAGAGCATACATAATTTTGAAATAACTTTAAAAAAAAATATGCAACTGGACACATTTTTATTTTGTGAAAAAATTATTTGTGAAAAAATTACTTGTGATATTACAAATATACTTTCAGCGGCAAGCTCAAATCTTTAAATAGGTAGGTGTTAATATGTCGATTTGGAATAAACAACACAAAGTCCATAATGTTCACTGATGCAAGTTCTATGGATCCGTACTGCTCAATATTGTTTGCCCAGGACACACTGTTGACTGTAGCATTTTATGATGATTATTGATTTTGACACTAGATACCACACGTTTTTTATTTATATTTAAAAGACTTATATTAGAGTGAATACTGAGACAACAAAAATAGATTTGGATATGGCCAATAGTACATCAATAATTTGGTAAATCATTAACTTGTATTGGGCATTTTGACAGATAGGTTAAGTTTTAATCATTTTAGAACACTGTTAAACATTATTCAAAACATCTGTTGACTTTTCTGGGTTGCTAGGCACAACAAGCAATCAATGCACATTAACAAACTACTTTACGCCCATCTAAATAGCATGCACTGGTAATGGTCATCTGGAATAGGAATGCAAACGATCTCTGGCCAATCTACTAATGTCCACACTCCACACAAGAGTTCTCCATCCGTGCTAATTACAATGTATGGGTTTGTCTTTTTATGAGGGTTTGGAATCAATGAGGGTCTTGGTTGTGTAAACAGTCCGAGGTGGGGGAAGGTCCAATGTAAATTTGCAAGGCAAACACGCTGAGGAGAACAAGCAATTAATAGGTTTCTGACTCTGGGTTTGGGAATAAAAACAGAGAATATGCTGCTTTAGTGTCCAACAAATTAATTCTTTATGAGCAAGTTTCTTGGGTAACATTGTCAGAGTAACTGTCATGGAGCAGTTGTTTTGTACAATGAATAGCACAATGCCTCCACCATTACTGGAGCCGTCTTGATGAGTGTACAACGTCTTTGTTCCCCGATTCTCCATAACAGAGGTGTGATTCTGAGAGGGACCAAAGATGTTAACTTGATATTTCAATCATTTTTGTCTGACCATCATTACATGTTTTTGACTGAAGTATTTTTGGACATACCTGAACCCCACGTATAGATTTCTGGCACAGCCAGTTCTGTATCTTGGCACTCTGGTCAATTGATGACCGACTGCTGTTAGCTGATAGCGTAGTGCTTGACCGGCTGATCGCTGGTGTTGACCATGGTCGCTTGGTCTCAGGAAGCTTTCGTCTGGAATCTCGCCTGCCGGGCTTTAACAAAAATAAGAGAGAAAGAAATAAATTAACAATTAAAAAGAAAATTCTGAAAACACATTCCATATTACATTTCTGTTAAATACAGTCATTATCAAACTTGTTCAGTTGTTGCAGTTTTATGCAAAAAAAATTGGAAAAATACTTCTTTTTGTTTGTTAAATTGCTATATCTTCCAAAAAATATGATCCATAAAAGAAGAAATATTACGGTGCTTTCACCCAAATGTCATTTATTTTGCAATCTAATTGTAATAGTCCATTCACTTGTTTAATATTTAACAAAGACATCAATCTACTGCAGAATCCTGAGTGTCCCTTCATTGGTTGCTATGTAATAACACGATGTCCTGATGCCTGATATGACTTGGCATGAGGACAGTTCAACACTCAATGACTGTTTCTGGTACTAGCTTACTTAAACAGCCTCATGCTCTTTCTTTTTTCTTGTACATAGATCATAATTCTTATTTTATTATTAGTTCCAAGCGTGCATTATTTTTGTTTATTATATGTACAATACATAGTGATTTTGTTATTTTCCTATGTTCTAATTTTCTTTAATTATCGATGTATTTCCCAAAAGGAGTATAGAATAAATGTCTTATTGAATCTTGAACCTTGAATCAAGCTTAGTGCAAGCATAAACAAACAACTTTCTGATGGCTCTTCAGTACAAGTGCAAATTTATTTCAGCAATATTCTAAATGTGAAGAACAGATCTGTCATTCATTAGTTTGGTTTTGGGGAAAAACGCTTTTTATTAAATTACTCGTTAAAATACAGCTGCAATGAGATTCATAACTCAAAAAGGTTTAACGCTGACAGTCCATAAACAAGGACTATAAAAATGCAAAACATAAAAAGGGTAAACAAAACCGACAGCTTAAGTTAAACATGTAAGAATTAAACTTCAAATAAACATTCATTTATAAAAAATATATTGGCTAGAAAAAAAAATGTAGGCAATATTATTAATTTTTCAAAGAAACCAAAAATAGGGCCTACTTTCAATAAGATTCATTTAGAACCATGTACATTTAAAATAAAACACACAACTCACAAGGTCCAAAATCAGGCATTTAGGGTTTTTTGGGAGTAAACTTTTTAAAAAAATTTGCAGACTGGGCGTACTCCGACGTTTTTTCGTACCGTAGCGTGACAAAAGCCTACCGGGCACTGCAGCGGCACCCTGCAGCGTACAAAGTGCGGTAGTACAGTGCAATAAATTGATAAACCATTTCCTGGTCCAAAACTTACCGATGATCTTACGCGTTCTGTCGGTTTAACATCAGCCACCAGAGCCTCGTGAAGTCCTGGAGAATGCACCTTTATTCCACGGGACCTTTCTCCCGTAGCCATCTCTCTTTGATCATTAATTTACCATTGACAATTTTTATGATTAAAATCTAAGAAATTTAGTCGTCAGTCAGTACGGAGTTCGTTCGGGGTACGGTTTGCAGCATGTTGACTGGTTGTGTACGCTTTGTGCGGCTTTGTTGCCAAGTCCGATATGTAGCCCAACACCGCCGCCAAGCGCCCAATAATTTGTGCACAGTCTATTATCAACCCAGCTTCTTGGATGCGCCAAATAGCGCTCATTTGGGCGATATAATTCCAGCAACTTTTCTTCTCCCAAACTTCTAAACACTTACATTCATGCTATTTTAAGCATGATAATTAAGAAAAACTGTATAAGGATTAATTTTGAACTGTTTGTTTCTCATAAATACACATACGGGACAAATAAACTGCAGATATTTTACAATATTAGCACGAGTAATAAGTCACTGAAATACTCAGCAGCATGTTGCAAGTCTATTAAACTGTCATAGATACGACCTTTGACCTTTATTCAGCGCCATATTGAAAAAGTTATTTGTGCATGACAAAGTGGGCAAGCTGTCGTCTGCATCCCGAATTTGATTCATTCACTTGTTCCATCTTCGGGTAAGTTGATTAATTTACACATGTAAAAGACGGGAAAGATGCAGTTTTCATACTTATTTGGATTGAAGTACCTTCTACAAACTTGGGAAAAAATTAGCGTGTTGTTTTCGTTTCACAAAATTGAGCGTGGCCGGCCGCCGGCCGTGGGGAGTCAGGGAGTTATGCAAATGAAGTTAAACATCTATTCTAACTCTATCATTAAACCGTAAACTAGAATAATTTCACAATTTCATACTTTTTCAGTTTGCGTTCATTTTCAGGGAATGACCGTCACTAAGATAGTATGGTAAATTGTCACAGGATAGTCAGATAGTGCTGTTTATAATATTTGTGTTTTTTGTTGTTTGGTTTTTTCCCCAATACTTTTGTTTTTCATGATAAATGTTGAAATTGCAAATGATGTTTGTTTGATAAGTCATTAAATTCACATTGTGTTGAGGAAATTTACACTATCATCGGAAGGAATGTTGCAACCTGACCCCACTTCCGCGATTGTGTACAAAGTCTGTGGAGAGTCAAGAAAATGTTCTAAGTATTTCCTAACAATATTGGAAATGTTTCTTAGTCCCAAATTCATGTCTTATCATCATTTTTTAGGGTTGCAACATTTTGTCCCAATCATCTTATTTACCATTTTCCAGTCAAGAAGAAAAAATCGGATCTGCAACTGATAATTGAAAATTACTTTTAGTTGGCCATGAATTTAAATTAAATCTTGGTGGTGTAGAGTTTAGGGAAATTCGTTGTGTGTTCATACAATCATGTTAATTGCCAGGGATGATGATGATTAATTGGCATGAATGACTTTTTACTATTTAAAATTGGACTCAAGAGAGATGCATTTTATTGGTTATTCAACCATGTCAACCATGAGCCGTTTCGTGGATACCGCCATATTTGAAATTTTAGAGGGCACCACAATGAAAATACGACCCATCATGCTCAGCTACCATGGCTACAGTTGCATGATGGGATGCATTTTCATTGTGATTACCCTGTATTATTTCAAAAATGGCGGTATCCGCGAAATGGCTTATGCACAAGCCCATCTGTTTGTGTGCCTGTTACTGTTAGGGGAGGAGCTTGGTAAACATTTGTTTTAGTGGCTTCGCATCTCAGTTTGTCTTCAAAATGAATTTGCTCATCTCAAGAGAGTTGGAGAGGTGTTTGATTGTTTGCTGAAGTTCCTGATCAAACACTTGTATGTTTGGTCATCAGTCAAACACGGTTGAATCGTTATTAGTTAGGCCTTTCATATCCCTGCCAGCGGTCTTTGCACAGGGGAAGAGGTACAGGTAGGTATCTAAGTGGCCTGTTTGCACTGAGTCCATTTCGGTATTGAAAACAAATCCGCGAGGGCCGATTCTGTGTTGTAGCAATATAGCTGGTCTTTAAATGGCAAAAGTTTGATGTGAAGTTGGGAAAATGAAAGTCTAAAATCTTGTGAATTGTTCATGAAGATACATTGTATATGCTTTGTGGCACTATCTCAAGACAGTTGCTGAATGATGTTTTATTGCAAGAGATGTTCCTGATGTTGTCTTTATTTTATAACATTTGGTGGAAACATATGCCATCTGGAGTAAATCTACCTGCAGTTCGCAATCATCTTAATGTTAGATGGACGGTTATCAGTAAGAAGTATCACTTAGGTTGGCTTGATTTGTCATCGGGAAGAAGACATTTGTGCTCATAAAGGAAATGGCTTCTATTTTGAAATCATCTCATCTCACCATGGGAATGGAAGCGCTGGCACTTCTTGTCTCATTCTTAGAGAAGGACGATCTAAGGGGAGATACCCAAGAGGTAATTATAGTATGAAGATGTTAGACAGAAATATTTTATTTGCATCATCCATGTGTAAGTAGTAGGACTGCCATATTTTCCTGTACTCAGGTAAAGTGAAATATCATGTTTAAAGTGTTCTCAATGGCAGACAACTCAAGATGATACAATACTGGATGGTGTAAACAAAACTTGTCTTGAGTCTTTACTGAGTTTCTTCATCATTGGCGAAAGGAGGACAAGTTGTCATGTTATTCCAATCTATGTTGTAAAAAGAGAGCAGGCATAGTGTTATTTGCTAAATGGTTGTTCTCGGTACAAACAGCCCACAGTTGTAATTACTCGGTAGAAAACTGAGTAAACTTGAAGTAATTGCGTATCCTAGAGGAAAACGGATGTTATTGGCTCTTTTATCAATACGGTAGGTGTAAACCATCCAAGCCAAACAGTGCTGTGCTTGATGAGAATGCCTCTAGCTATGATTCTAGTGATAGGTAGTGTCTTCAGACTAAAGGATGACAATGCCTAGAAATCTTAAACCTGCAGCCAAGAGGAGATTGTCTGATTTGGTCTCAGTCAAAATCCTTTCACTTAGCGAATGCCTGTAGCAGTTTCAGGTGGCGACAAGCAAGATGAGAAAAGAGGCTTTACAAGTTGAGATAATCAGGTTTTGTTGTTGAATGGACCACCACCTGCCTGACTTGCCATCACACAACATGTGCACACCATGATTAGGCCGTGATTTTGCAGTCATAAGGCATCTAGTGGGTACCCTGGCGGCTCGTCTTTAAGGGGGCCACTCAGTCATTCACTGAGAAGCTTAAGAAGCCTTTGAATCAGTGCTGGAAATAAAATCCTAGCATGCCACAGTGGAATTCTAAAATCTGGATACTTTGTACCGTCTTCAAGTAGAATGCTGTTTGGCGATGTATATTTCATAGAGCAAGTCACCTGTAAAATTTGGAGTGTATTTTGGCTAGATCAGAGAGCTCATATTTCTGAATTTGATCTCAAGTAGCCTTGTGAGAGCTTCTGTTTTTGCTGTGCTTTGCTGAAGTTGGCAGGATCAATGCTACAGGCTGGATGTAACAAAATCTCACAGTGGAATGCTGTATTGAGAAGCTGAACTACTTGGTCCAGCAGTCTTGCTGTATTGTCAGTGTTCATGTCTGCTATCATGACTGCACGTTGTACAATCTGTCAAGATTGATGATCTATTTTTCCTCTGAATGAAAATTGAGGCATTCAATGACTGACAAACATTTAAAGATTGATCTTCTTTCTTCCTCTATACCGGTGAGTAAATAATGAGTAATTCTACAACAGGTGTAATTTTGTCCTACATGTAGTAAAGTTTGATACCTGTGCATTGTTTTCTGAAGTCGAACTTATCCTTATTGCTGAACAGCACACTGTTTGAGCATTAATACTTAGTACCCTTGTTCCATCATTTGTATTGCTTAATTTTGTAAACTTGTGAATATTTTTCTAGTGTGTTTTTCTGTAAAGATATTGAATCATGACTGGTTTCCATCTATTTTTGACAAACTGAGTGGTTTTGTTTGACAAGCTATCTTTCTGTGTACTGTGTAGAAATGTGATGTCGGAGTATTTTTCTTGAACAAAATGTTCCCCTTAATTTAGCCAAAAACACCAATGAGAAATTATTCTTTATTTATTTTTTTTGAAACAGAAATTATCTGATTTGATGGAGAACTTTTATTACAAAAAGAGATTTGCTCTATCAATCTTACCCCCGTGTGGACATTTACAATAATTATTTAACTGTTTCTAAAGTCATTTAGAAAATAATTTAATTTAATAATTGCCAACTTTTAGTCCAGCAATTTGTTCATGTTTAGAAGGAAACAAGTACGTCATTTGATAAAATCATTGCAAACTAAATACAGTCAGTAAAGAGTTCAGCCTTTCCATATTACAACAATAGATGGTGCTCTTCACATTGCCCAGTGCCCACTCAGATCAGCAACCCCTTCTTAGTTACTGTTGCTAAGTGCAAACAATACACTAGGAATGGGACAGTGTTTACTTTCCTGGGGTGCTAATTTACATAACTAAATCTGGCACATGATGCGTGATATTGATTTAATAAATTAATGAATTACTGGTACTTGATGAAATAATTAGTCTTTTACGAATGATTTCTCACTGATGACTCACAGTGCAAAGTTTGTGTGTCGCAGCCCTGCATTCATTGTATATGATCAGTCTTTGTAAAGAAATGAAGGCCAAAATATGCAGCAAATAGACTCTACTGTACACTTGGTTTACAGCGAAGGCTACCTGCATGCTTGATTGATTGATTGATTGGTTAATTGATTGATGGAATGCAGATAGTGCATTGACGAGTGGCTCTTCCAGCTTTCAGGATACATTTTGTATTTCGTTTGCTGCACTACATGTTTGTGAACGGTGCTTAATTTATGTGGGAATAAGTCACAGTACATTTCCTTGTTTGGAAACTGCATGCATTGAAGGAGTGGTGTACGTGTACAGAACATGTGCAAGATTCGACGAGTTGCCTTCAATATTTGTTCTTGTGGATTGTGGTGGATGTTCAGTAACTTCAAGATTTCTACGGAATGAGTGGACTATGAGATTAGTGTTTGGGACCTGCAGTATTCTTGCCAGATCATCAGCAGGCATTTGGAAGTAAAAGAAAATTGGACTCAAAGAAAACCAACTGAAGTACTATTTCCTGTGATATAAATTTCCTCCTGTTTCTGTCGTCGCTGTCATGGTTGAAATCGGAGATTACATGCGATTGGACAAAATTGAGGAGTTGGTCAATCTTGTCATAAACCACATAGATCCAGAGATACCGCACAGACCAGCACAGGTAGGGTTACTTTATGGTTGGGCAGCTCAGCAGATTCTCAAGTAGCTCAGTTCTCAAGATACCTATCTTGTTACAGACTTTTGTAGGTTGGATGGTATACCGTGTGGATTACGGACTAGGAACCAGTGCGAGTTCTGGTTTTTGAAATCATGCAAAGCTACTTTTTATTGAAAATGCACAAATGTTTGACGCAATATCTGAGCCCTTTTTGCTTATGACACTAGTCAGTCACAATCCATTGGAACTCTGCAGACGTATTTGGAATTTTAAACAAATGACTTTAAAAGTTTAAAATGTACAGCAATCATTTCCAGTAATATTCACTTCTTGTCTTATCTCTCTTTGACGTTTTCTAGGACCGTGTCAAGATGAACCAGCTACAGAACCTCCTCCATGGAGCCTTGATTGCCACGGAACACGTTGAGAATAGCGCCATCATCAGACGCAGAGATGTTTCACTTAGGGCCAGCTCAGCTGGATTCACGGTAGGTGAATTCATGTCACAATAGATCCTATGCATTCAGAGGCCATCTTGGAGGTATATTTGTCATTTGAATGCATTGACTAATGACTATGAATGCACAAGAGGTCTATTTGACTATGTCACAAACCCGGGTCCCCCTACCCTCTCACACGCAATGTGTTCCCGGTCTCATCATTTAGTACACTCAGACACAATAATAGTTGAAAGCAAAATGTACACTAGCCCTGCATGTCCCTCTGGTCTGCAATGTAATAAAGGATCCATCGGAAGGTGGCTGCAAGGAAAAGTGGGCTTGGGGAGTTAATCTTGGAAATGAAGCAGTTTGAGTGGTATAGCCAAGTAGGGGTCTAGAGGAGTCACCTAACTCCCCTGCCCACTTCCCAGACCCACTGACAACAATTGCCAGTGCCTCTAAGATGCCCATGTCATTGAATGTGTAAAACCCTATTATGGAAACTAACATCTCCCTGAAGAAGAAAATACTAGATTTGTCCAATAACTTTTTTTTTAATGTATTCTTGATTGTCTTGTAGGTGAGCAATGATCAAATCCAACGTTTCATTGATGCCTTCAAGGATCCATCAGCTACCCGAGAGAAGGGATTGTACTTCAATGATCGCATCTATCAATGTGTACGAGCGGACAAGAGCTCCATATATGCCAAATCGGTTAGTTTGACTTGCCTCGCCACTCTGTATTCCATACCCCCCCCCCCCCATTTCATAGCCTTATTTTGTTTATTAAAGGAAGAAATCATAGAGTAATGAATGCACACAAACCCTGTGTGAGCTGCGGGCTTGTAAATATTGATTTCAGACAGTCTATCCGCTCCGTTCACAAGTACCCCCTCACCGGCATAGAAAGTACAGTTGGGGGTGACCGATCGACGCCATCTTGCCTGACTGCAGTATTTTGCCGTGTTGAAGCACGGCCACTTCGTGTACATAGTACAAATCCCCTGGTACCGATGTACGTGCATCACACACAAGGAATGGTGCACGCCATCAGTGAAATGTATGTGTCCCGCCCGCCCGCCCATGGGACGTTGTTGCTAGGTAAAATGGCGCCCTCTTTTGTTGGCGCACGGAGCCCATACAGAGTTCATATTTTGGGATAACTGCAACCCTGCCACCTTAAGCCCACATTCAACTTCATATTCCAATAAAAGAAACAAAATATTGTCTAAACGAGCACAACTGTTTTTCTTACAATGAATGTGAAATGATTGACAGAAAAATCTGTTGAATTATTTTGGATTTTTTTCTTTAAAAATTTAGACAGGTGCGTTATCCTCCGATATTTATTCTTAAAAAAATTTCCTTTCTAGGACAAGCTTGGAATCGTTCTTGTAAGAACAGCCACCCTCATCATCATTGGTACATACAATGACAACATGTTCCCCAGCGTGTGCGTGGAGGCTGTCGAAAAACTAGGTAAGTTTCATCAATTGTTGTCGTTGTTGATACCAGAGAAAGCAACTTTATGTGGTTGAGCTAGTTTTTGACAAAAGTAATCTTTTGCAAACTTACACTTCTATTATTTTACCTTCCCCAGCATCTTACTTCAAAGAGAAAGACAAGTGAATCCAACCTCACTGCGCATTGCCACGAGAGTTCCAGGAGACCAAGTCCCTGTGAATTCCAAAGCTGATGCCACGAAGATGCTGATGTCATGAAGGTGCTGATGTCACAATTGAACCACTCGAGAATGGTTTGTAACACCCATGGACTGATGATGTCTTGAGCATCTTCTTGAAAGACAGAGGTAGACCCCAGCTCCCAAATTCCTGGATGAGGAGCCAGCATTTTTGATGCTGCTTGCATTTACATAGTCGGTGCAAATGTGTACTTTTTCAATATTATGACTGATCGCATCGTATGTGGCACTTTCTGATCACGCAGCATGTCCCAAACAAGTCATCACAACTTTCACGTCTGTATCTCTGATTTTTTAAGTCCGACTACATGTCTGAATTGTGGAACGTCTCGTATTGATTGATCCTGGAGACAAGATTTCAACCTCTTCTTGCTTACAATTTTTTCGCTGGCCAGATAACTTAAATGATGGCAGACATAAAGCAATTTCAACTATCATGCCATGAAGGATGTTGAGGGCACTAATTTTCAGGCATCTGATGTTGAACTTTTGAATGGGACATTGCTATCACAACCACATTTGTCTTGCTTTACACGCATCTGATTTTATATTCACTTGTTTTATACAAGTCAAACTTTGGACAGATAGTTGGAAAGCAACCAAGAAATGATCCTGACTGCAAAACAGAAATTTTAGAACTACTTTGCTTCTTTGAGAGCGGAGGGAAAAAAATTTCATCAGATATGGTTACTGTGAAAGTATTTAGACATGAATCAGATCAACAAAAGAGGGCAGCAGATAAATCAGTCAGTGTGTACTTGTTTGTGCACTAATTTACAAAGGTCTACAGTGACTGGTATGGAGACTACCAATTTGACCCCAGCTGTGAAAGGTCACTCTGTCAATTACCCGCCATGGCAGTGCATGTGCTAACTGAACTCATGGATATTTAAAGTGTGTATGTCTACCGAGGTTTTGATAATGGGGGTTGTGTCAAACACATCGGTCCAGATAGCTCCTAATTAGTACTGTAAATGACCGTATAAGGCAATCCTTGTCACCATTGATAAGAGCCAAGCGCACACACATGTCAAATTCCAACTGGTTTACACCCATCTTTTGTCAGACGGAAATCTCCAAACCAAAGTTTGCTTTCCAAAATACAGTTTGTTTAGTCGATCTTTGTTTGAATTACGTTTGGCTGTGCCATAGAGTTCGGATCCGGTCCATGGCAGACGAACTTTGCTCTGTATTAAAACTAGAACACTCTTGACATCTAACCCCAGGCATATTTGTGCGGAGCGACCTGATCATGCCACTCTAAAGTAAATACAGAAACTCCAGTGGTTTGCAAGCTTTCATGTAATAATCGCTCAACGTGTGCAAGCGACAAAATAAAGCAATCAGCACACAAAGAGGTATTGAAAACTGCCTTTTATGTTGTGAAAGCAATAGTTTCATATTCACATTATAATTTGTTTGTCAAGCTCTGCAAATGACACAAGGTACAAGTACATGTAGTTACATTTAAGCATGTGCTGTATTGGGTGTCATTCATGTCAAGAAATGTTCTGTTTGGTGATAGAATACCATGGTATGTTATTAATGGTATGCGCTTCATGTTGATAAACATAACCAATGAATGCAAATGTTGGATCAGCTGTAAATATTTCAAAGGCTGGTTGATTTTCATTGCAGTCACATTCAAGGCTGTAATAATGATGTCAATTGTTAATTGGGGGTTGAAGTTTCTAGACTTTTTCCAGATTCCTGGATTTAAACAATCTAAATGAGAAGTTTTCATCACTGTATTATTTTTTCTGTTAGGTCAAAGGTTTGCATGGAAGAATTGCAATGTACATGTACATAATGTACGTAAAGAATGTTGCAACCTGACACTACTTCAGCGGTTGTGTACAGAGTCTATGGAGAGTCAAGAAAATTGTCTTAAGTATTTCGTAACAAAATTGGAAATGTTTCTCAGTCCCAGATTCATGTCTTATCATCACTTTTGCAATGACTGACCTTCCTTCATTGAGATGATATATGAAGAAGAAAGTGGCGTCAGGTTGCAACATTCTTTCCAAATGTACCATAGATAGACCATGTGCGGCCGTTTTTATTGTGTTCCCCCTCCACCTGATCTCAATCCTGGTAAATGAATTCGTGTTCGTAGAGTCTTAGAAATTATTCATACAGAATTCCTTTCTATTGGCTGGCGTCCCACCTTGCTTTCATAGGAAAGCGCACGTGTAAACAAAGCATGACGTCATTATGTCTTGGGGTTATTAATGACCTCAATTTGCTTTTGTCATTTATTTAAAACAAATGCATGCCCCATAGTGGTCCTTAGTTTATCTTAAAAAAATTTAAGACCAAATATTAAGTGTTAAAAAAACTTGCATGTATATCTCCTTCCATGTCTGGCAAATGTGGGTCTTTGAACTTTGCATGGCATTCAGTGTAATATGAATTGTCTAACTTGCCAGCCATGTTATCCCTTGAGAGACATCATTTATTGCAACATCTTGAAATGTCAGCTTGATATTCAATCGATCCCAGCAAATCGTGAAGGTTAAGAATATTTTGCCCGGATGCTGAGATGGTTTTAACACATTGCTCAGAGACTTGAAGATGCTGTAAAATGAATTATTGCATTTCAAATAGATGTGTCACTGCAAGATGGATTTGTAAGACACTGTTTCACCTTTTTGTGACAGTGATGTGGTTTGAGATATGGTTTTGATTTTGATTACAATGAATTCACAATTATTGTTTGCAACTGAAACCCTATCCTGTTATATGTATTATAAATAACTAAATACATGTAGTTTCTGTATTTTTCTGTTGAGTTAAGAAATGGCAATAATACTAAGGAGTATTGAATGACAAAATCAAAATGTGTGAAAAATGTATATTTTTTTAGAAAAAGTTGGGTAAAACCTGCATTGCACAGTCTGTATTATTTACCAAGTATAACACCAAGATTTAAGTTTGGCTAATTGAACTAGTATAAGCATGTAAATTTACCCCTGAAATCCTTGGTATTAGCTGAATCTCCTGAAAAAAACTCGTATTGACTCTTGATTGGTGTTATCAAACATTCAACCCAAATTTTGGAATATCAGACTGAAACAAATTTACTTTGTAATGCAGAAACTGTTCAGGACACGATTTCTTTTCCCCGGAGAAGTATAAACTCTAAAAATATATACTTTTTAACTTATTAAACTGATTTGAAGTACGAAGAACTGACACAAACGCGCATGTGCGCTGACTTAAACTTTGTCTTCTATCCTTAATATCTTAATGCGCATGCGCGTGGACTTAACCAATTTTTTTTTTCGTTTGGGTTTTACGAATCGAATATTTATATATTACTTCCAAACACTTCTTAAGTAAGAAGAGCGTGTTGGCCTAGCGGTAGGCACTCTTGACGCTCAAGCCGGCGCCCCTGGTTCGAGTCCTGGCAATGTTTCTCAGAGGAGATTTTACTTCTTTTTAATTTAGACTTTATATAAAAAAATAATAAAATTCTATTTATTTTATTTTATTTTATATAGTTGGGGTAGACGAGCGATACAGAACTCGGACCAGCCGCAGGTTTCCCTGCAGCCAGTCCGAGTTGCCGCGGCCGGGACTCGAACCAGGGGCGCCGGCTTACCCGCCGGGACCTCTACCGGGTGCGCTATCTGGGTCCCCCCGTTGAAACTACACTTCCAATAATTAAAACCCTTAGAATCGCTTACAGAAATCGAAAATAAAATCCAGCCCCGGGTTTCGAACTCGGGTCTCCAGATCAGAAGTTCCGTGTCTTACCGCCAGGCCACCAGCACTTCTTGAATTTTTTTTCGAATTTTAAATATATCAAGTATCGATTTGTACTTAGTAATAAAACCAAAATTTCGAACTCCGGCCGATAGTCGAACCCGCGATCTCTGGGCTAGGAACGGGAGGATGTTATACCACGAAGCCACCGTACCACACGCTTAGGAATTTTCGCGCGAATTTTAAATATAAGTACTATCGTTTTATACTTGTACTCAAATTTTAAAATCGAGTAAGCATGCATACCCACCTTCTCAATATCGGTGATCACGGTTCCGTTGCTCTTGTGCTTTTCAGCCACAGTCATGTTCGTCTTGCAGCCATAGGTGTTTTGAGCTGCTTCCAGAAAAGTAGTTTTTTTGACCAAATTTTGATCAAAATGTAATTTTGTTCATTTTGGCCAAAAAAAAATAAATTGCTTGACAATTACTAGGAAGATGTCCGATGGGCCTAAGAACACATTCCCAAACGTTCTCTTGACAGATGTTCCATATAAAGGAAATAAGGCGTCCACAAATTTGGTAAAAATCAACAAAAACAATGATTATTCCACACAAATCATTTATATTTGACAAAATCTCCAAAATATTTAGCTCAGAAGTATCAAAAAACATGTTTGTCTTCCATCGAAAAGTATTTTTGAGTCAATTCCAAAAAAATCGGGTTTTGACCTAATTTTGATCAAAATGTAAGGTTAACCCCTTGTAATTTTTGTCAATTTTGGCAAAAAAATAAAATTGCTTGAAAATTGCTAGGAAGATGTCTGATAGGCCTAAGAACACATTTCCAAACGTTTTCCTGCCATTCTGTTCCAAATAAAAGAAAAAAGGCGTCCACACATTTGATAAAAATCAACAAAAAAATTGTACTTTTCAACCAAAAATAGTGATTTTTGACGATTAACTCCAAAATGTTCAGCTCAGAAGTATCAAAAAACATGTTTGTCTTACATCGAAAGGCATTTTTTAGTCGTTTCCAGAAAAGTCATTTTTTTACCAAATTTTGATCAAAATGTAAGGTTAACCCCTTGTAATTTTTGTCAATTTTGGCAAAAAAAATAAATTGCTTGAAAATTGCTAGGAAGATGCCTGATAGGCCTAACAACACATTTCCAAACGTTTTCCTGCCATTTTGTTCCATAAAAAGGAAAAAAGGCGTCCACACATTTGATAAAAATCAACATAAAAATTGTACTTTTCAACCAAAAATAGTGATTTTTGACGATTAACTCCAAAATGTTGAGCTTAGAAGTATCAAAACATGTTGTTCTTGCATCCAAAGGTGTTTTTGAGTCATTCTAGAAAAGTAAATTTTTGACCAAATTTTGATCAAAATGTAAGGTTAACCCCTTGTACTTTTTTTCGACTTGGGCTGAAAAATGAAATCTCTTGAAAAAGCTCCAAACTAGAAAGTCAGTGCTGACTAAGCCCCGCCCACGATTTTTTGACCAATCACAGCCGTAATTTGTGTCAGAGATGCGTGCGCTTACATAAACGCGCGCGTCTTGTTGCCCACGTGAGCAGTGGGCGCGGCCTATCCGGTTCGTTAGTAAAAACGTCATACACGCGCGCGCGCCCCGCTGATTGCTAGCGCCCATTGGATAAGCTGCTCTGGTTGCGTTTTATTCCGGTTCCAATGGTTCGAATGCTACTTAATGGGCAGTGGGCGTGGTTTGGTACATTTCACATCGACCATGCAATCCCGAAGTGTGACTTTTCCCACCACGCTACATAAGTAGCCTACGTGATATCCCCGTTCAACATTTATCATCCATTTGAAACGCTTGTCATTTCCGAACACTCAAATCTCAATCCTGTTTTTATAGTCTTCAATTAAGTCGCGAAGTCCTTGAGCAAATTCCACACTGGAGTGGGCACCACGCCCCCTTCTGATCGAAGTCCACCTCCTGTGCAAATACATGTATTGGCTCGCCGGGGCTTTTTTGATAAGAGCAGCGCTAAAGCGTGGAAGTACTGGAATGCCATGGCACTAAATTGATCAAAACTGGGTTACTATACTGAGCAGTACATGCATTGAAAAATTTACAGAAGACAGCACAATAGCTGGCATTTCAATAAATTCCCAAGCCTCCAAAATATTATGGTAAACAAAAATCATTTCCGCATAGCATGTGTTGGTTTTCGTAAAACCACATAAACCATAGAGCAAGAAGGTTCAACTTTGAGCTGGTCAACTTATTGCTGATTTTTTTTCTCAAGCAAAAGTATTCACAAGCCAACCAATAACAGAATATGAAAATGTGCATATATGAATGTGTCATTGTGTTAACATCAATACGAAAGTGTAGAATCTGTCATACTGCATTGTGTTAACAAATACGAAAGTGCAGTCTGTACTCTCAAACGTTTCTAGCCAAGTACCGTGTGAACATTCTCACATTATATCTATACAGGCCAACATCATACATATATCCATGTAATTTACATGACCAATATTTCTGGACCCACAACCGATCCTCGAGTACAAACATGATTTACGACCAATTAATGCAAGTGCCAGTGTGCAGGCATACACTTCATACACCTGCAAGTGGAGGTCAATTGACGTCTGCAGCTGTCCTTGACGAGGGCAATTTTTTACTATGATTGGAAATTATGTATTGCACAATCTAATTATGGAGATCTGTCTTGGTATATCCCGAGACATCTGCTAAATGCAGGGTGTACATGTCTAGCCTGATACATGTACAAAGGTACAGCTTTTGAACTATATGTACATGTACATTTACATGTAAACTGCACATGGAAATTGTGAAATGTCCATATTATCAGTGGGGTAAATCCCCGTTTAATTAATTTTTGTGTACTTAAAAACCTTAAAAATGATAGATTTCACCACAAATTTATTGAAAAACAAGTCTAAGTCTTTTGTACATGTAGTGAAGAAAAAAAACCAAGCATGAGGAATACCTGTACCGGTACTCAATCTTAACCCCTCCCCCTTAAAATGATCAATGATCCGCCCCTCCTACATATCGAGAACTGATTACATTCACGACAAAGTAACTGAATCTCTGAAAGAGGAACTATACAATAACAATGGACCGAGTATTGAAACACAATCCATGTTTGTATAGGGTTCTAGATCTTTTCAGTTGTTTATTTACAGAGCTTACCAGTTTTCTGGTTGCACTTTTCCTTTCAAGTTTTGCAAAGTACATTTTCAATTGTATACTTAAATGCTTCCTTATTTCAAAACTAGTGTAAAATGAGCAGGCCTCAACAATAGAAGGATGATAGTTCAGTAAGCCGACTTGAATCAAAATAAGTAAAAAGACACTTTTACCACAAAATAGAACAAAGAAAAGAAATTGTTTTTTAAGAAATTAATTGACCGATTTGTCGTGTTATTTCTTGACTACATTACAATTAAGTGCAGGCCAGTAACAAGTGTGTTCATTTAAAACATTATGATGATCAGCAAGAGCGATAACACAAAGCAAATAGGGGTGGGGTCGTAATCACTTGAACAAACAGGAGAAGATAAAACGAAACATAATGTCTACTTTAAAACGTTAAACTTTGGCCAGTAACCTATTTATAAGTTCTAGAACAGCTGAAACAAAAATATATCCAATGTAGGTTAGAGAGATTGAGATTATAAATAAAAAGAAACTTAACATTCGGTCATTTCCAATAAAATTCGCAACCGTTTAAATTAAAAGAATTCTGAAAGATATTCATCATTCTGCACAATCTGGAAAAAAAATGTGAAAAAAAAATTCTGAAAAAAATTTAAAAGAAATGTATGTGTAATTTAACCTCTCATCTGCAAATTGCCAGCAATTCAGTGATAAAAGTATGTCATGTACAATGAAAAGTGCTGAGATCTAAATGATGATTCATTCAGGTACAATAGTCTTTCAGCTATACAACAAAAGAACAAAACTGAACACCTCCCATGGAATCTACATCAGAAAACCACCCACAGATTTCCGTTGTGGGTTTCATGCCTCAGATATCTGTATGTCAGGGACAATGGACAAAAAAGGTCATTTGAAGCAACAAAAGCAGAAAAACAAATGCGTAACATTAAAGTAAATGATTTGAAGATTCATTTTATGATCTGGATTAGCCAAAATTTCAAGTAGAACGTTAAATGGATGAAACCAAGTAGTCTAACCTTCCCAGTGTCTGGTCAGCATTATGAAATGTAATGTAATTAAATCTATGACTCAACACCCACAACAATACGTGTCTGCAAATCCTCAAATATTTAGCATATTTTAAGTTTCGGGTTTGAATGTTTTTTTACTGAAGTTAGAGAAGCTTATGATATCATTTAAGTACAGGTGTATACATGTGATGACATGCATAACCCATCTGTATTTTTTCTGTGTTTCAAATGAATTTGAATTTCTAGAATGAATATTTTGGAGAGAAAATCAGCCAAACCATTTCCTTGTAACACCTCATAGATACAATTCTGGGGGTTTGTGTGTGGGCAGAGGAAGGATATCTTATTGTGTGATGTCAATGCATAGCAAGTCTATGATGAATTGTAGTTTATATTTAGACGTCTGTTCCCAGGGTCAACCTTTGACTTTCCCAAGGAAGGTTCTAGTTTTTTTTTCTTCCTACAATATCAACTTTATGAAGGCACGTGTACATGTGGGTAACACACCATGCAATGGAGAGACCAATATTTAGCGGCTCAATTGTTTAGTGTACACTTCATGTTGCGATCATTCTCAAGTTCATATGTCAAACACATACATGCACGTTATATTATATATATAAAAAAAAAATTACTCATTTTTTTATGAGAATACTTGACACATTTTTAAACAAATAAAGTGTTCTGTTGTACACATCGCTACCTAGAAATTAATTTACTCCGAAGTAAAAATTTAATTATCTACTGAATACTATGTTAACCTCACTAAGAGTGATTTCATGTAATATTCACAAAATCTTATTAATTAATACATGTAACTATGGCAGCAAAATAAGCTAAAACAAAATCACAAAAAAAACCAAAACAAATGTGTACATGTTGCTACATTTTTCTTAAAACTCCACAAAATATCTAGTTATTTCCATGATAAATTAAAGTGTCATGTGGGTGACCATCATTTCTTTTTTAAATCCAGGGATTTATACGAATTTTAATATCTGAAATATTTGGAATTCCTCAGATTTCAGTGGCTTGAAAGTGTCCAACTTCAACGGTATTTTGCCTTTTTCCTTCATTTTTAAAACTTCTATTATCCATCATTATTGGGGATTCACTTTTTTTGGTCAGCAAAAATTTACAATGCTTAGATGTTAGTTAGATAAACGCAAGCAACGAAACAAAAACCATTGGGCTAAAATGGTATTTAAGTCACAAGAAAGAAAAAAAAATTAAACTTATAAATTCCAAGCACCAAGATAACAAGGTTTGGTCTGTTTTACACATGTCATTCAGTCCTTCCCTTAAACCTGATCTCAAAAAATGCCCAAATACAAAAATCAACTATCTAAGGTATAAGATTACCTTAGGGCCTGCAACCTCCAACATTGTGTGTAAGACGCGTTTAGAATCATAGTCCACAAACTACAGTCAAGTGAAACATCTATAAAACAGTTTTGCTAAATAAAGCACAACGGTGAATTAGTGTACAAAAGTGGTCAAAACATTTCAGAAGTGTGCTGGGCGGACTTGGCCAGTCTAGTGAAACTAAAATGTGATGAAATCTGCTTCCCACTACTTGGCTGCATGCATGCATTTTTGGTCCAATGAAATGTACTTGGCTTTTGCATAAATTACACAAAAATTGCAAAATTTATTGACAAATAAAGACTCATTTGTCAAATAATAAGAAAAAAAGACATAAGTTTGCTTGCTTGTTTATGTTTGAAGTAAAAATATGTACAGAAACTATTTTTATTCAAATTTTCAGCATTTCAAATGATAAGCGAACTTCATCTTTCAGTATTAAAGTAACCTATTTCGCTTCTCAGTGTACATGTACATGTATATGCTAAAACAAAAACATACCTTTAGTCTGGTTCTGTCATACATGACCTTTATGGAATTGGAAAACATACAAGGAAGGTGGGACTCCAAACCATAACAAAGGAAGCTAGAATTTTTAGTTTTATAGAAAGTTCTGGAACTGTTAGGTTAAACTTTAAACTTATTGGCCATTATTTTCCTAATAAAGTGTATAACAAGGGATTGGACATTTACATATTGATTATTTCAGGGTTAAATTTGTCATAATTACAAGTCAAAACCAAAAGAAAGATAGGACAGTCTCAATTCAAAATTATCCAGCATGAATATTATCAAGGACTAATTTTTGACAAGAAACACAAATTGTGCAACAAAAAGTCTGATTCGATTTGCAATCAGTTTTGAACAATCGGAAGCTAAAATAAAAGACCTCAACCGTGACCGAAGAAAAATTCCAGTGAACATTTTGCCTCAAAACCTTAAAATAATTTGGACAGGCCTTTAAATTCAAATAGCATCGATATTGACGTTTCCTGGCAATAAAAATTTGAAACTTTTTAGGTAATTTACAATGTACATAAACAACCCATCGACAAAAAACAAAGCAACGGAAATGTGACCAGCTCCGTAAAAAATCAGGGGGCAAAGAATACAGAGGTCAAGGGTCATATGAACCAAAACTATTTTTATCTTACCATCAAATACAAACTTCCAAAATAAACTTTTAATCAGTTTTCCAAGCATTCAAAAGTAAAAATTAGTTTTCCGAGAATTCAAAAGTGTGTCAGTTTTGTAACCCTGGTTGCAAGTAGAGGGTTCAAAATTTCTCAATAATGCATGGTCATCTTTCTGTTTTTCGCTCATTTATTTCAAAACTCAAAGCTGTGAGTTTAAAAGTAAAACGTTCAAACTGATTTGACTAGAGCTGGTCACATATTTCCTTGGACAGAAGACGAAGGGAAGGGTTTGGGCTTGCCTGGGAGTTACTTGAGTTTGTAGCCTCCTTTGACCTTGATGTACATACGATCCAACCCTCTCGTCTTATACCAGCCATATTCCATATCCTTGTCGGAATACTTGGTCTCTTGGTAGACTTGCGTCTGCTTCCAGTTTTCCAGGTACTGCTTCAGTCGGCCGTATTTGTCCTCGTCCTCTGGGATTTCATAACCCTGCATTGGCAAAAGTGAAATTATACTTGAAACCAAGAAAGTTTACGGAATTTTTTTATGCATTTGTGCATAAACGGTTTCCAAGAAGCCGAATTCTAATTCAAAAGGTTTATTTTGGTATACCATTTATTTGTTGAAAACAATGAAGTCGTAACTTTGCTTCAGGCACAATTTGGCAAATTGCCAAAAGTCTTATCCACAAAAAAGGTAAAACACAAAATGCCAACTCTTTTTGAGATTGTTATGAATAAACATGCTTTCTAAAATGTGACAGTGCGACCCATAAAATTATAAGTGGCCCCTCAGGCCTCATAAAAGCAGCTTTTTATAATCACTTACAGATTTGATGGCATGTTTTATTGATGTGGTTAAATTCATTACAGGGACTGCAAAGTCAAATATGGGGGAGCCAAAATATCTCTTCAATGAATACCGGGCAACAGTGTTGCTCGTACCCGCCGCCATATTCAAAGATGTTAATGACCTTTATGAGATCTAACTTGATAGACTGTGTTTATGAGCAGTGGTCACACTCTTGCGTTCGCATGATACGTACATGCTCACGAAATGTACTTGTATTAAACAGCTGTTAGTTGACCTAATTTCTCTGCAAAGTCTTCCTTTCCTTCACAAAATTGAGAAGGAAAATGAGCAATCACTTGCACGCTTGGAAAGGGCAGTGGTTATGGGTGAAGCACCAGCTACATCATATCCGCCACAAGGCTTTATGCCATCTTTTCCTACCTTGAAGATCTTGCCTGCTACCACTACATGATGGAGTCTAGGCAGCAATCGGAGGTCTGGTTGCGTCAGATGGTCCCCATCTAGGAACCTATGCTCGCCGCCGTCCTTCAACGCCTTGTTCAGTTTCTCCAGTTCTCTGTTCAGGGCGCTTCTCATCTCATCCTCTTTGTTAGGATTTGTGTTTTTCAAATACCTGGAAAGGAAAAATATACAAAAAGTAAACAAAAGCAAATAAAAATTTGCACTGAACTAATCAACACTGTCAGCAACTATATGCTTCTAACTACACAGTGCTCTGTTGAGTGACTCTTAGTTTTGTTACCAGAAGCAGAGTTGGAATCACTAGTCAATCACTGGTAAATCACAAGCCAATCACAAGTCAATCACAAGTTAATCACAAGTCAATCCCAGTCAATCACAAGTCAATCACAACTCGATCTCAGTCAATCACTAGTTAATCACTAGTCAATCCCAAGTCAATCACAAGTCAATCACAAGCTAATCACTAGTTAATCAATAGTCAATCACTAGTGAATCACTAGTCAATCTCACTCAATCACCAGTCAATCACTAGTTAATCACTAGTCAATCTCAAGTCAATCACTAGTCAATCTCAAGTCAATCACAAGTCAATCACAAGTCAATCACAAGTCAATCACAAGTCAATCACTAGTTAATCACTAGTCAATCACCAGTCAATCACTTGAGTCATCACTGGCTGACTTGTGATGCATCATAAGTACCTTGACTACAACACTACAAGTAAATAATATGCGATGAAAATAGAATCAGCATCTACAGGTTTCTGTTGATGGAATTCTTTAGTTTCTGAATTGAATAAAATCTGTGCTCACCCTGTGAACTTCCTGTAGAGATCAATGCCGACCTGTTGCAGACTCGTCTTCTTGGGTTTGAGGCATGGCTCTTTGAAGACCTGTTCCAAGTAGTCAACGATGGTTTGTACGTCTGAGATGACTCGGTCACCGACAGGGTCCACAAGACAGGGAAGTTTGTTTACTGAAGACAGGGTAGAAAAAGGACAAAATTAATCTGACCTTAAACATTTTTTCCAAGAGAACATCTTGAATCATCTAAAACCCTTCACTCTGCAAGAACCTTAGGGCACATTCTTTTTATTTCAACTTTTAAGCTGCATCAAGCTTTCATGTAAATCCTACAAAATCCTTCACTGTGCAGGAACCCAAATGGCACACTCTTTGTATCTACCAAGTTTAAAGTTTAATACACTAAGCACCATGTAAAGTAAAAGTGGCTGGCCACTACCTTCCTCAATCCTGCAAAATCCAATAAAACCTCCCTGTGGATATCGCAGGATATGAGAGGGTTTAAATTTCAAGAAATTTTAAACTCTCAAACATATGGAGGCAATGTAGAAAACTTGCTCTAGTCGCTTTTCTGCTTTCGTAATGCTTTAAATGTTCCATGCTGTATTCTGTTGAAATAAGGTCACTGGCTGAAGATTCGCACAGGGTTGCAGTTAAACAAATAATTGATTTGCACTAGACCACAGTGTGAAACCACAAGGTCCAAAGTCTAGGGTGTGTACAGGTACAACTGTAACTGCATCTCATCGTTTTGAATCAGGTAATAGTGAAACAGAAAAAAAACAATAGTTACCCATACGTAAGACGAGAAAATGAATATATTATGTATAGGTTTCCTTCATGAATAACATATTAGTACGGCATCACTACTGATACAATGTAGGGCTTTTTTTTGCATCAAGTGGCACCTGATGGTACACAAGGAAAAGCCATGGGTGTCATTCACCCCATGGCCCTCTAGTGGGGTAAAATTACAGTCAGACATCCGACATAACATGTCCCATCTTTATCTGGACACATTTTGGGAAAGAATGTTGCATCCTGACACCACTTTTTTTCATCATATATTATCTCAATGAAGGTCAGTCATTGCAAAAATGATAAGACATGAATCTGGGACTGAGAAACATTTCCAATTTTGTTAGAAAATACATCGAAAATGCACTTGACGCTCCATATAACTTAGGCCTACTTTGTACACGACCAAAGAAGTGGTGTCTGGATACTAAATTCTTTCCCAGTTTTGTACTGTAATGCATTTCTTAGTGCATGTAGTAGCTCAGAAATGAAAATGTGCTGGGTACATTTTTGTCCAAGCAGTTTTTGTTTAGTGACCCCTCTGGGGTAACAGATCATCACAAAACAATAGAAAGCCTGCATAGAGCGCCCTCAAGGTGAGCAAGTTTTGTTGTTGAAAGTACATAAGCGCCTTATCATGCATATCACAGGGACACATGCAAGCTCGCTATAGTATAAATTTCAACATCACATACCAGCTAGTTGGTCAAACTCCTGTGACTTTTTGATGTTGATGTTTTCTGTGATGACTTGAAACTTGGCCATTTCGTTGACTTCACTCTTGAGGGATAGGATCATGTAGATCTGTTGGCAGTGGACGTCATCACCAAGACATTTCAGGTCGTCTCCCGCCTGCAAGAAAAAAATCATCATCAGTGAATGAAAGACTGCATGACATGAAGTATCTATATTGGGTGAAGATGTTTAAACTGGAACAAAAAGCCAGGAGTTTGAATTTACAAAAAAACAGTTGACAACTTCTATAAAGGATGGACTAATAATATGTAAACAACAAGTTAAACCAACAAAAAATCTTGATAAAGTAACCCATGAAATAATGATGGTGAGAGATGTCAGTGAGAGATAAAAAAAAAATATTCTTTTTTTTCAACAATCAACGAACACATGACGAATAGCACTAGCAGCACTGGGTCTAATTGTGTATTGATATTAGGAAAGAAAATAAATATGCACATGTACATTAAGCTGTAATATACTTCTTTACTTGGCATTAAACTATATTTTCAAATTGTGAAAACGAGAACCCCCCCCCAAAAAAATGATTCATGTAAATAAATGTAAGGAGGGCATCTGTCCGGAAATTGGGCAATCTTAAAAACCCAATTTCATCTTCAAAAATCTATCCAAAATGCAAGATGCCAGGAAAGGAATCATGACAAGGCCGACTCACCCACACATATAATCTGATCTGGTCTTCGGGTTTTAAGACTTTAATGACTTTGGTTTCCTCTGTAGGTGGTTCAACATTGGCCGAGTCGTCACCGCCCGCTGCGGCGTCCGTTTGGTCGGCCGGGGCCGGGGCCGGCGGGCCACTGTCGGACTCCGGCAATTCCTGGCCCGTGGCCTCCTCTTCATCGTTCATATCCGGCGAGGTTGGAGCCTGCATATCCTCCTCTGCAGCATCGTTAATCCCCTGCTCGTCGTAATTACTGTTTTCTGCCATTCCGGGGCGTATTTTCCGAGCACGAGTTGAAATAAATCGGAGGTTTTCTCGAGATACTGTTCCACCTGCTTCAAAAATTCCACAGAGTAATGGCGGATCCTATACACACGGTGCGAGTAGGCACGTAGCTTTTGTACACATATTATCATGCTGTTAGAATGTAGACCTCGCCCAGGCCAAAAGGAGCAACCTTTACGGTTCGTCCATTTTACAAAGGGGATATTACTTATTTCAGTAATGTCAAATCATATTTTGTTATTAATTTTTGTGATAAAATTACTTATCTTTTACAAACTCTACAAATTCATATTTGAAATATATTCAGGAATCATTAAAGTTTCCATATTATATATTACGATCAATTACGTTGATTTAAATTGGTTTCAAAATAACCCGCTTTTGTAAATGGTTCGGCCGCAACCAGCAGCGCGCCTGAAATAGTAGCAGCTAGTCTTCTCTCCAGTTGCATTTTTCAACATCCATAGTAGCTTTTGATAACAAAACTCTGGTCAACTGATCTATTATTTCCTACTTGATGACATTTTATAGGGTCACGAGTGAAACTCGGCACGAACAAGAAAGGAAGCTGTCTTCCACCATTACCATGTCATTGTTTTGTTATACACTGCTTTAAAAAAAAAATATAAAAATAGCGAGCTGTAACGGTCATAATAGAACAGTCGCGTGAGGGCAGAAGATGCACTAATAAACTCCGCCTGGCCCGGCTTCGGTTCCACATAAGGCGAGGTTTAAATAATATTATTGCGGTATGTACGTTGCCTCAAATAAGGCAAATTTAAGCCCCCTCCCCATCCACCCTCTTTATTTATTTATTTGGGGTTTTTTGTGTCGTGCTTTAGGACAACATTATACCTGCCTTATTTGAACTTTATTTATTATAACTGGTCAAAAATCGATGGAAAATTGGTACATGCATGGATATTCTGATCCGAGCTGACAACACGTTCCAGAAATTTTGTTTCACTTCATATTTTTTTAATTAGTATGATGAATTTATTGAGCTACAGTCAATACACAAATTGTTAAGCATAAGAAAAATAGTAAAAATTGAGGCCCTTTAACCCATATAATAATTTCATTCATAAGCTCAGAAGCTACACGCTACGCCTACACTTTTTAGATTTCTCTGACTATTATTTTCTAAAGCGATGCACTTACAAAAAAACATGAGTTTTTTCAAGCACGTCTTATTTAAAAATCTTGAAATTACACATTATTTTGTTTACCATTTTCACAAATTAGACAAGCATGCAATCATAATGACTTTAATAAAATCCTTTTAGCTCTTCCTTGCTTTCCAGAATAAAAAAAACCTCATCAAAAATATATAAATTACATGCAGACGCATCAAAATCAGATGCTTTATCTGAAAAAAAAGTTTTGAAGACAACGAAACCAATATTTCCTCATAAATAGAATATCACCATGATTATGCAATTCATCAAAAAGCACCGTTGCGTTTCTTTATTATTCAATATTTCAATGTATTTCATTTCATTGATCCTAACAGTCCTGAATCCTGCAATTTTAATATCATTTTTCACACCGTCCATAGGGAGGTACAGTTAATCATTAAAATGATTAAACTACGGATATGAGGCAAAGCTCCCGTAGGAAAGCGCACCTAAACAAAGCGTGACGTCTCTGTGTCTTCAGGTGTATTTAATGTGTGTTATTCTTCAATTCTTGACGATATGGTGCTCAGGTCCGAACGGGAAGTGAGTGATATTCTCTGCTCCGTCCTCATGTAGTACCAGGATGTTGTGTTCCCGGTAGCCCCCTGCCCCAGGCTGACCCTCTGGTATGGTGATCATGGGTTCCATGGAGACCACCATGTTGGGTTCTAGAACCGTGTCTATGTCCTCACGGAACTCCAAAGCTACAAAAAAGCAGCAGAAAATGTAAAGATAAATAGGAAATAAAAAATGACAGTTTTATAGGTCCTCTTATTATGCCAAATTTATATTACACCAGGTCCATGCATCATGACAGGTTAGTTCTCATGGCGTGGTTTGCTAGTTCCCAAAGTCTGGGTGGAATATTATACAAAGGCACTTAAGGCAATTCGTTTTGATTCAATTTTGCATTTTTGAGTCAAGAAAGATATTTTGAAACTGTATTCAATGATTCTCTCTGTTTGATATTTACATTACCGAGTTTAATCTTACCTGCTTCCCTGCCGTAATAGTGACACAACGTCCCAAACGAATGACCGTACCCAAAGGTGCGATACTGGAGCAGGTCATGCTTCTGGAAAATCTCGTTCAATTCTCGCGCGATGTCTTGACATTTGACCCCGGGTTTGATGAGCTCCATTCCGCGCCGGTGCACCTCGCAGTTGATCTCCCACAGCCGGAGGTTCTCGTCAGTTGCATGGTCGATGAAGAGAGTTCGCTCCAAAGCTGTGTAGTAACTGCGTGTTAAGGTAACAGCAGCAGGTAACGGTAACATTATTAGCAGGTAAAGGTAACATACCAACAGGTAAAGGTAACATACCAGCAGGTAAAGGTAACATACCAGCAGGTACAGGTCGGATGGGGCTTAACTTACCATAAAGGTATTGATTATATAGGACGTGTAAAAAAAACCCATCCAAATGTCGTGACTATTGTTTTGGTGCGTTTGAAATTACGTTACTTGAAAATTATGAGTGATTTGAATGAGTCTTGTACTAAAAGAAAGCTTATGAATTGGGCTTTCATATCCTAGATTTCAGTGAAAGTGCTACATGCAGAACTTCACTACAACAATGGTCCTGACATGTGGGCTTCTTTTTTTTACTCACCCTATATTCTTAAAGCGTATAGACGAATTTCAAATTGACACTGAAACCGAGGGCTCAGTGTTCTCTTTTGTTGAGAGGATTAACAAAACTAAAAATCCTATTTCATACAATAGCTTAGCACTAAGAGCCTCGGATTCAATGCTAGGGTGCCACGACGCGAATAAGTTTTAGGGTTGATATAACAGACGCGAAACAAAATTGATTCACGTAAGTTTCCATGTTAATTTCAAAAATTACAGTTTTGCAACCGTTGGTTTTTCAATTGAAGCAAAGTTACCAATCTGAAATTATATTCATTCTCGTTGCACGCCAAAATAGGCGTTACAGCGCCCCCAATCGAATGGCCGAGTGGCAGTGCAGACCAACTTTGTGTTGTAAAAAAATACTTCTCCTATAATTTGTTAGTAGAGAGAAATCCGTGCAATGAATGTTCAGTTTCATACCCGGCGATCATGGGGAAGCAATTGAGACTGACAATGTCTCCGCTCTGGAATGGTCTGGTCGTGACAGCATTGTGAGCTCCGTCGGTGTTGACTCCGCCTGAAATCCAAGACCACGCTGTCGAAACGCAAGAGGAAAGATGCTCTGAAATTTGTCGTTTCGACGGCAACAGGTTTTCCCGCCAAAAAATAATTCAGAGTATAGATTGTACCGGGCGTATTTCTCTTATAAGACATGGTTCATTCCGACCCTGAATGTTGCCAACATCACCATGACAAAACTTATCAAATCACATTTTGTATTCATCGCCATGAGAAACTGTTTCTGAGAGATCAATATGTATTATATATGCAAAATTTCTATCGTTTGAAATTTGGTTGACATGTGCGGTGACCATGCAGCCGCCATTTTTTGCTATTGGCCATGCGCCAAAGCACATGCACTAGCGGAAGTCACTAAATAACGTCATGTGTAATCTAGCTCTTTGAAGGACATGTATACGTAATTTTGCTCACTGTCTCGTATCTCATGATGAGGAAACGTCTTCGCAATCTCCCTAACCATTGCCCCAGTTGACGCCAGAGCTACCTCGTACTCAGGGACACCATGGGCCAAAGCTGCGCGCCCAGCCTCTCCACCAATGTCCCCTACACGAGCGCCCTCTCTGATGAGCGCGATCTCCTCGGGTGATTTGATCAAACGCATGTACATGCTGGGCTCCGCGATGTCCACCAACTGAGCGCCTGGGATGGCATCTTGTAACTTCCTGTGGTTCTCTTCTGGGATGTGATCCAACTCGCATCCAACCTGCCAGTAGGAGAAGTAACATTTTATTACTCTCGTCACGAGTTTCACATCATCAATATCCTTTAACAGGAATGTAAATTCTTTTCTTCCAAATCAGTGAATTCGTTTCTTTTGTTCCTACCCCCTTTGTGGCTGTTTGTAAAACATTGAGTGGCTTTCAGCTTTTAAACAGGCGGATTTCAAAGAAAAATACCTTAATTGGATGAACATTCGGTTTAAATATTTCCCGGTCGTGCTCATTCACAAACAAATAAACCTTTGACATAAATTAATGTTGTCACTGTCGTTTGTCGTTGTCATTGTGATTGTCACCTTTCCTTTGATGTGTCCCAACTCTTGCTCAACGGCTCTCCAATAGTTGCCTCTTTGCCAGTCCGTGTAAATCACGGTTTCTCCCAGGTGGTTCCTCCTAAAAACGGCGATGAGAACAAAATAATACAAATGCTGAACTTTCGTCTAACCTCAACAAATTTGGTTTTCTTCTTTTGATGCGTATTGGCAACAGAATTGCCGTTTTTATTTGCATGTGGGAAACCCTTCTCTGACAACGAAGAACCATACGCGAACTTTGACCTCAAGTCAACCCCTGATCGGATAACATTTCCAAAAAGATTAGAGAACGTCAAAATGACTATCTCAAGTATGTAATAAGATGTCCCTATCCCTCACATGCCATAACTCTATAAGCTGAGCGGTCAGGGGTAGGAATAAAGCCTATACCTGTCAGGCTGACCGTAGTCAATCAGCGCCGATATGATAACCACCTTCTCAGGGGTCACCACAAGCCCGTACGGCCTGCCAAAGGAAAGGTACAGGAAGTCCGAGTAGTAGTTGATGCAATGGTACGAGGTGAAGAGAGCGCCCCCTATCGAGTTCTCGTCCATGTAGGTGCGGAGTTTGCGCAGTCGGCCTTCCATCTCTGCCTTGGAGAAGGTAGGTTTCACCTCAAGACAAAGACAGGGGTTTCATAAGATAAGTAAAATGAAACTCTGCAATCTTGGTAATTTTTAAAGATGAATTAATTACAAAAGTAAATTCCATGGGTTTAATCCGAATAATTATAAGATAGTATAAGTTTGTATAAAAAATCTTCCTACCTGCCCGTTCCCACTTTTTTTGTTATGCGAAACACAACTCCCCCCCTCCCCGGGCTTTGCACCTTGGTCTTTGCGACTATATAACCTCAACACCATGGTCTACTGACTTTAAAAATTAAGCAAAACGAGTACCTATGTGTTATACCACACAGCAAGGAAACCACCATTGATTAAAATTCCCATAAAGTCCTTCAAAATTCTCCTAGCACCTTAAAAATATATATCGCGGGCCCACAAATTCCCAGGGTTCCAATAAGCCCATTATTATGGACAACCTTTGCTAGTTTGGTTTTAAATCGACCTCTAAATTTGAGATTAGCTGCAAACAATTTCGTCTGATACAATGAATGGGCTAAAGGTCACTGTCGGCCGGAGCATTATAGAAGCGGGTTACTTATGATTAACCATCAACAAACATGGGCGGACAGAATCCAATAACGCCAATTTATTTTAAGAAAATATATTTTAAAATTGTGAGTGGAGCTAGCAATGTTACATCAAGCTGCAGCTAGCTGGGAAGGGAGCAGAAATTTTCCACAATTTTTGACGACCGACAAGGCCTACATGTGCCGACTTCCCAAAATGTCTACCAGACACCATTATGCCAAAAAAAAACTATATTTATTTGTAGCATCAGGTAATAGTGAAACTGAAAACAAATACGCACACTTCAGACGAGAACATGGATATATTGGGTCAAAAAAGTAATAGTTTTTTTTTTAATAATGAGGGGGAAAAAAATCATCAATTAGGCCTATTTTTTCACCCTTGACTACGCGCAGACACCTCCATGATCGTACACAACAAACTTGCCAAAAAAAATCCCCAACTACCTAGACTATTTCAAATGCCATGTTATCGGAAGCTGAGTTTGGGGTCTTGCCCTCGTCACCCGCGGTACGTGCATCTGCATGTTGTAAATTGTGTAGTAGCTCCATATGGTATACAAAATGTGTACGACTGAATCCATTGCTCTGCTATATCTCTGTCGTGCATCATGAAGGTAGAATATTTCATTTACAAAGGCTAAATACTAACTGAAAGTGAGGTACCTGAGGGTGGGTTTTCAGATATTAAAAAATGGAAAATTGTAACGATGTCATTCATTTTCGAGTTTAGATGGAATTAAAGGCTGACGGTATTAAACACAGAGTAATGAAAGAGTAAACTCTAACCTAACCTAAAAATTAAGCTACAAAATACCACTGAGTAGTACACAACACATGCATGTAGTATTCTGTGGTATTTGGTACTTTACTTGACCTCCAAAGAGTCCTTAGGGTTAAGTGCAATATACATGCATACAAATACCACTATTTATACAAGACGGTTTACCTAATATCAATTGGTGAAGGACAAATTGACTCGTATTATGTTGGAAGCTTTTCATACCGTTGATATGGAACAGTAAATGATTATAATTATTTACCTTTTCTCCGTTTGAGAATTTCATCAGAGAGGGCATATTTTCAACGGCACTGGACGAGCTCCAGCGCCGGGTGTAGGCATGACGTGCCGCGTAACCTGCCCCAGGTGCCCTCGATGGAATACATGAAGCTCGACGGGCAAATACACCCGTTGCTCGGCTGACTCGCAGGCCAAAGGAACCGACTCGACTCGCAATGTTACCGTACATGATTCGGCGAGAAATTGAGGCACGACTGCCCACGCAACTAGAAGCTCGCACAGTTCAGAAGTTATAATACGAGGGTTTTGTATTATACTGAACTCAAACGGAGGGCATTATGTTGAGGCGCTGTACCCGTATGCACGTCGCGATTTGTGTGTACATGTATTGAGCGCTATGAACTTATTAGTGCATGCGCGAGCATGTTGTCACGGGACAATTACATGCATGAGAATGGGAGGGGGTCATGTGCGTTGATCTCGGCCAAAAGGGTGCACTGAACCAATTCAAGCCCCATTGAAAACTGTAAAATCAACAAAGTTCAGGGCCAAATTAATAACATGCAAGCCGACATCACTGGGGTTTCTCAAACAAACATTAAATCATTGTCTTGTACTTCATCTTTTCATTTCTTTTCAATTTTGGGTAGACTAGCCGATTACATTTTTAAATATTCACACCAAAACAAAATCACCTCCCGAAAAGTGATAGTTCCCAAGCCTGCATGTAGCCGTTTTACAAGTGGCATCCTTCCACTTTCTCAGGCAAATAGGACCCATTTTTCAACTGTAATTTTATCAAGCCTGCCCTCAGATGGATGCCCAAAAACCAGGGAGTTGATCCTTGGCTACATTTACACAATTCCACCGTTTTTAAAGTCAAACGGTCTCCGTTTTCAAAAGAAACTGTGGGGGTCACTTTTTATGCTAATCAGCTCGCTTAGTGTACCCAAAATGGTTGGGAAACTTGGAAATAACCTTTCTGTTAAATTCAACCGAAACCGGTGGTCATGCAAGGGCAAATTAAATTAAGTCTGGTATGACAACAAGTTTAATTTAGCAGAAATTATTACCCTAACAATTTGGTATATTAAAACCCAATTTTGGGTAGTTGCAGCTTTGTACCCTTGCTTGGGTAAAATTAACCCAGGCAATTTGCCAGCACCGCGCAATCAGAGACAGCAAAGACCGGAGGCCGGGGGCGGGGCAGCGAGATTTGGCCGGGATTGTAACTTTTGAATGTAAGCATTTATTTTCCGTCTGTGTACTATAGTCCGAACAATCTGATAGTCAATGATTTATGGTTTATTTGAAATGATGACAAAATTATAACTGAGTTGCATGCCATTTACATTGAAATTGTGAAGGTTTGCATGGTGAAGGGTACGTAATAATAAGGTAAGTTGTTGCAGTGGCACACCTGGCAAAATCTCTTGTGTGAGCATGGAGGAAGGAACCATGGTGTGAGTAAGAGTAGTTCTGAAAACCGGAGGGTACTCCGGTTCCGTATACTCTGGTACCCTCGGCAACCTTCCCCTTAATCGCTCCCTTCCTTCCGACTGACACGCCTCATTGATCATCACCCCTCAGCCTGCGTGAGAACCCTCAACGGGCAGAGCATAATATTGTCCGACTCGGAAAACGTTCAGTACCCTCCGGTTCTTTTCAGAACCACACATACCCACAAAAGAGATTTTGCCACATGGTGCTACCGCAGCAACTGGTACATGTATTATGTACATGTATTATACATTAACATACAATCGATGAAAAGGGTTTTTAAAGATGTGAAAAAAAACCTAACTTGGTTTTCCTTAAATTATTATCATCCAAGACTTACCCAGAAAAAAACCGAAATATAAGAATCATAGAGGGCGTTCAAGTGCATTAACAATTCAGGCCAGGTATCCAGTCTAGCAATCTGTCAGCAGACAAGCAGACGCTCCACGACCTCGCAATGCCTCGATTCGATATCCCGAGGGATGTCGGATATTATGCAAGTCCATTTACAATCCCTTCAACCAGATGCTGAGTGTAGTAATTTGCAATTCTACATTACAGCAAGGCCGCGTTCGATCAAATCCGCCTCTTGGCGTTTTACGCATGCGGACACGAGTAAGGACCTATGTTACACGAGACATTTGATTGGTTGGTTTCCGGATTGCAATGCGCGCGCACCGGTCTGTGATCGGTAACGATATGCACTTGAACGAAGCGCAAGCTTTACATGCATGTAAACACAGAAGGAAGTAACACCCATAGGATATGCTACAGACAGAAAGAAGACATTTGTCTGCAGGAAGTTCCCTATGCCGATAGCCTGGATTGCACATGATAGCATCTTCGATTTCTAGTCCACTGATGAGACTGACATCACTTCAAAAAATGTCTCTCTTAAAACTGCTCATCTTCACCTCAATACTATTACTAGGATCAACGGTAGGCGCGGACCCCCTCGCAAGTAACGGAGCTCACGAGAGGAAAAGCTCGGCAGTCTACGACAGCCCCGCCCTGCGTGTTTCCCGACGCAGCGCGCACAGGCGAGAGGCTGACGGGGAGCTGAGGAGGTTTCCACGGCAGGCGTCAGATGATGGACCGTTGAGTTACTCTCCGGATGAGACTCGAGCCCTGCTGGATGCTCACATTGAGTATCGTAGGAATGTTACTCCGTCGGCTGCTGATATGAACATGATTGTAAGTACATGTACATGGCGATAAACAAGTTGAATTCAAAATAAACAAACAAAAATGAACAGCAAGGTGTATCCTAAGCTTATAAGGTGGATCTCGCTAGCGAGTGCTCCATGTTATCATTTTTTTATTCATTGTTTGAAGGGAACAAAATAACATAAGGAAACAAATAACATTTATAACAATGGAAAGTTATAAAGCTTAATTGAAGAAAAGAACGTTTGTCATAATCTTACGACTATGCTTGTGTCTATGAAGACCACAAAAACATGGAGCAGATGCACTTCCTTCTTCCATTATAGTTTGAAAGTCCAACCACTTGATACTGTCCCTTCTTCTGGTTCACAAACTTTTGTGCATTCCTCCTTCCCCCGTCAAAAACCTGTATAGACCTGGATTAAACGTTTTGCATTTACATTTCAAACGCGACCATTAAAGGGCTACCTGCCTTTTTTTGGAGGTTAGTTATAATACGTTTGGTTTTCTGGTGCATGTGATCTTACAACAATCCATACTAAATTATATACAGAGCACTGATATTAAAATTACAAAGAAAACCAACTGCACTGATATTGATTTCATTTTAACTATTAGTTAAAACAATGAAAGCGTACCCGATACCCTTTGCATTAAGCTTCAATATCATTCAAAATAATACAAACACTTTTGTACATGGGTGAATTCATGTACATGTACCGTACAAAATACTTCTTTTTGTACAAGGGTGAATTAATTACTGGCGATAAAATACTGGTATAATTTATGCGCTCTTACAACTATACCCTGGCAGTGGCCTTGGGGTATATTTTATCATTTCCTCCTAACACACGCCTGAAGGCACATCATTATTCCCGATGAGTCAGACTGACCTCTGCTCATTTTGACCCATTTCAGTTCAGCTCAGTGGATTCTATGCGCCAACGCTCTTTCATCATACCAGGCATTTTTTTAAAGGTTATCCATGCATAATGTTCAACATGGAGACTTTTATACCGTGAAATGTTAATTACATGAGTTTTTTTTAATGAATCATAAAAGTACGTTGCTGGTTTGCAAAAACAACTTCACAGTTACGAGTTCAGCAACCGGTTGGAACTACAATTTCCGGTCTGGAAAGCTATAGGACTATGTTTGTCAGCGGAATTGTGTTTATATTTCATGAATGTTTTACATGTATTTTGTTTTGAAATTTAAGTCAGCACAAAATCAGACCACGTTCTTTGATTTTAACATTGCTGTTTCAGTCTTAGCGATATATTTTTTTTTAAGTATACCCGTCGTGCGTATATAATTATTACTAATGCAAAACTATACCGATTGGAAAAGGGAACATTTTCAACATTCATCAACTCTTTTTGCATTAAATTTTGTGTCTTTTTCTCTACCTCTGTATACTGACAGGTTTGGAACACAGAATTGGCCGATATGGCACGAGTCTGGGCCGAGCGGTGCGTGTTTGAGCACGGATTCCCCACCGATCCCCCCGAACCCTACAACGGCCTGGTAGCACAGAATATCTGGATGGGGAGCCAGTCCTTCGCATTGACACGATCCGTGACGGCTTGGTATAACGAGTATAAGGACTACGACTACGCTACGGCTACGTGTTCAGCTGAATGCGGCCATTATAGGGTGGTACGTGCTTTAAAAGCTGCTTAAAAATGACGCCTAGACATTTCTGTTCAGCCTCGCTTTAGTTTCAATATGGCGTTCCAGCAAATAGACATATTAGTGTTTGAGGGCGCCGTAACGTGACGCACATTTTTTTCTTTAATAAAGAGTAGAAGTACCACGCGTATTGGAACAAATGAGCATAAATTACTCGAATCTAAAATGTGAAACTTTGTAAAATGTATTTTGAATGAAAGAATTATGATTGCAATTGTACGTCAGTAGCATAATTGATCTTTGCACGGGAACGCCATATTGGCGTCGTTTACTGTGAAGGTTACTAAGATTTTACGTAAAAATCCGTTAGAGTAGCATGCAAGACTTGTTGCAGACTCTATAAATGGAGGACAACCTGAACGGGATGATGAAACATCGATCATGGCCGAATTCCTTGAGAATTCATTGAATTTGTCAAATTGACAGCAAAAATATCTCATAATCTTAACGGCTAGAAAAGTGTTTTCACTATTTCTTGATAATTTATTGAGTCTGTTAATTTGACAGATGGTGTTTTCTGGATTGGAGACCATAGGATGCGGTAGCGCTAACTGCGATGGCGGTCGCCAAACGTTGACTGTTTGCAACTACGGACCAAGGTACTGTGAATTTCGTCTGAATGGTGAAACTTGAGACAAGAATGAGCGTGTGTACATTTTGAGCAAACTGGCGTCACTGTGTTAATTTTACCTTCTCGATTTGATCAGTATAGCGTTAAAAAAAAAACATTATAGTTAGGGAGAAGTGCAGACAATAATGCTAGATCTTCTCATTTATTTCGCTTAGCAAGTGGATATTTATTTATTTTCTTTGCTTATTTTATTGTAATTAATATCTCAATAATAATTTGTTTCTGTTTGTAGTGTACCGTCAAGAGGCGTGCCGTACAAGGCCGGACCGGCATGCGGGCTCTGTGCCTCCGGGACCGGGTGGTGTGACGACAAACTATGCCGTAAGAATGCTCTTTTCTCCCCTTGGAATCGTTCTGATGTGTCTGGTGAAAGTGAAATCTCCAGGACCAACTCGTTAGTTTGAATCCTTGACATTGATTGTCGACAAGGGAACATCTTGGACCCTGGATGACCCTGATGGGTCCAAGAATGTTAGGTAGCCGTATTGGAGCAATTATGGGGAAGGAATAACTCGGATTTTTTTTTTTTTAGAAAAGAGAGGTAGTATGTAAACTTATATGTTTTTTTTTGGAAAGAATGCCCCTGCCATATTAGTAATGTTAATGTCAATCTGAGTATCTTTTGTGTAGCTGACATTCGTACTATCGGGGACGATTATTGTTTCTGCCCAAATCCCACAACTGTCTGAGTAAAAATGTAAGATGACGAGATATAACGCTGGTCTTTCAGTTTTATTTTCTGCATAAACTACAACATCTATAATAGTACTGTCATCAGTTTGCTTAAAAATAAAAGCCAGGTCATTTCAAACATCAGCAAACAGTCATGTCCTTCATCACCATCTTAATTACTTCATGTCAGCTTGACAGGTTCAACTCTTTTTTTCATTTCAGGAACCGACTGTAATGCTGCAGGCGAATCATGCAGTAAGTTTCTTTATATGCCTTTCGAAATGTTTTGTAATATGATCCACTACAACCATATAGCTTTGTTTTTGTTTATTTCCTGCTTTTACGGAATTTCAATTGTGACTCTGTCGGGATCGAGGCCAGCAGAGAAGGGTCGAGTGTAAATAGCAAAACTCTTTTTTACACGGCACCGTGATTTCAAGAAAAGCTAATATTATGACAACATGTAAAAGAATGACACAACTTGCAAAATGTTGATGCGTTAAATCATATACAATAAGAGTAAATAAATGTATAAGTTAATAGGAAACAATGCTTATAACAAAATATCAGACTAAGAAAACTACATTACAGAACGTCAACCGCAGGGTTGAGAAGGCGTGAGGTTTTAATTGAGTGACATCCTGTTCAGGACGGCAGCCAATTCAAACTGATCGAAGCAATCAATCGCTCATTAGATTATTTATTTCGAAAATTACCCAAAGCAATATTTTAATTCTTTGAATGACAGAATGCAACCTGCAGTGCCAAAACTGTGGTGAACTGGACAGCGCTCAATGCAAATGCACCTGCAAGGCGGGTTGGCGAGGCACTGACTGTTCTGGTAAGTCTGTAAGACGTGGTTATTGTGACAGAGGAGTGGGTTTTGAAAATGAATCCCACCGCTGACACCAACAATTTTGACATAGGCCAAGGGTGAAGCAGAAACTGTGATGGATTTTTCCCTAACTGACACGGCATATTCTGTTGATATCGGTGGTATACCTTTATGATCAGCGTAAATCAAGACAGTGACAAGCCCCAATTTGTTGATTTTTGTGTGGTGTGTCAATAATTGTCTCGTTAGCAAATTAATATTTTTTAAAATATCTTATAAAAAATCCTCTTCTTTTTTACAGAGCCGTGCACCAATTACCAAGACTACTGCGATTCCGGGGCCTACACCCCAGAAGCGTGCGTGGGTGATACAGGGGCTCAGAAGGACTGCCCAGCCACATGTGAATTATGCTGTAAGAGTTATTTGGACTGATCGCTTATGTGAAAGTGGTATTAGCAGACACTGATATACTAGGTCTTCACTTAATGTTAATTTCACAAAAGGTTAACAAAAAAACTGGGGCTGTGTGACGCTCGAAACGACAACCTTTATTATACTATAGGTCGAAGTTAAAACAATTAATATAGTTTATGATCAACGAATAAAGAAAATAATAAAATTAAAAAGAATGTATTTTATTATATTTTCATATTTTCTTTTCTTCTAATACATTCATCTATTAAAAATACGAGTTGCTGCGTGATAAAAGAGCTGCACGGTTTTCTGAGTACAACATAAGTTTTGATGAGATGGGCCTACATAATCATTTTATATGCACAATCGTGAATAAGTTGTAAACAAAATATTAGAACTGAAACATCAACTGAATCTTATTCTGGTACTTACGTTTTGCAACTTGCGACGTTGCATCCGAAACCATCGGACTTCGTCAGGCAACGTCGCAAATTGCAAAATATAATTTCCAGAATAAGATTCATTTGATATTTCATTTTTTTGATATTTCATCGAAAGTCTTACTCGAATTTGGTCACTTGTAAATGCTTAGCTGTCGTCGCTGAGACTCTCAACAGATCACTTCTGTGCTTTTACAATTTTCCTATATTAACAGCTGTTGTTAGCGACTCAACCGCCGCTGAGGCGAAGTGCTGTGATGGGAAGATGTGTGATGCTGGCGAGGTGCTCAACGAATCGTCTTGTGAGTGCGTCGACTACGTGGAATTTAATACACCGAAAAATGCTGCAGGTAAGGGACATAGTTTATGACCATGTGGGACCAGACATGAAAATCCTTCGATCGCTTTCGTTGAAGAATGCATCCTAAATAGACCCCTTGCTTTGAGCGCCCTCACAAATACAGGTCTTTGTTTGTTGTGATAGCTTAAATAGACGTACTGGCCAGCTACTGTACTTAAGCAATATTCCGCTGTGGTTTACGAGAAAAACCTAATTCATGTTTATCGGCAACAAACATAATTATACTGACAACTTTGTCAAAGTTGAAGTTAAAATTTAGTATTTTATTTTCTTTTTTGTCATCAGCTCCTGTCGTCGTCAGCTGGATGTTCGTCTCTGTGCTTAGTGGATTGGTGACGTCCATGCCGATTCTGATTGGATGAAAGTTACGTCTCTGATGTACAGCCCGATGCTGATTGGGTGACAGAGATGGCTGAATGACGGAGGAGGGTTCTGATTTGCCGACAGGAATTTTTTTCTGTTTTTCCAATTGGCTGAAGACATATTCGTGCATTTCTGATTGGGTGACAAGTGTTTGGTAATATTTCAAACTGTTAAACCTATTTCGCATTTTTTATTTATTGGAAATTACTTCTCTGTTGGCCAAATTTGCAGAGAGGCCATTGAAGAAGGGAGAGACGAGAGCAGACACGTCTTATGAACACAGAAAGCTTTCTGGATTCATACTAAGCTACTAACATACTCAAGATTGTTTACAGTCATTTATTCCTTTCTAACAGAATCATATTAATCTTGTCAAATGAAGCAATCATATAATCCATTAAAAATCATACGTGTCGATTTAATAATTATAGTGGAATTTGGTACTGAATGCTAATTTTTAAGATCTTGCCTTAGTAGTAATTACATGTTTTCAGAACCAAAATGTACAGAGTACTTTCCGAGTGTTAGTTGCTAGTAACAGTACTTCTTTAGCTTCAAATTGTCTTTCTGTTTATCATTCAAAACAAGTATCTACAAGATTTAAAATGATTCAGGACAATAACTTTCAAAGTACTGCTCTCTTTTTTACTTCTGTTTCATTAGCACTACCGATAAAATAACGTCCTTTCAATTTTCTATTACAATAGAAGAGTTAGTTTGTAAATTATGAATTTTGTGAGAATTTAAATTAATTTCCCTTGAAAAGGGGCAACAACAATTTACATTTCAAATCAATTTTAGTTGAAAAATAAACAGTACTAATTAAGTAATATGAATATCTGAAGTATGCTACTTCAGCAATACGCTTTGAAGCTTTTTACCTAAATCAAGCATTTTGTTACATTTTTTTTATAATTAACAATATCATTTAATTTCTTTCAAAACTATTGGAACAAAAACAACAAATCCAGCCAGGGAAATGTTCTTCACAGACATTTATGCAAGTTGTGGTTGTTGTAAATGTAATGTATGTTTTACAGAGCATTAAAATAAAAGTGTGCATGTGATGTAGATTATTTCTCCAGTCCGTTTTTGTCATTACAATTTAAAGTGAAGAGTGCTCTTGGGTTTTCCTTTATAAGTTTGCCAGCTTCCGTCTTTAAGTAACCTTTTAAGTAACCGGACCCATGACTCATGATGGGCATGCAGAGGATACTGCGAGTGGTGTAGGCAGTGCGGATGTCAACTTCTCTGGAAATTTAGTGGAAGGGCACATTTCAATGCGGTGGGGGGGATCGATCTCAGAATCTTCACATTCAGGGTTTTTTTTTCGCTTGAAAGTATCTGCGGTGGTTTGAACCTGGAGCTCATTTCATTTCAGGTTAATCTCTCCCTAGTCTTTGATGTGGAGTGACTCACACATTTTGTTGAGATAAGGTGACCAGTAGAGGGCAGTATTCTTGGTGGCTTCAGGTTTCTTGTTATTTTCGAGTCAGGTAGTCTCCCCCTTGAAATTTCATATGTGGAAAGGTAAACCTTGACATCTCTTGCCTTGCACTCCTTTATTTGCGTCTAGTATGGGTGTTGACTCTTTGCGGACAATAGAGGGCGCTGTCATGCAACTTTTTAGAGGAAGGTAGTCCAAGTTTTCTTATTCTTGAATTCATCAGCCATTATGATGCCCCTGCTCCTGCATCCAACAACTCAAGTTTGCCTTGTACACTTCGCTTTACAGCAACTCTTATTATAGTGGATTACAGTGGCTGATCTTGATGACTTTTAGGTTCTTGTTACTTTTTAGAGGGGGACAGTCTGGACACGCCCGGCTCCCACATGGCTGTACTCTTACCCTTGGTCTCCTGCTGCCACTGCACCAAGTTATCCCTGAAAGTAGAAAGGAACAGGTGTTTATGACAATAAATTGCACAAATAATAAGTAATTGATATTAATATCCCCCGTCAATGAGGCTTTGTGTGTGCTGCATAAGAAAGTAAATTAAGTAAGAAATTTACAGGAAATTATTTATTCCTGTTTAGTAAGGCCTGAGAATATTGGCAGTGAAAAAGAATATTTTGAGATTATATCTTCTAAAAGTGAATTGATGTGATGAATGACTCTATGAAAGAGCAAATATAGAGAATGGCAAAAGAATTAATGAAAAATGAATATCTTGTAACTGTAACAACAAATTAAGAATTACAGCTTATTCAGTGAAAGATTATCAAGAAAATAAAAAAGAAAATGTTTGGAAAACACTGACTTGCATCCCTCAAGAAGGAACTTTGCAGGAGGAATGATTTCTGACAATGTTGAGAAGCAGGGCAGGGCCACATTGGTCAGGAAACCAATCTAGAAAATAAGAAGAAAAATACTTATAAGCTGTTGCAATCAGCCCTAAAAAAAGGAAATTCCAAGACTTGAGAAGACTTTGTATAGTGTTTTTCAATTTGTAATGGCAGATAAGGGATCAGGAATTACATAAAGAGTAAATCAGCTGATCTGAGGAAAAGTTGCATGCCTGTGCAAGATAGCTAGATGAGGATGAGGTTCACAAAGAGATTTCTAGAAAATGAAAGACACAAATAATTAATATTGAGAAAGAAATATCATGAGAAAATTTGATGAAGAAATTGATTCCAGATTGTTGGAAGTGAGTGGGGGTTTGAAGGGCTAGGGTACAGGGCAAAAATAAGGTGCCAGGGGGTGCCCATTATGTCCCTTAGTTCAGCCTTCTTGGCCTGTTGCCATTTTGAACAGACCTGCTGCTTGGGCAGGGTGTGGTGCTGATCTCTGTCCATCATTTCCATGGGTTGCTCTCCTCGCTTCTTCTCCTCATCCCCCTGGTAACAAACAAAATCAACACTTTCTTAAACCTCTTTGACTTTCTTTGAATAAAAAAGGGTTTCACATTGTATATATTACTATTGTTATCAGTGCTATTGGTAGTCTTGGCTGTATAAAACATAGTAATAGTAATAATATTACATGAGTATATTGAGTCCAGTAACAGTATGGTTATATTTTGTCAAGTATGATAGTAATAATATAACATGGGTATATTTTGTCAAGGAAAAGTAATTTTATTACAAGGGTATATTTTGCCAAGTACGTGTTATAGTAATGATATTACACGGGTAATGTAATTTGTCAAGTATGGAAGGTAGGGGTAGAAAAATGGATATCACCACTGAAAAGGAGTCTACTGAAAGGAAGAGCAGTTGATATTACCTGGGCGTAGAATTCCTGATACAGACAGTCGACTGCTTCTCGCTGATTTGGCCAGAGTTTGGCCGTAGCGCACAGATCACACGCCGTCATCATCAATGCCTGGATTTTGGGTCTAGTGGGAAAACTCTTATCATTGCGCTTTCAATCGCGTGTGACAGAGCACTTTTACCGTGAACCTTTACAACTACAAATACTTCAAATGGATAACCACACTGACATTTTCACAAGTTCTCAATCAGCATAAGTAAACAGAGCTTATCTGAATTAAGAAAGTGGAAAGCAAACCCAATATGAAAATTTACATCATCCTAAACATCTCTGCTCTCACAGGTACCCATATTCTTGTTCCCTAACTGTGGGGACCATACACTTGTTGAGTGATGGTATTATGGGGACCGAAGACGCTGTGTGGAGAGCAGAAAGTCCCCTTAACTCGGTCCTAATTTCACTCACAATAAAAAAGTCCGATTACGCGGTGACGGCCTGCCCCCAGCTCCCGAGCCGGGGGAAGCAATGACTGACAAAGTGCCTTGCCCAAGGACACACCCACCATAACCCAGGCTGGAGGTGAACCCACAACCTGCAGAATCACCTGCTGATGCACATTGACCAAATAGATCACAATTTTGGTCAAATTTCCTCACTAGCTCTGTAGCCATAACCCCGCCCACCACTGGTGGGAGGGGCTAATGGTCCATTGGAATTGGTTAACTTAATTATACTACTCGAAAGAGGGGAGTTCTCTACCTTTGAGCCGTGTTGGTGATATCAAGGCCCTGCGATAGCAGGAGTTTAGCCACCTCCTGACGATTGCCAAAGTAAAGCATGAGATCGGTGGACAGGATGCAATGCTGTATCAGCCCAATCACCTGAATTCAAAGAAGAGAAAATCATAACTCTCTGAACAAATCGGGGGTTGAACTCCTAAATTTAAAATTTGAAACAACTAACTTATTTGATCTGTGAGTTATCATAGGCTTTTTTTTTTTTGATGGAAAACCTTATAAGTTAAGTAATATTTAAAAAGTTAGAAAAACAATATGAAATTTCTTTTTTCAGGGTCCCACCCTACTCAAAGAAACACAAAACAGAATTTGTTCGAAAGCAGTGTAGGAGGAAAACTTGAAGAAAATGGATGAGAATGGAATTTAGCTGGAAATGAAAGTTGTGAGTCACTACCTTCTAAACTTAAAAAATTGCAATAAAAAACAACAACGGCCTTTCCTTTAAAAGGTCTCCCACTGAAGTATTTCCAAATGTGCCATTGTCTCGCCACTTCTCTGGAATGATCACCCACCTGTTTGTAAGTGTTGACGGGGAGGCGGGCGAAGACGTTGAGTCCCGAATGTTGCAAGATGTTCATCGTTGTCTGGTAGTGATGATTCTCTAAGATGGAGGAGGCGTAAAGGTCAGCTAGGGGTGAGTCTGACTTCTGGATGAGAGCATTGGTGGTCCCTCGATGGTCTAAATCATGACAGATGGTGGCGATGAACATTGCTTGACACTGATGAAGGGGAAGTAAAACAGAAGTTGCCAAATTTTCTACTACAATTGTTTGATATATATTTCTGAATTTCTGAAAATTGTTTGATATTTATTTCTGCTTTCCAATCCAGGCTAACTCTTTCATCTTCCCCCTTTTTTTCATCTTATGCATTACTTATCTTTCGAAAACTTCTGCAGTTGAGCTTATTTTTGTGTGATTTAGCCTTCCAGAAACTTTCTATGGGACTTAAAAATAACATATCCTCCTCATTTAAAAAGCAGTTATCAAATGCACTGTCTAAAATGACTTTTGGAATGGGTGTTACTGAAATGGAGGACAAAGACTTACAATCAAGAAACTCAGAAACAGCCCTTCACATTTGAGATAATGAAAACAAGAGTGGGATGGAAATGTTTATAAAAGAATGATGAAAAATTATTTACAGATTTACCCTAAGGTATCCATGCTAACAGATGAATATGAGTTTTAATGGCGGTACCCTGTCGAAAAAAAGCTTTTAAGGATGAGTAATAATTTACCTCAAAATCTGCAAAGACACCAGGGGAGTGCATCAAGAGGGCATACATGCAGTGGGCGACGTTGAAGGCGTGGGCAAAGTTGTGGAAGGGGTTGGGCCGGTAGTTCTTCTTGACTGTCAGGAGGAATCTGGCCAGCGTCTCCAGGTCAAAACTGTGAGGGAAAGAAATGATAGAAAAATGGCTCGGTCTCGGTATACACTCCTTCCTCTAGCTGGATGAAATCAAACAAGACTGCACTGAACAAATCAAATCAGAGGGTCAGGGGTTCGAATCCAGTTACTGGTTTCAATAGCGACATAAGAACCCATCGCTAAGAATTCATAAACTTTGCAGTTTAATTTTATGAGACATTTCTGTTCACATTTGTTGGGATATACACACTTTTTATTCAAAATTATTTGAAAATTCTGACATTCCCTTTTTGTTTTCTAAAATGACTAATTTGGAATACTAGTTATCAGTTTACCAGTCCTCTCCGCAGAGTTTGAGGGTCATGTGCAGCAAGAGGTCACACAGGATGTTGGTGTGTGGACGGCAATCAAATTCAAAGCTGGAAAAGAAAAAGAGAAAATCACTGGCCTCTATTAGTTCCTCAGCTCACAACATTGTTGGCTAAAAGTGACTTTAAGTTTTGGGGTTTTTTTAATCTTAAGATCTGAGCCAAGAGTCTTTGCCATAATTGTGTATGACTGCTGCAAGGACCTTAAATCTTGGACCCATAAAATGATCTGATTCATTATATTATGATTATCTTTTTAATAAATTTTTAGTATTTATTTTTGAATAACTAAGTGGGAAAAAATATATATTTATATATTATTAGGCTTACCTGTCCAGATCATCAGGAATGATGGTTCGTTTGGTCCACCTCGACAGAAGCCTGTCAGCATCTTCACTCGTGGCAACGGTGTGGAAGGCTAACTGCTCTTGGGTGACTCCAAGGACCCGCTCACAATGTAAGATGCTGCTGTACACCTGAGAGATGCGGAAGACGTTTGTCGAGAGGATGGAGTTTGTATTTTAAGAAATGGAAGACTAGTGATGGACGTACGATGGGAAGGATAATTTAACTGCAAGGGAGAGGGCTAAAGTGCTGAAGGGCTAAACACTTGAAGATTCCATATGAGGATTACTTTTAAGTTTCTACCTTATTTGATGGGTTTTTCTAGGAGGGGGGGGGCAGGGGGAGGGGGCATCTGAATTTGCCTTTCAATTAGATTTATGATCATTGAGAAGGGGGCATTGAAAGGGACAGTTAGGCACCAGCTGCTTGGAAAACTGTTTGCAACAGGGTGGGGCGTGTTGAGTTCAACTTAAACTTTAACCGTTGCTCTGCAGTACAGTCTATATAATGCTCAAAAATCAGTAAATCCAATAACTCCAGGAAAAGTTAGCCGTTAATCTTATGGCAATTTTACCTTGGAGTAATGCAGAGCCAGTGCGCAGTACACAGCAAACATTCTGAAGTTGGACTCGTCGGTTTTACCAAACGCATGCTGACTAGGATCTTTCTTGTTGATGAGTTGCACCACACCGATGACAGACCCATGACTCATGATGGGCATGCAGAGGATACTGCGGGTGGTGTAGCCAGTGCGGATGTCAACTTCTCTGGAAAATCAGAAATTCAAAGTTTCTTTTTATTTTAATAGTTGTCAATCAAGACACAGGGACCTGAAAAAAGGCAAACCTGAGGTGAGGGCGATATGCAAAGAGGAGGGGGAGGGGGGAGAAAACTGAAACCATGAATGAGATTTACTATTTTACAAATTGTCTAAAGGAATATTGATGGAATAGTGTTGACACAATGGAAATTTTTGAGGCAGTGGCATTCTATTGAGTACTGCACTACAGCATTTTGGGTTCATCAAGGTGTGTAAAGGCGAAGGACAAATCTTAAAGCAGAACAATTTGAAAATGTGTGTTCTTCATACCTGTTAAATCGCTCATCACTGTATGCATCAGGGATGTTGACGACCTCTCCTGTCCTGGCTACGTGGCCTGCTATTCCCTTCTCTATGGAGAACCTATAAAAAAATATCTTCATCCAACCATTTTCTACACAATAAATGATCACGATCAGTGGTGATTGAGTAAGATTTTGACTTTGGTTTAACTAGCAGAGGACCAAAGATTGAGCCATAATACTTTTTCATTCAAAATTTTACTGGAAAATCGTGGCTTAGGAATGAAATATTACCTCGGAGAAATAATGCTCTAATTTGAGGAACAAACATCAGTAACTCCTCTAGAAATCTTCATCCTCAATGTTCAATTTTAGGATTGTGACCTTCTAACCTTGAGGCAAGATCTTTGCAGTAAATGTACCTTATTTGTTGCTTCTTGGTGAAGATTGGTTGGCCATTAATGACCTTCCCCTCATCAAACAGATCAGCGTATAACTCCTCTGTCTTGGGATCCAGGAGAAACAGAGCGCAGCGGTCAGCGTTGACTAGACTCTTAGCAAACATCTGGAGAGAATCGCCGGATGGGACACATTTATTTATACAAATTTGCATTTCAAAACAAGAAAGACACAACTTCTTCATTGCAAAACTTGTGAAGTAACAGTTAGATATTTGTTGGCATTAAAATGATTTAGTTACTCACGATGATGTGCTCAGTCAGTGTGTCAATGGCAACTATGTCATCAAAGATTACCCTGAAACAAAAATATTTTATTGTCAAAAAAATATAGAAATGTACAAAAGTTGAGCAATTAGCTGTATATCAATGAAATTGTTGTAAACTTGGTTAAACAGTGACAAAATGTAAGTTAAAATTCAAGGATGAATAACAAGTGAAAATATTTATTAGTAATAAGTTTTTCAGTTTATCAAGTATCATTGAAATTTTGACTAGTAAAACAGATATTAGAAACATTTCAATAAATGTCCAATTTACAAATCACAGTTGAGCTTACTAAGCATTATTAAAGGGAATATACATCATTTGCTTTTGCTGTAATTTTCAGAAATGGATGGAATTGGGGGGTTGGAAATATAAAGCAAATATAGTTACACTGACTTTTTGGAGGTTTTGGGTTCGAAAATGCTATAAAAACCAAGAAAAACGATCATTTTCCTGTAGTCTGGTTCCCTGACTCCATATAAGAAGAAACAGAGCAGTTTACATACATTGGGGAATTGTAAGGTCAGGGAACCAGTCTAGCTGGCTCGTACCCGTTCATAGGTTTGTAATCGATTGCAAACAAGTGCAATTTTCAATTGGGGCCAGTATTTGAAAAAAAGCCAGTTGTTTCCAACGCTGATCGGCCGATCAGCGTTGGAAATTGATACAAAAATACCACTTTTCTTGAAAATGACAGTATACCAGGTGCCATAATTTTACAGGATGCTTTAGACTGTCATTTACCAACATCCTATTAAGGTATTTCGCAAAATCTTGGTAGTTTTATTTTTCGATGATTACAAATGTTGTATATTCCCTTTAATTAAAACTGACTAAAAGATAAAATCAAGTGAAACACAACTTTTTCATATCCAGCAGAAAAACACCTGAATTCTGCTGAGAAAAATAAAGCATGCATTCAATTAAACAGTAACTTCCAAGTTTTCAAATTAACACAACTCAGATTAATTTTTTTTAACATTATGGACTACTTTTGTGCAAAACACAAATTAAAACAAGAAAAATTAGTGTACCAGTGATGTCAAATTTTCTACCTTGAGACTTCTAAGAGGAAATCATTGAATTCTCTTTGTTTCATCAGACCTTTACACATCTGTGTCATAAATTTAATCATCAATCAGAGATGTATATTTAGATGGCACCTGCAAATTCAGTCACATCTCAAGCTAAGTGGCTTTCATTAACTCACAGGCTCCAGTTGCAATAAACAATACCAGTTTATTCATTTCTATTTCTTCGTTATTTCTCAACTTATCAATGTGGAAACCTTCTTTTTTTATTAAAACAAAACATCCGTTTCTATTTCCAGGTTCAAGGGTAGCACAACACAGTGGAGTTTTCTTCTTAAGGGTTTTTTTTCTGAATCATTTAACAGGGCATCTCATTTGACAATTGAGGCTACTCGTTTTCATGGACACTTCCTTTACTCAATTAATCAGGCCCAGTCAATTTATCTCAATGCCTTGGCCTTAGTTGAGAACTCTAAATTACACTGCCCCACAACAGGCCCAGGGGAAATAATAAAAGTCACCATCCAAAGGATTTATTATTTTAACTGTGGATATTAGCGTAGCTGTGTTCTTGACATCTTCCTTTGTCAGATGATTGCAAGATATGACAGAAATTCAGAATCATTGACAAAACTTCCTTGTCAATTTTACAAAGAAACTAGGAATAAATAGTTCTCCGCATTGGGTTAGTTGTTTACATGTCTTTGCTCAGAATGAGGTATTTAAAATACATACCTGGACTTTATTCAGTGATATTCCTGCCCAAAGCATATAGGTGGATGCAATCTGTTGGAGACAAGAATCACTTAAATATTCAATGTTTTGTCAGAAAAGAATCACTGTACCTCTTAATAGGACAACTTAACAAAACAAAGTGATATGTGTAAATTTCATACAATTTTAAAGTTGCCACCAACAGAGTGTATACAGAAAACACAAAGGACTCTTCCCTGGGGAATGGGGAATGTAGCGGTTACAAGATTAAAATCTCACCTCTAAGTTTTCTTCTGTGAATGCAGTACTTCCATAATTTCTGGACAATTGAAGAACGGCTAAAATTATAAAAATATAAAATCATTTTCTTCTTGTTTATCACTTTCACATAGCAACCCTAATATGTAGGTTCTTTATACACAAATGAAAACATACAGCATATTTTTTAAAGTAAAAAAATGAAACAAATCAAGAGAAATTTGTTAGCAAATCTTGTGTTCGATACCTGGGAGGTCACCATTAGGAAGAAGTACTGGTAGGCATAGAACAGACTGGGCATTACTATTCTCAATCCCTGCTCCTCTTGGAAACCTCTCATCCTGAGTGATGGAAACAATCATAAGATGCTGCACATTAAACAAATGCTTATTTCTTAAAAATCTTTACATCCTGAGGTTTTCGATTAAAAACAGGGAAGCAAGATGTGACAGAAAGAAGACACAACATTGGATGAGAGATTCATAGGAGAAAGTTATTGTCTTACGCCAAGAATGTCCTCCACAAGGATTGCCTCTTTCTTAGCAGCAACGTAGGCTGAGATGGTAGTTCCTGGAATGACCGGGCCAAACATGATTTCCTGAATCCTGTTCAAAGAAATGATAAAGCTACCTAGATATGTTTGAAAGCAAACCTATTCAAGTTTCAAAGAATATTATTTCTGTTTCTGTGAGCTTAGCCAAAATGAATCATTGTATGACATTTCATGTTAGATTAATACTTTAAGAATTGAAAACTGTTTTATAAACACAGTGAACTACTTCAAATAGAACTTTTCAAAAGGCTTTTAAAATAGTCTGAAAAGCTGACAAAATTGCAGTGCTTGATATTTCAGACTTGGAGTTTATTTTCAGATTCGAAAACTACGCAGTACTTACTTTCCATTGCATTCTCTGCAGAGATGCATATCCTGCAATCAATGAAAGCAAAGAAGACTTAACATATTTCACTACAGAATAAAAATCCTTCAGACATATAGCCTACACACAGCTACATTTTTGAAGTGAAAACAAAAAATTAGGAAGCAAACCCAAGTTTGTGAAATTTTTTATTAATACTCCTTACCTTGCCATTAGTGCTGACAGTGTACAAAAAGAAGTCATCAGCTTCAATAGCTGTCAATGGGAAAAATTTGAATCACTTGAATAATTTAATACAATATTTAAGTAATCTTCTTCAAAATAGTCATTTTCAGTGTTGTATTCAGCATGGCAATTTACAAATATATATTTCAGAGTTTGGCATTTCACAGATTTATTTCCTATATCCATTGTCCTATCTTCATGCTTTAAGGCTGAAAAACTAAATAACAAGAAATGTTGGTTTCTTAAGGCAAAACTTGTTTTTCATGAATAAAATATTGTCCCCACTAATGAACAGACTATTGGCGACTTTTTGTTTTAATTCTAGCCCAAATTGTGTGTTTTCCTGTTACCTTTGACAATCACAGTGCTGAGATGATACAACATTTTGGGCAATTCTTTGGCTTCTTCGATCACATTCACCATTGAGTTCAACATCTCCTGTCTGTCTGTTGTAGCTGTGTTTGTCTGACAATTAAATGAATATTTTCATTTGAAAAAAAGTTTTTTCATGTTTCAATTTTCATATTGGCGTATATAACAATGACACAAAAGAATAACTCAAATTATTCTTTGATTTATATTTTATAGAATTTTCTTCTCCAATTTATGTGATGATCCAATTGTTAATGATATATTTTTGTATCCTCAATTTTGTTTTTGATTAATATTTTACCGTTAAAATTTCTCCTTTACTAGAAAACTTTACTACAACATGCCTATCTCTTTAAAACACTGTGATTATAAATTTCCCTTAAACTTACCAGTGATTCCTTTGATACACTTTGTAGCCTGGAACATCTCCCTAGCAATTTTTTAAAAAAGGCAACTTGTCATTCCTGTCATTATCAAATGCAACATTTTCTCTTGTTCATTTCCTTCAAAACATCTTTATTTTACTCAAGGCTTTACATCATTCTTTGAAAGCAAAACAATGTACATAAAATTATCCTTACAACTTCTGGCATAAAATAAAAGTATTTCAACCACAAAAAAAAAAAAAATGACTTTACCACTGTGAGTGTACGATGTATCTGTCTGGAACTGAACACAATGGGAGTTGAGGATCTTCTGGACTTCATCGTTATTAGAATTTTCCTTCAAGAAATCCGCAACGAGCCAGGGGTTTGCATTCAGGTACATCTTTACATTGGTAGGATTGAGGCCTATGCCGGGTGGAACAAACGTTTTTTAAGACATAAATTGAAACACAGTATTGTTACGGCAGTCGACCGTCTGGTTCCCTGACCTAATAGAATTCAACATCAGGAACTTTGGCTCTTGGAACCAGACTATCAACCAAATGGCTTTCAAGAAATACAAATCGGGATAGGCTTCTTCCAAACAATGCCAAATTTGCATAAAATTTAACACAATTTTTTTTTTTTAAACATCAACTTCTTGGATGAAATATCAAATGGAATCACTTGGTGTGACTTAACATAAGGACTGCAACATTCAACACTGGGACTAGGCTTATGCACAAATCTTTCACAATATTTCATATTACTAAAGTAATTTTGGTCTACATACGGTATTGTTGATGTACCCTAACGTGGCGCGGCCCCTAACATGGCGCACTTTGATTTTTCGCCTGTAGCGCCTAGCTAGAGCAAAAGTTTTAACTGAAAATTCACAGAAAGTGAAATTTCATCAAGTTATAAACACTCCGTTCATAAATCGCGAATTTATTTACCCGCTACAAAGTTAAAAGAAAAACTTATTTTGGCGTGATTTTCCGATTTTATTTTCAAGTGCAAAGTGAACCCTTTGAAAATGCCCCGAAAAATAAGAAAATAATTTTGTGACAAACATCTGGCTGGGTATGTAAGTAGAGATAATAATGATTTATCAGAATTTATCAAGTTTTCAGAAATTCTTAAATGTTAATTTGGAATTTCCCGAGATTTATTTAAGTGCGCCACGTTAGGGAACACTCCGCCAAATTGTGCCCAATTTCCGGACGCCACCGTTTTTTAATTTCGGCTTAAATTTTATGAAACCGAAATTGTTCACAGAGGTTAAACAGCAAGCATTAATAAGGTAAAAGTACCAGTATTTCACTGCATGAATTTGAGGTTTGTCAACAAAGAGGTTTGGCAACACTACACGAGAAAATTTGGGTAAGCTTCGAAGTGCGCCACGTTAGGGAACACGACTATATACCTTTGGTTGCTGAAGTTTTATTTATGCAAATTGTTAAGATAAGAGTTACGACTATGGGGGCGCTGTTTACCGCACACGAAAATGGCAACAGTCGAAAAAGGTGAAGTTGTGTGAATGAAGGAATCTAAATTTTGCCAGATATCCCCATTTTTTTCATGCCACTCACCGATATCTGCGCATTCTCCAGATGGTCCTCTACGTCCGAATATTGATGGGGAAGAATTTCCGGGCAGTGGAGGCATCCGTCGACCAGAAACTTGCTTCCACGGACTCGACATTTTACAGTCTTGTTCTTTTCAGACGATCAGAATTTACTGTAACTTAATCTGAACATGTAGTTCGTGGCAGTCGCTTTAAGTCCTGCTGTTTGATTTTTTTGTCTTTTCAATCTTTTCAGAAGTCGAAAAGAAACTCTGCATTTCTTTAGTCTTCAACTTGTTATGCTTACTTTCCGTTTTTGGGTAAATATTACGTGTCATTTGTTGACATGATCTACAAGAAACAAATTAAATAAACATGAAACGGCACATATTTTCGCATTGCATGATGGGACAAAACCAGAAGCTCTGATTGGTCAAAAGTTTAATGAGGTTAATATGCAAACCACATTACAGAAAAATACAACAAAGCACAAATTACATTCAGTTCTGGTTTATTTGCGTAATTTACGTATTCAGCACATTGATCACAATGAAACTGCTATTCAACACACACGCTAACAAAAATGGCGGTGTAAATTAATATAATACAATATTACAACGTTAATATCTGCATAAAAAGATTTCAGCAAAGTCTTAGTTTACGGTGTTGTTATGTCGATTAGTTGATTTGGAATTCCGAAGTATGGCGGCTGACTTTTGGCAGGATGGTAGGCCTAACTGTTTAATGCATTTAATGCTTGTTTCTGGGTCCCAGTGTACGTAACAACAATTTTGAACCCAACGGCCATACGAGGCTTCTGTTAATTTTGCCAGGTAATAATTTTTTTAAAAATCACCAAACAAGTACTTTTTTTTGTTTCAGATCCTTCACTTCAAGGAAGACCATTTATGAAAGTAGTAAATTGACCATAATAAACGCTTTATAAACAGTACTGAGAGCATGAAACAAAAAGAACATTTGTGATCACAATTTTTCCCGTATCGAAGGTTTCGTCTTTTACTTGAAAGTGATTTTTGCTAATAAAAGATAAATATGTGGTTTCACCAATTTCTGAACAAGTATCGCGCGACATTCAGAGTTCAGTCACCATAAAAGTATTGGACATAATGGTCCGGACGGATAAAACAAAATAACAAACAGTCGCATTCAAAGCGTTCGTTAGACAAGTGTTAGAAAAAAATGCCAGAATACTTTAATACATAGAGATAACGGTATAAACACACTGCATGCAGTATACGGTACGACTACCTTCATGGCTTCGTTTTTATCAGCCTTCAGATCGGTAATTAAGCCATTTTGTTTTCGTTTTCCCTTAGTTAAGTTACTGTTCTGTTTTAATGTTACACACATTACTGTTTTTAAAACATAACAAGACGCTTGCCTTATATTTGCACAATGAGGCACGAGGTTGAGGACGAGAAAGTAAGAGATACGCTATAGAGTTCGAAATTGAAGTTGTTCTTTCTGTATTTTGGCCATTTCTTTACGTATCCTTATACATCTCGCTAAAACTCGCCCCCTGCGTCTTCTTCCTCTGCTTGGGCGGCTGAGTCGACACCGACCTCCTCGTAATCCTTCTCCAGGGCAGCCAGATCCTCACGAGCCTCAGAGAACTCACCCTCCTCCATGCCCTCTCCCACGTACCAGTGGACGAAGGCACGCTTGGCGTACATCAGATCAAACTTGTGATCCAGACGACCCCAGGCCTCGGCGATGGCCGTAGTGTTGCTCAGCATGCAGACGGCACGCTGCACCTTGGCCAGATCACCGCCAGGCACGACGGTGGGTGGCTGGTAGTTGATGCCCACCTTGAAACCAGTTGGACACCAATCGACGAACTGGATGTTTCGCTTGGTCTTGATGGCTGCGATGGCGGAATTGACATCTTTGGGGACTACATCACCTCGATAGAGCATGCAGCAGGCCATGTACTTGCCGTGACGAGGATCGCACTTCACCATCTGGTTGTCAGGCTCGAAGCAGGCGTTGGTGATCTCTGAGACACTGAGCTGCTCATGGTAGGCCTTCTCAGCAGAGATAACAGGTGCATAGGTAACAAGTGGAAAGTGGATCCTGGGGTAGGGCACCAAGTTGGTCTGGAACTCGGTCAGATCAACGTTGAGAGCACCATCGAAGCGAAGTGAAGCAGTGATGGAGGACACAATCTGACCGATCAGACGGTTGAGGTTGGTGTAGGTCGGACGCTCGATGTCGAGGTTGCGACGACAGATGTCGTAGATGGCCTCGTTGTCGACCATGAACGCACAATCGGAGTGCTCCAGGGTGGTGTGCGTGGTCAAAACAGAATTGTAGGGCTCCACAACGGCTGTGGAGATCTGTGGGGCCGGGTAGATGGCGAACTCCAGCTTGGACTTCTTGCCGTAGTCGACGGAGAGACGCTCCATGAGAAGCGAAGCAAAACCAGAGCCGGTGCCTCCACCGAAGCTGTGGAAGATGAGGAAGCCTTGAAGACCGGTACATTGGTCGGCCTGGACAAAAAAATAACATAAGTATAAAACGATGATCATCAGTGAGGCTTGTTCATCATATATTATTATCGTAAATTCGTGGATTAAAGTTTAACAGATTTGAAGAGAAAGTAATTATTAATTACTTTCTCTTCAAATCTGTTAAACTTTATACTCACAAGCTTCCTGATTCTATCCAGAACCAAGTCGATGACCGTTTTTCCCACAGTGTAGTGGCCCCTGGCGTAGTTGTTGGCAGCATCCTCCTTGCCTGTGATCAGCTGCTCAGGGTGGAAGAGCTGACGGTAGGGGCCCCTACGAACCTCATCTGGTAAAATAAGACGACGGAGACTGTAAATTATGACTTATCTTTCAGAAATCGTCATCATCGTCAACAATGAGCGCTCAGGTTCAGAGTAGCCAAAGATGAACCTTGTTGAAATTATCACCATCGCCAACTCCATGGCTGTTACAATCACCAACTTGGCCTTACTCCATATTCACCACTTCACCGCATTCACCTCTGTCATCATCAGAGGGGTCATCACCACCATCAGCATAGCCATTACATCATCATCGCTTTGCTCACCTTTATACCACCATGCTCGCAATAATCACCTTCTTCACCCTCAAAACTCTCACCACGTTAACCTGTGAAACTCACCTACAACCGTCGGCTCCAGGTCCATCAACACAGCCCGTGGCACGTGCTTGCCGGCGCTGGTCTCGCTGAAGAAGGTGTTGAAGGAGTCGTCACTCGAACCAACCGCCTTATCACTTGGCATCTGACCATCAGGCTGGATGCCGTGCTCCAGGCAGTACAGCTCCCAGCAGGCATTGCCCATCTGGACTCCGGCCTGGCCCACATGGACTGAGATACATTCACGCTGGAAATTTGAAGGGGAAATGCTTTTAAGTTGGTTTTATTTAACAAATATCTCAATTTCATTCAAAATACCGTACAACATTTTCTTGTCGCGCACAAATTCTTCTTGGGTTTTCCTCCCACCTTTAAAACTGTCATTTCTTACATTGTCTTCACTTTACTGGGCCCTTCATATATGTCTTCTCTTTACTGGGCCCCATGGGAGTCCAGTGTGTTCCACTGAATTGACTACCCAGTTAAAACAAGAAAGAAAGAAATAAACCCAGTTTCAAGACCCTGTACCTTTAAAATAATCTTCCCCTCACATCTCAAAACCAATTAGCTAAATTCTTCAGAGAACATTTAATTCTCCACAAACTCTTCCGTATAAATTTCCCCAAACTGTTGACAAAAACGTTATCCCTTAAAAGCGATGCAAACTGACGAATCACAGATCCGTTTATGTTCATGCATGGTCAGGTCTAGCCTCGGGAATGACTGATTTGCATTTCTGATGAGACGTTTTAGTCAGGAACGGCTAATTTACATATCTAGTGAAACATTTCAGTCATGACTCATGCTGACATTAATATAATCACGCCACGGGCACATTAATAATTCTACGCCTAGACGCCAGACTGTCTTGTTGCACTTTGTAACACCATGGAAAACCCATTAAATTATGAGAGAATTAAGGATGCCTTTAAACTCCATCATAAAATATTTAGGGTTGTTTGTTTTACTATTTTATATTATTTTGACAGATGATGGAATCAATGTTGACATGATGACATTTAGTAAGATGCAGAATTGTTTTTCTTAATTCTAGGATTTCTAACTGAGCGTTGAAAAAAATCTGAATTTCAAAAATCATGTTTTATTAATTCATTATTTTGTTTTTAAAATTTGCAAGAAAGCAGTCACCAGCCTATTGTTATTATAGTTATTTTAGACTTTAAAATAGAGCCGAAGAAAGTTCAACAAAATGGTGATCCTGAATTTCATCACAGTGATCGTGAATATTTATCAAACGATCTTGAATATTCATGCGCAACAATAGTTCGACATTTTCCCGGAAAACATGAGTGGACATCTTGAAGGATCCAAAATGTCCTCCTTCCTCCTTTAAGGCGCTGCCTCCACCGCGACAACATCCACTGCTGCATGAATGATGAGGGATGAGTCATTGCTGGCGACGGCTGTTTCCTGTTCTCGCGCCCATGGCATAGATTCAATTATTATTATCACACACGACGCCTGAGATGTCACCGGCGTGAATTCAATATCGCAAGCACTCTAAGAAAATGAACTCTTATTTCATTTAAGCAATTCGCTTTGTTGGGCAATAATCAGAAGGATGTTGTCATTTATTAGATCTGTGTTTGGATTATTCATTTCAACTAGTGGATAATGAGTACATTTTATTCCGTAACATAAAAAGCAGTTTGAGTAGGTCAATTTTTTTATTCAGTTTTATGTCATATAAATTAATTTGTTTCCGGACTGTTTATATAAACCTTTAGGTTCAGATGTGTTAACAGGTTTATGATATTAAAGCTATTCAAAATATATATATATATTTGAATAATCCATCTCAAATCTACCATGAAAATGCCTATGTGTCACGCACGAGCAGCCTATACAAGTTAAGTGCTTGAAATATTCATCCGAATTTATGGCCACTATGGAACGCTTATAAAAACAAATACACGCCACAATCTCCCATCGTAATCACACAAGGAAGCTTATTTCCAAAGATTTTATGGAAAATAAGTAAGCCCGTATTTATTGTCATTTGTCAATGGACGATGGGAACAAATCGTAAATCATTCCTAAATACGCACGTGCGTATAAAATAGAGCAGTGTAAAATTTTCAGAAAAAAATGTCCATCACAAATGGGATGACAGAATTGTGGATATGTTGCGTCTGCCAGCACAAATATTCACACAGAAGATTCTCAAAATATTTAGCAAAATATTTTTAAAGACTTTTTTTTCCGTAAAGCTGTCCATTTTAAAATAAAATCAGTCGATTGTTAAGCACAACTAAGTGAGGGTATTATCAAACACGATGATAGTATAATAACATGTGTATATCGCAACTGGTAAAATATCCAATAAATTACCCACTTATTTATTTACCGATAAGATTGAAGTCAATTCTTCATTTGGTATAATTAAAAGCAGCATTTGACGTTTATAAGGTTGCAAATAAAATTAGGCTTAAGAACAGTCCGCTTGACAATAAAAGGCTTTAAAGCCTATATATAAAATACAATTGTTACGATAAAAAGGCATTTTGTTGATCTAAATATGCACTACTCCTCCTAAAAGATATTTCCTTTCCGACACTATTTTCCTGTTTAAACATCTCTTTCTCATCTCATTTTAGGGTGGGGCACAGTCTGACAAACATCACGTGGCTTTGCCGGCCACATTTTACCTCAAGAAGAAGGGGGGTTCAGAAAAAGAAATGCCTACAAAAGATCAAACTCACCATTTTGGCTATTTGGCGATCGCTTCCTCCTGAAATCTCGAAGAAAAATCACGGGTGATGTGTGTTTCTGGAGATTGCCAGACAAAGAGTTTGATGTAGCTTGCTGAGACGGCCCGAGTCCTCTAAGGTTACGATGACGAAGAGGCAAGAGCGTATGGAGCACAGCATGAACGTGCGTCCCGTCTTATACACGGGGAGGCACGGCCTCGCCCGTCAAGGAAGCTGTTGATTTACCAGAGGGGTGGCTCGTGTGCCTTTTGTTTTAATAATCTGAAATATAAAACTTTAAAAACATAAAACTGTTACTATTTCATATGTTGGCGTGCAACACTTGTTATTAATTTATTATAATTTTAGGAGGAGGAATTTGTTGCTCGTAAACAGTTCTTGACGCAGAACCACCTGTTTTGTAAGTAAACAAAATCCTGAAACAGTCGTCGTGGCGGATGCAGATGGAGGGAGGCAGCTTGTATTTTTTAACCTTTATATGGATCGTAATCCGAGATTGCGAAAGAACTGTGGCGAGAGAAATCGGGACATTTCAAATGAGGCAGACGAAATGTACATTATATATCGCGGGACATTTCAAATGAGGCAGACGAAATGTACATTATATATCGCGGTCTGTGAAACTGGTTGTGTATGTATTTATTACTACCCTGAGTTGTTGAAATTAATTTGTAATGCATCTGAGGATGTGCAGTTTCTCCTTATCATAATCAAAGGGTAGTTTGGTTGATAAAGTATTTCATGATATCATAGGCTTGTCATTGACAACAAAATGTGCTCATGAATGGAATTTTTAAAAAAATGAAATGTAGGCCTATACCTCATCGTCAATGTTAACCAGGAGGCCTAAAATTTATCACAGAGATCTAACCATATTTTATCAGATACCAAAAACTATACCCTTGAACTAAAAAATAACGGGCGCTCATCTTTAAGACAAGTAAGATAAAATATCCAGGCATCATTCAACAGCCTAATGAAGAACTCATGATGAAGATGTCGTTCTGTGACGTCATGATGATCATCGCACGATGACTCACTGCCATCCTCTTCTAGAGTCTAGACTCGCTACCTGTCCTCTTCAATGTCCGTTTTTGGAACTTACTTCAGTTATCATTCTGTGGTAATCACAAGTATTCAGAAATCCCCAAATAATGCATAAAACTTGTATTATTCTTTAAAAGTAACGTTGATGACGTCACAGAAGGCACTGTGTGTATTGAAACCGTTTAATAGATATTTCTTCCATTTCATCTTTGCATGATCGGTGAATTTAAAAGTTCTGAGTATAGATAATTATAAACAACAATGTATTACCGATAATTAGAAAAGGCTATTATTTTACCCTTCAGATTCTTCCTAAGTTTCAAGACACCACGTTGTAATTCAGTCCATTGTTACCAAGCAGCGCCTCCTTAGCTACCGCATCTTACTTATCAATTACTTCTAAAAACATCTTCAATGAGAACATGGTTCGAAAATTTGAAATATGTTGAGAAAGAAAGCCACGTCACTTAGGTGACTCCGAGGTACTAATCCCTTGATCCATATGAAAACAAAACTCCACTTAGCCCGAGTATCCACCGACAACAACACGGTCTAAGACACGTTACGTTCTTCCATCTTCGGAGTTGGAGGTACAGATGACACTAAGACTTGAGCAAATGTTTGTGATGTAACGATACAATCGTGAGCAAAGTGAGAAACCATCTCTTGTCTCCCTAGCTACCGCCTTGGGGCTTGGTATAAAAGTTTCAGGCGTCGTTGGTGATGGCTCAGTGTTTGAATCTCGCCCGGCCGTTGTTGTTGGACAGTGAGAGTCGTTCTGTTTCTAGTCATTTTGCCGTCATTTTTAACAAAAATCCAAATTGGATCAATCCAACGATCTCAAACTACCAATTCTAATACACCGAAGTACTAAATTATCAAGATGGTAAGCTAAGCCGTGCTTTTAGTTCGATAAATATTTTATCAAATGTTTTAAGTGTAACACTGTTCTAAGGTTGCGGGACACGGGGTAACATAGCCGAACTTTCTACTTTAAGGACACCATTCTTTTTGAGCATGTGTTCCTTTTCCAATTTACAAAGTAAACTTTGGTTTTTTTGTTGTCTTTTTTTCAGCGAGAGTGTCTGTCCCTTCACATCGGCCAGGCCGGAGTCCAGATGGGCAATGCCTGCTGGGAGCTGTACTGCCTGGAGCACGGCATCCAGCCTGATGGTCAGATGCCAAGTGACAAGACCATCGGAGGTGGTGACGACTCCTTCAACACCTTCTTCAGCGAGACCGGCGCCGGCAAGCACGTCCCCCGTGCGGTCTACGTCGACTTGGAGCCGACGGTTATAGGTAAGTCTGATCTCTGAAATTTTGACTTGCCTAATGAGGCCGCTTTCCGTTTGGATGGTAACCTGAAATCGTGCTAAATTTTCGCATACTTATTAAGAACTGGTGGAACGTAGTGACTGGCGGGGAAAAAACTGTTTCCTGAAAACAAAATCTCAAAAGAAGATAACATGTACTCCTTCCACCTGTTTAAAAATTCAAATTGCTTTCCGGATCTATTCCAAGACGTTTTGACCTATAACCAAAAAGTTCAGATTGGAAAGCACTTTGGTGTCTCAACAATCCCTTCAAAGGCCGACAGTTACTGAGGATGTATAATAACAACGCTCAGACTGAACTCACAATGGGCCTGGATAAGCCGATAATCCACCTGTAAACGTTCGCTCCACCTGCTATTTATCAAGTTGATCCACCTGCAAATATTGGATCATCTCACCGTGCTCCTGTAATTGCTTGGCAAACACTGGCCGTACTCAACCCATATGGGATTAGTGTTTACAGCTTGGTAACTGTTAACATCTACTCGTAAAGGTGTCCAAGTAAATCGGTGTGCAAACGGTAGCCATATTGATGAACACAACGAAAGACAGGTTCCTCTGAGATTACAAAAGTTTGTCAATTAAGTTAGTTTTATCAAGAAAATGTCACTTTTAGTTGCTTGATTCTATTCCTCTCAAGCTCGCCAGAGCGCCCTCTTTGGTTATGCATAAGCGCTGCAGAAATTTCAAATATGCAGCGAAAAAGGAAGCAAGTCACTTTCTGTTTGGATCTTGTTTGATGATTTCTTTCTGTCACTTCATAAGTTTTTCCAAGTTACTTTATGAACAACCTAGTTAAGTGACACTCGTAGAAGATGTTTGCCTCAAGAAAACACAGCCAAGATAATACAAAGACACTTATTTTTGTGTCTCTTCCTATCCAACAGACGAAGTTCGTACCGGAACGTACCGTCAACTATTCAGCCCTGAGCAGCTGATCACAGGCAAGGAGGATGCCGCCAACAACTACGCCAGGGGCCACTACACCGTGGGCAAGGAGCTCATTGATCTTGTGCTGGACAGGATCAGAAAACTGGTAAATAATGTGCAAGCCATGTTGAGAAGAACTCGATTTTTAAATGTACACATGAACACATGTACTTGCCACGTATACTCTAAGTACTTGCCAACTGACTGGATCTTAGTATCGGATCCTAAGTCAGTTATCAGGGTTCTTACATTGATTTTTTTTCTTGATTTTTCAGGCTGATCTATGCACAGGTCTCCAGGGTTTCCTCGTCTTCCACAGCTTCGGTGGAGGCACCGGCTCCGGCTTCACATCCCTGTTGATGGAGCGTCTCTCTGTCGACTACGGCAAGAAGTCCAAGCTGGAGTTCGCCATCTACCCAGCCCCACAGATCTCCACTGCAGTTGTTGAGCCCTACAACTCCATCTTGACCACCCATACCACCCTGGAGCACTCCGATTGTGCCTTTATGGTCGACAACGAGGCTATCTACGACATCTGCCGTCGCAACCTCGACATCGAGCGCCCGACCTACACCAACCTCAACCGTCTGATCGGTCAGATTGTGTCCTCCATCACTGCGTCTCTGCGCTTTGATGGAGCTCTCAATGTTGATTTGAGTGAGTTTCAGACCAACTTGGTCCCTTACCCTCGTATCCACTTCCCTCTGGCAACCTATGCTCCAACAATCTCTGCTGAGAAGGCCTACCATGAGCAGCTGACCGTTGCAGAGATCACCAATTCCTGCTTCGAGCCAGCCAACCAGATGGTGAAGTGCGATCCCCGTCATGGCAAGTACATGGCCTGCTGTCTGCTCTACCGTGGTGATGTCGTCCCTAAAGATGTCAATGCTGCTGTCGCAACCATCAAGACCAAGCGCACCATCCAGTTCGTGGACTGGTGTCCAACTGGCTTCAAGGTGGGCATCAACTACCAGCCACCTACCGTCGTGCCTGGCGGTGATCTGGCCAAGGTGCAGCGTGCCGTTTGCATGCTGAGCAACACCACGGCCATCGCTGAGGCCTGGGCTCGTCTGGATCACAAGTTTGATCTGATGTATGCCAAGCGTGCCTTCGTCCACTGGTACGTGGGAGAGGGTATGGAGGAGGGTGAGTTCTCTGAGGCTCGAGAGGATCTGGCTGCCCTGGAGAAGGATTACGAGGAGGTTGGGATGGATTCAGCTGACGGAGAAGATGAAGGAGAGGAAGGTGATGAATATTAACACAATTCTGACCAATAAGGAATCGGAGATACAACATGATTGCATATTTCCACAAATTAACTGTTTTAAAGGCAAAATATACACACTCATATACTTCAAACCTTCCACTTTAAATTTTGCTTTTATTGATCAATTCAAGCCTCTTTTTTTTGTACAACTAACGTGTTACAGATGTACAAATATAAAGCAATTGTTACCATGGACAAGACAAGACAATAATATTGGCGCAACTGAAAATGTGAGCTGATACACATCTGCTTGACACTGTATTGGCATTGTTTTAATTTGATCCAACTGCTGCAATTAATCACAGAGGTAGTACTATGACTTTCACTTTAATTTTTAGTCTTTTTATATTTTGATCTTGAATACTCCATATTTGTGCCATAACCACAATATATCTCACTGTAACACCCAATGTCACAATCTACAAGCAAGATATTTAGCACTGGATCTAACTTGGTTGATTTTTATCAAATAGTACTTTAAAAGAGGATTTTTAATAACTGGCCATTCTTTTGTTTAAGTTTTGGTTAATTAATACTCTAATGATCTCTTCAGATTTTGGTCAGAAAAGCTGTTCCATCACATTTCAACTGACTTTTTTTTTCAAACATTTGCGAAGGAAATTTTAGTTGTGGTACAACTTTTCTCTTGTCCCAGGGTTGTTTCTTTGTCTCAATTACTTTTTCTCAACTCCTTCAGGGAACCCCCAAATTCCTATTTAAAAAAATATATACTTGATTGCTTATAGTACTTTAGGACACTGCTCTCTACCACATCACTTCAATTTACAATAATTTACGTTTATCTTAGAATTTCTGTCTCAAGAGCCACAGCATTTCATTACAATTTTTACATTTTATTTTTATGTTCAGTCAGCGAATAATACTGTACAGGTAGAATATATAGTGTCTTTTTTTCACATCAAACTAGAGCTATTTCTTTGCATAAAATTTTGTATTAAAGATATCTATCACCGATTTAAATTGCAAATCTTCATGTTCTACATCAAGATGCTACCACGCATAAGAATGACTAGTCACCATCAGAAAACTAAGTCGAGTGTTCCTTTTTGTTAGCTAATAAAGAACATTAAAAGACTGCACATTTTGTCCAAGAATGTATAATTCCTTTAAAATATTATAACAAAGCAATTTATTACAGTTATTACTTTCTAGGACACAATTTCCCTTTTGCTTAGCTGAAAAATACTACTGCTAAGCAAAAGTCAGATGGGTACCAGTTGCAGCCAATGCACATCCAATGGAATTTTGGATGGCAACCTGTTTTCTGTGCTAAGCAAGTTTGTGTCTTCAGCATCTCCATGAAATCATTATCTGGGCCCAATTTCATGACGCTGCTTAACAGTTAGCGTAAAAGTTCTGTTAACTATAGCACAAAACCATGCTGCTGCTTAAGCACTATGTCATGGCGTGGAAGTTCTAAAGGTTGCGCGCTGGAGATTTCTACTGTTATGTCACTGATTTAAGCAACTTTTTCCTCTACGGTTAAGCATGCCTTTTGCTGTGCTTACTGCTTACAGTCTACATGAAGTAGACAGAGGCTCTGTTGGCACAAAATCGGCTGTTAAGCAGTGCTATGAAATTGGGCCCTGGTTAGACCGTCTCATAGTCTCTTCGGAAAGTATCGAAACACTCCATTGTTATCAAATAATTCCTTCAGGGTTTCCAACCCAAGGTCACAGGGGTGTAATACAATCAAAGAAAACCCACTCCAACCTGACCTCTCCTCACCAATCTGACCTCATTTCACCACCTTGACCTGTGACCTCTCTACTTCTTTGGCCAATTATAGAACAGAGGCTCAAAGGAATCGTACGTGTAGTCATACATCCGGCTGCGGACAAACTGCTCCAAGTTGTCCGGTCGGGGGTAACGGGACGCGACGTTTGTCTCGTATGCATACTCAGCCGTGCGCACTGCCAGCTTGACCGAGACCTCGCGGACTTGTTGCAGGGGAGGGTAGACACGCCCCTCTTTGAGGTCATTGTCTGTCACAATGGAGGCCAGACTCTGTGATGATGGGGTAAGGCAAGGGAACATGAGCACGATGAGAGAAAAAGAAACTGACATACGATCTTGGCATAATCCAAGCCCACACCTACTTTGAAGTGAAGATGTATACAAATAAATAGTGGCATCATTTTTGCTGTCACCTGGAATATCTCAACTCAGACGTACCACACCCATATCCATGATGGGCCACACCCCTTCAAGGTTTGCACCCAATAATGAGCCACACCCCATACAAGGCCATACCCCACACTGAGCCACGACCCATCTAAGGCCCCACCAGAGGCCACAGAAAAAAAAACCAATAAACGATATTGCCTACCTTGGCAGCCTCCAGGAACAATTCATCCGAGATGTGCCTCACCCCAAAGAGGACCACGCCCAAAGCCACGCCCGGGAAGATGTAGGAGTTATTACCCTGGCCTGGATACATGACACGCCCATCCGGGAGGGTGTGTGAAGGGAAGGGGCTGCCACTGGCAAATACACACCTGCCCTAAAAGGCGAAGGAAAGAGGCAATCAAATCCAAGAAAAAACTGAGAAAAAAAGTGAGGATATGAACCTGAAAACTTTACATTAACGTTAACAAAATTACATTTGGGGAGAAATTCTTTGAGTTGCTAAGCACACCAAAAAATGTTTTAAAATCTTTGGACAAAATGGGGAATCCCCAACATAGGGCTGGATAGCTCAGTTGGTAGAGCACCAGAATAGCAATCCGGAGGCTGCAGGTTCAAACCCCGCCCCAGTCAATTTTTTTGTTCAACTTTTAAAAATTGTTTAACTACATAAGGGTTCATGGTGAATGTTGTTTCTTACGTCAGTGTAGGTGTAAGCCTCTTCAGCAGTGCATTCAGATTTGCTGGTGGGATTGCTCAGAGCAAAGATGATTGGACGCTCGTTGAATGATGCCATGTCTCGTAGGATCTTTTCCGTAAAGACTCTGGCAATAGCTGCAGCGCCTGAAGAGGAGTAAAAACAAATAAGTTAAAAGTCCATCACAAGTCCATCACAAGTCCATCACAAGTCCATCACAAGTCCATCACAAGTCTATCACATGTCCATCAAAAGTCAATCACAAGTCCATCACAAGTCCACCACCAGTCCGTCGCAAATCCATCACAAGTCCATCACAAGTCCATCACAAGTCTATCACAAGTCCATCAAAAGTCCATCACAAGTCCATCACAAGTCCACCACCAGTCCGTCGCAAGTCCATCACAAGTCCATCAAAAGTCAATCACAAGTCCATCACAAGTCCTCCAGTCCCAAGTCAAGTCACAAGCTATTGAAATGAATTGTGTCAAAGGCATTCCTTTGTTATTGTTCATCCCCTGTTACTTATGACCAGACTTGTGACTTATGACCAGACTTGTGATGGATTTGTGACGGACTCGACTCCAACACCGTCTACAGTTCCAGCAGGGTGTTCTTACCGATCAGCACAGTCGGTTTGATGGATTGGACTATCTGTTCCAGATCCTTCATTGGCTGATGGGGGTGAGCGTAGAGCTCCTTGTGTCCGTCGACGGCTCCTACTGGACGATCCTGAGAATGGACAACAAATCGTGCAAACTGACACCTCGTACTGCCTCATACTAAATAGTTGCCCTGACTGCCCAACGGCAATGTCAGAAGAATACAGAGACATTTTCATTGTGGGATATTCTAAAATGAACTGGTCTTGAATAAGGCTTTTGACATTCAGCGCCGAGATGTGAAGCAAACGTACCTTACAGATGAGCCCCTTTGAGTCCTTGAGCCAGATGCGTTTTCTGGCCTCATCCGCCGGGATGCCGTCTGCTTCCATAGCAGCCACAATGAGGTTGGCAATGCCGATAGATGCCTGAAAACAGCAAGGAAGGACTAATACTGAGTTCAGATTTGATCAGATTTTTGTTGGATCTGAAGGGCCAGCCTTTTGTCATCTGACTGACTGACCGAGTCACTGGCTGACTGACTGACTCCCCGACAAACTGACTAATTAACTTCATCTATTGTTGAAAAGAAGCAAATTAAGGTAAATATTCTACTTAAGAACACAGACGCCATGATTCTGTGTCCATTTCAGGCCTATAATTCTACTGTGCTTTAGTGTTTTTGAGGTGCCTGTTTTCTGGTGAAAATAAAATTGTGATAAAGTATCAAGCTAAAGGACACAAGCTGCAGTATTCTGTGACCCTACCACCAGGCCTATATCTCCACCAGGCCACAGTCCCCACCCCTCCCAACTCACCTCACCGGCTCCCTGGAACAGGAATGTATTGTCCTGTAGCTTCTTGCCTGTGATGCGCAGACTGGTCAGGATACCAGCCACAGCAACCGACGCAGTACCCTGAATGTCATCGTTAAAGGTGCAGTAGCGGTTACGGTATTTATTCAGGAGTTGGAATGCGTTCCGGTTGCCAAAGTCTTCAAACTGGATCAGGCAATTATGACCATACCTGGGAAAAAGTAACAAATCTTAATAAGGCCAAAAAAAAAAAATATTCGGTCTCTGGTCAGACCAAAGTTCCGGAATTGACGTGGCCACGCGGCTGTTTTTTTTTTTTTTTGCTTTTTTTTTTTTCTTCAAGCTTGGATTGTACAGACAAGGTGGGGTACTATTTTGCTTTTTTGGTGTCCTCATGTACATTGGTGTCCTCCATAATTTGCCTTGGTGCTTTTGATCATTTGCCTTGGTGCAATTTCCCATTCCTTGGTGCTCTTTGGTAAAAAAAAAATGAGGAGGTGCGGAAATAGAGGGCGCTGTTGGAGCTACCGCGGAACATTTTGGAAAAAAAAAAGATCGACGCGCATGCTTAAAATCGACGCGCGCGCTGACCAGAGACCGACTTATTTTTTTTTTTGGCCTAAAAACAATTCATCAAATTAAAGAAAAACCTAAATTTTCAAGTGATTTCTTGATTTCATGATATGAAAAAACCACTTGCCAGAGTCTTATTATTTATCAGGATCCTTTGATTATTTCCCCCCAAGGGAGGGGGCAAGACAGAATTAAGGGGTGGGGATAGAGGAGGGGCTAGGGGAAGCACCTGTTGCCTAATCAATCAGTTAACAAGCTGAAGGGATATATTTTTCACCTGTTGACCACAGCTTCCATAAACTCATCAATCAGTTCATCGTAGGCAGGTGATCGGTCTCTCTTCTCACGCAGGCCAAGGTACAATGGATCATCCAGCAATGTCTGACAATTAATACAAAAAAGATTTTCAAAGTGCATTCTCTGGGTAATTATCTTCACCGTTATTTAGTTGACACACTTAACTTCTAAATTTAAAAGTTGAACAAAGGTGTGAGAGTGTCTATCTGTTTAATCCACCTTACCTGGTTGTCTGTTCCCACGTCTAGTATAACAGGCAGGCACTGAGATGGTTGCACCCCAGCGATGGCCGTGTACAGAGCCAGCTTGCCGACGGGTATTCCCATACCATAACTCCCTAGATCACCAAGTCCAAGAATCCGTTCGCCGTCTGAAACCACAATGGCCTAAGAAGGACGGCAAAAGTAAGTTCTTTTTAACTTATGAATGTTTTACACACATAATTCTTACAATAGACTGTTCTGGTCTATGCCCCCTTTCCCCATTCCTACACAACCTCCAAATCCTTCAGTGGATTTTGACGGATCAAGAAGTTTCCGACAATACAAAAATGGCATCATGGTCTTCAAATACGTCACCTTGACATTGCGCTCAGGCCAAGCCGCCAGGATATCCGCGATGTGTCCCTTGTCATGTATGGTGATGAAAAGTCCACGAGGCCTACGGAAGATGAGTCCATATCGCTGGCAGGCTAGGCCCACGGTGGGTGTGTAGACGATGGGCATCATCTCCTCCAGATTGTTGCAGACCACTCGATAGAACAGCTTCTCATTACGATCCTTAACGAGGACACAATTGTTCAGCAAGGAAAACAAAAATTGGTTTACTCACAAAACGACCAATGACCAAACATATTTATTCTCTGTTCATATTTTTAAGTGCGTATTTCTACTAGTATTATTTTTTTTCAAGTAATACATTTTCCGGGATTTTTTTTAGCATTCAGTTCTGGAAATTTAACTCCTTCTGCGCTTTTGCACAACCAACAATTATAATAAAAAATCTTTTATTTGCATTCAACACTTGGTAAGTTTTACAAAGTGAAAATACACCAATTTCGATATTTCAGTCCTTTTTTTTAAGTTCAGAAAACAAGGCCAGACAGAACTGTTTGTTTTGAAAGTAACCTTTGGACATAATAAACACTGTCGTGATTGTAGACCGATTTAACTGTATGCAAATAGACGGATCCATATTTAGTTATAACATATGGGGCAAAACTTATAAGCCTTTTTGTAAATACTGCTTGAGTGAATTTGCACAATGGATGACAAGTTTTAGGGAAGAGAAAAGGCACAGACAGTGACAGACTTTGCCCCTTTTTCTTCCGCATAGTGCTTTGTATTATGACCTACCTGTAGGTCAATCAGCTGTATATAGCGATCCAGGTCACTGGCCTGTCCTCTGATGTTCTTCAGCGATCGTTGTTCTTGTAGATCTGGAGTGCAAACTGTCGGCGGGAGAAGACCGTGTATGCCTAGGGCTTGGCGTTCATGCAACGTAAACGCTGTACCCTGAAAAAAATAATACATAAATAAACAACCGAGTGATATATAAATAAATTTAAATTGATACTTCCCTGAAATATAGGAATGAAAGCACCGTCATACCACAAAAATGTAGTAACTAGTAAAAAGTCAAGTCTTTCCCCGAATCATCCAGTGTTTATTTTCAGTTCATTATGTAAATATTTTTATATGCAGTCTTGAACTGGCTATGTTTGGTTTCCACACTTTTGCAATGACTTATGTACACAAGCTGGAGAACGGGCCTTGACATTTGTGGCACTATTGTGTCAAATCCTGCACTCAAGACCATATCATTATCATGAAAAACAATGTTGTCACCGTGCATGCATGTCGGCTCAATTAATTCACAAATTAATCACAATAACACAATTCTGAATTCTTTCATTTTTTCAACAACAAGCAATTTTTTTCCTGAAAGCGCTACCACGAAATACGAGCAGTAGGCCTAAATTTTATCACAAGCTGGATTAAGCAGCGCATTCATAAGAGAAAATGAGAACAAAAAACCTTGGTCTTGTTGTCTTTCAAAATATCAGGCCCCCATCGCCTCGGCCTCTTGTGAGGAATTAGAAGGTCGTTCTCATCGCGAAAACTCTCCTCCAAATCCATCGAGTCGACAGATCTCTGCCGTCTGATTTCCACCCTGTTAACTCCATATTCCCCGTTTATCACCGATAACAACCGTCCCCACCTCAAGCTGAATTTGTTAAGCCGGCAGAGCATCCTTAAATCCCAGAAACAATGGGACATAAACTTGGCCTCATCCAAACATTGATGAATGAGCGGAAAGCTTAAACTTCCCTTTAAAAACCTGGCCGTCACAAAATAGTCTGGTAACAACATACAACGGATTACTGCGATCAGGTTTTGAGTCTAGGTTTCAGACTATTCCCAGGCGTCAAAAATAAATATTTTGGTTTTTCTTGACACGTGCCGCACGTACGCAAATTTTATCCAGGGTCAAGGGAAGTGTTTTGCAACCGGTTTTATGGTCATTTGTTGGTAAGTTGTACGAATACCTTGCAGAGGTTATATTCCTGTTTATATAAATACCTTCATTTTTCTTGGACCATCCTGTTAAATTTCTGTGTCAAACGTTAGAAAGTGTTCATGTGCAGCTTGCATGGATCGGGTGTGGGTGGGGTCAAGCGCTTTGGGGGGGGGGGGTTGAAGTGTAAAGGTCGGGACTGTTTTGAGCTCTTTCAGAATTAGTAAACAAAATTTATTCTTCACGTGTATAGTTCTCTAAAAATGTACCTTGTTGAAAGCGGGCGCCCGTAAGGCCTCAAGCCGCTGATGATTTAAGGAACTCGAGTGTGGCTGCTCTGTTTGGTGACGTTGAGGGCGCACTGTCATTCTGCAGAAGCCGCGACATTTGAGCGCGAAGTTTATTTGCTGAAAATCGAAGCAAGTTTTTTTGTCAAAGTTTTTGAACGTATATGTTTAAATCAAAACGGGATTTCAAATGCAACCTCAAATCGATTTGCTTTCTGAGCAACACACTCCTCTCCAATAAATTGATGTCGCGATTTACAATAGCCCTACTTATGTACTTTTTTTTTTACTCCTAAAAACAAGTTTATTAATATAATGTTCAAAGTCTGGTTCTTCGAACTGATAAGATTTTTGCTATATATAGGTCGGTAGTCCTATAGTAAGAGCAAATCATCAGATCGTTTTATTGACTATCTATAAATGCGGTAAATAAGCCGGCCGCGGCCGGCTTCTGAAACTGAAAGACCGTTCTGATCTAGATCGGTGTATATAATTATAAAGTATCGTTTAGGCTATATATTATTTGTGCATGTGCACGTGCAGTTTAGGCTACAGTTTTTCGGTGATAGTTGACAAAGCCTTACTATTAAACATTCTTAACTCATTTGCCCTATGACAAATAGGCCTACTAAGTTAAGGGTAAACCGAGGCCTAGGCTCGCGAAACAAGTGAACAGGTGAAAAACCACGTACGAAAACGGTACGGTCTGTCAGCCTACTTCGAAATACAATTACGCACTCGGAACAAAATGGCTCAAACGGTTCAGCACAAAATTTACTAATCCAATATGCGGTTTTCATAGCTGAATATGATAGCCTTGAATGCAAGGCCGTGTAAGTGCGATCATCGCTGGCCGGACGGTATCCTACCCTCATACCCGGTACCGATCAAACGGATCTATATTATTACGTCACTAAGTCTGCTCACACCATAGCCGCTCAGACCATAGGGCCCAGGGCCCAGATCCGTATATAACAACTCATTCTATAACAGCAAAACCCGGAACTTTACAGTTGAATCATGGAGAATATAGCTCCATGGTGTCCTAGTCGCCAGTGTCCATGGGCTGCGGGGCAGAACTGCGCGTGTGGGCTTCGTAGTACGACCACGACGGATCACCAGATAATATCGCGCCATGACACACACATACACACACATTGACACAGCCTTGTATTCAAGGCTAAGTTTTTTTACGGTAATTACTACAGAACCCATACCTTGCAAAACGAAGGATTTCTCAAGATCTGTGCTCCCAACATCCGAGACGACATGAACATGCTCGACATGATGATTATTTCAAGACACAATTTTATTTCCAAACTGAGTTGGCCAAGATCCGTCAGACCATTGTCGCTAGTTAAGTTCTAATAAGCTGAAGTGCGTGCAGTAGGTGTCGAACGAAAACAGATTATGCGCTGTATTTAATGGTTGTGCGCGCGAGCGCAATCATATAATTCTTTCCGCACAAATTTTTTTTCGGTATGAACGCGCTTTGCGTTCCATTTTTTTTTTTTTTTTTACTTTTTTAAACTTTATCCAGTCTATAAAAAAACGGAATCCGAAATTTCTATAAAAGATGCAAATTTATTGTTATCAATGCGCCCGCGGAATCCCGCGATATCGCTATTCGGTTGGGGGCGCCCTTTCATCGCGACTATACACTTGACGGAGACTTGCTGTCGTTCGCTTCATATGAGTGTGCGCCCAACTCAATCAAAACACAGAAGTTTTCGGAGTTCCCAAGGGGTTCACAATGAACTTCACGACTCGCGCAGCAAGAGGAACAAAAACAGACCGTACCGCCCTCTGCAGTATGCGTAATTTCCTGGCATTTTCGCTGAAGGTGTGGAAAGTTCATTACGTTTCGAGAATGATGAGCCAGTGCATGAACCAGAACAGAATGTTATTTTGTTGTAAGGCCTCCATGCACTTATTGGCTCAAATTTTAAGAAGCCCTTGTAGATTCCGAATTGTTGGAACCTGTATCTGTATCATAAAAGTCGGCAAAGCACCCCAGGGCAAACATCACACCAAGACAGTGGGAGGAAAAGCCTAGAACTTGAAGATGCTGGGGAAACCCACGGAATCAGGTAGGGACTGAAAACCCAATTCACATATTGGCCCAGGTGAGATTCGAACCCGGGTCACAGCGGTGGAAGGCAAGGAAAGTACCACTACGCCAGCCTGACTCCCCACCTGTTCCTCTTTGAACATCTTTGTCTATGAAATCACAGCTGATTTGTCTGATGATCTGTCCTAATTTACTGTAGGCTAGATAAATTTGAAATAAGAGACATGTTGATTTATAAATCCTTCGTTGGCAAAAGTTTTAAGATTTTAAAATGCGTTCGTTTGTTGACTTCTTTCTTGTCTGGTTCCAAAGTGCTCAAACGTTCAGTTGTTGATATCACTTTGGTCTTCAGTTTTCCGGATAAAAAAATGCCGATATTAACATCCTGGACATTCTTGGGAGAATTGAATGGTTTATTGTTGGAATCTTGAAGGTCAGACGCTCTCCACGGCTCCTGCCGACCAGGTATGTCACAAAGTCATTCATTATTCATTAGCCATGAATTCATATCATAGACATCCCTCGTTCAAGTTGCTTACAGCGCGTCAAGGTGAAAGGCGACCAATCGGAATGCACGTATTTTTTTTATGAATCAAGTGGGAGGAGTCAAACGGGTGACGCGCTGATGAAATCAGTCAGCCTGTCTGCTCCAGTTCAGCTGGGAAAACAGACCAACTGGAGAGCAAGAAGAAGGAATTATTTGGCACAATTGGAGGCCGTGTGTCTGGCAATAAGCAGTGCAGACGCGTTCCTGTAGTGCAGCACACGATCTGCACACCACTCTTTGGACGAGCTACGCGTCTGTGAACTGCACGACAAACTGAAGAAACATTTTTGGAGATGAGCCAACGGTTGTCGCCAAAAATATGAATCATCTACACCTTGGAATAAGAGGGTGACCCACCTCCTGAGGTTAGTGTAAATTATCCCAGCCGCAACGTGTGTTGTCATCACAGAATTGCCGCAGTGTACTAGTGATGAGCTGAGTGATTGCTTTGAGGAAACTGTAACCGCAGCATGATGGTTAACATGAATGTTGTATGTGTGGCTTTCGTCACATCGGTGGTGGTTTTGTGCTGCCACGGGGAACCTTTGCAGTTGGCTGTCGAGAAGTGGCACAACTTTCAACTACCCAAAGATGCAGGCTTCCCAGCTGTAATCGAGAACACGCTATTGGAGGAGGACAACGAGGAATCGACAGAGGCAGAAGATGAAGGAGAAAATGATGAGATAAGTTTATACTGCGGAGAGGAGTGTGAGGAATCGGAGGCGTCGAGGAACTACACCGTTCAAGATGCCGAGGACACCCTAGCGTTTGAGACCGTCTACCCGAACGGCACCAGGACGTTGACGAGACTACGGGTCCAGGAACAATTGGTTGAGTACATCAATGAATGGCGGCGCGGTGCTGGAAGGCAGGGGGATGGGAAGGTTCGGAGGAGACGAGCTGTCTTTGATTTCGACACGAGGTTCGAGGTGAATATCGCCAAGTACCTCACCACGTACCCCTTCTCTGCTGCTGTCAAGTTGTCCACCGGGTGTACTGGGGTACTGATCTCGCCTCAGCACGTTATGACCGCTGCTCACTGTCTGCACAACGGGAAGCGATACATCGTGAAAGTCAAGGATCTCAAGGCTGGGTTTAGACGGGAACGGAAGACGATACCACAGGCGGAGGATCCTCGTGAGGCTTACGAGCGTTCCTTCATCTGGATCCGAGCGGATAAGGTATACCTCCCGTACGACTGGACCAACAACAAGAAGAACAACCTGCTGCCTCTGGACAAAGATTACGCTGTCATCATGCTAAAGAGAAGCCCGGAGCGGGAACATCTTGAAGTCGGAATGGGAGACACGGGCAACGTACCCGTCGGTACCATGGTCCATTTCTCCTCCTTCGACATCGCCGATCAGCCCAAGTTGTTTTACCGATTCTGCACCGTGACGGATGGCACCCAGGAGCTGTTTTACCAACAGTGCGACGGGGAGCCGCCTAGCATCGGGGCAGGGGTGTACGTCCGTCAGTGGGACCCCGAGGGTGGGGGATGGTCGAGGAAAGTCATCGGTCTGTTCGGAGGTTTGACGTCCTTCGTGAACACCCTCGGTCTAAAAGAGGAACAGAACTTTGCCATGCGTATCACGCCACTAAAATTCGCCCAGATTTGTTTCTGGGTTACGGGGGAATATGGCGATTGCAAAGGATGATGATCATTTATGGTAGCGTTTCGTTTGAAAAGAAATGATATTGTTGATAACCATTCAAATGTATGTTAGAATTTACAGTGTACAGAAATATGAAGATCCATATTATTCACTTTTGTCTACGAACAATTAAGTGTTTAGAGTACAGAGACAAAGTAGCGGTGTTTTGAGAATTGCTATCCTCGTTGAAGTCGTGCTGTTATCTTGTTAATGTTTCCAGTTCTATGGAAATGTCGACCAAGCTTGATCGAGGTTTTCCTGGCTTAATTCTTTTCTTCAAAACACCGGGCTTAGTTGTTGGAATGTTGTAATTAAGTAGAATTTCGCAACAGATGGAGCGAAACAAGAGTGCTGAAAAGGGGCGGAGACTTTGAACACGTCACGCATAACTAAAAAAAAAGACTCAGTTTTACTTCAGAAAGGCTTTACAAATGATCAATTCACAGTCCATCCGTTTGATTTAGTTACCATTCCTGTAAAATCCCAAGTTCCACCTCATCATCAAGTATCCAGCGATGCTTCATCTTGTTTTAATCTTAAAGAAAGGTCTCTTGGGAGGAAGTTACTCATTATTTTTCGTCACTCAGCATTTTGAAGAGTTTATCTTGCGAGCAATTTTCAACACAACATGTGTTGCTCCGTTCGTTCACCTTTGATAAAATAAGCACTCAATTTTGTTTGGTTTTGCTAGCCATGTTATTGTAGTTCAATTCCCGGAGTCGAAATGTTTCTTTAAGCTTTCTTTTTAATGTTGTCCTTTGGGGTCTGATGAATGATCGCTGGTAGCCAGTCACATAATGCAAATAGAGTATTGTTTGGATGCCTTCAGTTTTAAAATAGAAATGCTTAAATTTTGAACCGAGTGCACTCTGAATAGTCTGAATACACTGTAGTTAAATTTGACTAGTAAACAGTCCAACCTGCACCCAGCTGACCCTTGCTGCAGTCAGCTGGGTGCAAGATGGACTGTTTTCTAGTCAAATCTAACTAGGTGTAGATGTATTTTAGACAGTTTTATTTTAGGTTGTTCATCTGCCCTGCTGCTACTGATGTTCGACTGTGGGACAGTTATTTACGACACCCATAAAACTTCGTCCCCTGGCTTGTCCAGCCACGTAGTCTAGTAGCGCAAAAACTTGAACCATCCAAGGTTACTCTGGGTTTCCAAACTTGGTTGACGACACAATTTCCTCTTTATATGTGTAGCCGCCTTGTGCTGTAATAAGAATTCCAAACTCGATGTTGTGGAATGTGCGTTGTTTTACGAGGGGAGTCTCAATTTATATGGGCCTTGAATTGAGACCACAGGTGTATACATATACATGTAGTGGTACAATTAAATAATGCTAAATGTGATTTAAAAAATTACTTTACATTACCAAATCATGCACTTTTAGGAATTTAGATTTGTTGTCAGGTTACTATTAGTAATTAGTAATTTTTCGACCTTTTGGCAAAATAATATGGTATTACTAGGAAGCACAATGATTCGGAATTGTATAAGCTATCGGCAGGAATTTTTCGCATTTTATTTTAATGTCACAAAATAATTGACGTCTTACCAAAAACATACTCCAGCCTGCCCCTGTTTGAAACTCTTTTCTTTGAATCATTTTCGAATTAGCTGCTTCGTCATTTCTCACCGCTTGCCCTAGAAATTTACTTTGACTCCAATGCCCCGAGGTCCAAATCTCACTTTGTAGAAACCCAAGGCTTTTATTTTGACACACAACAGACCTGGAAAACGTCGGAAATGACCTCTAATGACTGTTATCGTCAGAGGAGTTGCGAACGGATGTACGCGTGACAGAAAAAGGGACTGATCCGAAACCAGATCTTTTCTCTGGACAATAAATCCATTTTCTTACTTGGGAAGAAAGCCAAGAAAAGATTTAATTTACGATTTCTAGTCACGAAGAAAAGGGGCTTGCATTGGCGTCGCCAGGATTTTTTCGCATCCCCCCGAAAGCCCAGCACTTTTCCAGCATATTCTCGATTTATCATTTTTCGACGGTGGGAAGGGGGACATTTCCCCCCTCCCAACCCATTAAATTAACAGCAGTATGACTTCGCGCCTCTTTTTCTTTCTTTCCTTTTTTTTCCTCCTTTTTTCGCTTTTCCGGGAGGGGGGGGGGGGGAAGCGCACCCCCCCCCCCCCCCACCCCCTTCGCGACGCCCACGGGGGCTTGTGTATGTTATGAAAGCATGGAAAGGTCTTTAGTTTATTTGACAAAAATGACAGTGAAAGTTAAATTGTGAAAAGGAATCAAAGTTTTCGCCTCGCCCTCGCTCAGTTTAATTCAAGGTTTGGCAGTCATGGATCATGGATATACCTTGTCAACATTGTCTTTTGCTACTTTAACCTTTTCGTACATGATATTATTAGTATGGTAGGGTTGGGTAAAATAACAGTTAAGACTACGTTTCATTCCTTAAATTTGACACGAAACCAGCCGTTCTGCTTGTCTGTGAGTCCATGCAGAATCAACATTAAATACCCCAAAATTTTGTTTTTAGAGTTTGAGATGTCTGGACTACAGTGCTGAATCCAGCTTACGTTGCAGCCTGAGGATAAAGATTTAGGACACCCGTAGAGGGGCGTGTCACTTGCATCATAATACATCATCTGAAAATATTGTTTTAGATCATAAGGACTCAGGAATGTGAACTTTTGCGGTTGGTTGATGTGGGGGTTAGTCCCATCCACACGGTGGGAGGAATGTCTCGGTTTTGATAATAACACGTTGACTGCTGAGATGTCCAGCGGGGAACTACGATGGGTCTGGACGAAAACAGATCCCAAGACGTCTCGGTATACGTCTCTGGGTTTGCTCATGACATTGTTCATTTATTGCTAAAAATGTCACCGAAGTTGGATTCAAATTACAATGTAGTAATACTTTATACTAGTTTATAATGTATTGATTCTGCTAGAATGTAGACTTATAACTGTCGTATAATTCATCAGTCACGTTTTTATTACATTGTAAATATAGTGTATATTAAGAAATTAACGTTTTGCATGGTGTTATACCTTTATTGTTTGATAGACAGATACTGATAAAAAAAATATTCATAAATTGACGATTTCTATCTAAACGCTCGTATTATTTTGCTCCATACAGGATGTGGGTGTATTACACAATGTTTCTTCCTTTCCCTACCTCTTCCCTGCGAGCTGCTCAAGAAATAAGTGTTATTCTTTCTTGCAGCAAGCGTAGGCTACTACAGCTCCGCCACTGGTAGACTGGTTCCCAGTCCCTCTCTCATCGATCTTGGCGCTTTTGCTTCCTCGTCACTGGGCGTTGGCTGCTCTCTCGAGCTCTGACAAAAACAGTACTCCGTCAAAATAAGGGCAGAGTTGGAATTGCGACCGTAATCTACCCGATTTTCGCCCGTGGGCCTCGGGCGATCCACGCAACCAATATCCGCCTCGTCTCAGCCGCCGGACGGGGTTAGTTGACTGGTCGACAGAAAACACCCACAGTTCTTTGGTTTCCTCGGCCAAAAAACCTTAAACCATCAGAAGGAGCTCGGCTAACGAAACCAACTGCTCCAGGCGAATCCAATCACTGTTTGTTTACGTTGTATCAAAATCCCTGTATTTTTCTTGCAAACTGGGTTGAACTTGGTGTGTTTTTTTACACTTAATGTATTTTTCTCCAGACGTCCAAGAAAATAAATTTTGTCAGCTCAACTGCCAGGCGTTATTTGAGTGGTTCGTTATGGAACAATTTTCTGTAATCAATCAATCAAAATGGCAAGGATACCATTTCGGTCGAATATCAACTTTTCTTGATGCACTGGTGCTGCCTATCGCGCGTGTCAGAAAGTTCAACTAAAATTGAAAATCTCTTGAATTCTGTCGTCTGATACCCGAACTGCTCTGACTTTGGCGCGAGATTTTAGCGGTCAAAAGATTCCTGTGCATGCCACAAACTTATGTGTCTTTATTATGTGATGCCCAGGCACATTAAAATTGTCGCCTTTAACTACTCTGTATTTTCCGAATTTTGTTACCACATGATCGCTCGTATACCAAATGCACTGCAGGCATGTAATGTATCATGCCAATTCCCAAGGCCTCGTCTGGTACCCAGAGCCTCCAGATGTGGTAATGATGATAAATGGGGTTAGGACTAGGTCAAGATACAGAAACAACATAGCACTCCCTTGGGGAATGTTCAGCATGTGTAAGTGCAACTCGAGTATGTGAACTGTGCCTAAACAAATCAGCACTCTCCGCTTCAACTTCACATGTACATGGGTTAAAATATTATGTCGTCAATTATTATTACAATATTCATGTGAGTTTCCTCAAATTGACTTAACCAACAAATCATCGATATTACCGAATGAATTTAACATTACATCTCGGATACTTTCACGTATGTGTGTATTTTTACAAGCAGTATTGTCGAATATAAATCAGAGACCGAACATAGTTTACGAGCGGTTTTACAGTATTCTGCTTGCGTGATGTACGCGAAGGTTAACGAGCAAACACCACAAAATCACACATTACTAGATAAGTGTTTTGTGTAAAATGATTTATGTCACTGTCCTTCAATGATTTTATGTCATTAACAAGTTTTCAAAACGGGGCTTCTGATGTTCTAAATTCCATTATCGCCTCGCCTCGCATCCTTCAGCGAAACTGGCTGAGAGAGCAGCGTGTGGCGCGTCAAGGTCCTGCCGAGAAAAATTAATATTGACGGTCAGAGCTGACGCGACGCCTAGGGCTTGAACACTGTGGTCTCGGAGATTACCCCGCTTCATTCCTCTGAAAATTGGGATAAAACGTCAGGAGGTGTTTCGAAGGGTTGATGGATCAAGAAAGGTTCAAGCTAACCTAGTCATTTTCCTAAAAAGGAATTCATGTGATAAAAGACATTCTTTTATCTCGGATAAATAAATACGATATATTCAAAGCCATGATGTGTTAAAAAAATTACTACATGTATTTCTTTAATAAATATAGTATAAATATTCCATAACGAAAGATCGACTATCTGTACAGAAGACTTTTCCTTTCTTTTTTCCAAATATGAATATTTAGAAAGTTAAGAGCCTTTTGTTGCATGGTTCCCTAAAATCCATAGGTATAAAAAAAATTGGTATGAATGTGGCAATACATTTTGTCTTTTGAAAGAGATCGAAAAAAAAAGTCGTGACTCGTATATGCCTAACCCATTTGCCATTTTGTAAGCGTATTTTCATTCTTCAGTGGCATAACTGCAAAACTATTATGACCCAATAAATGCCATTTTTTCAGAGTCGAGGTCCTGATGCAGCTTGCCTGCTGGGTTGGGCACATCATTGACCCCGCCCCCACAGTAGGGGGTCAAGCATGTTGCCAAGCGAGAGGTCTGTGAAGAGATCCAGTTTCCCCTGTGAATGGTAGCAACCCAAATACTATACTGTGAACATTTGACATTGTAAAACTTTCAACTCAATCGAGTTAGAAATAGTCTGACCCTCACTGCTCCCATGCACGGTGCTCTTATTCACCGCCGATCAAAAATAAAAAAAGACTCAGGAATTTTTTACATTTTTTTCTCGGAGACAGGGTCAACCGTTTTGGTTTTGGTGCCTTTTCTGGGTCAGGCTGACCCGAGACTGACCTTTGAAGATAATTTGATTGTTTGTTCAGCCAATATTGTCTGCGTAATCAGCTTGAATGAAAATGATATAGGCCTACATGCACTTAACAAGGCAACATATATTGGAAGGTACGTTACAAAATGGGAGGAGGCGATCATAGACTTCAATATAAATAGATTGATGTTTAAATATAATTCAACAAACAATGTCAGGGAAAACTCTCAAGGTAACATTTTCATTTTGAAAATTAGAAACTGTACGTAGGTCCCTCGCATTGCAGCCATCCTTGGGGTACGAGCTTTTGTTCATTGTTATATGAAATAATGAATGCAATAGGTCTGTAGAGTTTGCTTCAGTTTCACTTTCGACAGGGTTTTTCACTTTTGATATTAGAAAGCAACCAACTCATTGCATTAATTAAATTAACTCACACTTGTCAATTTTACCTAAGCTTTGAAGAAAATGGACTCGAGACTTATAATATCTCCACAGTTTCAGAAACAATGTCAGGAAATATTTCTCACGATAAACGATCTCGGATGGTGCGCATCCACCCAAGGGTATCGGGGTTGAGTTAGGGCCAAGACTGGGGGCGAAAGGTGACATCAACGGGGAGATTTATGGGTTAACAGTTAACAAACGGAACTTTAGTAGGCGAAATGACCACAAGGAAAAAAACAGGAAAAATTCCTAATTTATGGGAACCTCTTTCCTGAGAGGAACTTGGCTTTATTCTAAAGTCAAATTGATAAACCTTGACCCTGCTTCATTTATAAAAATCGAAGTGAGCACTTCTAAGAATTGTACATAGTGATTCAAATTTGTGACCTACTGTGGCAAAATGAGGAATGTCCCCAAAACCATGTTTTGAGTAATCACCGCCTGAAGTTGGACACACAAGAAAAATCAAGTCAAAATAAACATTGTTTTTTCTTATTTTTGAGTAGACAAGGTTTCCAAGATTCACACTATGCATTTTTGTTGGGAAAAAATATCCCCAAAATTGGAAACTGAAGAACGTTTTCCACAGCCGTTGCGTTTCCTTTTTTCAAAGCCGTTTTTCTCGAAATGAGGTTGCCGAAGTTCGGCGGGACACTGTTGAAGTTCCTGCCTTATGTCTTTGGAATAAATAAGCTATATAAAACAAATTTTATTAACGATTTAACATGATGTGCGTAACTAAAAAAGTCAACGGTGGGGGTTGTTCCTCATTATGATATGGAAGGTCGCATGTGCAGCTGGGAGTTCATCTCCCTCGTGTTTCGCATGGCTACGCCCACGCAGTGATACGCAGTGGTTCGTATTGATAGAAGAAAATGAACGAGTATTTTCACAATATTTTAAGACAATTTGATACTTCCAGTGTGCCGAAGTTTTACAACTCGTGACGATTTCCCTCCGCTCGTAAATAAAGATTTTTTTTACCCAAAAAATGTCTAGTCAACCATTTTTCAGAGTTATGATCTGACTCAGGTCTTTGACTTCCGATTGTGACAGTCGTTAACGCCATGTTACATTGCTGACGTCACTGTTTGCTCATGCTCATATGTATTCCGAACGCACACAAGCCGAAGGGAAACTGACCCGTGGTCGTAAATATTCACATCCGATCCAATGCAGTTTTTTTTGTTTCAATATTTCCGTCAAACACACAAACAATATTGGACCTGATTTTATACTGGCCTCATAACAATGCATATTATGAAAATCAGGTCCATTTCTCACCAACAAACAGTGGAAGTCGAGAGATCTTGGTGAAGGTCATGAAATACTAGACTCCAAATTTGGGAGTGGCGTTTACAGGTCGAATTACATATTTTCTGTGCATGATTTTACTGTTAATTTCATATACGAACCCTGTCAGCTATGCCATGACCTGCAGGTCTATAAATCCAACCTGGTTGTCCCTGGAAAATCAAGATCAACAACTCGTAATCAATAATTTGTCAGACACAAAGCGCAGCCAAGGCCAAGTTCGTTCTTATACCCATTTACAGTCTCATTTCAGTCTCCATGCCGTCTGGTTTTACCATTGTAATTCTACGAGGTTGTTGTGACCTCAATGTAGAAAGGCCGTCGACCTTCATAGATCAGATGATTTGGCCATAAAATTTGGCCATTTGGGAATTGGGCCCAACTTCTGGACCTCGTTACGGCGCCAATGAGAATAAATTCTATACCGGCGGCGAGTGCCCTCGACTGCCGTGTATTTAGTTTACGGGTATGAACAATATAATTTGAGCTTACCAGTTCGGTCTTGGTTACAAGTGTTCTTTATGCAAGCACCTCGAATTCGCCTTGGGTTTATTAAACTTAATTATTCAATGCACGTACAGTTCATTTGGTATGTGTTTAGCTCACAACTTTATTTTGTGCAGAATATTAACAAAACACATAATTTACCTTGTAAATTTAAACTTTATAGTCTAGCTACTACTTGATACTCACAACATTCAAATTGAACTTCTTATGAAAGGTTTTTTTCACATAGCATTCTAAACCGAATTATCTCAATCATAGGAGAGCATTTTGAAAGTAGTTCGGAGTGAATGCTGCCTCCCACTGTGTCGAGGCACTATAGGCGCCGATGATCGCAGCGAGATGACCCGCCACGAATCACGGGTAGCGCGGTACCCTAACGCGATCTGACCGTTCGAACTCATCCTTACTACTTCCGAAGCGATCACCGATATCCACATGACACTTGTATCTATAATCTAATAACGTTTCAAAATATGATTTAAAATCTACATTTATGGGAATAAAGCAATCAAAGGTCATTAAGTGGGAAAATGGCCAACTTCACTTCTGCCGATGGAGGGCGCACTTTAGTATCGGCAACCGAGCAGTTCAAATCGCATGCAGACGTACACTGGCCAGGCTGTAGGTTGCAGGCGGATGTACCTCGCATAAACGACAGCTGGGAACATTGAGGTCACCACGGTGTCACGGTCAGGCGGTCCATCAAACTTAAACAGAAAGTCAAAAAAAGTCACTCATTTTTTTTTAATCGGGTCCAAATGAATAGCACATTGAACATGTGTCCAGTAGTAAAATAACCATGCTGCTTGACGTGTGTTGAAAACAACACATGGTTTTTTTTTTTCAGGCCTAGTTATATCCCGGTACCCATGTATTCATTACTGAAAGTCTTTTCGTGTAACTGGGTACACAGTTGATCAGATTTTATAGCCCATTCATCGGCGTTTATAGTAATTTTATACGATAACACTGACCGGCTCAGGGGAGTGAAAGACAGCCAGCCAACCAGCCAGCCAGCCAGCCAGCCAGCCCAACCAACCAACCAACCAACCGGGGAGCCAGCCAGCCAGTCAACCAGCCAACCAACCAGCCAGCCAGCCAGCCAGCCAGCCAGCCAACCAACCAACCAGCCAGCCAGCCAGCCAACCAACCAACCAAGCAGCCATTTGGGGAGCCAGCCAACCAGCCAGCCAGTCAACCAGCCAACCAGACGGGGAGCCAGCCAGCCGGCCAGCTAATCAACCAGCCAATCAGCCAGCCAGCCAACCAACCAGCCAGCCAACCAGCCAGCCAGCCAACCAACTAACCAACCAACCAGCCAGCCAGCCAGCCAACCAGTCAGTCAGTCAGTTAGTCAGTAAGTCATATAGGTGCAAAAGGACACTAGGCTGGTCCTAGAATCAGCACAAAACTTACCACTGCATCTGCTGTACCAGCTTCATTTTGCACCGTAGTCCAGGCAACGCCATCATCACCATACAGAACTTTATACTCGTCAATGTACGCGTTACCATTATAGTATGACCCGCACTGTACTCCAGTCACGTACACCTTCCCGCCAAAATCAACTTGCAGCCATTGGTTCGCGTCATGGTTGAGGGCGCACCAACCTTTATGCAAATATTAAAGAAATATAGACATCAAGTCATTTTTATGGTCCTTTTTTTGTAAACGACCAGCCCACCAAAAAGTGACTTCAGCCCAACAGGATAATGCATGATATTTATCGATCCGTCCCCTTCGGAAAGTTTAATGGACTGGAAACTAGTCTAGTCCGCTTAAAGGGAAAATACAACATTTGCAAACATCAAAAAATAAAACTACCAAATCATTTTGAAATACCTTGCTGGACTGTTAGTGAATGACAGTGTAAAGCATCCTGTAAAATCATGGCACCTGGTATACTGTCATTTTCAAGAAAAGTGGTATTTTTGTATCAATTTCTAACGCTGGTCGGCCGACCAGCGTTGGAAAAAACTGGCTTTTTTTTTAATACTGGCCCCAATTGACCATCGCACTTGTTTGCAATCGATTACACACCTATGAACGGGTACAAGCCAGCTAGACTGGTTCCCTGGCCTTACAATTCCCCAATGTATGTAAACTGCTCTGTTTCTTCTTATATGGAGTCAGGGAACCAGACTACAGGAAAATAATTGTTTTTCTTGGTTTTTATAGCATTTTCGATCCCAAAACCTTAAAAAAAGTCAGTGTAACTATATTTGCTATATATTTCCAACCCCCAATTCCATCCATTTCTGAAAATTACAGCAAAAGCAAATGATGTACATGTATATTCCCTTTAAATACGTTGACTAACCATCAGCTGTCGCTGGAGGGCGTGCTTCATTGTTATGCGGAACTACTTGTACTTGTACTTGTAGGGCAAGTTTATGTGAAAGTACAAAACCGCTATGAAAGGCTTGAGTTCACAAGTTCAACTAAGCACGAAGAGTCAAGTTCTAACAAAAACTTTGAATTGCCGGAAATAACTATGTTGTACCTTGAAAGTTGGAGTAGAAGAAGGAGGGATATGGACTATAAAAGGACCAAAACATGAGGAACTTTTGGAGGTTTCAGGCCACGTACGTATACGCGGTGCCCTGGTTTGAGTCGACTCCATCGTGGAGTTTTATAGAAAGCAAAACCTATCTTTTCCCCACGGATACCATGAACTGTCCATATGTCTGTGCTCGGTAAGTTATCCAAACAATTTCCTAATTATGCTACTTTCATACATCTCCGAAACCAAAACTTAAACTCAGGTGAAGGTAAGTTAATTTAATAAGTAATAACCATCACAAAAGTGTTTTAATTATTACACATGTACATGTGTGATTTACATACATGTACATAGCCCCACGCTACCTCCAAGTGTTTTTTTTTTCATTGTGGTAAACATTAAATTTAAGTCGGCCTGGCATGATAATATTTAAAAGGAATTGAGACCTCACACTTGACTTGTAAAATACCAAGGATATCACTATGAACATCCTATGGAATTCAATCAGTAAAGAGTTAGGGTTGGCATGGGCTATTCTTAGTTTTTTTGTTTTAGTATTGATTTACTTAGTAAGCCTTTCAACAAATGTGTAAACAATCATGAATCAATTTTCCTTGAACTCACTTTAAATAGAGTTAGTAGGCTCGGCATTTTCTTGGTTTTTTTAACAGATCAAGATCTTAGTAGGCCTTGCACCAAAATAATGTAAAAATTCATGAATCATTTTCCTTGAATTCAGTTTAAATATAGAGTTAGTAGGCTTGGCATATTCTTGTTTTTTCTTGTTTTTTTCACTGATGAAGTCTCAGTAAGCCTTTCACCAAATGTAAAAATTCATGAACATTGTTTTCTTGAAGTCAGAGCTTAGGGCAAAACCTACAACTCATCAAAACGCAGAACGCTGCAAGAAAACGGTAATATTTACAACAGATAAATATACTTTAAAAAAAATACCTTTGTCATTGATTCGAGCCCAGTGAATGGAGTATCCTGTATTGATAGACGAGGCACTGATCTTGCTGTCGGGTATCAGACCACTTGCCATGCCCATAGCACCATCGTTCTCAGAGTTACAATCTGAACACGAACCAAGAAACAAAAACTTGGATGAAAATCCGTCCTCATGGTCAAGGAATTTTATATTGAACAAAAGTTTTTAAAAGGCCATTTTAGTTATTATTAGTTTGCATGGTCTTACTTTTGCTTACGGTGAACTTCTGCGCAAAAAAATTAAAGTTTACAACTTTCTTTAGAAGAACTCTTCAACCGAAACTTTATAACAAGAATACCTTTAAAAAACCCTAATTGTTTCGACACAAATTCCATCAAATTTGTCCCTCGAAACGGAATACATGTATAAAAAAAGATTCCCAACAATTCGAGACAAATTAACATATATATTTTCACTGGAAAACTCACCACCAGTGGTCAGAGTTGTAACATCCGCCTCTGTTGACTGTGCACTAGTCTGTGACAAATATAAAAATCAAACAGTAACGTGCTTCCTAATATTTGTGGTTTCGACATCATACACATTCACAATGATGTGTTACCATGGTTACACATACTGCGTTCGGTCGATCATTTGCTCACAGACGCAGAATATAATTTTGTCGCTTTTCAATGAATTCTGCACCAACTGAGACGGTTGGCATCGATTAAACGTCATCGATCAATATTTTTATAGGTTGTTTTACTGACAGGCCCTTTCTCTTGTTGCCGTCTCATAGCAATAAATGTAACCAGTTAATAACCTTTGGTAATTTAATTTGATAAAGGTATATGAAGTCCTTGAGGTTTTGATTAATTTTTATAAAAATAAACATGGTTTTTAATCGGTTTTCAGTAAATTTTGCTTTTGCAAGGCTAGCCGGTCGATATTTCTTTAATGAATTCGTTGATTTATTGCTGTCTTTCCGGTAGTTCATACAATAACTGAAGATGTTTGTTTTAATGAGTGGCCTCGGCATGGCTATTAACTTTCGGCGAAAAAAAGTATTGGACTCCAAATTCTTCGTAATTTTATTCTGGAATTTTAAACAATTTCAGCGTTTAAAGAATGTGAGAATTTGTGAAATATTTGAAAATTTGTCTTTAAATTCTTCAGACTTCTAAAAATGGTGTTTTTTTTAAATAGTTTTAAACTTATTTAAAGCAAATGTTATGTCATTAAATTTGGGACATTTTAAAACAAAATGGGATTTTTTTTTAACAGTGAGAACTTGAAGAAAGGCTAGTAAAGTAATTTTAAAAAATAATCTCAATTAAGTGAAATAACTTTGATTTTGACCTACCGAATATTGGGCTGTAGTCTGAACGCCCAATCCATTCAAATCCTCCGCTTCGAAGTGTGTGAAATCCCCACTCAGCTGAAAATCTTTGGGAAAATCATTCCTGCCCGCGTCGGAAAGCTGACACACCCGGCTGACTCGGCCGAAATTGAAGGAGCGGCACGCCGCGTGCGTGAGACAGGAGACAGAACATCGGACGGGGGATTTGCTCGCAAACTCCCCGATGGTATGATGCAGCAACGCCCGCTGCTCCGTTGCGATAAACGTGCGCTCACGGTAAACGAACTGCATCGACTCCGCCATCCATGCCGACAACCAGATCCAAACAAAGATCCAAACCATCCACTCACTCAATATGTTCGTTTTCAGACTCATAATTCTTTCAAAAACTTTTCCCTTTCGTTTAAACAGAAAGTATCTGCATGGAAAAAGAATTGAAAGGGAGTGAAGTCCCCGCGCGTTTTGAAACTTTACTCCAGATTTATCTTTAATGTCGAGAAATATCAGTGAATATATATGACAGCAACCAGTAGTCAGATTTTTAATACTGTTCAACTGTCTGAGGAGATGGAGAGAGCCGTGCTTTATTAACTGAGTTGCTGGGTAGAACGTTATCGACGGCCGCGCAAATCAATTACCTACGTTGTTCATTATTATATTCATAAACCTTTTGTTATTAAACTTTCATATTACAGAAATCTCCAAGGTAACGGGGTCGGTTAAAATTCACGAGTCAGTCACCTCAAAGGCTGCGACGATCCGCGGGAAAAATACGATGACATTGTGGCCTTGATGGCCGAGTCTGTTAAATCGTCAGTCAAGACTTTTCCGGTATCTTCAGCAAGGGTGCCGCAAGGATATTTTCTAGTGGTGGGGGGGTGGAGCACATTATTTCCCAAAATCCTCGTGTTTTCTCTAGCATGTTCTCAATTTATCAATTATTCGAGGGTGCATGCACCCCAATATTGACACCCCTGCAGACGCCCTAGTTGTTAATTGTGCATTAAATTAACTGCAATATGACTTCGCCCCTCGTCTTCCTTTTTTTCCTCCCTCCTTTTCCCCTTTTTTTCGGCTTTTCCAGGGGGGGGGGGCGCCCACTTGCCCCCCCCCCCCCCACCCGCGACGCACACGATCTTCAGTTCATTAAAAAAGAAAGGAAAATTAAGGCATATTGGATCATTTGTATTTATCCCAAAAATACCTTTCGAATTATTATCAAAATAGTTTACTTTAAAGACTGGTACTAAACACCCCGTGAAATTATTCAGCAGAAATCAAGAAAAAGATCTAACCTATCTACTCACTCAAAATTTTATTTTCAGTCTCATAATTCTTTCAACAGCTTTTCCTTTTTTTTAACAGTTTTTTTTTAGATCTAAGCGGGATTGAGATCCCCTCGCGTTTTGAGATTTCATTCCAGAAACTTTTAATATCGAGAAATATCAGTGAATGTGACAGAAAATAGCAGTCCAGTGTCCTACCGCCGTCAGTTCCTACCGCTCAACTGTCTGAAGCACAATGGAGAGCTGTTCATTATTTATAACTAAATTGCTGGGTTGAACGTCTGTCAGCGGCCGCTCAGACCAGAAGAAAATTACTAAGCGTTGTTCATCATCCATCGACCGACTGACTGACAGTTTCTCATAAAACTCTGATCTTGAAGGAATCATGCGATTCACTGAATTTACACAAAAGATTCGCTCATCCAAATTTGATGTGAGGAGAACAATTAAAGTCCATACCTTCGATATTAAATTTTGTAGCTGTGTTCATGTATGTGCATAGACCTAGAGCTCTGACGGAACGCCTTATGAAAACATTATGAGCATTTACCCAGACAATTTATGATGTTATAAGATGGAATTTTGCGTCGGGGTGATATAAATCAAATTAGTTTTGCCCTTCACCGACGTTTAAACACTGTATACTCAGTGTGTAACCTCCCGAGTGAAAGCTGGAAAAAATCACACGACCTCCTGCTTTCTAGTGTCTTACCACTCGACCACCGAGCTAACGGGATCGGTTGGCTAGTTCGAATCAGATGTACATAGCAGCGGGTACCGATTTATGATGTTCTGATTGGATCGCTACGCTCACGTGATTCAGATGTTGACGGTTGTTGTGACAGGCTATAAACGCCCCCATTGTTCAAATTGGCATCAACCTCAGGCTGTAAACATTATTTTAAAAATATCAGAGGTAACGGGGTCAGCTTAGCTTTATGAGTCGCCTCAGGTCTGCTTCGATTCCACGACCAGTTCCCATGACATCGAGGAAAATAAATATCTTTCGGTTGTGAATGGGCGACCTTTCACTGTTTTGGGGAGTCATGTTGGCGTAGCGGTACTTTCCTCGCCTTCCACCGCTGTGACCCGGGTTCGAATCCCACCTGGGCCAATATGTGGATTGGGTTTTCAGCCCCTGCCTGATTCCGTGGGTTTTCCCCAAAATATTCTTCTAGGGTTTTCCTCCCACCTCTTAAACTGTAACTTCTTCTCATTGTCTTCTCTCCACAGGTTTCTTCATGCTTGCGAGCTACAGTGCCTAGGGCGCTTTTGAGGAATCCTTGGTTTCATTACCAGAAATGATTAATAATAATAATTAATAATAATAATAATTTTCGTATCAAGTCTGATAGATCGCCACTTGTAATATTCGGTATAGCTTCAGTTCATCTTTTAAAATAAATGAGAGGAGCTCGATAGACAGATTTTTTTCTCAGTGCACAATTTATACCACATGATTTAACACATTTAATAACGCAAATGTAAATTGAAGGTGCAATACTTAAAGGGAATGTACAACATTTGCTTTTGCTGCAATTTTCAGAAATAAATGGATTTGGAGGATTAGTATGTTATAGAAAATATGGTTAAACTGACTTAATTCACGTTTTGGGCTTGTAGATGCTGGAAAAACCCAGAAAACCTTTCATATTTTTGTAGTCTGGTTCCCTGACCCCACTTAAGATGAAATGGAGCAATTAATACACTTTGGGGAATTGTAAGGTCAGAGAATAAGTCTAGCAAGCTTGAACCCCTTCACAGGTGTGTAATCAATTGCAAAGAAAAGTCAGAGTAACTAAATATGAAAAAGTAGGAACAGTTTTTGAAAAAAGCCAGTTTTCTCCAACGCTGGTCGGCCGACCAGCGTTGGAAAAATATAGCTTTTCTTGAAAATGACAACACACCAGGAGCCACGGTTTTAAAGGATGCTTTAGACTGTCATTCCCTAACAATTCAGTAAGGTATTACGTGATAATTTGATCATTCCGTTGTTTGATGTTTGCAAATGTTGTATCTTCCCTTTAATATTTTCTGATGATTTTACCACGCTATGAAACCACCAACAGTTCAAAAAGATATCCTTCAAACATTCAAAAGATACATCATGTTGTTCTACTCTACCAGAAGGAAATATTAATTCTTTTTATTTTCGTTCAAAAGCTCAACTGCATTCCTATCACTTTTGCCAATAGGCTTCGAGACAAAATCTGAACTGACTTTGAGGATAAGAGATTCCACGCTAGAAAAACAAATCAGTGTGTGACATGCTAATTTTGCTTTAAAGCTGAAGTCATGTGGATTGATTATTTTTGTAAATCTCGCCCGTTCAGGGAAAACTGCTGTCTAATTTTTATATACAATACGAATTTTTAATTTAAAAGTTACGTGTTCGAAGTTCTTTCTTAAAGATGATGATAAATTATTTACAACCATACAGCTATACTAAATTAGTTTCTAGATTTTTTTCAAACCACAATTTTTACCAAACGAATTAATACAGCTAATTGTGCAAATTTAAATTGAAGTTGCAGTATTTTTCTGATAATTTTACCAATCTATGAAACCCCCATCAGTTTAAAAAGTATCCCTTCTTCAACCGCTAGAGACGTATTGCTTGATAGTCAGGCTACAACAGGCTCAATTCATCGGTTTTTACGATCCGACAAAATAGGCAAATTGCATGAATTTCTCGATTTTCTAATATTTACATATAGTAATAACTGAAAAACTTATTTAGAGTTTATGTTCTCCACTAGCAATCCGATTATGAATCAAACTCATTATTAAAAGCACCTCCTGTGCTGGTGACCTGCAAAATTTTACCGACAATTGTGATTGTTAAACTGTACTGTATCATGTGAAAACTCACATACCGTTGAATGCGATTTTCAAGTTCTCGAAATCTAGTTTTGAAGTGAAATGCTTGTTTCGCCGGTTCGTAAAAACACCGACAAATAGTTTCCAGTTCGCCAGTATCCTCGGTGTACTAGCCAGCCCTTCAGATTTCACAGTCCAACTACTGCGCAGACTACTTCAGCGAGCATTGCCACATCATGACTGTACTGAATTGTGTCCGGAAACTGGACACGATCTCCGCTCGCTATCTATTGTACGTTTTTTTTTCACAACTTTTACACTAACGTTTTGTAACCAATTTTCGATCAGCATAGTCTGTGTACATTTGTGATAACAAAATCACGTTTGTTTTGTTATGTTAACCTATTACTCCCTATAAATATAGTGCCCCGTTCTAAAGTACACAGCGGGCTCTTGGCAACTTAGCTTGTCTTGGCCTGATTCCATCCTCTATATAGTATCCAAGCATGATCCAAGCATCGTGGACAAAACGTACTCAAAGGCCCCTTAGTATAATGATAATTAAACTACATGTACAAGAAGCGCAGAAATCGCATGTATTATATCCCAATTTGCTTTCAATAAAGTTTCAAAATGTGCTAGAAGTAGAATAGTGCAAAGCAAACTGATTCCTATAATTGGCATCTCGGACACAATTGCTGGCTGCTTGAGCCAAGACTAGCTCTGCAAACACAATATCATGGTGGGTGTCTCACGTGTACACCTAGTATGATAACACGTGCCAACGTATGAGTGAAATTGCGCAGTCACGATCACCACTAGTTACGTAACATAAGGGCACACACATTGCATGTTGTACACTGTATGTATGAATACGTGATGACTTGCATGTGGTACCACTACTTGTCTTTACAGTACGACGTATTGAACCATGGAGCTATGATTATGATTGAACCAACCATGAATCAACTATTGAACTATAGACATAATTGCAGTTAACAGTCATAAACTCATCAAAGTAGAGACCATTTATCGCCTTTAATTCTGCCTTGTGTTGTTCTTTATCTGGGTTGTATATACTACATGGATGTTCTTCAGTGATTCATCAGGATCAAATGAAACCATATTTCATCATCTCAACACGAAGGTAAGTGACTTGTTTTCGTGTTTTCGGACTTGGTTTTCAATGTCGCCGGCCTGTGGAAAGGCATTGTACAAGAAAAGTGCAGCATTTGCCCATGTCCTTGCTCTCTTGCTGTACACATGAACATGTAAGTACATGTAATACCAGCAATACTGCAATAGTTGGGCCCTCAAGCTCTATGATGATAATGATTGAAATGAGATTTGCTACCAGCAGGAAGTGGTAACTTAAGTCTGTATTATAGCCTTTGTATTAAAAAAAATAATTTGTTGATTTAGGGACTAAATGGAAAGAAACAGTCCGACCCGGCCCTGTGCTCAATGCAGCTATGGAGGAATATAGACAAATTAATGTCCTCGTCGATTGCATCATGGACTGGAGCCTTTTATAAATAATAATAATGATAATAACAACTTCTTGGATAGCACCAAATCTGTCAAAATTGACGCTCAAGGCGCTTTACAGCAATATAAATGAACCATGGAGCTGTAAAAAAAAAACCGGAGCTATAAGTAGCTCTAGATTGCAGTATTGGTTCGTGGCCGTGAATTGAATGGGATGGTACCAGACTATTTTATGATGCTAGTGCATGCCAAGCCTCACTTTCTTATGTGGCTTAAACCGATAGAGTATGTTTAATCAAAGATTTTATATTATAGGCTTGCTTAGTTAATGCAATTCCGTTTCTCTTTCACAGTTGACAACCACATGCAGTTTACCGAGCAGAACTACATAATACAGCATGTCATCTACCAAAGCCACAGCCGCAGCCCTACCCATCGATCGTGGCTGGGCGTGGTTTGTTCTCATCGGCGTACATGTTAGCTTCGTGCTTAGCAATGGCTACCTGACGGCGCTGGGCGTATTCTACATTGAGTGGAAAGACTACTTCCAAACGGACGCCACAGCCACTAGTTGGCTACTTAGCTTACCCTTGCTAGTTGCTAGCCCGCTGAGTAAGTTCTTTTTAATGAAATTTGTTATAAATCCCAAAAGCAAAATAATAATAATTGGAAATCACATGTAGGCCTATCTCACATTTACATGTATTCTTGGAAGTGAGACAAAGATGAAACACGGCTGAAGATGTTAATATTGTCAATGTTGCTTTTCGAGAGGTTTTTACATGTACATATGTATATCAAAATGGTACCGTTTTATCGACAATATTATTTTGATACAATTTTTAGAGGTATGTTGAAAAGGCTTGTGGCCTGTTTTTCAAGATCATGGAAAGAGCTCGATATTAACATGAGCCTGCATGATGCACACCATTCTATTGTTTTAGCTCATGATTATGGCTTTATTTGGCAATAACACAGTCATTGTTTCGTAATGAGCACCACTATACAGTTTCAAGGAAAACGATACACATTATTTTCATAAGTGCATAGCCAGACGTGTATGTAACGCAATATTAAACACAGTTGTGTGTAGGAACAATATGCATACATCAAAAAAAAATCCATCTTATAATAATATGCATACATGTACTAACCTTACAAAGTAATTCTAACAAATTCTTTTGGCAGGTTTTTTCGTTGGTATCCTGTCGTCGTCCGTAGGCATACGATGGATTGCCATGACGGGGGCGGCCGTGAACGGGCTTGCTACTATTCTCGGCTCGCGTACCACTGATATTCGGCAACTGTACGTCTGCACAGCTTTGTCTGGTAAGCCTATGGTGATTTGGCAATCATAGTCAGACGATACCCAATTTGGTAACCTTTACGTAAATCGACCGCTTAAGTAATTTCTTCAACTGTTGCAATGTGTAGACATACGTCATTAACCTTCGATGCACGTCTGTTTAAACCCCCAAGATTGAGTCGTTAGAGCGCCCTCTTTCGTTCGTTCAAGAAAAAGGCTTATATATAACACCAATTTTTATTCTTTCAGGTGTTGGTGCAATCATGATGATATCTCCCGGATCGATTGTTATTTCCCATTACTTTAAGAAACGCTTTGCATTGGCCAGTGGAATATCCGTCGTTGGGGTCAGTGTCGGGCAGATGTTGTTTCCTCCTTTAATACGCGTTCTGGTGACAATGTACGGATGGAGGGGCGCCATGTTTGTCATCGGAGCTCTTCAAATGAATGGAGTTGCTGCTTGCGCCCTCTTCCGGCCACTGAAGACCAGCGTGGAGGAAGACAAACCACAGGGTGAGAGGTCAGGGAACAGTAGTCCTATGCTGAGTAGTGGTAACGAGGATTGTGAGGAGGAAGCAGAGAACTCATCTACCGAAACTCAGCCAGCTAAATCTCGTAGATGCTCCGGATACTTGAAGGTCTTCACCAACCTGCCAGCCATGCTGAATCTTCTGTCCTGTTGCTTCTACGCAACGGCAGCCATTGTCAACATCACTCACCTGCCCGCTCGCTCCAAAGAGGCGGGCTGGTCTGACGACCAGAGTGCCATGCTACTGCTTGTCTACGCTGTCTTTTCCGTGGTCACCAGACTAAGTAACGGTTGGTTCGTGGACCGAGGTTACGTCGGGCCAATTCAGCTTCAGCTAGGCGCGATTGCCGGTGCTACCCTGGCCACATTCCTCAATCCCGTATCGGATAGCTACGCCTATTTAGTCGTGAACGCCATACTGACGGGGTCCTGTATTGGTATGAGTGCACCTCTTTACATCGTCAACATGAGGCTCATGGTGGGCGCGTCGGAGCTACCGGCAGCACTGAGCTTGATTTGGGGCGTTGTGTTTTTCTTCAATGCATCCGGAACGGTCATTGCAGGTACATGTATTACATTATTTTAGAAACTTATTAGCTACCACAATAAAAAGACATAACAGGTGGTATCATGCTCAAGTGCGGGTTGTATGCGTTCTGTGTGTGCATGTTGGCAAGCCGAATTCAAAATATGGTATTGATCAAGGGAGCATGTCATTAATAGCTTCTAAATTCCGACATAGACCACTACAGGTTTTACCTTTCCTTTTAGTATTCAATTCATTGATGTCATAGATGTTATTTAAAACCTTCCAAAAGTCAACTCACGGTGATAAGACGAGTTCCCTCACTAGTTGTAATCGGGCAAACTTGATTGGCCTGCCACAAATCTTGAATTGTGACATTCAATATTTTTCTCTCCCTTTTTTGGGGGGAACTGCAGGTAAGATCTTTGACCTGACTGGGAACTACGTGGCTCCTTTCCTGACTGCTGGCGCCATCTTTCTTATTTGTTTCCTCCTGTTGGTGACTGTGGCAGTAGTGAAGAGGAGACGGGACAAGGATCGACGCCGTCTGGAGAGAGCAGTTTGAACCACTCATCTCCACCCTAATCAAGTGAACGACAGTCGGATAAAGATTATCCACCCATTTATTCCGTAATGAAGGTTGTACGCCCTCTCGCGGCCGTCATGTTTGAGGCAACTCTACTGCCAAAATGTAGTCACAAGTCATGACGTTACAGCTCACCTTTACTGGATAATCACTAACTTCTTAATTTTGATATATGGAAGAATCGGCAAACCAGCGGCTTATTTTATAGTTAGACATGGTTAAGCGCCCTCAAGAGCAAAAACACAGGTAACCAGAACTTCTTATACGTGTTTGAACTTATAGCAAATATGAAGAACGTAAAATCAAGGAATTCGCCCTGTTTTTATCTGACATCCCGAAGCAGGCGTCTGACTTTGTAATTTATTTAAGCTCATGTGTTATGAAATCGTGGTAACCTTGTTCTCTACGCCAACTCAAGAACAGATGAACTCTTGGTGTCGCCCTTAAAGTATCAGGACCGCCTTTTGTGGCATTAAAACTCAGTTTTGCCTTAATTTATTGTATGTATTTTTAAGTCTAACACTTCCAGCCATATCCGTAGATATTTTGGTGGTTTTTTTTTACCATTATTGTCTTGAATAGGGGTATTTTGATACAATTTGATACAAATAAAGCGTCACTTGCTAAGACCACATAGGTGCCGACGGTGATCGATCACTGACCCTATAACGAGAAACTTTCAACAAATACAACACCTGTCGTTGTTAAGACAATTACTCAAGAAATATCTGTTGTATACGACATTTAAGTGGTAAATTTTGATAGCAAACTTGGCTGCGTCACGTGGCTTGTAATGATTATGTTATACCCAAAGATAAAGTTCTATGTCTATGAGATATAGTTCTATATCTATGAGATATAGTTCTATATCTATGAGATATAGTTCTATATCTATGAGATATAGTTCTATATCTATGAGATATAGTTCTGTATCTATGAGATATAGTTCTATATCTATGAGATATAGTTCTATATCTATGAGATATAGTTCTATATCTATGAGATATAGTTCTATATCTATGAGATATAGTTCTATATCTATGAGATATAGTTCTATATCTATGAGATATAGTTCTGTATCTATGAGATATAGTTCTATATCTATGAGATATAGTTCTATATCTATGGTTATACCATGCGCGAATGTCCTGTGGCTACGATGAGCGTTCGCGCAGCACCTTGCTGACAGTTTTGAGAGCAAAATGTGGTGTCTAGGTAGATTATTAGAAGTGGATAAAGGCGTGAAAACTATCCTCGTTGACCTAGTGTTTTAATTTTTCCAGCCGCGGCAGTGCAGCTTTCTCGAAAGATCTTTAAAACTAAACGTGTCAAGAGCCCACATTCGGCAACTGTTAGATTAGATTAAGTACCGATGGCATTCTACGTTTGTAAACATGTACAAAAGTACTGATTCGCGTTCCCAAGCGATGCATTGCGCCCTCTTGCGACGTTTTCAATTAATACCGGTACCGGAAACCGGTTTGTAGCGCTCGATGTACCGAGTCATATGCCCAGATAGCAAAACAAACTCCAAAGTTCACTTGCTTCTTTTCCGTCGCTGGATTGCAAACCGCGCTTGTAGAAAATACGACATGTTAACCAATGACCCAATAGAAAACAGAATGGGAACGGCCGCATGTAAATGACAATTGCATTTGAGCGTTAATTACTGGAAAAGTGTTGTGGAATAGTGTCAGTGGAAATATTCCCGTAAACAGGACGGTGCCATCAACGCTTTGTCCGAATTTCGTGAGAGATGCCCCCTGTCTACGATCGTGGTTGGGCCTGGGTCGTGCTGGTGGGCGCCCACATCGGTGTAATGCTAACCAACGGTTATATGACAACGCTGGGTGTGTTCTACAACGATTGGAAAGATTACTTCGATGCTAGTGCTACTGCCACCAGTTGGTTGCTCAGTTTGCCCTGGTTGGTTGCATGCCCGATCAGTGAGTATTGGAGTAATACTAAGCAAGCTTTGCTATGGTGGTCCAAGATTTATTTGTGAAAGCATATAATTTATAAATTGCAGGGTTTCGTCGAGCACCGCCGTTGCCTAGTGGTTAGGCATGCTGGCTAATGATCGGAAGTCTCGAGTTCGGTTTCTTGCTCTGCCCATTCAGATTATGCTCTTTTTTCAACAATTTAAAGTTGTATCTTAAAAACGTTATTTTTCAGTCGGATACAACTTGTATTAAAGCAGCAATTTCCTTTTTCTTTTCTGATCCGAGGCTCTGGAGGAATTTTTTTTAAAGGGAAATAAAGTCCGAAATCCGTACCAAGTTGAAAAATACCGAATGTGGTTGTGTCAAATTGAGGCTCTGAGGCAGAGAACGATATCGATATCGCAAAAGAAAGATTTGCATTTGAAACGCAAAAGTTGTTAGTTATTACAACCCATGTACTATTCACAGGCAGTCGAAATGTTCAACTCAAGGGCACGGTCGATTAAGCCCGGTTCATACTTCACGCGAAAGCGAAAGCGAAGCGAAATTCGTGACGCCAACAATACATTCGAAGCGCGTCCACCATTGTTGACGACATGCATTTCGCTTCGCACAAGCTTTCGCATGAAGTATGAGCCGGGCCTAACGCCACTCGACCGTGCACTTGAGTTGAACATGCTGGTACTCCCCCCGGGCCGCGATATTTTTTTTTACACAACTAATAATAATAATAATAATGTACTTCTAAAAGTACCAGTTTATTTTATCCTGTCGAATTCTACCTTTGTAAAGTGGGGAAATACTCGGACCATATTCAATTTCAAAGGAGGTCGACAGGCAAACATTGACAATGAGGGCCTGCCGTGTGCCTTTTGTACTTTTAAACCAACGCAACGATGTGGCAAGTACATAGTAGCCTAGTAGGCATATCGATCAATTTCAATTCAACCGACATGCATGGTTGACGATAATGCACATGCATCATGAAAAGTGGGTTGGGGTAGCGGCAACTTCGTCCCCAGGGCTTACTTTATATCCAACCTCGTTTCCAACAGTGAGCCCTCGTATGGGAACTTGCTTTCTGTATCCTGATTCGATACCGCAATTAGCAAGAAATTGAATTATATCGTGTACTTGGTGTTGTTATTTCCAACGTGTATAACGTGTTTTCACGTTCATTGTTCAAAAATAATCCTCTCCAATTTGCTCATATTGATATGAAATGTGATACTACATATTGACTGAATAAGATTGTAACATTTTAACTTTGAAAAAAAATCGTGTTTTCCTACTCACGCCGCGACGCCCCAGACACCACATATAAAAACAAACGTTGAACGGTAACGTACAGGCAGGAACCAGACTATTCCTCATTTGCATACATATCCACAATTTTTGGATATGCAAATAATCCAATACCAAGGTGAGAGAGCGGGTAGTGGTGGGAGCGTACTCGACACCCTGGGAACGAGGTTGGGGGTAGCGGTACTTTCCTCGCCTTCCTCCGTGTGATCCGGGTTAGAATCCCGCCTAGGTCAATATGTGGATTGGGCTTTCAGTCCCTACCTGATTCCGTGGGTTTTCCATAAAATTTCATTCTGGGGTTTTCCTCCCATCACTGACACTGTAATATCTTCTCATTGTCTTCTCTCTACATGTTTCTTCAGGCTTGCAAGCTACAGTGCCTTGGTTTCATAACCAGAAATGAATTTTAATATTAATATTAATTCTGTTTGCTCCGTGAGGTTTCTCACAAAATTAAACACAGGAAAAATTGTGTTAATTAAACATAATAATTTAAACACATAATTTAACACACCATACTGGAATGTGTATCCTTGTGGAGTCATTTCTTTGTTCTCGTGTACTAAAGTTTTCGAGTTTGAAAGTGTACATGTACTTTCAAAATGCTCCCATTTTAACCAGAATTAATTTCCTGGGCTGAAATTCGGACTTAATACCTCTTACATAAAATATTTCAATTTGCACGAATCAACACACCTTGGAAATTCCTAGTTTTTGAGTAAAATCCATAAATCTATTTCGTGATAACCTTGTGGTATATTCACCTGTAGAAATTGCCCTGTGGAGACGTATACAATCTTTTGTTCCCTATTGAACACATGTCTCCACAGGGTACCATGTACCAGATCAATTTAACATGAACTAACACTTGTCCAAAACAATGTTTATGCCTGTTAGCTCTATATTTATTATTTACTAGCTGAAATAATTGGCAGACCTTATAAAGTTCAACCATTTTCATGCATTTTCAGGTTTCTTCGTTGGTATCCTTGCTTCGCGGGTCGGCGTACGATGGGTGTCAATGGCTGGAGCAGTAGTCATGGCACTGGCAACCATATCTGGTTCATTTACAACAGACATCAGGCAACTGTATGTTTGCAATGCCGTGGCTGGTGAGTTGATAAATTGATAGAGTAGGGACGTACCGCGCCAGCCGTAATGGCCATAATTAGTATACTAGCGGACATGGAAACGGAAGCTGTCTTCTTTCCGGTTTTACTGCAGTAGAAACACATCAAAGTCACCATGGAGCTAGCTCCATGAAGTCACGTGGATCCAAACATGGTTACTGCCAAGCAAACTTTTTTGAGCAATTAAATCTCTGTGCTTGGACTTGATAGACCACTTGCACTATGTCTTTTAAAGTTCAAATCATCGAATCATTCTCAACAAATGTGCCTATTACAGTTTCGTATGTAAAAAAAAAAGTTTGAAAAGGTAGGACTATAGACTCGTATTTCTTTTGTGATGCCCAAACAAAAACACTTAGCTGACTTACTATTAAAGACCCGTTTCGGTGAATTTTGGTAATGATGTTCTGTTTTCACATTTTGTTTTAGGTATTGGTGCAGTGACAGTGGTTTCTCCGGGCGCAATTATTATCGCTCAGTACTTCAAAAAACGCTACGTCTTTGCCAATGGCATCGCCACCCTCGGTTTAAACATCGCCCAAGTCATCTTCCCGCCGCTAATTCGCCTGCTGGTCTCCGCGTACGGCTGGAGGGGCGCCATGTTCATTATTGGAGTTTTACAACTGAACGGGGTGGCTGCTTGCGCCCTCTTCCGGCCGCTCAAGACCAACCAGGACCGACTTCCATCCCGATCCCGCTCAAGTCTGGAGTCTGAAGAGCTGCATGACGTCACCACGGAAAGTGAAGAGCAAGGAAGATGTTCAAACCATACCTTGAAAGAGCAAGGAGAGACAATACGGAAGATGAAGATGTTTCTGAGTATTTTTACCAACCTGCAAGCGATGATGATCGTGATAGCCGGTTGTCTCCAATCCACAGGTTTGGTCATGAATCTTACACATCTCCCAGCCCGAGCCAAGGAAGCTGGCTGGTCCAACACCCAAGGAGCCATGCTGATCTTAGCGTTTGGTATCCCCGCGGCAATCACTCGATCAGCGCACGGCTGGTTCGTCGGCAAAGCCTACATCGATGCCTTCAACCTTCAACTCTTTGTCCTACTTGGCACCTCCCTGACCACTTTTCTGAACCCCGTATCAGACAGTTTTATCTTCTTGGTGTGCTACGCTGTTGTTTTGGGCGGATTTCTTGGTGTCGGGGTACCACTTTTAATAGCAAACATAAAGACGGTGGTCAGTGGCCCTCAAGTACCTGCGGCTCTGAGCTTGATGTGGGCTACGTTTTATTTCGGTGGAATTGGTTCAATTCTGGCAGGTAAGGTTGACTTCTTAGAATTATTTTCTTGAGAACGACTGATCAGAATTTCCTCAAGTAGGCTATACCCCTGTGTTTAGTTGTCTTTCGATGAGGCCACTGTCAATAATTTCCTTTCGATGTTTGAAAAGTCGGCATTATTTTCAAGAAGTTTTATACTTAGTAACTTTCTTGTCGCTCTGTTTTAATTCCAGGCCAAATCTTCGATGCCACAGGAAACTACGTGGCGCCATTTTTGACGGATGGTTCCTTGTTTCTGGCGTCTTTCCTGTTGTTTGCCGTGGTCACAGTTTTGAAGAGAAGACAGGGCACCAGACATAATAAACTGTAGCCAACAAAGACTGTCCTGCACGGGTATAAATATAATGATATCAGGCGATTCCGCACTTCAAAGAATTTTTTAAAATGTAAAATTTTCGGATATTGTCCAATCACATCGCTATTTTTGTTTATACAGAAAACTTCAATTCATTACCTTGCCTCGGCGCGGTCCGCGCCAGCGTCGGCTCCTAGGCTCCGTTTCAGAAAGTTACTTTGTTAACTTTTGGACTGAAGTTAATACAGTAAAATGTTTGCCAAGAAAAATCACTTGGTAATTGAGCATCGTTTTTTGTCTTTGAGTGTCTGAGGGATCATTCTCGAAAAGAGTTGTACGTAAGTAGCGTCATTAAAGTTAGCGCCCACTCAAATTGAAGTGCGCCACCACGAATGGAAGTTTACGAATGAGGTCGCTCGCCAGATTGCTGATTGAGGGCGCTGTTTTCAAACAGAAGAAAAGAAATGTGTTTTGGAGCATTTGGAGCAAACAAGTAAGTTCCATAAGTTCTAAAGAAATAAAATCATGTCTGAATAAGTTTTTTATGTGATGCATAACACTTTGAAAAAGTAGGGCATGATGGTTTGCACTGTTCTGTATAATACTTACATAGGCCATAATAATTGAAGTAAAAAATCCCCGAAAATTCGGTTCGGGAAAAGTGAAACGAAAGTGTTCTGCCATGTCTGCTTAGCTTGGCCAAGTTAAACATCAGTTTTGGACTGTCTAACATAACAACTTGAACTTTGCACTTGTCAAAATACTAGCTTGAAAAACACATGTAATATCAAGCTCACTGCCACACTAGGCTCATGACATGGGGAGATTCGCCAGAAGATTCTCCCCATATCATGAGTTTAGTGAGCTGGATATTTCAGCTAATTTCAAAATGACTTTTCAACCTAACTAAACTTAGCACAACGTACAGCAGACTTCCCTTATTAAATATAAATGATAAAAAAATAAATTGCATCAGGAGATTGCAAGTTTTCTTGTGTACCCAAATTAAGTGTAACAAAGCTCACTGCGCTTCAAATAACTTTCAAATAACGCTTCAAATTACATTCAGCGTTTCAGAATCTCGCCCTGAGGATGTTCTCATCAGGATCACCTAGCAACGCTCCAGTTGAGTGCAAGACCCTCCAGCACTACCTGATCAACAGCACCTGTAAGAGGGCGCCCTCCATTGAGCCCACCACAATGGAGAATGATATTCTATCCATTACAGACAGCAGTCATCACTGTGCCTCGGTACAGAGCGAATTCAGCACCAAACTACTGGCTAACCTGAACTCGGGAATGCCATCTGATTGGGAACTGAACAAGAGGAAGGAAAGGTACCAGACTGGCCTGAATCCGAGTTTGAGGGAGTTTTGCGGCCATACAACTTGCAGAGTAAGATTAGAAGAAAAAACTTCCTCTTGACAAAGACTCCGACTTTTATAGTTTATTTTTCGGTATATTTTATGAGTTTTACATTTCCCTAAGTTTCTATTTTGATTTTAAGACAAGGAGTAAAATGACCTATGATGTTGAGGGTGTTGACTTTTGGGTGTCATCATTTTGGGGGTGTCACCTAAAGGGTGTGGCCATCGGGTGTGACATCAAGGTGAGGCTGCCCTCCATAAACCAGTAGCTTAAACAACCCTACCCAACCCTTTTACCAACAGGACACATGCCTGTTTGAGACTTACCAGACATCTCGAGAACCCACACCTGACAGAGACGCTGGAAACGGTGAGGACGGCAAACCTCCAAGTCTCTCCTACCTACCAGAAAGGCAGCATGAGTATCGATGGGACGGTCCACCAGTGAACACCCAGGGTGACTTACAAAGGGACCTAGACACGCAACAGACTGAACCAGATGATGTACTGAGTGGAATAGGTATGGATAGCCGAGGATCAGGGCGTTAGGCAAGCCCATCACAAAATTTACCACAAGTCAAAATTCCGTAACTTGAAAAGAATATGACTGATTTGAATTATTCTTGTACTAAAAGAAAGCTTATTAATTGAGCTTTAATATCCTAGAATTTGAAAGTGCTGCATGCAGAAATTCATTAATAAAATGGTCCTGAAATTTGGGTTTCTTCTTTTTTTTACTCACTCTGTATTGAAAGTTTAATATGAGGATTGTTGTATGATAACCCAATGTTCCTTTGAGAATCCTTATGTTTCTCGTTAATGTTTATGTCTGTGATATTTCACATCCGTTCAGATTACAGCTTGAGCCAGTTAGTCGAGGCAGAGATTGAAGCCTTCAGAGTCAACCTTCACAACCTCATATCCGACCACCATCAGCAGCACAGGCAGTTGCTTTCCCCTGGGAATGAGGCAGTCACTGAACAGGTAAAGTTCGAGCCTTGTGTACTGAAAGAGTCACTTCAGTCGTTCCAATACAGACTAATCTGGCAACGGCTGTTTTCTGCAGTAGCACCAGGCTCGGGTGAGTTGTACTCTATGCATGCACTCCGGGCTCCTTCAATCACTAGGGTTACCATAATGAGCACACACCTTGTCTCTAAGAACGCGTGCGGCGTGCCCGCAAATGTGGTGCCACCTCAAAATGGCTTCTAATTTTGTTAACTGGGTTAGTCTATCTGGGCAAAACACAGATGGATAACACCTGGTTTTGCACAGACAAATGCATGTTTTTCTATTCTATAGAAAACTGACAATCAAGAGTTAAGCATTTCTACATTTTAGCAGTAATTTTATCTACATTTCAGAGAGCAGTTTATGATCAACCAGCCGGCAACGGGGACGCAAACTATGCATGGTCTCCTATGAACTCCTCTGAGAAACCACAAATGTGAGTGTCTTTAACACCCCCCCCCCCCCCCCCCCCCGATACCCCCCTCCCGGAAACCCCCTCCCAGATACGCCCCCTCCCAGATACCCCCCTCCCGGATTCCCCCTCCCAGATACCCCCCCATACCCCCTCCCAGATACCCCATTTCCAGATACCCCATTTCCAGATACCCCCTTCCAGATACCCCCTTCCAGATACCCCCTTCCAGATACCCCCTCCCAGATACCCCCTCCCAGATACCCTCCCCCAGATACTCCCCTCCCAGATACCCCCCTCCCAGATACCCCCTCCCAGATTCCCCCACCCCCTCCCACCCACTCAACCCTTGTAACGCATTACACTTACTTACTGAACCAGGAATCTGTTACTTAAATGTTGCCCAACTTATTGTTCATTTGTCACATTAAGCCTTGCAGTGCACTTGCTAACCTAAATACGCTTTCAAAAGAAATTGTCATCAACAATAATCTTTACAAAAAAGAACATCACAGAAGAAAAATGTCTTTCAAAATGTATGAGAAGTGTCATATGACAAGAATCTAATTATTGGATATGATATCCACAGATTTGGGCCTTCCACTTATAAAATTATGTGCTCTTTCGCTCTGTTATGTGCTTCCCTCATCAGACCGTGACAGCAGATAACTGAACGAAATACTTCAGTAATGACTCATGCGTGTAAAAATGTGCAGCGTGTATTTATCTACTAATAAGATCTGACGGTTGGAGTGCATTAAATCATAATGAACAGCATAAAATGTCATACAAAGATTGCCAGAGACGTCTACAATATGACTGATACGGAAATATTTATGAAAAGTCCCCTAGGCAGGTTCAGAAATGCTTTCTATAAATAACCTGGTTTATCTTTACGCTGCCATTATCCAATTGTGTGTTGAAAATCTTGTCTTTGTTCAGAGTGGATTTTATGTTTGTAAAGTTGTTGAACTGTTTGTAACAAGAGCGTTTGTTGAGTGACGCACTCAATAGTTTGTTTATTTTGGAAGAGAATGGCATTGTTAAAAGACCCCATTTATACGCAAGATTGATTGAAAAGTAAACAAAAACATCTACAGGTGCTTTGGAACAAATCCTTTGCCAGCTGTTAATTTTTAACAGAATTAGAAAAATAAGAAAACCAGTGTCTGAAAAAAATGCTATCAATTTTTTTTGCACCTGTTGACTGTGTGGAATAACATCATAATTTTATTTTATTAACGTCATAATCATTTTTTTTCTTCAAAAACACCTTAAACTCTCCATACAAGCTAACATCACTCCGCAAGTAAATCATAAAATGCAACAACAAAACAATTGATCGACGCATTTCAAATCCTTTTCATAAGTGCTAAAGAATCCTGAAGTTTATTTTAAAGTTCCCATTCTTCCCTTTTCTGATCTTGTTTCTTATTTCTCAGGGAGGAATCTTCTAGTTCCAGCTACAGCATGCAAGATGAGGAAACGATTCAACTCTATCATCCGAACAACAGGTGGGTATAATAACAAAATCATGTCAAGAATCAATCAATCCATTAATGAAGCAATAGATTCTTTGCATTGCAGCCATCTTGGAGGTGTGTGTTTTTGTTCCAGAGGAGACCTCTTGTGTGTTCATTGTGAATGAATTAAAATAACGAAAAAAATACCACAAAGATGGCCACTGAATACAAATGATCTATAATGAAATGCAAAAAATAATCAAATTGAATTTGGTATAAGTTAAAAATGTGTATTTGTTTAGCATGACGAGCAAAATAAACTGTTTTAATTTTTTTTCTCCTAAGGTGAAGGGGGGGGGGGGCTTCAGGGGTTATGAATGGATACCAATAAGAGCAACTTGATATGTAATTGGTCATATAATCTGGATATTTTCTTTTCTTTTCCTTTTCCAAAGTCTTGAAGATGAAGTTAACAGTGCGCTACTCCAACTACTGACTTCTGCCAGTGCAGTTAGCCACGCCCTCAGAAGACATGAATATTCAACGTGACCTGATTCTAGTTTCAAACATGGACCTTTGGGTTATGAATATGCAAAAAAAATTTAAATATTGATAAGAAGTTGTTGAGAGGATTGTTACCAAGAATATGCATGTTGTAAAAATCCGTCCCTTTAATATCACAAGTATTTGCCGATAAATATAAACCATGTTATGTACAACTGTTCACGTCATCCATGTTCATTCTGAAATTTAAATAAATGTTAAGTGTAAAACAAAAACACATTTTGCTGTTTGTCGTCAACTCTTTTATTGTCACTTCATTTAAATTTAAAATGATCCTTAGTACTCTTTTATGATTTGTTTTTCTAGACTTTGTGTAAAAGATGATTTTAGTTGCCTGTTTTGCAATGGTGACCTTATATTGACCTCTCCCCTTTTTATTTCTGTCCTAATAATTGTTTTTGACTTGAAAGTTTTCCCCATGAATAAACAAAATTCCACGATGCTGTCATCAAATTCTCAATTATTAATGTTCTCAGAGCCAGAAAACTCATAATTTTACGATCATTGCCGACGTGCTGGCTAAATAAAGAGCCATTTGTTCATTTCCCTGTGTTGTGGCCTTGAATGTATTAAGCCAAAATTACGAGCGTCGCTCAAATTCCTGGAAACTCGCGCAGCACAGGGAATTTAACAGCAACAATAAAAGGCAATTTCTAATAAATTTGGGTGTTTTTTTTTTAATAATCTTGACAAGAGCATCGGCTCGCGGTTTAAGTAGGTCGACCCAATCAGCAAAAAGTTAAGCCCCAGGTCATAAAGTTGCCAGATTGTGATGGGCAACATTTCTAGGATGGCACACGATTAAACAACTGACAGTTAATAGAGAAGAAAGTTTTAGTGAAGGCGTGGGAAACCATTCATTACTCGCCACATAATTGTACGACAAAGTCATGTACTGTACATGTAATGTACAATGTACATGTACTTGCAAGATATACAGGGGATGTGGCCGATCCATTCAGCCCCGCCCAATGAAGTTTTGACCAATCACAACCAATTATGATCAAGCGGATCATAAAAATACGTGACCTATATAACGCGCGCGTCTGAAACCAGTAGAGGCGCAGACGCACGTGATGTTGCCCACGTGCGCAGTGCCCACGTGGAGAGTGGGAGGGGCGTAATGAATCGGTACTACTTTTTCGTGGAGTATAGTAATAATACAGAAAAGCATCCAAAGCATCCGGCAATGCAACCCGAATCCATAATCGGGGGAGGGGGGTGGGGGAATGGACGAATGAATGTATAATAATGGGGAAGTAAATGTCAATGCTTCTTATCACCCTGGCTCCTTGCCCCTCCCCCTAAATAAGTTTGAAAAGAAAAAAATACCAGCAAAACAAGACAGAGAACAAGGCAACAAGCTTCCTCTCTGGCCGGCGATGTGTCAAAATGACGTCACTAAACATTTCCTTAACACGCCCTCATCCTCGATCCGCCTCCGAAAGAGGAAGTCTCTTTTGCTTCTGTTTGCGAGCGAGCATAGTGTAGGACTTTAATTAAATGATATTAAATATCGCTTTTTCCAAGTTCCGTGAAACGTTCGTGAATGTATTACCTTTTTAATTTTATAGATGCTCCGCATACATGTACCAAAACAACTTTGACGAAAGGTCACTTTCTCAACAATTTCTAAGAAAAGTATTTATAGAATGTTTTAAATGTTTCCTCATTATGTCCTCACAATGCCTGATTTTAGAATTGGAATTTTAGAAAATGAAAGAGCAGCATTTTGTTACATTTATTTAACACTAAGCCAACAATATTTCAACTGCTTCAACTTGCAATAAAATTTAAAGATGTGTTTCTCTACTCTGCTCCTTAAACACGCTTCAAACTTTTTTCTTTTCGCTTTTTGTCAGGGAACTTCGAAATCATTTGATGATCTAATTATTGTTTAGCTCTGTATCTCAGCTTGTGTATTTCTTTTCATTTTTCAAACAAAAAATGCATACGTTTTGGTGAATTTCATCATCTAAAAATATAAATGAGCATATTTCGGAAGTGAACTAGAATGACTACATACATAATAAAGAAATCGACTGGCTAGTTAAATAGATTATCTCTTGTCCAATCAGCGCGGGTTTTTGATTGCCTCAGTCACTGACGTCACGATTGTATGTAAATGTCGTGTGCATGACATGCACGCGCGCGCTATATGCATAGTGCACTGTATGTGCGGTTGCAGTACAGTTCAGTTAACGTGTGGCGCTATGCGAATTGACTGACATGATATATCGTGCATAAAAATGGTGGCCAGCTGAACTGAACACGGTACCGCGAAGTTGTCCACACTATTCCTACTTGTCCTACTCGTTGTCATTTGATGATCCACACTCCACAACACCAAAAGACCATAACTGAATGCTGTAAAGCTTGGATTTAATAACCATGGCCGACATTGATCCCGATTTCGACGAGCCACAGGCTCGTCCTCGCTCCTGCACTTGGCCACTCCGGCGACCGGACTTTCTGAAGAAACCGTCCGGGCCACAACCGTCGTCCGGGGAAGGCACGCCCGCTGCCGTGGCTGAGGAGATCCAGGACCCTAATCTTCCCGTGCAACAGGTCGAAAGTCCCGACATCAAGCAGGATTTGGCTGCCGTTGCCACCAACAGAAAGAACTGTTCCCGGAGAAATGCTTGGGGAAACTTGTCTTACGCGGACTTGATCACAAAAGCGATCCAAAGTGCGCCAGAGCAGAGGCTGACACTGTCACAAATTTACGACTGGATGGTCAAAAATGTCCCCTTCTTCAAGGACAAGGGTGACAGCAACAGTTCGGCGGGATGGAAAGTAAGTTTGTCACGGTCTCTTTCTGTCAAGGGACATTCATTTTTGGGCTTCATTATTTCCCTTGACTTACCATTTACAGTAACTCATGAATAAATATGAAACTATTAAAACATGCCTCACTTGAGGGTAAAACTGTGAAACACTTTTTTAAAGTTTTACTGTTTATGCTTTTCATGACATGCCTGGTTTAATTTTTTTTAATAACAATCAATAGTGTGCCTCGTTAATCCCCCATGCTATTGCTATGTAGAAAGTATCTTTCCCACTTAGTACATGTACTAACTTCAGATGTACTGTAGGCGTACTGGTTAACAAGGATTTTTAAGTTTCTCGTTAAATTATTTCATGACATTATTATTAAATTAGTTGCATTCAATTGTGTCATCATGGTCATGTTATGATGTACCCCTAGCACTATGAATTAGTGATGTGTGCACTTACCCTCCTACATTTTGTTTGCCAACCTTTATAAAAATATTTGTTGATTTTCATTCAATTACTTGGTCCAAATTTCGTGTACTAATGACTTTATTTGTTCAGGTTAACTTGTGGAAAGTTCACCTACACGTAACGGTTGTAGTATTTTCCGGTCGTTTCAGACCATTGTCTCCAGATGTTTATCATTCTCTGAACAACTCCAAAATTGACGTTCTTTCCTTCCACGCTACCTGTACGTTCCTCACATTTGCCCTTTATCTAATCCGGATCCCGTTATAGCACAAGGGAAGTGACACCACAGGAAAAGTCTTTTTTATGATGTCACGGAAAATCTGATCCACTGTTTAATCAACTTCCCGAAATGGGTTTGACACATTAGTCAGAAAAGCTCACCACTGGTATCCCGTATTCAGTTTAGTACTTGCTAAATACTAACGGCAGTCATGTCATTCAGGTACATTGTACATGTAGTACAGTAGGGTAGTACTACTGTGCATTACAGGTCTTAAGAGTTGGTGGAGAAACTTCCCTGCTGGGATCCTACATGTCTAGAGGTCAAGGGGTCGTGACTTTACATCACTGAGCCATCAATGGTGCCTTGTTCCCAGTTTTTCATTTTGTTACAGGTTAAACTGTGTATTCTGGGATTCTTTCAACCTAGTCTTGTCAATCTATGGTTTTTTTTGGAATCTCAGGAAGGCTGCAGGCTAACTAAAAGGCAGCGCAAACTTTTGTTTGTGAGATGCCCGGTTCTGAAATATTATAAAGTCCTTGTTCTAGAAACATAAACTATTTAGGATAAGTTTTCTTGAGGTCAATATTTTGTTGGTTTTTTTCCCATCGTGTGATGCCTCAAATTGTAATTGGTCTCAATGTAAACTATTAGGAAGCATTTCAGCATGCCTGCTTTGCGTGACTAGAAGGATTCCCTGCTAACTGATAATAAGTGATAACTGTGTGAAAATGACCATACTCTATTCATTGTAACAGTATAATAACCAATACCTTTGATTACCGCTGAACTGGAACCCCAGTGTTCCACAGATAGTCATTTATTAAAAGAAAGCTAAACGGTTATTGAAAAAAATGACACTTAAGTGATTTTTACATGGACCGTTAATTTTTCACTAAACATGTTGATGACCAGGTTTGTGCATTGGCGTGATTACTCCCTTAAATCATTCACAAGTGGATATGTGTACAGGGTATGTACATGAAAAAAAATATTTGAATATCAAATATCAGTTTATTAGCTCTTATACTGCACTCTTTTGTAGGCATGACGAAATCATGGAAACAATTCCCTATAATGAATAAAAATTCCTAACATTACATACCTTGTGTGAACTGTACTGTGTAAAACGTATGCAAGTTACTGGTGCAAAGTTCCGTTAACTTGTTTTGTCTGTTCAACAGTTTTCAATATCACAAATGAACAAGTCATACACCGAAAATTCCCATTTACAAAAAATATCCATGACGTGATATTACAAAATAGAATGCTTCAATGGTCCACTTTGGACCTGAAGAGGGGTACAAAGATCCAATCAAACAAGCATGACGCAGGACCAACAAAAGCACCTTGTCCACAATTGTTGATGATTTGGTTCTTGTTGACGACATGTACCTCATAATTGTATTGCGGTTAGAGTGAAGTAAGGGTTGGAATTGGGTTTGACGTGAGGGAATTTATTTTTCCTGACCACACTTTTTATGACAAAAATAGATATGTGATAGATAAAAAATAATGTTTCAGACTTTGTAATAGCTCGCCTATGAAATTACCCAGTAAGACTGGAAACTGCGGGTTTTTTTAGTTATTTTATACTGTTAAGTCTGTAAATCCAGTATATGTACCAAAAAGCCTAATTGACGAGATATGATAAACCCATAAACATACATTCCAGTGTATATTGTCTCACGACATGCCATAGAAAACTTCTTTTTTTTATTTCCATGTACATCGTTTAATCTATTCCTTTATAAAGGGATACCTACTCTAACATGTAACATCCTATTCCTATCCACTTTGATTAAAATGCAGTATCCTACTGGTTCTGTTATTGGCAGTTATGTACTTACTAGTTAGCTCAATATGGTCAGCGTACCGACCAGTGGAACCAAAGTTCATGCTCAATATATTTTAATCGCCTCCTCCCTTCCTATAAGACTTCTAATCCAAAAAAATTGTATGCGCAATTTTTTTTTATCGGATTCGCTCAGTTTAATTGCTGACTGTAAAAGTAATCAGGTAACATGTCAACCGTGGAAGTATATGCGGAATATATAGGAATCACATGACCTCAGATTGAACGTGTGCAGAGTGCGATCGCTATTCATAAGGCTGGCTGGTAGCCTAACTTTACTGTACTGTTCATGGGTTTGTGTGGGTGACGTTTAGTCACGGTTCACCGTGCGTGGGCGGCTTAATCAGAAATGCAGTGTGCAAGCGTGTGTTGGTCCATCACTGCCGTGCACAAAATAACATATCCGATTTCAGTAAAAGTAGGGAGAAAACAGAGTAGCCCACGTTTGAAAGGTAACCATATTAGTGGTCATTTCTGTAGAGTATGTTAGTTTGTAAACCCGTTTACATTGGATTTTCCTTGGTTTTTTTTTTTCTCGTTTATTGAAAGTTGCTTAACATAAAGTCCATTTCCTAGCATTCAATCAACTAATACAGTTTACACCATTAGGCCTATTAGAAAAGGAATGAAAACAAATAAAACTTTCCTCACTTCTAAATTGGGAGTTTGGGAATTTCATCAATGAAATGGGGTATTTTTGGAGTTCCCTAGTAAAATGTTTAGGTAAATTCCACAATATTACATTGTACATCCACAAGCAAAATGTACTTCAATGCGAGTTTGTCATCTGACACTGATTTTTGAACAAGGAAATGCTTGCATTTTGAAAAATTTCAAAACCCGTGAGAATTGAGAGGAAGCCTTTTGGATGGGCCTGGTATGGATTTACGATGTGACCCATGTTGACCTTTAACCTGGTGCTGACCTCAGTGGGAATAATTTAGGAGAGTTGGAACAGGAAGATCACCCAAGGCTGTAGAAATCAGTGATATTAATTTAATACTCATACAAGTGCATGTGTACATGTGTGGGTACTTGTGCAAATTTAATGCATCACTGAAATTAATGCTGGCTGAAACACGTGTGTAAACAATACAAGTGCATATTGTTATATGCCAGCACATGTACATTGGCATCCGGAGTTTGCTTAGAAGTCCAAAAGAGTTTATTGTTAATGTTAAAGACCAAAATAGTGCAGTAATCATGAAGATTTGAATATTTTTTCGCGTAAAACTGTGCCTGTCATGCAGTCCGTGTAGTTTTGCAAACTGTATAATATTGTCAGGCTCTTAAAGTCTGTCATGTAAACATTTTTTTCTCATATTTGTCGTGATTGACACATGGCAGTCTAAAATGTCAGGCTGCACTCTGGGTTGCCCTGAGTGAACTTTGGCTCCCACATTTCAGTCTCTCCGGAAGGAAGACAGGCCTGGCAAGATTGGCCACGGAGCCTTCAGCTAGGGGCAGGCCTCTCTGCTATACCTTGTTGTTGCGTCCATCCGTTGTGCCGAGATAGAGAGAGAGAGTAGCCTGCAGAACGGTCGAGCTATGAATAGGAGCCTCAGCCCGAGGACAAAATCCTGAAGGAGACTTGGCAAATGTGATTAGGGAGAAGCCGTACTCCGTGTCACTAGCCCGCATCGGGGCTCTCCGTATCTAATCGTGCAGCGGGATGGCGCTGGCAGTTTATTCAACTCATGTTCGTCGGGACGGGGAAGCCATGTGACGTCAGCGGAGCAGGCTCAAGTCAGGATTCGTCAAGGGAATCTTGCGAATGACGCTTGGTTCTGACTGATTAAACACAAACATGTATTTTGGGAACGATTGTTTATATACAGCAGCGCAAGAATATATTATAGAGTATTAGTCTATAAATAGCAACTTGAGGATTGGAAATAAACCTATGGGTTTTGTGCCGGTATTAAACTACAGGTGAGGTCGTGAGGCTAGATAGCGATTCGATTAAATTGAGTTATATGGACTTGATTTTACTCTAAAAATAGTCGCACGGAAAAACAAGTCACTGTTCATATTTGTAATGAATTTGTTTTCTGTTGGACCATACCACGCAGAAGGTACATTACTAACAAACAACCGTGAGAATTTGATTTAATGAGGGAAGTACTGTATGCAAACACTGCAGAATTTGTGCAAAGGGCTGTCGTTGGACTTCATTTTACTCAGGCAAAAGAATGGAAGAGTTTCAATTGAATTTTTTCCTGAAATCGGTCAAGATTTTATGGCGTCAAAGTTTGTTGTTGACTTGTGAAATATTTCAGCATTACTTGAAAATAGCAGAATTAAGATACTGTTTGTCATAAACTTAAATGAAAAATGCATTTATCATGAAAAGTTCTGATTGGACGTCTCCCACCTGCATCATGAAAAAGCCCCTGGACCTGTAATTGAGAATCAGTTCAATAATCCACTGGATGCTTATCATGTCCCGAGATCGGTAATCCTGTGTAAATTCCCTGTGTGCATGATATCGTGCAACTGGCTGAACTTTGTCCCAGTACTCTGCCAAACAGTGTAGGCCCTGTGTGCGATTGGGAAAAAAAAAAACCTCCGTACTTATCCCATAATGCTCGGTTATGGCACCATCAATAGGGCAGCAGGTATTTCCTTTGGCAGTGTGCCAGATGTCAGGGTCATCTGAGGTCACCAGTGTAATTTGCATGTAATGGTATTTGGGAGGATTTGTTCCGTTGTGCATTGTACTGTATGGGAATGCACATGGGGCTTCAATTGTACTCAAATGTACACATTCCCTACGTACTGTACATACATGCACATACTGTTTTTCTACAAGGCATGAACAAAATACAACATCCATCACAATTTTCAGGAAGTTGGGCTGGCTTAATCAACAACATTGACATATTGCTGTGGTGTCCAATAACAACATATTACAGAGAGTAATAAAATAATGTAGTCTTCCTCTCTACAATTCCGCCCCCAAAAAAGGTTTTAGTCTGTAAAGAAAAGCTGAAAAGTCAAAATATGTGGAGTTTTGGAATACATCTTGATGAAAAATTGCTCATCTTTTATCTTGAAATCTTAGACAATTTTTAATTTGAACATTTTGTCCCAGCTAGAACGACCATACATATTTAATGAAAGTACAGCTCTCTTCAACCCATTCTTGAATGGTTTTAGTGATAATCCTGTGTGGATTTCCTATTGCTTTTAGCTATGCCAGGTTGGGCGGAAAAACTTACCATTGATTCAGCGGCCCACGTTGAAAAGCAGTACTATTACTATATAAACTACATGTAGGACATGTCCAGACCTGAACAGAAGATGATGCATGTTGCATCATGCAAACACTAAGCAATGTCCTTTCCTGCCTTCATACATTATCATGCTTAAATGCTGATTATTTGATTTGACCCAGTGAAGAAACTTGACCCTAACTACTCTGGGTCCTTTTGGCTAGGAACCATCCTCAACCCTACAAAATCCTCCAATTGCCACCATGTAAAAATTGGATTCATCCTCAATCCTCCAAAATCATCCACTATTTCTTGAATTTGTTCAGTCGAGGGTTGACCACTGCCTCAATCCATCAAATCCTCACTGGGTTGAGGCAGTGCTAATGACATTCAGAAGGATATCAAGCACAATGCAGGGCTCAACTATGCATAACTGAACATAAACAATACAGGGTACACAACAAACTTGTCGCATTGCATCCTCCATTTAGCCTCAATCCTCCGAAACCCCCTGGAGGATTTTGGAGGATTGAGGAGTGTTAGGCAGTTAGGGTTAATTAAAGTGGTTTTACAGTATTTTAATGTGTTCAGAACTACCGCTGTCCGGTCACTCTGAATTTACATGCGACCTGATGAAAGAAGTTCCTGCTCAGTTTGAATTTTGCATATTCTGGAATTATCCTTGCAAGAAATGACAAAGGAGGTGCAAACGGAAATTAATGGTAATTATTCTTCAGTTGTCTTGGATTCACGTCACCGACCCTTTTCAAACTCATCACATGCATACTGGTGATAAGCATGACTGCTGTTTTGAACACAATGAGCCATTTCACACAAAACTAAAAAGGCTTGCATACTCTACATATCAATGTCCAGCGTTGGGCATTCCGATGCAAGTTGTCACGGTCAGTCTATTGGTCAGCCACCATTCACTGTGGCCTTGTGGTCTGGACTCTGCTCGGTCCATCATGTCTAGCGGTCATCAGCAGTAAGTGACCCATGACCATTGCATCAATTCTCTCAAAATGTCCAACGCTGCTGTATAAATTTTGTCATTGCACAAACATGTGACACTTTGATGGTTTGGCACAAGTTATCATACCTGAACTCTAAATAAATTGACGTAAGACCAAAGAAAAGATATAAATCTGGATGATTTAGTCTGTTACATATGTAAGTTTGTAAGGTACTGTTACGTCAATTTTTAAAGTAAGTTTGCAGTTTTGCAAATTTGTTGGATTCAGCAGGCAACTGAAAACATTCATAGGCGATTCTGTTGGGTACTGGTAAATAAAGACAAGTTGGACTCTTGGAATCAGCAGGAAACGGAAAAATAAGGCACAGTCGGATTCTGTTGGATTGAACATATCGGTCATTATACATTTCACAGTGGTACACAACAACTTGGCATATTGGATTTTGTGGGACTGTGTTGGATTGAGCAGTAACCGTCTTAGATTCTGTTGGATTTCTTAGGGTATAGACCTGGGGAACTATTTTAGGGGGTTAGGGTTAAGGATTGATAGTTTCTCACCCCTTGTTATATGCAAACTTCAATGGGTAATGCAAAGTGTAAAGTCATTAAACAAATTGAGGTAGAGGATTTAGCGCCAGAGATAATAAGCTTTGTATTATCACCTAACACAGATAATGAAGCCCTATTGTATATAACTGTCATTGAATAAGCAATGTAGGGTGTGCTATAATTGGCTGGCTGGCCTATCAGTAATGACCCCAGTCCTTAGGTCAACTTCATAAAGATAATGGACATCAAATGATTAAAAGTCACATGTTACATGTACAAAAAATGTACATGTTTGCATGCATGCACAAGCTGTAAATGTGCATGCCACCGGTATGTAATGTTGAGCATGAACATGAACAAAAACATGTACAACGTATGTTCACAAATATGTACATGAGCTTGTGCACGCATACAAAATATTCCCTAGAAAGGTGTTATAATTTTTTTTTACAAGAAAATTGCTTTAAAAAAAAATATTTTTAAGAACAATTATTCTATCTTATAAATGTTGAGAAATGTACGTGTCAATAATTGTAGAACCATCCAAACTAGACGTGACAAACAAAACGAAAAACGTAAAAACAGTATTCTTAGAAAAATCTTGATGACTGGAGGCGAAATCTGCAAAATCATTCAAGGCAAGCTTGCTGCGAAACGATAGAACATCGGTCGTACTTAACATAGATCACTCCAACGACATTTTTTGTATTTTTTAGTGGCATGTGAAACCAATCACAGTCGTTCTTGATTGCACCAATCCGTGCATGATAACCCGTCTCGGATTTTGACTACATTACCCGCATCGCGCCGCATCTGAGAATACCGTCTGCGATACCCGCTCATTTAATTACCTCGCTATCACATACGGGCAACCCTACACTGTCTCCTAAACCTAATTATCCTCTGCTTGTCATTAGTTCCGGCAGCTTTTTCCCAGCTAGCTAGCAGTGACGCGTTTCACCGTGTTCGCAGCGAGTTGTCAGTAATATTATTTTATATAAATTTTTCCCTTCCGTTTTTGGTTACTGGTTCCAACCGCTGTTTTAGGATTCCCCCTGCCGCGAGAAGTATTCTTTCCCACTGTGATCTGGAAGCGGGAAGGTCACTAACCAATCTCGGAACCAGTCTTTCTTTCTCTCCGTTGTTCTCCGCTGTAATCCGAGGTTTCAATTATGAGATAACCTGTGGTTAGCAGACATCAAATCCAGTTTCGCCTATCACAGGCGGCTGGCTGTGCAACGGACTGACCTGTGATTACAAGTACAGTCACTGCTCATTTTACATGAATGAGATTGATGACAGTTGATATGAGTTTGGATTTAGAGTCAAGCGATGGCTTCTGAAGTTGAGAGATGTTTTAGAATAGTAAAACATGTCTTGATCGTTCAGTGCACTTTATGACTAGGAGTTACTTTCATTTTTATTTTTAAATTATTCTATTGTAAATCCTTACACAACAGTTAGATCAAATTCTGGGATTCAAACCATGGATATCTTCTTTTATCAATTGTCAATTATACGACAAAGGGAAGCGTTCTTGTAGGTTGCTGGTTCAAACCCCATTCAAGTCAATTGTCCAATTTAATAATATCTTACTTACTTCAAGGCAAGAGCAAATTTTTTTTGGTGACTGATATTTTGTCTTTGTTGTGTCAGCAATCAACACAAACGCTATCCAATGTACATGTACTATGGGAAGGACTGTCATAAAATTTCTGGAAAAGCCATTGGCATTTGAGAAAAGTTGTGGTATTTTCATCAAAATAATTTCTGACACAACAATTTTCAAATCATCATTTCCTGCAGTTTGCAGGAAAAGGTTAAGCTTGGGGCTGCTTGAACGATCTAGGTTTGATATATGATCTTTAATTTGGTTGCTTCTTCTCATTTGCTTTGTTTACAGAATTCTATCAGACACAACTTGTCATTGCACAGTCGATTTGTGCGAGTGCAAAATGAAGGCACGGGCAAGAGCTCCTGGTGGATGATCAACCCTGATGCTAAGCCGGGCAAGTCATCTCGACGACGCGCATCAAGCATGGATACCAACAATCCCAAGTGGGAGAAGAAGCGCGGCCGAGCTAAGAAGAAGGTCCTGGAGGAGAGGGCAAAGTGGAGCACCAGTCCCACGCCCAAGTTTGAAGGAGAGCCAGAGAACTCGCTCTCGCTCGCACTGAGCTCGGAGTTCCGTTCCCGAGCCAGCTCCAATGCCAGCAGCTGCGGTCGTCTGTCTCCCATCAATCAGATCGACGACATGCATGATAACGAAGTCCCACCCATGTCACCGGTACCCTATGACCTCGGCCACCACCAGACCCAACCCTACGAGAGTCCCGATCACTTACACACCGACCAACTGACGTCTCTCGCCCAAGCCATGAGTCTAAACACCTCCCTAAACGGCTCGGTCAGCTCCGACCTGAACAGTCCCGTTGAGCAGCTCCGAGTCCCGACACCCATGAGGCCCTCTCCAAAACACACAAGCCGCGGGAATCTATTCCAGAACAACGTGACCAGCAACTCTAACAGCTACATGACGTTCTCGCCGGCACCGAGCTACAGCGGTTCTGACCGGTCCCCCGTACACAGTAACGTCCAAAGCCCTGCGTACAGCCCTTACGGACAGAACTCTGCGATGAGTCCTATTCCACAGCAGCAACGCTGCTCCCCATCCATGAGTGTCACCGACATGTCACAGCAGTTCATTAACATACCTCAACCTCAACCCGCCTCGTTCTCCATGATGCCACATCAGGATACCAGTATGACAACCAACGGGGCCATCCTGTCGAAACGTGATCCCATGCTGTCTCACTCGACCCTCCAACCTGGCAGCATGATGCATCAGCGGCCCACCAACCTGCAGCCGACCTGCCGCGTGCAGACCAACATGGCGCAAGGCCGGTCCTTACAAGGCTTCAGCCCCCAGACCAGCCCCAGTAACCCCCTCACTTCCATGCTCCAGCTGAATCCGGTCATCACGGCCGCCCAGAATAACCACATGTCCAGCCCCACCCACGCAGCCATGAATCTCCAGTACACCCAATCCTCGATGACCCTACCCATCCAAAGCATTCCCATGAACAGCTCCAACGACAAGGTTCCTAGCGACCTTCAGAGTCTGGACGTTGACATGTTCAAAGGCATGGATTGTGACATTGATTCCGTCATTCGGAATGAGCTGATGGACGACGGCAACCTAGATTTCAACTTTGAGGGACTCATCAATCAAACAGTGACGTCAACACCAAGTTGGGTGCATTAATAATCCACAGGTTAGTATAGCATCTTTAGTCTTCTATCCCCTCCTACCTCATCCTAGTTCACCAATTTCTCATTGCTTCCAGAGTTTTGGCAAAAACAAACTTGTCAAAATTTGTTTTGACTTCAACTTTGAATCAACATGGCATGAGACGCACAGGATTGGATGGTTCGCAGCTCAGTTATTGAATAGCAATTTGAGTGAATTCAAAATGGATTCCATTTTTTTTCTATATTTTGTAAAATTTAAGTTTTGCTCCCTTCATCTGAGTTCATTTTTCTAGAGTCATTGACCTTCGCAGCTGGGTTGGATTTAAAGGATCACATTTTACCGTCAATATTTGCTACAGTGTCTGCATTTTGTAAATACCAAATATCAATGGAAATAGGAAACCGAGACAACCAATCCCACAAAATCCGCGGAAAGTTGCATGTAAAATGCATGCAACTCATTCCTCTCCCACTTTCCCAATGCTACAAAGATCTGATTTGTAAATACCCCCCCCCCCCCCCCCCAAATCCTGCATTATTCAAATATGAACTGTGAAAATCCACCGATGGCTATCGTCAGAATCCGTCTTGAATTTCACTCTACTATTTGTTTCTGGGAGAGAGCGAGATTTGCACGGTAATCACCCCATGAATATAAATCCGATACGGAGAATCCTCACCGTCCCAATGGAAAAGGACCCACTCTCCATACAAGCGCAACGAATATTTACCCATTTTGATTGAATTCAGCAAGTAGAGATTCCCTGGTGTTTTTTTTTAGTATTTTTTATTGACGATGTGATGCCAGGCAACACTGAACGTCTGAAGTTTAGTTGGGAAATGGCTGATTTTGCAAACATGAGAATTTCTGTGAAAGTGGGCAAGTGAATGCTTAATACCGGAAGTTGTTTAAATTTTGATTAACTTCAGTAATTGGCTGATGCATATTTGCATATATATGTACAATTGTACGTAAACATTCATCCAAACCAATTACCACCGGTGCCTTTACCTGGAGATAAACACTACTCTGGGTCCCAACAAAAATCTTACTTTCCAAAATGCAGCTCGGCAACTGAACCATTCCTGACAACATGAAGAAAGTAAAAGTGTAAACAGCACTTTCCAAAATACATCTCCGGCAACTGAAATGTTTCCAGACAACTCACAAATATGTCCCACACAAATGTAAAAGTATAATAAAAAGTTTGAGTTTCCATATTATGAAAACTTTTCCCTTGAACAAGATCGACCAGTGGGAGGGTTAACAAAAACAAGTAAAGTACTTGCCCTCTGAAAAAAAAGAGAGAAAACTTTAAAACCTAGGTAAGCCCACCTGCCTGAATTTGTTGATGTGTTTTCGTAGTATTTCTGCCACAAAAGGCGTGAACTTTTGACTTTATCCCCTTACGCCTTTGGGGGTTTGGGAAAAATAGTTCTCAGCCGTCCACGTAAACAGAAGATCTGAGTTCTCGTAGTCGTCAGTATGCTCGATAATATCTGATGGAGACATGGCCAGAACTGTTTTTCTCCAATCTTGAGGGTATTTTTCATTTTTTTAAAGAATTCACGTGAAAACATCACAGTCTGCAAATGTCATGCTGTCTTGACCTTCAAGAATTGTTTTCTTTGATTTATTTTTCCAAAGAACACAATATGCCATCAGATAACATACGGTACACGTGTTTGTTGTGTTTGGACTACAGCAAAATATCAATTTATCGGTTGTAACAATTGTGATTTCTGTACGTGGTCATTGTAAAAAAGATTGTTGGCCTTTTGCGACATCTTGTGCCCAGGGCACACTGCAGATGGACTCATTGCATAAGTCGCTTGTAAAGCACGCCCTCAATAGTGGAAAGATAAAACCTACACCCACAATCACAACGTACCGTACACTGTATCAGCCAAAACTTGTTACTCATTTCAGTGCTTAGACAAACAGTTTTTCCTTAACTCTGTTCCTGTCCTAATTTATCATCAATATTTTCATAACACTGATTGGATAGACAATGGCCAGCCTATGCATCCCCCTCTCGTCATATTTCCTCCCCCCCCCCCCATATCCCCCCCCCCCCTTCATATAGTGCCATTTTCACATCATTAATTAACCCTCTCCGCCCGCTCAAATGAAGGCCTGCTTGATTGATTGTGCACTTGCTGTCTGTAGAAATGAGGAGCCGCCATCATTAGCAGGAGTTGTAAAGCAGTCATGCATTTGTGATCATATGATCATATTGTCAAAATTACTCTAATTGGGAAATCGTCTTTTTTTTTAATAGGATTACCAGGCGTGGATGCGTCTTACATGAATGATCGTTCATATTAATCATATTGTTTTCTTGAAATATCGGAGCGCTGGAGAAGTTGATTACAAAACCTAATCAAGCTCAGTTTTAAGTGTTAAACCTTCTGTCTGTGAGTCTAAAAATAAAGCTTTGATAACTATCACAGCAATCTACAGCTATATCTGGCTTTAGTTTTGTCAACTTTTGAGCAAGACGTTACATTGCATTATTATCAAATTACTACTGTATAGTTGACATTAGTAAAAACGGTTAAAGACGTTTCTTGCAAAACCTGTTGCCTCTTTTACTGTACAAAGTGATTTCCGTTGCACGGTGTGTATCTATTGTTATATTATAGCGGTACATGTTTGAAGTATTATTAGCCTTTTAATATCATAGTGACCATGTACTGAACATGTATCTCCATGTACTGTTACATGTAGATGTACATCTACATGTAAAGGTCTTCGAATTTACTTATTTGACAAAATTGACACCTGACAACAACAGTTATGTTCTAGATCCATCTAAGCCCCATACTCCAGGCAAGATAGTGCCAGTTTGTTTTCGCATCAGCGCAGCTTGAATTTTTCCACCACGGCCACGTATCATGTTTTGTAACCTTTTCCATTCTCCCTCGCCCCAAAAAAACATGTCTCTTGTGGCCTCTAGACACATCACTGATCCATAGACAATGGAGTAGAATTAGATAGAATCCCACAGCTTTGAAGCGCAAGGCACCGTTAGAAACGTGCGCGACATACGACGTACCGTACATGTACAATACGTACGTACAATTGTAGCCCTAGCTCTAACTTTACTGTTCGCAGACACACCACACACAGGAAACTCCATTTAATGGAATGTAATTATCGGCGATCTACCCTGAACTCGTCCGAGCGTGTGTAAATTATGACGTCAGCCGGTGGGGTAGTCTGCCGCGGTGGACCGAGGCCGTACGTCTGCGCTCGTTGAAAGCCATATGACGTGGGTAACTAACATCATCTTCATCAGATCTATAGGAGGCTCAGCCGGTTCGCTCCTCGATGTTTGTGTGGCTGAACAACACTCCATGTCTCTCCGGGGTTTATAAGACTCAGTCTGTGACGACAGTCGGTTATTTTTCAGAGTATCATTTTTTATTAAATACATGCAGTTTATTTTTTTAAGTTTGGGTTAAAAAAAGTGGGGGGGGGGGCAGTCAGCAAGTTCCAATCCTGCTTCAGGCTTTGTCAGTGTTGTTGTGCTGACCGTGTGCACAGGTTCAAATTCGGATGTGATGTTGTCTAAATGTACACTTCAAATGACACGGATTGGAAATGACTTTTGAGTCTTATGTCATTGTTTATCATTTATAACCCTAACAGTCCTGATTCCTTTAAATTTAATAGGATTTTTCACACTAATGGAGAAAGTTAAAGGGTGTTTAGAGTCGATCATTATGCACAGTACCGGTATGTGTTAGTTTGTTTGGGATTATTCTGACAAATTTGGAAGGGGTCAAATATGGGACAAATAAAACCAGTACCACACCAACACAATACATGTGTTGTATGCGTACTTGGCCTACAAAGATACCAGCAATCGAAAGGTGCAACTTGGTAATCGACGTTGACAATCTTTTTGGAAAAAACTGCGTAATTGTTGTCCAGCCGTGAAATTTCTATTGCATTTGCCAAATGATTTTCCTTTCAGACGACAGAGACTTGATTAGATTTTTCCCCCGCAACGAAAAAAGCCAAGGCTGATTTTCCTCCAGTTTTTCTACGAATTCCAAGACTTGTCAAATACCAGGGTTCACTTCTATTGTGATGCAGACTGCCAACAAAAATGGTCTGACTGATCAGATTGTCAAATTAGAAGGGGAAAAAAAAGATGGAGAAGTGCGGGTCAAAAATTGCGTCATACGGTTACAGGAAAGCCCCCTAGCAACGGTCATTGAATCCAGTGCAGCATGGACGATATTTTAAACTCATAGATGTATGAGAAAAGACCGGGGCTGAAAAAAAACATTGAATCAGCTGGGCAGTGTTATTAACAACGGCATTGTGGCCGTGGGGAAATTACCAGGGAATAAAATGGCAAGACAGACACAGCGTTTCCTCAAGGTCATGCTGACGGCGTATGTACGTCAGTCCAACCCCCCCCCCCCCCCCCCTTCCCATCCTTTGATAGACGCTACCATTACCTAATGTCGCGGAAGACTCTGAAACAAAGGCACCACGACAGAGACCTTCCTTTTGTTACAAAATGGCAAAGAGACATCGTCATTTCTAGCAGTGACGCACAAATTCTTTTTGTTTGGGAGGGGGGAGGAATTTAGTAATGCATGAAATATTCTTATCAAACGTTCTGAGGTTTCCAGTGACGTTATTAGAATGTGTTAAGAACGCACTGTTGGTTCTTTCTTGCAACCAATCCTGTAAACTTGTATAAAAAAATATTGATATTTTGGCAAGAGAAATGGGTTACTCTCTTATTTAGGTAATATCTTTCAGTGTGCTTGGGAAATTTCACATCAGCTTTAACAGGATGTAACATAATATACAAAAAGCTTACTAATGTTTTAAATATTTATCATATCCTGATGGTGACCATTATAAATTGATTTGGCATTTTTAGTAAGTTTACAGTAAACTCATAAATAAGAAACACAATTTTTAATTCTGAATCATTCCCTTGCTTGAATTGTGCTTTTCTTGGATTAGCTTTTATTTTTCATTACATATTTACATGTAACTGTTGACTGGGGCTCTGACAAACTTGAAAAAACTGTCAACAACATGAACTCAAAGTATCTTTGCTACAGTAAACACCTTGTACCAATAGACTTAACCCAGTAGAGCAGGTCCACTGTGCAGACGCAACTTTTTGAAAACAGCAGGACAACAAAAATGCTTTTGAAATCTATTAATGGAAACGAAAGTTGAGTCCTAGTCCACTTCCTGACCATTGTTGAATTACCGCTGCGTAGTCAATAAAACGACTCACCTATATATGATCAATGAACGATTATGGGAAACACCGGAACAGATTATGACACTGCAAAACAATTTTCAGATAATTTGATCTCCATATTTGACGGTCCCTAGTGTGAATGAGTATTAAAATATAGCGTTTGTAGGCTTTCAAAATGAAGAATAAGGACATGGGAGAATAAAAAGTTGTTTTGGTCTAGACTGGCCATCAGTTTTATGTTTTCGGGAATT